TAATAAAAGACACGTAACAGTAAAAGTTTTGGTGTGAATCACAATATAAGGGGGGACATGAGCTGCTTGGCGGAGGTCTACGCTCTCCGAATGCTTTTCTAGTTTAATATGTCACCCCCTTCCTCTCCCTGTCCTGCCCTCTCAGGTGTGCTGAGTCAGTTCACCCTCATCCTGTGGGGCACTGGACCCATCGTCGTCAACCCATCGGAGTCCAACTTCCCTCGGCCATCCAACAACAGCTGCAAGACATTTGATGCCCAGCAGATCTGTATCGGTGAGATTACACAAACTTTCCCTGTAACTCGATTCATACTGGCCCTGGCTCACAGTCTGTGTTTCAAAACAAGCTTTTCTGCGTTGGGTGTTTCTACTTGTGAAAAGCAAATGTTGAGGATCCAGATTGCCCGTCTACCAGCCTCTTGTGCATCTGTTTGCACACACTCAGCGAATATGTTCATTGCCATATGTCACATTAGTTAGAATCAGAGTGTGAGACGTATGGAGGAGCAGCAGGAGGGGGAATAAAACCGCGTCACAGCGCGAGGTGCAAGGTTTGAACAACTGTTGAAGACGATGAGTCCCTCACTGAAAAGCAGATGAGGTCAGACGCTCGCTCCGCTCGTAAACACTCAGGCGCTTTTGTTTGAATCGTTCCAGACTCCTCCATAATTTATTTACGATATACATTTCAAGTGTTGAACAGAAGCACCTGATTATACAGTGTCCCAGTTTCATAATAACTCGTTCAAACATTCATACAAGTGTACCCAGAGAGGACTTAGTGACACAGAGTTCAGTCTGTACTCACATTAATAATCATAGCCTCCTTTTAACATTGTAACCATCCTTTATTCAGTGTCTAAACTTTTTGAATCATGTAAAACTTACTGTTCAAAAAATGATGAAGAAGAGTCTCACCAACTCAAACTGAAAATGTGCAGAGATAAAGAGCTGAATGATCCAACTGTGCATTATCTTTTACAGCCTTTTTCATTTGATCAATAATGTAAACACACGAGCGAGTGAGTGAGTTACCATGTGTCTCATCATTAAAACAACAAATGAAGACTTTTTCATATACAATTGATTATCTGACAGGAGGTTTAGGATAAACCACTCTTGAAAATCATGATCAGCATTCTTTTCATAGTGCAGATGTCTCTCAGACCATCAATCTATCAAAAAAAAATCAATCTGCAGATTTATTGATGATGGGAAAAGCATGTTTGTTTGGACCCTAGCTTATAAACACTGTAGCTCCTTCCAGTAAATGTCAGAGGGCCTTTATAGAATTTATGAGACTTGTAAAACGTTACTCTGTTTTTGTTGATGCTTTCATTTTTGTGATTTTTTTTTCTTTTTTAAATGAAACTCAACTTTCTTTAAACCTTTATGTTTCCGTACAGAGTGCAGCCCTGGATTCTCCCTCTTTCTTCAGGGTTGTGTGAAATTCTGTCCGCCAGGCTTCACCTCCGGCCCGCAGCTCCTCAACCTCTCTCTGGAGAACTGGGTGGATCTATCCTCCGTCCAGGCCTGTCTGCCCTGCAACCCCGCCTGCCTCACCTGCTCCGACACCGGGCCTACAGACTGCCTGTCCTGCCCGTCGCACAGCCACCTGGTCCTCACCTCCTGCCTACACCAGAACCAGGTCCAGAGAAAGTCTCCGCTAGCTGGAGGGCTGCAGGATGATGGAGCCCAACCAGACGGGGAGACCCCATCAGAGGCAAATAACAGTAGTGAAAACGAGAGCACTCCAGTAATCAGCATAACTCCGTCCACCCGACTGCCGGCGGTGGTGGCTGTGCTCAGCTGTGCCTTCATCCTGGCGGCCTTTGTCGGGGTCTTCTTCTTGCTGCAGTTGCGCTCAGGTGGGGCTCTTCTGGGCTGGAGGACCAAAGTGCCCTCTGGGTATTCACAGACAAGAGGGGTGAGGGTAGGTTTTGGCTTTGGCATCGGCCAGGGGCGGGAGAGGAAGGCACGGATATGCTACAGGGGGATCCCCACTGTGTGGGGGGATGAGGACATGATCGCCTACCAGTCTGAATCAGACAGTGAAGAGGTGGATGGACACAGTGAGAGGACAGCTTTTATCAAGACACAGAGCTTAATCTGACTGAGCCTGGATCTGCTCAGCCTCTTCAGCTCTTGGATTGGAGTGTGTGGAGTTACAAAACGAAGAAGAATTTCACAGGCTGGAAAACAGAGGAAACATAATGCCTTAATGTTCATCAGCAGCCCATACAGATGGATCCAGTGTCTGTCACGTATTTATTTACATCTCATTATTTATCGCACATGAGTCATACTTTCTCATCTCATTCAGTCAGTCAGCATCTCAAACTACCAACTTCAAATATTATTCAGCTGTTTTATGTTATTTGACAGGCATAATCCACTTGAAATCACTGTTTGTTACAGGAGCTTTTCCACAAGTGTATGACTAAGTTTATTTTGAAAACCACCAGCACTGTCTGAGCCCATTCAAGCCCAGCATCAGTACTGTCAAAACCCACAATTAAAGTTTGTAAAAACAAAACCTGTGGACTGATGCCAACCACCAATAACCACCAAAATAACCCTGTTGACATTTTCAAATATCAACTTTACAGCAGGCTGGGTAGTAAAACAGTAGTACCGTATTTTTCACGCTATAAGGTGCACCTAAATATAAGGCGCACCGGATTATAAAGCGCATTAAGCAAAACAAAACAGTCAGATAAGTCAAACTTTATTTAACTCATTCAGTAACTCCGTGAGGCTAAGGTAGCTGCAGTGTTCTGACAAGCCAAAAGGGTTTTAAGTGCGCCTTATAGTGCGAAAAATATGGTAGCCCTCATGATGGTTAAACTGAGCCTGATACTTAGTAGAAGAGCATCACTCCCTAACAATGTGCATCAGATTCGACCCCTTACACAAACATCAGCACGCACTGAGCTCTGATGAAATAGTGTTGTTCTGTCCTATCAGATTTTCAGGCGAGGGGTTGTGGAGTTGGCACACTACTCATTAACAGCAAGAAAACTTTAAATTGAAGAGTTCTGCAGCGTACTGGGACAGCATAATAAAACATCCTGCAGGCTGTTTGATAAGGAGGAAGCTATGGAGGATGCTCTGTTTTCAATCAAGGCACAACGGGAATTGCTATCGCAGCTCTGACATATCAGATATATCAGTCACGAAATCTCATTGACTTGTAGCAGGGGAGCACTCTCTTCTAGTCACATGAAAAAATACTCAACCTGAAGCCGCTCGGCTGACCTTTGCAACATTTTTCTTCTTGGTTGCTACTGGGGAGAAAAAAAAAGATCATTTTCTCTTCATTTTCCCCCCACACAGTATTTATTGATTTTAAGGTTTCTCTCTCAGAATGTCTTCATCAGGATAAACGTCTTTCCTTTTTTATTCTCAGCTCAATATATAAAAACAAACGTGCTTTATTTTCGCCATCTACAGCAGTGCGGACTCACAGCTGCACACTGTTGATCTAAAGGCCAGAATGACTGCAGAGATTAATAACTGGAGAGATCTTGTATCGCATTTTCTATGTTTGTTTTATATCCTTTTTTATTTAACTGACAGTGGATGTTAATGCTGTGGAGATCACTTTTATGCTGGAATAAAAAGGCTGGCTGTTTCAGGGACAGACTGCATGTGTCTTTACTGCCAGGTTTTAAAACTTTCAGCCACCTTAAATTCAGCACCCTGACACGCAAATGGCACCCAGGAGAGCAGATGGCTCATCTCTTCTTCATAGCCATGAATCACTGTTGCAATTGTAGTTCCTTCACTCTCTGGGTGTTTGGCTTTCTCTGAGCTCCAGCATTCATGTCTACTTCCTGCCATGATCCACTTGGCTGCCAAAAAAAAAAAAAAAACATCTCTGAACTGTTCTCCCCAGCTTGAAGAAAGTGGCACCTAAAGTTTCGATTAAAATAAATGGAAGAGGTTTGTATGCATGAGGGACAACAATGCCCGCCGGTGAGAGTTTTGTTCATTAGCAGCTTCGCACAGAAACACGCGATACAGATGCAGGTAACCAGGTTCATGGGTGAAGGAACAATCACTCTGTGGTCCATAATTAGATCCGCTGGGAGAACTAGCAGCACAGCTCATGAGGCATCACAGCTTTTGTGATGCCTCATACATTGTATATAAATTCTGTATGTGTGAATGTAAAGGTATGTGTTAATTGGCTCCCGTAGCTCAGAAAGGGGTTAAGTGTAGCCCTTAATTCCCTCCTTCATGCTATTGTACGTGATTTTCATTTGGTTTCTCGCTGTATGGCCTTTAGCCTGCATTAATGAGCTGTCATGTTCTGCACAGTGCTGCCCGCTAACACGGCCCGACAACAAGAAATATTAGATTAATCAAAACAACGACAAATTAGTTCCTCATTAGCCGATTTCACATTCAGATCAAAATTGGACACTGAGGCCCCGGATTAATTATCCAAGCCGATCAAATGTTGTTTGTTTGCGACCAAGCTGAATGTTTGTTCTTCCTGCATAGAAAAATGCATTTGGCAGCAGCAGCAGTCTGGAAGAGAAATGCAGAAGCTGAGAGTCCCTGGGGTACGACCACAGGCTTCATCAAGCGCCACACACACTGATGGCGGCCTCAGGCAAACCCTGCCACCACTTCTTTCTGGTCCCCTATTTATGTTCACATGGCATGAACAAAAACGGGAAAAAAGACCGGTAATTTTCAACTTGTAACAATCACCCTTGACATTTTTTCTTCTGAACATGAGTGGAAAATATGTTCTTATGAGTCGAATGTAAAGATTAATCTCTGTACTTGCTGAGTTTGAAGCAGTCAGAAAACTGAGTCAATCTTTGCTTTTTACTTTAACTTTTAAACATTATGTTTTAGACACTGGGAAGCTGCATTGACTCAACGTTGCCCCCTACTGACAGAGGAGAAAACTGAGCAATATGTCATGAAGGTGTTTATAAATAGTCAGAGCTCACAAGTGCATTAAAAAGACAAGGGGGATCAGATTAGTGTCTGATAAAGTGATCTTTATTCATCTCTCTTGTTCCCCTGCAGCTTAACTCCATATTGAAATAACAAATACAGACCAGACCTCGCCTTCATTTATTACCTCTGAGCAAACAGAGACAGCGCTACACAGACATTACATACTGAAAAAATAAAAAGACATTACTACATGTTGTTTTTTTAGACACAGAAAAAGAGGGACATGGAAGGTCATGGCACGGTCATAACATGACAGGAGAAAGTGCAATTTGGGAAGCTGTGAAGTTTGGTCTGAAAAAGTGTTGAGAGGGGACGTGAAAGCAGACGTCAGGGAAGAGAGAGGAGGAGTGTGAAGCAGCAGGAGGCCCGTGGAGAATGAGGCTGATGAGCACTTAAAGTGATGGGACGCAGCAGGGAGGGGAAATGGAAGAAGGTGGTGCAGCATGAAGCGTGACACAGGTGAAGCTGTGCAGAGTCCGGCCTCAGCTTTGGACACAGATGACAACATCCTCCACAGACACACACAGAATGAAAAAACCGCAGGATGTCTCAGGGAGAAAAGTGATGTGGAGCTGAAATATGAAAAAAAGCTGCATGAGAAGACACTGGGGAGCCCTATATTTGTTTTGATACAATAGCTTCTTAAAAAAAAAAAGAAAAAAAGGGCCATTTCCACCGAATTAACACATCCTTCTCTCACAAGTAATTTAGCTGTGGCTTCAAGCGCAGACAATTTTCGTTTCATGTGTCAAGTTTTAGAGAAATCTCTCTCTGGAGATTTCTACCTCCAATGGAGATGAATAGAGTTCGACTCCAAACGCTCACAGCTTTGAAAAATTACATCTAAAAATTTTGCAGCGACATCTCTATCCCACCCACAGTTTTCACACACTCCGATACCGTGTCCCAATTATAAAGCCTTTGTACGGTAACACACAGGCAATTAACATACGTGACTGTTTTATATGTGCGTGAACCACTGAACCAAAAACTCAAGAGAGGAGTCTCTGATTGCATATTAAGACTTTTTCTTTTCTTTTATGTTATATGGTTTGTTTTGATTTTGTGCTGCTGCGAGCAGACTCACTTTTTTTGGCTGGCACATGTGTCTATAAAAGCCTCACACTCAAAAATGGAGCATTTTTAGCATGTCTAACCGGGTGTGAATGTTTCGGTTTTTTTTTGGATTTGTCCAATTTTTTCAACCACAGTCAAAATCTGATCAAAGAGAGAAGAAACAAAATTTGGATTTAGAGACGGCTTCTTACAGTGACTCAAAGATTTCAAATCAGGGGGATGATTTCTCAGGACTGACAGGATATAGTCTTATTCTTCTAAATAAAACATTGTAATGCAGTGAGCACATCATTGTTCCGTTTAGCTGCGGAAAGTGCTGAAAGGACAGGAAGAAAATTAACTGGTAGTAATTTAGAAAGTCCTTTTAGCTTTTTTTTTTTTTCATCAACAGAATGCAACTCTTAGTTTTTGTTTTTTTTTATTTGGGCTTGTCAAATGAGAGTGTGGTATTTTGTGGTTTAGCTCATATTAAAGTTCATCGACAGCTCAGGGTGAATTTTTGGACATTTTTTAAAAGAGGTTAATCAATTATGTAAACAAAGGCTGAAACAGCTCCAGGCAGATATCTAAAAACAAATCATTCCACAAATCCTTTTTTTGAAAAGTAACCACTGAAGGAAATGTGTCAGTTTTTTTTTTTTTAAACCAAAGATAAAAAAAAAAAAAAAAAAAAAAACGTTCATTTTTCTTCCCCTCAAGTGCTCTTCCTCCTGCCATGATATGACCCGCCGCTCACCACAAAAGCACTCAGACTAACGCATGAGACCTAACAGTGCTGTGAATGGTCCCTGATAGTGCACACTGTAATCTCACCAAGTACTCACATTAACATACGCTACACACATACACACACACACACCCGCACACACACACCAATATATCTGTTGTGTGGAATAAATGAGGTATAGTCTTTGTGTACTCTTCTACTGCATACAGCGTGGTAAACACAGCCAAACTCTCAGCAGTGAAGTATGAGCGCAGGAATGACTGACACGAGCTTTGAAATGCACAGATCCTCCTCCACAAACTTCTCATCAGCAGAGACGAGGCTCGGGGTGGGGAGGGGGAAGAAGTGAAACAAAGTGTTTGGAGTATCTACAAGCAGCCCACAGAAAGGTAAACAGTCGTCTGATATGATAAGCAGTCACATTTTTTCTTCTCCTGTAGTGACCGACGTAAGACCCTCAGGGCTCAGACATCATGAATTCAAAGAGCCGCAGCTCGGCGGGGTGAGATGAACAGAGAACACATTCTCTGTGCTGCATTCGAGTCTGTCGGGAAAAAAAAGATTGAATTGCAGTCAAGTACAAAAAAAAAGAAAAAAAAAATCACTGTGATGTGTCGTCTTCATTGTGTACGTAGAAAATTAAAAACCCATTCACCAAATAAAGCTTTGTAAATTGCACTCTGATGTGGCACAAGTCCCAGCCCCCCTTGTCTCAGGTCATTTTGGATATATTTACATTCAGTAGTTCAGTCCAGGATGGAGCGGCGATAGAAAAAGACGCGAGTTCTTACAAAGCTGAACTAAATGAGATTTCATTTCTGATTACAGAGAGATTCTCTCGGCTGTGTCTGATCCTGGCAGTCTTTTTTGTTTTCCAGCCAGTTCATCACATTTTTTTTTTGCTGCTCTCAGAGACATCCGCAATAACAGCTATGGCCTGCCCCCTGCTGTGCAGTCCGTCCTGTTACAGTGGACCTGTCCTCTCTCCCAGCTCAAGTATTTGTGGTTCCTCTAGACAAAAACAGAGAGATCCAGACCTCTCTGCTGCTAGTTTGTGGCCATCTTTGGCCTGGTTCTTGGTCCAAGGAGTCTGGTTTGGTTTTTATTGCCTCTTTGAGAGTGCAGGCGGCTCTTAGCGCAGCTTGAGCTTGAAGGCAGAGATCTCCATAGGGTCCAGGCTGATGCTGGAGTCGTTTGCCAGAGGCGTGCTGGGGTGCATCAGAGTCAGGGAGATGGGCTGCAGCAGCTGCAGGTCCAGGTTCTTGAAAAGCCCGGATATGTTGAGCTGCGGGAAGAGGAGGGAGACGTTAGAAACAGACGAAAGAGACATTTCAGGTCAACAAAAACGAAACACATTGAAGAGTGAAAAATGAGTCCGTTAAAGTACTAAATGGAGATAAGAATTTTCACTCTTTCCATTGTCAAAAATCAATCAATTAATCAATCAGTCTTTGTTTAAAAAGCACTAATTCACAAGGGGTGTGGACTAGGGCTGTCAAAATTCCTCCAAAATGACATTTGAATATCCGTTCTAAAAATAACACATTGGTTCGAACATATTCAGATATCTAGTTTACACACGTTGCATATAACTTTATCATTTTTTCTATCGTGTCTGCCCAAAATCTGAAGAATTTCCAAACAGAGCTTCTAAAGTTCGTTGGAGTCCAGACCACTCTCTCTGAGTCTGGCTCCGAACATCCCGCCATCTCTCTCTGCATGTGCTACGGACGGTTTTTGTCGAGTCTCACTGCAGGTGCAGCTCCTGTGACCTGCCGTCACAGTGCGCTCACTCGCAAAGCAGCCGCTGTTTTTCTTTTTTCTTTTTCCCTGCTGTTTATTTAATATTTGAATATTAATTTTCACATTCAAATCTCTCTTTCTTTAAATATTCTAATATATATATTCCAATTTAGAATATTCATTGACAGCCCCACATTCTGTTTACGAGGACCCAATGTACGGAAAGGGCCAGATGGAGTCCCATCTTGTGAGATCAGACCGTCATTTAAAGATTGGTTTCAGCTAGAGCACGGACATATTAAACAAATATATTAAAATTACTGCTCAAAGTATTTGTTACAATAACACTATCAGAGCCAAACCCCAGGTCAGACTAATACAGGAGTACAGACACAGCTGAGTGGATTTGAGCTGCTTGATTTCCTGCTCATTGTGGCGTATCTTCCTGTGTATCAAATTCATTTTTTTATTAACATTGACCCAAAACTAAAGGAATAGCTATAGCGGTGTAAAAGTAACTAAACATGTATCCAGTTTGAGTTGCACTTGGGCCCTTTAGCTCAGAAGTTCGGTTATGAGGTTACTTTCTCACTATCATACAGATCTTGACTGATGCAAAAACAGAGAGTGGGGTGTTTGGTGGAAATGTACAAATCCAGCAGATGGTGTCCTCATTTGTCCTTCGTTTTTTTCTCATTTCAGCTTGATTGAGTGTGCCTGTTTGTTTGTGTGTGTGTGTACTCGTGTGTGTTTTTCCACCCTGACCTGTCCCTGTGTGGTGGTGCAGTTGAAGCCCAGGTTCTGAGCCTCCAGGCCACAGTCCAGCCCCAGACGGTGAAGAATCATAGCTGTGTACAAAGAAGGAGAGTGGGGGTCCTGCTGCTCGCACAAACACAGAACCGCCGCAGGGAACATTTGAAAAGTCAGTACGCGGAACATTTGCAAAACAACATTGTTATGATTGATCTGTTCAGTCCGGTCACCTGGCCCTGGATGCTACGCAGGTTCAGCAGGTGCAGGTCACAGGGCATGATGGACTTGAGGGGGGCGAAGGTTTGCAGGGGAGGGATCCCACGTCTTTTAGGTAGGACGGGCAGAGCGAGGACGTCGTGATTCAGGAAAGCGTTGGTCATGTGACTGAGTATGGATGGGAAGCTGGTTGTTGCACTGTCTTGCATCTGGAGGAGAGTAGACACAGATTACAACAATTATGAGTGACAGTAACTTTACCAACGCCCATGACAAATCTCCACAAAGGGGTTTAATTCTCTTGTGACGGCGCTACAGGAGGAATGGGCTCTAAATAACCAGCTACATTTCTAATTGAGTCCAGGCAGATCTAGATGTGGTTCCTTACAGCCACGGTACTGTGATGCGTTTTCAAAATCTAACAACTATGATGTTTGACAATCTCCAAGTTCATTTCTAACACTGTCAGCAGATTCTCTTCAGAAATAACCATCAAAACCGCAGCCAAAGCCGTCCGTTCTCTGTCACGTAGATTCATTTACTCGACAGATGACATCATTTGTTACTTTCAAAGACAACGCCACAGAGATGGACCGGTTTGGCTAAAGATACCTGATAGGACTGGGTGATTATATGATCGTGATTAATGATCATGATAAATTTCAGTTCGATCACAGCGATCAGCTGTGAGCATATTTACTCAATCAAACAGAGAGGAAATGTGCGTCACAACAGCCAATCAGAGTCAAGCTTTTCCTGCACATTTCTGTCTGAATACTTGTGACTATGTGATATTTCAGTTTTTCTTTTTTAATAAACTTGCAAAAATTTCTACATTTCTGTTTTTTTCTGTCGATATGGGGTGCTGAGTGTATATTAATGAGAAATAAAATGAACTTTTTTGATTTTAGCAAATGGCTGCAATGAAACAAAGAGTGAAAAGTTTAAAGAGGTCTGAATACTTTCCATACCCACTGTATTCAGAATGACCGAATGTGGAGCTAAACGTGGAGCTGAGGGCAGCAAAATAGATTTGAGTCATCCTCCAAAGACGTCATTGTTTAGAAGAAAAGTTATTCAACGTCTGTTGTGTGGCAGTTGTTCAGGTATCTCCAAAGTGACGTCAAGCAATTAAGCCGATGTGCAAGGTATGTCGGCAGTCGGTGTCCTCAAAAACTAGCAACACAACAGATCTGTTTAATCATTCGAAGAAGTTCTTCCTGAGTGTTTATGCTAAAATGTGAGCAGAGTCTGCACAGCCTGACACTGCTGACGGCACTAGTAGCATCAGCAGTTCAGCCACAACTAGCGGTGCAGCCACAGACCAAAGCAGCAATCAATCGTAACATTTACATTTACATCATCTAACATTTACATTTGAAGGCGTCTTCATTATCTCGGAGGAAAGCGATTTGTTTATTTTGGGTCTTCCATACCTGCAAAAACACTCAGGACTGTAAACTAGTTCATTATATCATTTAGTATTTATCTACTTTTGTTGTACCGTTGAGTTAAAATGTTTTTTATATTTTTCAATGTTTATTTTATTTTATTTGCTTTGATATTTACTTAGTATGTTAATAAAATGTTGAAGTAATCTCTAGTTTCTTTAGTTTTTAGTACAGATGCTTTACAACTGGCAGTTTAAAAAAATACTTTTTTAAAAATCGTTATAATAATCGAGATCGAACGATATGACAAAATAAATCGTGTTAATTTTCTGCCAAATCGCCCAGTCCTAGTTTCAGGAGAAGGAGAGCAAAGACACAGGAACTGGAGGAACTACAGACCACAAGTTAAGATGTGCACTAACAAGCGTCCTCTCTCTGTTACTAGGGCAACAACATTACCTCTTGAGCGTGGTCAGTCAACATTTTGGAGAGGAAAAAGTGAAACAAGGAGGAGAGTTTGGCAAAGAAGTTGTCATGCTGAAGGTGATTAGGCGGGAAAAGAAAAAGACAGAAAACAAAGTTAGGAGAGGATGAAACAAGAGACAGATGGATGGTAATAAGAATAAGAAAAAAAAACATGAAGAAAGGTGTTAATGAAGACAGAATGAAGGACATGAGGCTCTTCTATTCCACAGCTGCACTCGGAGCCCATCAGCACTGAAGGGTCAGACACGTGGGCTGAAATCTAAAGTGCGCCCGGCTTCAATAACCGCCCTCACTGCCATCTTTCTGACCTTGTTGCCCGTGGATCTCCTCTCCAGCAGCAGGCGGAAGCGGTTGGCGGTCTTCTTGTTGTCCTTCAGGCCCTGACCCAGCCCACGGTTATCATCCTGCATCAGCCGCCGGTCCATAATCACTTCAAGCTGGCCTGAGGGGGGAGGAGAAGGAGGAGGAGGAGAAGGAGGAGCAAGGACAGTGGCTTTTATGCAGAGCCTTTGTATTGAACTTAAAGACATCACTCAGGGGAGATAAAAACACTATTAGCTGTTCGTCCTCTACAGACGCCTCCATTACTCACATCACGGTGATAAAAGGATTAGCTGAGTACATTTATGTGAGAGCATGAACTTGTTTGCTCTCTGAAAAAAATCTGAAGAGAAAAGTGGAGGAGGTATAATACTTGAAAAGGTGAGGGGCAAAGACAGGAGAGACAGACACCAATGGAAAAGAAGAAAAAGCGACTCGACATTAAACAAGCGTAAGAAGGATTACAGACCATTCTCCAGGCTGCTGACGCCCAGAGACTGAGCTGTGTGCAGAGTCAGGCGGTGATGGCTGTCTTGGATGTACGCCTGGCTGGGCATCGGGTAGAAGTTGGCCTGTAGGGGGAGCTTGAGGTGATGGTGACGAGGTTGCATCTACAGTGAAAAATCAAACACTGAGTGACACATGACTGAAGGCTCAAAGCAAAGAGAAGAAGGAGAATATAGTTATAAAGGTTATGGACAGACTGTCATGAAATCTCATGAGTGGGAGACAAAGTCGAGGATTTGACTGACCTGGAAGCCGTTGAGATCCGTGTAAAAGACGCCTCCACTCTGGATGTCTGTTATCAGTCTCATGGCTAGCTCCTTATTGGTCTGATCTCTGATGTCCACCATGGTGCTAATGTCAATAGACAACCCGTCCACGCCTAAAGACAAAAGCGTTCACAGCTGTCAGGGCTTGAGACTAACTTTTTTCACAAGGAGCGCATGTGCTTCTAAGTTGAAAAAGTAAGGAGCACATGACAATCAATCAAATAATGTTTGTCTTATTGGTCGACATTAGAACTATTATTTGAAATCAATTTAAGGTCTTTTGGTCACATGACATAGAAGCTATTGAAGAAAATGTTCAAAATTTGCCTTTAAATTTAACACAAAATTTTTTAGAGGACAAATAAAAAAATTTTTTAAAAAGGTGTGTCTTATTGTCCGACCTCAGTACTATTATTTGAAATCAATTTTAGGTCAATTGGTCAAATGACATAGAAGCTATTAAAGGGAGACAGCCTTTTTTGAGAACATAGGTAATTTATTGATGGTCCCTTATTCAACACCCCACGTTGACAGGGAGGGTGCCGAGTAGATTTAACCATGCTGCTGTTGCTCTTCATGGTTTTAGAGAGTGAGAAGACACCGGTAGATCCGCAGTGAATGTCCGTCGAATATCCAACCTAAAACTAACTTCACTGCAGTATTTACATGAAAAAACATTTGTTGCCTCGGCTGATTTTTTTATGCCAACATGTACCCCTAAATACATTTTACAATTTGCACACATCTAATTTTTATGCGAGTGAAACAGTCGCATTGTTGAGCCCTGGCTGATCAGCAGTCACAACATTTAGTCTTTTGCAGCTGCTGGAAGCTCTGTGGCTCTGAGGAGGCAGACCAAAAACAGATGTTTTGGACACAATCAAACTCAATGTGCACTCAGTTTGGTGTCAATCTATCATGATTTAACTCCAGCTCATTATTGGAATCTGACCAAGAGAGAGACTGACATATCAGTTATGTCATTGTTTTAATGAAACAGATCATCTGCTGATTAGGTTTCAGAAACCAAATAGCAGATACATCAGGGAGGTTTTCTCAAGATCTGATTCTGTCAGTCAGAAACACTGATGTGTAAACATTTGCATGACTCCTTTTGTCTCTTCACTTGAGTGGGAAAACACCACGTTTCATTTTTGTTCTGTTTCATATCTATACTAGGGGTGTCCTGATTCAACTTTTTTACTTCCGATACAATACCGATATTGTAGCCTTCAATATTGGCAGATACCGATATTGATCCGATATCAGCACAAACTTGTGCATGAGTTTTGCACTCAGCTACACTGTCTTTTTCAGACTTACACGCAAAATACCGCCACAGGGCTGACATCCCCCTACTCCTTGCTACTTTGTTTGTACCTTAGTACACCCTGTTGCTGTGATCACGTCGGCTCTACATGCTGGATCAGGGCGCTGCTAGATAAAGATGCTGGAGCGGAGTCTGGAATGGATTGCCTGTAACAGACTGCTGATATTGGAGATTTTAGTTGCAGGCCACTATAATCTAAGATTCGTTTTTTTTTTTTTTTGTTTTTTTTGCTGATATTGGACCGATATCCGATATCAATATCGTATTGGGACACCCCTAATCTATACAGTTAAAAAAATGCAATAAAACCATAAAGGATCCACACTTAGCTCACACTTTTTTCCATTCACCTCCCTCTGTTCTCCATTTGCATTTATAATTTTTCCTTTGGCCTGCTAAAAGAATGAAATAAGCAGCTGACAAGAAAAGTGCCTACCTAATTGAATTATAAATAGTCACTTTGTCACACATATTGGCCCTTTCTGCATTGTACCATCTGCTGCCTTTTAACTAAACATTAAAAGCTTTCTGCAAAGCCATTTAGGCTGAGTCCATGTAGCAGTTTTGAGTGTTTATTACCTGGCACGTTGTATATGCGAATGGTCTGCTCAAAGTGCTGGTAGTGTGCCACCACCTCTGAGAAGAGAGGCCCCTCCACCACGCGCACCACGGGGGGCTCCTTCTGGTTGTAGGGCTGAAAACAGGACGAGATTTAGAATAAGTGCTAAAAATGTCAGAGGAGGAATAAGTAATGAGGTACAGTACGGCAAGGAAGCCTATAAAACATTGACAGAAAAATCAAGACAAAGATGAAACAGAACCCAGTGCGTCTGCCTTCCTGCCCCCCCGAGCGTCCCAGCATGACACAACCACACAATTCACAGAGGAGGAGATGCTATCAAAGCTGTTTGAGAGGCAAGCAAACATCCGAGACACAACAACTGAGAGAATACCTTCGCTTTTCCGTCAGGTAGAAAGAGGTACGCTCCGCTTTTGTCTTTGGAGGGACGAGTGCCGTAAACCATGAACTGCATCTGAACCTTTACCTCCTGGGGGTCATCTTTGCGCTTGATACTCTGCAGAGGAATTAAGAGGAAGAACTTTGAACAAAACAAATAAAACTGATGAAAGGATGTTTGATCAAAGTGAAGAAAGCATGTGCTGCTGCTGCTGCTGCTAGTCAAACAGCTGTGATTTATTGGAAAATCAAACTCAGGAGGTTTTTTTTTCCTCCAAAGGATCAAAGTCACTACAGGCTCCTATAAATCTGAACGAAGGATTTCCTCGACAGAGGCACTGGTCGATAAAACCACAAACCTCCAGGAGTCCGGTGGTTCCAGAAAAGCCCAGAGTAAGAGACTGACTGCTGATGTAGAAAGTCTGTGAGTCCGACTGCTGGGAGCGGACTGGAAGAGGATCCCCGGCTCGAGCTGTGACGCTTCGACCAGAAAGCCTGAGCAGGGTGTCAGAGCGAAGCGTCATGGGCGAGTCGGGGGCGTCGTAAATATGGAAGACAGCTAGGCCAAGTGGGGGCAGGCGGACCATGAACGTTGCCTGGATAAAGAAAGGTTTCACTTTAAATACAAGAGAAATTTGTACAAACACCGGGGGTGTAAAAGGTTGTGTTTTACAGCTTGGAATTAATTCTCTCTCTTAATCTACACAGCCAGCATTGACCATAAAGTAAGTCATTAAAAGTTAAAAGCATTTACACATTAGCAGCAGTGTGCTACAATTAAAATGTGATGAGTGATTGTGTTAATGTGCCTGCGTCTCATTAAAATTTATGACTTTCTGTGGGTGGAGAGAAGTTTATTCGGGCAAAATAAATGAATTTAAAAAGTTGTTATTATTCATGCTGCAGATTCCACATATGATTCAAACTGACTCAACTGGTGTGTTTTTATCGGTTATTTTTCCAGAGCAGAAAAATAACAAGGGGAAGCTAACGGATACACACATCAAACAGGATGAGGTGAAAAGCACACAAGAAACTCTGATACCTAGTTTATACTCAAGAATATATTCTGTTGGCACCTTTATTTTTACAATACAAACATGCTTTTGACATGGCCTGTCAAACACAACCTACATTTCTTTTCCCCCAAGAAACTCACAAATAAACTTCTTGTGAAATAACCGAAGAACTCAAACCACCAGCCTGCAGACTTTTTCAGACACCTCTGCCCTGATTATACAGCTCGTTTTGTTTACTCCGTGGATGACCTTTGCTCTGGAAAAAGAGATTTCACTCGAGGTATTCTACAATTTTCTATACAAGAGTTTTGGTTTTTTTTTTATAGTGTTTACTTTTTATTAACTTGCACCTTCATTAAAATCTCGACCTAAAGTGCTGTCATGGTATTAGTATTTCTTCCATCAGCTACTGCAGCTTTCAGCTCTTTTAGACATTAGAAGAGAGCTGCACAGATCCAGATGTCTCATTCCTCCATAACCCCACACCTCAGACTCCTTTTTCTTTTCTAAACCTGTACATTTCAGCAACAGAAGCAGCTTAAAGTGGCACAGCTTTCGATAACTTATATTTTTTGCAATTTTTACTTAAGCCAAAAAACACAATACGTTTTAAAACAGAGACTTGCAAGAACTTAGATGTGTAATTTACAACGCTTTAACTATCTATTTTTCAAACTTTTGACCAAACATCAGCAGGGTGACTACAGGTATGAAGAAGCTATATGTAAGATTTTTAAGACTTTTTTAATACCATCATAAACTTGTGATGGAAATACAGACCAAAGTGAAAATATATTCTTTTACAATTAAAGGCAATGGTGTCAGGTACAAATGTACAATAAGGACAAATGAAAATAATCAGTTGTTCAAGAACATTCTTAAAATGTGTTTCTGAACAAAAGAGCATTTCTGCCACTAATGTAGAACTGCTGGGTCAGCTTTGTCATAGGTACTTGGTCTCACGCACAGCCAGTCTGTTAGCGAGATGAGCTGGGACGAGAATAGCGTTTATTCCGTGCTTACCAGAGATTCTCACGGTGAAGTGACTAAAGCACATTTAAGACCTTTCTGATCCGAATTTAAGACAATTTAAGACCTTTTATTTGTAAGACTTTTTGAGGACCCGTGGTCACCCTGATCAGAACAAACAAGCCATCCAAACTAAACAGTTTGGATCATTCAGTCTGCTTCGCGTCCATCTCTCAAACTCACTTCATTTACTTACTCCTGCAGAAACCGACAACAGCTTGTATCACTCACACATGTCTCTGTGACTCAACTATATTCTTCCAATTTAAGTATCTAAGAGGAATGACTTTAAGCCCAGCTCCGTGAAAATTGCTTTGACTGCAACTGCACAGCAGTTTTCTGACTGAACAGGTCGAGAATAGACCATAATGTGCCACGCTGCCGCTGAGCCGGTGCTATGCCAATTTCACTACACGCAAACCTGCAGTGCCTAATGAATTTAATCTCTTACCTCAAATACCTCAGCACTCATCTGACTAGCAGAGCTCCACTGAGCACTCAGCTGCACAGGGAGGGTCTGTCCATCCTCTGTGAGCACCCGCACCCTCACTGTGTTGACCAACACAGTCACCGCACACAGCCGCTCCTGCTCGATGGGGTTGAACAGAACCACGTACCTGGTGAGGAAAAAAGGGAAAAGCAATCAGGCACACAGTACAGCAGAGGAGTGGCTGAAGGGGAGTGGGAGGAAGGGGAGATTAAAGATGTGAGGGGATGCAGATAATACCTAGGTCCCGCTGGGTCCAGCTCGATTAAAGTGCGCTGAGGCAGAGAGTCTTGGGTAGCCCGCCTGTCATCCTACAGGAATGAAAAATAGAGCTCAGAAATAAAACATACTGTATGCTGCCACAAGGAACCAAATATGCAGGACTTTCCAATTGTTTCTGACACAGTTTGGGAGAGCGCTCCTCAATGTTTCCAATTACCGTTTCCAGGAATGGCTCCGTCTGATAAAAGCGATAAAACTCTTTGTTCTTCATCACCAGGAAATGAGCAGCGTTGATTATGACTCTCTTCAGACCGATGAGTGAACGCAGTAATCTAGGGAGGGAGAGGGAGAATGACTTCCAGCCACAGACAACAACTTCTAACTCGCTTCCATATCGTGAACAGAGGAGTATAAAATAGCCACAAACACACCAGCTTGGACAGATGGAATACTAAAACACTATAAAATCTACAGGATCTATAAAGTCACTGTTTCAACAGATTCCTACCTGGTGCCGTAATCAACAACAACATTCTCCTTGGCAGTGCCGGTGATGGCATCATGATGTTGGAAGAGAGCCACAGACCGCCTGGCATCGACTAGCAGAGCATAATCTGAGACCGGATAACGCCCTTCCATGCCAGCGTGGCGTGCATTTGCAACTGCCAGGCTGTAGAGGATCTCTGCACCCCTGAAGGTCACAATGAACACTCAGTGAGTACAAAAATGGAGTTTCCTTTGGTGAAGCTGTGTGCATATGATCAAGAAATCCCAGTCTACCTCAGACAACTTTTTAGATCAAGAAACAGAAACCATAAAATCTTCCTTCAGGAACTCAGTTTAGACTCGAAAAAATTACAAGAGTCAAAGACACAAATTAGAAAGTGTGCACGTGTGTTCGTGTAGTTTATCTGATTGCACTGCATGAAAGATACTCTTATATTGTTATTCATAGTTTCATATGCTTCATCTACTAGTTTCATGGATTTTTTAAAGGGATATTCCTGCATAAACTGAAGTTATGGTCAAACACACAGTAACACTGAGTTAGACACCCCCTCGAGAGATTAATGCTGTCGACTGCCTGCTGCTCTAGTTATACCAACTTCAGCAAGGAAAGCAATACACAGCGGTCTACGTCTCCACGCGCAAACACAACTCACTCACTCTCCTCCAGCAGCTGCTTATATGTGGGGGAGCCCTGACGAGTCGATCACCGAGTGCAGCGGATCATTCTCATGAAGTAATAATCATCATAATAATCATTTTGCACTGCAGACACGGTAGTTCTTCTGCATTAGCGTCTTGGTCTGATTGCATTTCCATGAAGTAATAATCCTAAATTTTCTTCCATGAGCTGTGAAACTCTGCTGCACTCAGTGATTAACTTGTCAGGGCTCCCCCAGAAACAAGCGGCCGCTGGATGAGAGTGAGTGAGTTGTGTTTGGTCTCTTTGCTAAAGAAACCAGTCACAGCTAAAAGATGTTTGCTGGCTAGTACTATGGCTGGGACCCTTTATGTACTGTTGATGAAGTTAGGTGCTGTTCTGAGCATTATTTGTGGTTAAAGAGTGGCGTTTTGGTTGAGGTTTTTGTGTGGAGACGTAGACTGCCGTGTTTTGCTATCGTGCGGTTAAAGTCAGTATAACTAGAGAAGCAAGCAGTCGGCAACGTTCATCACTCAAGGGGGTGTCTAACTCGGTGTTAGGGTGTGTGTGACCCTGATTAATTTTACGCCGGAATATCCATTTGAACTCAAATAAAACTACAGGAGTCAAAGACAGAAAAAATATTGCTAATGAATGTAGATTTTTTGCAAGTTAGAAAGTGTGCATGGGTGTTTGTGTAGTTTATCTGATAATTCGCTGCATTAAAGATTCTCTTATATTGTTATCTATAGTTTCATATGCTTCATTCATTAGTTTTATTGCTTATTTAATCTTTTTTATATTTATCCTTTTTATGGGAACATTGTCTATTGTTCTCCGCTGGTCCTGAGGACAAATGTCAATCTTGTGTAAACATGTAATGACTGTAAATGGACCTGAATTTTGCGTTGTTTATTTTCTCGTCAGCTCCAAGGAAATAGGCGTGTAAACATTTTTAATAGATTGAACATATCTGACCTAGGGGTCTGTTATGTCAAATCTATGAAAAGAGCAGCCTGTGTCCATTTCTATAACTTCCTTTACATGTTTGAGGAAATCCTGTGTTCTCATTCATTCAAAGAGGACTGAAACTTGGATACAGGATCTTGCTGTAAATGTATGCCTCTGAAACAAGCTCACCACACCCTTGTTTTGTTTGCACTGCAAAGGGGAGACAAAGCATCTGTTATAGGACTCACTCTCCTTTTCAGCTTCTGTATACACCTCAGGAATTATCAGTATTCAGTGATGCAGTGACACATCAGCCTCACCTGAGGTGTGACTCTATAACTCGGTCCAGACTCTTGTAAAAAGGACGGGAGGTGAAATAGCCAGTCCAGTAATGGTCTTCACGGTCTGCATAAGCAAAAAAATCTCCACTGAGTACTGGAAAGTCTGCAGGTCTGGACCCTTGGGCCACACCGTGTTCTTTGTAGACAGCATTGAAGTAGTCACTGAGAGTCCCAAACTGAGCCTAAAACAGACCGACAACACAAACAGGCACGATGAGGCATGATATTTTACTCAAGCACAGCTAAACAAACAACAAAAGAACATTTCTCATGATTATGCATGCACCTGTCATCCTACATGGCATGTTCAGAACAAAAACAGCGAGTTGTGACGGATTCTTTGTTCTCCCAGGGATAAGATAACGCTGCATGATTCACTATCACAAGTGAGCTTGTACATTCAGAGTCTCAGTACATCACACACACTGAGAGGCACAAATAAAAACATGACAACATACATTTGGTTTATGACAGATCACTACTCACTTGTACGTGCATCTCAGGATGAGAGTTCATGTAGTCAAACAGTTTTTGGTAGTTGATGTACTGCTGATCCCACTCAAGGGCTTTGTCGTAGCGGAAGTCATCTCCCAGAGGGACCAGAAGCACCTTGCTGCGGTAGAGTTTGGACTTTTTACGATACTGATCCAAGAGCAGGTTTGCCCTGATTAAGAAAATGGACAGAAAAAGCAGCGAGATTAGAGAAAAAAAATACAAGAAGTACTTAAAGGTCATATTCCTTGGCATTGAAATGATTCTGCTCTGCATTTTACTATTTTGTCGACAGTTACTGTGGCCTCAGAAAGAGGAGGACTGAGCTCGCCCAAAGGGTATTTTCCATTAGCCACAGTCTCTCCTCTCAAATGTTGTAAAGGTCCCCTAAAAAAGGTTTAATGAGGCTGCAAGCATATCTGCAGTCGCTGTGGGTCTCCCCAAGTTCATTCTCTGGATGCTCTCCGGCTGTTTTCATTGGCAGACGTTCAAGTTAAGTTTATTTGTAAGGGACAAAAACAGATAACACAGGGAGTTCCAAAGGTATTGACCAGACTGCTATGCATCCAAATTCTACACAGAAAAGTAATCAGTGTTTGGCTCTGCGGATGCACAATGGTGGATTATAGAGGGTGGCACGACAAACAAAGGCAGTGCAAACATATTTTATTAGAAAGACAAGACCAAGATGCATAGAGACCGAGACATTCAACAGTGGAAACCTCAGAACTGTTGAAGAGAAACTTTGTAATTCCGCTTTAAAAACTATTTTTTTCTTCACTGAACCTCTGCCTCTTGGTCACAGTCACCACCAGCTGATCTGCCCGTTATATTCCCAGTGTAATAGACAGAGCTATTCCCTTAATACAGCCCAATACCTTTACTTATGATTTCATTTTATTCTATTATAACTAGGGGTGTTCCAACAAGGGTACCTCACGATTTGATTCGATTTTGATGATGGGAGCTTCGATTCTTCGAGTATAATGATTGTCGATTCTCTTATTGTTGCCACGATTCTTTGATTATTGCCATTTTTGATGCTTTTTTCCATACAAGATTGATTTGGTCTTCATCTGTGGTTACATTAGCCTATCAAAATAGCCTATCGATGAACTCAGCTCCTCTAAAACTACATTCAATAAGTAAATAAGGTTTTTTGACCATTTAACTTGAATATTTTTAAGACACAAAATATTTGATTTTATAACTGTTATGTAAACATTCGCACTTTGACCTACTTAACTTAAACTGGGAAGTTTGGAGACAGTCTCCAGGCTGGTCCTCTGTGTGGCGGGAACGACCAGAGGAGCCTTCTCTGTTTCTTCTCATCTTTGTGATGTTGCTGACTGAGGTTCTTTATTTTTGCTTTGCAAATCTTGCAAATCGCGTAGGTCTTGTCAGTCGTTTTGTTTGCTCTCTCATAAAATCCAAAGTACTTCCACACAGTTGCAGTCAACCCTGGTGGCGAGAGAATTGGCCGCTCTTTGGAGGCTGCTGAAGCTGTTGCCATTTTGCAAAGAAACTAACGTGCTCTGTTTGTTGTGGTCCCACTCACTAAACAGTCCGAGCGGTGCACGTTAAGGTTCGAGTTACGTGTTTTTTTTGTTCCGGCCTTGTGGCAAAGCACCAATGTTATTATTCATTTATTTTTTAAGCATCAACATTAATTATCGATGCCGAATCATCACGTGAAACATCAATGAATTGCACCCACCTCTACTTATAACGTGCTAGGAGCAAGATAATGTGAAAATTGTTACTTTTCTCAGGAAAGGGGACAAAGTTTAAAGCATTTCCAGCTCAAATTTAGGCAAATAACAATAAACCTGCGTGATTTATCACACAGTATCTTTATGGCTCTGAAACCCCATAAACCTACTTCTCAGGACAAATTCAGGATAGATATACGGCTTTTTCCAAACTGAAAGCAAACAAACTCCTATGTCTCACCTCTCTGCTACATTAGCCTCCACCACAGTCTTCGGCGGCACCTTCCAAGGACAGTTGATCCGCCCACCAGGTAACCTCTTGAAATCAAACTGGCAGCAGATCTTGGGGTCAGGCCCGCAGGTGTGAGGCACATCATAGCTGTAGAATGGCATCATGTGGCAAAACATGTCTGTGCTGGACCCAGTGTCTGGGAAAGCAGCAGAGATAAAAAGAAAAAAAAGATACATGTTGGCTAGAAAGAAGAGAGTTGTTGACAGCCTCATAAGAGAGGACTTTAACACCCAAATCTTGCTGCAAGGATGGATGTTGTTTTTTAATCAGTTAAATATTGTGCTCGTAAACATGTTGGCAATTTGAATTGACAGCTTCAGTGTTCATCCTCACAAGCAATGCTGGATGACGCAGCGAAAATTAACTCTTCATTACAAAATGAATCCTCAAAAGGACCAATTATCTCAAATTGATCGTATCTAAATGTGTAATACCAGAAGATTGTTCCATTTCGCACAAATGGACCATAAATCTTCAGCAGATGTTCAATTCATTAAGAAATAATAATGAAGATAGCTCTTTTCAGCTATTACACGCTGACTGTTCTTTCTAAAGTTCCTGTCTCTTTCAAATGCCATGATAAGAAGGCATGACTCATCCTGCAATGAGCTTAACAGAGATAAGCACATGAATCATATGACTTCTCTAACTCTGGTCCACTTACCCCAGGCCTGCCTCCACATAAACTCCAGGCTGCGGGTGGAGGCAAAGTATTTCTTGATGGAGTAGTGGACTCGCTGGATGAGCATGCTGGTCAGGTTGGCTCTCTTCAGTAGATAGGGCATTGTAGCGCTGTGGCCGAAAGGGTCCACCGCCCACCCACTGCGGGGAGTTATACCTAAGGCAGGGAGCAGGAAGTAAGTATTTCAGGTTTAAGAGTAGATAAAAGAAGAGATGCATCTTTAAGATAATCATTCTCCTCAGCTGGAAGCAGTGGAAATAGGACAAAGCTTTTTATCACCCACTGAGTGAGAGGCTACACTCCCTGCGTGCTGGATGACAGGCTCAGATTTTATCATCATCCACTGAAAAGTGTTATCACCTTGATTTATTTATCTAAAGATTGAGGCAAAGTATGACTTAAAGTCCCACTCCAATCATTTTTTTTTTTACTACTTGTAGTGTTCTCAGTTTTTAGCCAAAATCACGTTCCCTGTGTCATTTTCAAGGACTTTTCTTCTGCAGAGCACCAGTAGTTCATTTGCAATTTGCCTCCGAGTCGTGGGCGGAGACAGCGCTGCTCTGCACACTCCTCTTCATGCTAGCTTGCAGACTAAAGGTCCTTACACACCAGGCGCGAATTTGCCAGGCAAATTATTCGCCTTTTTTTAAAACAGCATAAAGTCAATGCAAGCTTCCACACTGGCAGCGATTTTTCCGCGGGGCGAAAAGCCTCTTTTATTTTTTCGCTCTTGTGTCGAATTTTTCGGAGATTCGCAGGCGAATATCTGGACCTGCTAGACCTCTGGCCAATCAAAAGTCATGTTGTTGATGACGTCACACAGTTCACAGTTCACACGACACACACCACCACTGGCACCAAGAGCAACGATGGGAGAGAGTGTGTACCACAGAGTGGTCACCCGGTGTGTATAAGCGAAAGCGATTTTTCGGACCGGCAAATATTTCCGTATTGCCGTCTCGCTTTTTCGCGTCCCTCGCAAATTCGCTGGTGTGTAAGGACCTTAACATTGCCAGTGTAGTAGAAGATGCAGGTAACGTAGGAGCTATTTGGCTCTCAGTCACTAATATCTTTGGGGACATGATGAAACTCAGTATCATAATTAGCTTTCTTACAAGCTTTGCAATCCGCTAAAGCACACACTTGTTCCGCTATTTTCCTCTCTATTTCTCCAAGCCAGACTTGCATAGTGGGGCTGTGGGGGCGGAGCTTGGATTTGCTACAAAGAAAATCTCACTTTGTCTAAAGCTGCCGTTTGGGGTCTGCCAGAGATTTACAGCAATTTGAATGTAGAAATACTCAGAAATGCAATTTTGCACTTATTTTCTCATGATATGTCCTGTAGCATCAGAAAAATGCAACATGAACATGTAGAAAAACATGATTTTTGTCGGAGTGGGTCTTTAATTTATACAGAAAGTCTGGAGTTCTTTCTGCGTACCAAGATTTCTCTCCAGCCACTGATGCCCTTCAATGAGCTGGTCTATCATGGCAAAGTAGTGAACGTTAGCTTCATCCGTCATCACCCATCCGCCCGTCACAATCTCCAGCTGCCCTCCCAGGATCAGTCTGTTGAACAGAGAGGATTAAGAAAGCAAGGTGAGGATAATCCAGCCCTAAAGAGGGACAGTCACATTAAGCAGATAACAAGCTATTTTTAGAGCAACCACATTCCGCCAGCAGATACTACCCATTGTGTAAGACACTGTACTTAAGGCAAGAAGGCATTGAGGAATTATCAACCGTGACTCACTTGCGCATTGCCTCCTGCTTGTGTATGTCTGCGCTCTCCCACCACTTGGAGAAGAAAGAGATCTCAGACCAGATGAACTTCCTCCGGGGATCTTCTGCCAGCTTCACCACCATGTTGTTTAAAATGTGCTGCGTCTGGTCTGTGAAGTACTTGTCAAAAGTCTTGATCCAACCTAACAGGATGAGAAGATGAAAAATGAGCAATTTTCACACCACACTTTGCAAACAGACTGCCCACAAATGAAACCATCTCTTTAAGTCAGACCTTCTCCCCTACAACCTTTTCATCTAGCTGGTCGATATAAGGACAAGAACATTGGGCAGGTGGGAGACTCTGCAGAAAAAGTACTGCACTGGATCAAAAATAAAATCATATTTTATTAAAGGAGAGCTGCTCCCCCTTTGAAAGCTTTTTGGTAGCAGAGTGGCTTAAAAGTAAGTGACTACGGGGTACTTACTTTGCCTTTTTGGTTTTCGACTATGTGGAATACCACGAGCTACAAATATCACATCAAGTATTCGTCTCATATAATAATGCGGCCTCATATACACTCTTTTAGAGAGACTTCTGCAGTCATGCGTAAACTCAGCACAACTGAGTTACTAAAGTGAACTAAAGGAAGTCGTGAACAACAGGATTATTTACTCGTTGTTTGACATGCTTACCCTGAGTTCACCACAACCTTTCAAAATCCTATTTCCATTAAAGGAAATGAGCCTTTCATCAGGGAAACTTCCTCATGTTACATCATCTTGACCTAAAGGTTGACTTCTGGGTCTTTAAACCTACAACACGGAGTACTGCATAACAACTGTAAAAACATCTGCAGCCAAGTAGCTCCAAAATGAGGCCTCCTCTCACTGCTGACAGACTAAATTTGTACGTCTCTGTCTGTCAGCACCACAATGACTTTTATGTTAGTAAGCATGCAGCAGCCCAGGAGAACATTTTTAATAGAAGTGTCAATCCAGGATAAAATGTGAGACAACCGAGTCTTTAAATAGCTGGAGTTACCAATGCAAGCACCTTTTCTTATTTGTCTGTTTGAGGCTAAGCTGACAATCATGTCAAATGTGTGCTAACAACAATTACAGGAAAGAGTTTTAAATTATTTCTGGGTCCACACACTCAGGTAGACTTGATGTTATTTACCCAAAATAGACAACAAGCTGAAAAACCACTGAGACATTTCAATATTCTCTACAAAGCCTCACGTGCATCATGTCCTCTGCTCTCACCTGGATCATTGTGAGAGTGGGGAACCACAAATACTTGCAGCGGTTCATTGTCCCACTCTTCAGGGTCGTAGGTAATGTCAAAGCCCTGTTTCCAAACCCCACCGTCTGGGTTATCAAACTTGAGGAGCGAGTAAACATCCAGCATCTAAAAAAAAGGAAACACAAACTCTTTCTATGCTCCAAGATGATATCCCAAAACAAACATACAGTGGCATTCAGAGAAAAAGGCATAATATGTTATTCTTAAGGTTAAAGTCATCCACATAGCGAGCCCACCTGAACGTCTGTTTGACCCCGGCTGCCTGCAGCAAACTGGCAATCCTGGGGTTTAACAGCAAGGAAAGTGGGACGACCATCAAAGGGTAAGACCCAGGAACCATTGGCACTTCTAAAAGGCAGGTGGCCGCTGGGAGACACAGCTCCTGTGTCTGTGAGCTCCATCACAGAGTCCTTTATGTGGCTGATTATTTGATGGTTTTCCTCCAGGAGCTGCTCCAGCTGCTCTATTCGGTTCTGCAGAACTGAGATTTGGCTCTACAGACAAAAGTGCAGACAAAATAATAAATCATGCAGCTGTGTAACGTCATCAAACATCTGTTAACCAAACCTAAATTCTTTTTCTCTGTTGCAGCAAAAAAAAAAAAAAATTTTTTTTGTGAAATAGGACTGTATGTAATAGAAACATAACTAAAATATGATCGTTCAAATCAGGGGGAAAAAAAGCAACTGTATAGTTCAATCCTGTTAGAAGTCTTGATGTCAGTTTCCGCTTGTTTTTCACAACAAAACATCCAAAAAAGTGTTTTAACAAGGAAGACTACAGCCATTTTTCTTACCCGAGGAAAGTTCCCGCCGCTCTGTCGTCTTGCAGGGTCATGTTGGACTCGATCCAACATCAGATACAGTGAAAAAACAGCCACACAGAATATGGCCCCTCCGCACACTGTCACCTGTTTCCTCAGCTTCATCCTCCCCTGCAGCAGCAGTCCTCTTTCCGGGGTTTGAATTTTAAGAAATGACCTTGTCTGCTCTGGGATTTTTTTTTTTCCAACACAGAGAGTAAAAGTCCTTGAAAACTGGAATGTAATTTGTCACAGTGCAGAAAAAAAAAAAAATGTGAAGAGTAACCAGCTACACCAGTGTTGACGGTCCAGGTCCTGTCCTGTCCTGCCTCCTGCCTCCACTCACCATACTGAAGACCGTGGCAAAGTGGGCTATAGCAGTGGTGTTGGTTGACTAGTGTTTTAAATCAGCAATAGCTGGCATGCAGCCTGTCAGCTTTGGCCAAACCACAGCCACCGGTGGTCTCCTTCAAAGTAGCCCTTGTGCTCAACCATCCAAACCGATAGACTGCAGGGGGGAAAAAAAAAAAAACGAACAAGCGCCACACAGAAGGGGTCTCAAACAGGGACCCTAGTGTCCCCTCTGCATGATGTTTGCTACTGTGAGCCTGCTATCTTGGTCCAGTCTCCGCTCCCTTTGCACAGTCTAATCCTCCAGTTTTGTCCTTCTGCTTAGTTGGCCTTCAGAGCCACAACAGTTCGCTCACTAGGCTGGAAAAAAAGAGGGCTGAGTGAAAAAAAAAAAGAGCAACTTGGCTTAGAGAAGCAGCTTTTTATGCAGGGCTCTACTCTGTCCGAAGCAGCTCCAGGAATTAAAATGAGACAAATGTCATTCTTCTCTCTGTAGCATGGTGACAGCAGATCCACTGTGGCAGCATGGGCAGTGCATCTGTCCTTGATCACAAGTTGAAATCACATCTGAGGGTTTTCTTCAGCTGTGAGGAAAGTTTTTGATTAAAATAGAGCACAGAAAATACATACAGAGCCTTTCCAGAGAGAAACTGTCTCTGGTAGATGCGTAAATGAAAGGAACTGTAGGTTGAGTAGTGACTTTTCATAACCCACAAACAGGGCTGGGCGATTAAACGATATATACTGAAAATTAATTTCCCTCAATATCAATATAAAACATGGTCAATATGCTTTTTGATAGGCGGCATTCTGCCATGTTTTGGTAGAATATATGAATAGCCATTGAAAAGGGGTATATCTCCAGGTCCACTTCACGCTGAACCAATCATGTGCTGAATTTGAACCAAGTAGCAAACAACTGCGTAGTAGCAGGCTGCAGCTACACACAACCACAGCACTTTAACACGTGAAGCAGACAGCACTGAAAATGAGTGCTACCCCCCGATAGAAATGCAGATAAAGGCTCAACAGATGACGACATCGTCCACAACACAGGCAGGAAAACGTCGGTGGTGTGGAGGTACTTTGTTTTTTTGAGGTCAGACATGAAGAAGAGTAATGTGCACTGCAAATTATTCTCTGGCGCAACACCTCACGACCAGTGTTGTTTACGTTGACGATGACGTTGACGAAAATATTTCATCATCGTCAACAAAAACAACACTGCAGAATATATGTTTAGCGTTTGACTGACGAAATGCTCATGAATTTTGCAAATCTGTTCGTCGTCCACCACTCAAATTTTCGTCTAGTCTCGTCTCGTCAACGTACACATTTCAGTCATCTAAGACTTATGTTTAGCTCATCAACATCACGTCTTCGTCGTGGAAAAAAAGGGGAGTTGGCGAAATATTTTCATCAACGTAAACAACATTGCTCATGACAAAACGTCAAAGAGACACAAAGACCTCACAGATGCAGTAGATTATTGTATTGCAAAAGACATGCTACCAATAAGCACTGTTAATTTTCATTCTTTTTATATCGTGATATCGATATCAACTGATATGAAAAAACTATATCGTGATAAACTTTTTCCATATCGCCCAGCCCTAGTAGAGTAGTTACTTTTCATTACCCACAAAATAAAGTCATGGGTAAGCACAGCTTAGAACAGTATCCTGAGTTTTCCCACAGCTTTGGTAAGTGTCCCTGCTTTTCTCTGTGTGCAAATCCAACAAGATCATAATCCGCTCTCTCATCAAGCTGGGACGATCTTAGCATTCCCACAGAGGGGTGGGATAAAAACCTGGTACTTGTTTCCTGACAAAGAGAGACAAATAGCCTCACTGTAAGAAGAAACATCATTGGTTTTTGGACCATCTGGACTTGATTAAAGACATGAACCAACAAGCAAAGTTTCACTGATAGTGCTGACTAACTGAAACCGCAACCCTGCTTTTAGGAGGCAAAATGGAAATACACCTCAGATCATTGGCTGTCCACATAAAAGGCATTCATTTGCATAAAGAAAACTCTGTTCACAGACTCAGGTTTGTGTACGTTCGGGTTAAACTTGTTTGATTGTTGGTTAACCAGTCAACACAGCGACTCTCTCACTTAAGAGCATTAAAATACCTGCAGGGGAGACATTACCCCGTGTGATCTGACAAACACGCCGACTAGTTAATACATTTAACTGGTTAACCCATTAACCACACTGAACCACATGTCAAACTTTAATATGCCCGGCGACTTACAAATGATACATTTGCAGCTAAATTAGCTAACGCTAGCTATAAGACATGACATTATGAAGTTGCCACATATGCTGCTGGAGTGGTTCATGAGTTAGCTTCAGTAGTCGGCTGACACTGCCATAAAGACTTACATATACCTGTAAATGTAGGTGAGCAGCTGTCTTTCTGCATCAGTGAGAAGTCTGTGCTGCTTGGTTCACTTATATCCAACCTCACGGACGACAGCGAGTATCGGCTTGATATCATTAAGACAATACGTAACTGGTATGTCCTGGCTAACCGATTACTTATCTACTTAACCTCAGCTAATCTTCAACAACGACCACGACCCCTCGTCTCTTTGTGAACACAATGGAAAAATCTGACGTTACCTGTCAAAGGAGAGTATTCCGGAAGAGAGCCCAGCGGTGTGGGAGCCTTTAGCTCCAGGCTGTCAGATCACCAACTGAACCACCTAGCTTAGCGGTTAGCGACACTGAGCTGCTGCAAAGGCTTCTGGGAGGAGGGGGAGCTGCGCATCCGTCGGTGATTGGTCAGCGTCTTCAGCAGCTTGTAATATGAATATGAGCAAACCTGTTTGTTTAAGTAAGGACCACTGAATACATACAGTGTGTGTGTGTGTGTGTGTGTGTGTGTGTGTGTGTGTGTGTGTGTGTGTGTGTGTGTGTGTGTGTGTGTGTGTGTGTGTTTCTGATATTAACAGTTATAAGAGATCCAACTGGGAAGCATTTCAGGGTAGGGGAGAGTGGGGTGAGTTGAGCCAAAGGGTAAGTTGATCCACCCCCTGTTGCTTGGAAATGGTAAATGAAATTGATCATGTGACCAAATATTTAGGAGATGGGCATCAATTCATGAAGTCTATGAAGGTTAGAAGCACATGGGTAAAGAGGTTAGATATATAGTAAATTGAGCCAGTGACTCAACTGAGAAAGCAAAGAAGTCTGATGAGAGGATCAAAGTTTCAGTTCAGATTGTTGAAATGTGTTACTTTTTCTTTTCACAATTACAGCTGTGAATGTTCTGAATCACTTAAGTCAGTGGTTCTCAAGTCCAGTCCCTGAGGCCCACTGTCCTGCATGTTCTGGATTTTTCCCCTCTCCAACACATCTGATTCAAACGATCAGCTCGTTATTAAGCCACTACAAAGCTTGATAACGAGCTGATCATTTAAATCAGGTGTGTTGGAGCGGGGAAACATCCAAAACATGGAGGACAGTGGACCACGAGGACTGGACTTGAGAACCACTGACTTAAGGCATTCTCATGTTAAAATGACTTTTTACAAAACAGCCTTTTAGCAGTCATATGCAATAATAATAAAAAGAATTATTGTACCACTTGAATAGTGTATAATAGATAAAAATACACGTGAATGTGAAGAAGTGACTGTTATTTAGGGAGAGATAAGGTGAGGGAGGGCTGGAGTCGAGAGTGGGGGATAGTAGGGATACAGCTCAACTTACCCCGCTCTTATGGTCAACTTACCCCATACACGAGGTAAGTTGACCATAGGAGACCACTTTTTTTGGCATGCTATATTATCAAGACAGTTATGTTTACATGTTATGTTTGATGTAGTGATCCGAAATATGAAAAATGGCTCATCTTATCCCACTCTCCCCTATATGAAATCGAAAGTATCGACAGGTTATCGATAATTTTGGAGTGAACAACCCCAATATCCCTGCAATCATTAGTTATGTATAGTTTATTAACAATATAGAAACAAAGAAAAAGAAAGAAAGCTTTAACACTATGCAAGGGAGGTTAAAAGCCATGAACAAGCATATAAATATGTGCTCCCCCTGGAAATAACAAGAGTCATAATAAGCATCAACAGAGGAGTTAAAAAATTAAATTAGAAAAAAAATAATGAAAGCATCTCTCTGAAAAGAGTAGCAGACTAGTAGCATTTTTTTTTTCAGAGAAACCAATCATTCTTACCAATTTCTGTTGGGAAAACGAAATTTGAATAAGTGGGGCAGGTGGCTGACACGGTATAACAGTGCATAATATAAGAATTAATCCAAATGTAATAAACTGTTAAAATATAAGGATGATTTTTTTTCAATTTTCAATCTCAGTCTAAAGTACCTCCTGAGATCGTTGGAACATGTACAGGGCAGGAAATCAGTCTTCTTCCTATCTTCAACAAAGTTGTTCTTATCAGAGGATTTTTACCTCTGTAATAATGTGTTCTTGGTGATGAGTCCCATATGAATATTTTGAGTTATAGCAAAAGGAACCTGCCAGGATATTATTCAAATTGTCCAACTATGCTCAAATTACTTTTTTGTTATTGTAACTAGAAAAGCCAAAAGTCATTTTTATAAATGAGGTGCTTTTTTGAAGAATGCCCCTCTATTGTTTTAATAGTATTCATTGTATTTCAACCATGCTGCGGGCTGTCATTTTGTTACTTGTATCTGTTTGTGCTCCATGTGATTGTAGGCCATCCAAGTCTCCCTTGACACATTATTGGTTGCATGATCTAAGCATGTGCTCTTAAACTCTTTTATTTCATTATCTAGTCACTGTATAAACTTTTTTAAGATGTTTAATTTTGAGTTTTTTCAAAGAGTTTACTGATAAGACAAGGACACTTAAGACACCATGAATTTTTATTTTTGCTCTGTTTACTCTTCTTGTTTTGTATTATGTTAGGTTGTTAAAACGATCACTGATATAGCCATTTTTATTATTGTTGTTTTATTTTGCAGTCCTTTTGATTAAAGTAACTTATTCACTTTTTTTGTGGAGAGACACTGAAAACTTTCATCCTGGATGAGAATATTTCCCGGGGGTGGGTGATTTTGTTTCCAATGCAGACTGATCAGGCTCTAAGCAAGGAGAATCACAAAGCCGATTACTGTGTGGGCTGTCTGCATGGTAGTTTGCCACAGCGGTCTCTGGTTCGATCATCTGGTCTGATAAGCCTCACAGAGTCCATAATACAAAAGTCCAATAATTAGATAACCCAGAGCATGGAAGAACACATGTCCTTTGAAGGCCATGGCTTCACTTTCATTTATTTATGAGGGTGGGAGCAAATAAAATCTAGTTGCTCATGAGGTTCTATTTTCACAGAAAGAAGGAATTAGACACGTTTGATTTGATAAATATTTATATGGGGAGGCATAAATTGTATGTCTATTTAAATCACATAACTTTCTCGTGATCTTGTGGGCTGTTATTCAGAGGTAAAGTTGTTCAGCTTCCAATCTAAGGTTGGGGGTTCCATCCCAGGTCCCACAGTCTACATACAAGTGTCCTTGAATGAGGCACTTTCACCCCAAAAATACTCTCTGTGGTCATGCTCAGTGTAAAAAAAAGATTATCTGATATTGATGGGCACTTTATATAGCAGTCTCTGCCATTAGTGTGTGATTTGGTGTACACAGATGAGTATAACATGTAATGTAAAAGTGCTTTGTCTAGACAATGCAATAAATAAATACAGTTCATTCACCGTTTAATGGGTTGTTGCAGTATATTTTTTTCCAATGATCAAAATGCTTCAGGAAAATTAAGGAAAATAGGTGCCCTTGTGACTTTAAAATATGTATATGTTGTTAGATAATAATTCAGCCATGATGGATAGCTTTATCTGCAGCAGGCAGAACTTACCTTAAAATTTTAGCAACAGGTACAGAGCTGTGCAAATAAAGATTGCAGGATGCCATTCAAGGCTAATTCAAAGTTACATCACTGTGCAGACTTTCTCTGTCTGAGGCACTGTCCTGTGAATGGATTGGCATAAACAATGCTGCCTTTTTTAATTATATTATCACCAAAAGACCTGTGTGACTCCAGCGCAGGATTGGACACCTGAGAAGTTCATTGTGGGAAACATAACAATGCAGCGCTGGTGCATGGTTGAGTTCTTTCAGTGGTTCAATCAGGGGCTCTTTATGTGTTTGTGGAAATTGGAGCTTAGCTGACACCTCATTAATTAATTTAACAGACTGTGTGGGACACGGCATGAACAGATGGTGTTGTTTTGGTTTTGTTTAGTCATGAGAGACTGATAGATTTTGGTGTGATCCAAACAGCCACAGCAAATTTTGCATGATTGACTTGTTTCGAGTTTTGAGTCTTAAAAATGCCAGGACGTATTTCAGCAGTGATCACATTTCATTCTGAGGGTGTTGTCTCTCAAAACAAAGTTTTGATGAGAAACAAGTGTTTACTCAGCTGGATATTTTTTTTGTTTTATTTTGTCAAGTGCCTCTCTGTTTGTGTCCCTGATGTTGTTCCTGAGTCTCATGGATCTCCTGTGGATCTGGTATGTACAAGGTCTCACAGCAAGCCCAGCCTTCAGGAATATCGACCAGCTATTCATCAAGGATCTTCTTCCAAAGTCACAATGCAAGCATGGTAATTGGAGAGACTACACAGGTGTATCTGAGCTCAGAGCCTGAGGGGAACCACCTTGTCTCCATGGGAACAGGGTTATATAACAATGGTGCTTGCCCGTCCTGGTAAACGAGAGTACCCCAGTGAATGATGAAGGAAATACCACGGACACTGTTTTTTGTGCTTGTGACCTTAAAGAAGACACTGTTGTGAATGACCTGGAACCTTGTACCATTCAGGTTTAGTCAGTATCATTGGTGTGGCAGTTTTACTTTTTCTTTTTATGTTGAAGACAACCCTTAAGAAAATGACTCTGTGACCACGGGCTCAAACAATTTATTGGTATTAGGTTGTTATTAAGTATAGAAGCTTTATCCAAATGTTTTCAATCGTGCTTTACTGCAATGCATTTACTAATTCTGTGTATTTTCCTTTCTTTGATTGAAATACACTTAAAATGTGTTACATTTGAGTTCCTTGACTTTGAATTAGGTGTGAAAATAGTGAATTTGTTTTCTGTTGTACTGACTTGATATCGTATGATTGCTTATTTTGTCTTTTGTCTTCCAGTGAGTCAGGTCTCTTTTGTTGGCTGAAAAAGTTTGAATTCAACTTAAAATACAGAGCACATGGGGGCACATTTGGCCTCGTGGTCAGACTGTACACCTCATGCACAGAGGCTGTAGTCCTCAAGCAGGTGGCCCAGGTTCCAAGGTGCAGCCTCTTTGCCACATGTCGCTTTCCACTCTGTCGCTCTCTTCTTCCCAGTCACTGACTTATTTTCTCTAAATAAAGGCATAAAAGCCCAAAACTATAGCTTGATAAGAAGGATCATGCAATCTTCTTTATAAAACTATTAATGCTAAAAATGCTCAAAAGTATTTAGAGAGGCTTTGGAGATATGTAATAAACTATTAATAAGGCCAATTGTTTGGTTGCCAGGTTTTAGCAGCAGCCATATGCAGTGTTTTTCTTTCTTTCTTTCTTTCTTTTTGGTTACAGCAGTGGAAAATATCAATAAACATCAATAGGTTGGAATGACTGTGTTGTTTTTTATAATTTGCATCAATTCTGTATCTTTTAATTTGACCAAAAGCTTTACATGAATCAACTCTGGGGTAATAACAATAAACAGATTGTTTATAAAGATATTATGGTAAGGAGGGGACTTCTCAAAACCCCAAAGTTTTTTAGCTGCTTACCCCTTTATAATAACTTCTAAACTGTAATATGGCAATTAGTTTTAACCCTTCGCAGAGAATCACATTATCTAAGCCAAAGGTGCTAAAAACAAAGACAAAAAAGTGCTTATTATATATTTATGCTTTGCTGAGTTTAAACTATCCTACACAAAACATTTGGACTTCCTACAACATTATAACATATCTACAGCTGCATGCATCACATTTTAAGACTATTAAAACCCTTTTCTATTTTATAACGTGGGCAGATTGATAAAGCCATTTTGGCTGTGTGGACCATAGACTGTATAACGTGGACAGAAGAAAGCCACAGAATTGAAATGTAACCAAATAAAGCAGAGATGAAGCCAGGGAAGCGCAGGCTCTTCTCTTCCTTATATGGTCATAGAGCGTGGAGCGATGGGCGGGGCGACTCACTAAACGTCACCAACGTGCCCCGGACACCCGGAAGCGCAGCAAAATGCAACATGTTTTGCTGAAGTCGACGTTGTTTATGACCAATTGTCTGGATACCGCATTATAATTGTATTATCATCGGCAGCCTTTATTCTGTTTAGCACATCGGAGATGGAAACGAGCGAAAAAGACAAGGTAGGAAGATAGCAGTCAGCTGCGTAGCTTAACATCTTCAATCCTGGTTTGGGTGTTTCTCTCATCCTGGGTTCTTATTGCCAACCTTTTCTCTTGCTCTTAAATCTAGGACCCTGCTGCTCTAAAAGAAGAAGGGAATGTCCTCTTCAAGACAGGAGACGTGCAGGGGGCTATCTGCTGCTATACCAAAGCATTAAAGCTGACCGACAGCCGATCAGAGGGTGCTGTCCTTTATCGGAACCGGGCTGCCTGCTACCTGAAACTGGAGGAGTTCAACAAAGCAGAGGCTGATGCGACCAAAGGTGGGCGAAGCTTAAGTCGTGAAAGATAAATGAAGGATGTTGAAGTTTATCTGATCTGTAAGTGGAAATAACCCAACCCATCCTTAAGGAATGCCAGCAATACAGGTCAATTTGATTGACTATCCTTTCATCACTTATAGAAGTATGTTCCTACACACCACCCTTCATACCGACACTTCAGTTTTGTTTTATTAGGGCCACACAAAACATTAAAAAGCGAACTTTTGGATTTTAATCCATTCATCTAACAGAAGTTTGAACCTTGGATGTTTCCTCATACAAGGATCCTTTTTGACATACTTTGGCATGCTCTAGGCTCCAAATCAGTGAGTTTTAAAGGCTCTCTGGAAACTGTTTGTGGCAGATTTCAGTGTTATTGGTTTACAGCACCATTAAGAGAGTAAAGCACACTCTGGACTGTTTGATCACCAAGCGCTGCATTATTATGTCCTTGGACCACCACTGTAAACAGTTGGTGAAGAGTTGCTTTTATCATCTGAGGAACATTGGTAAATTGAGGTCCATGATTTCAAGACCTGAGATGGAGATGATAATTCATGCCTATGTTTCATTTCGCATTGACTACTGTAATGCTCTTTTCATGTGTTTTAATAAAAAGGAAGAAAAGGGACCATATCACCCCAATTTTCTATTCCCTCCACTGGTTACCAGTTTATTTTAGGATTTATTTTAAGATTTTAGTTTTTGCTTTTAGAGCCCTCCATGAACAAGCTCCTTTGTACATCACTAAGCTACTGAGACCCTATTCCCCCTCACGTTCATTCAGGTCATCAGACCACAAACTCTTGATGGTCCCTCACACCCATTTTAAAACACGAGGTGACTGCTCTTTCCAGACCAGTGCCCCTCGCCTCTGGAATGCACTACGGTTGACCTAAAGCAGCATAGAGTCTACTGAAAGTTTTAAGAATGACCTTAAACCCTTTTTAGACAGGCTTTTAACTGATGTCAACATTGTGAGGCTTCTGTGAAGTGCTTGTATCTCTGCCATTATATGTACTGTGCATTTTATCCTTGTTGTAGAGCACTTTGTGATTTTATCTATGAAAAGTGCTATGTAAATGAAATTTACTTACTTACTCTTTGTCTGGATTCAAATTTGTGGGTGTGGCGTGTTCATATTCATACTTAAATATGGTTGGTTGGATGTTGTTTTCAGCCCTTGACACTGACCAAGGTGATGTGAAGGCCAGGTTCAGGAGAGCCCAGGCTTTCCAGAATCTTGGTCGGCTCGACCAGGCCTTTATGGATGCCCAGAGGTGCGCCCAGCTGGAGCCTAAAAACAAAGCCTTTCAAGATCTGTTGAGACAGCTGGGAGCACAGATCCAGCAGAAGGTGATATATTCCACTTTTCTTCTGATGTGGTCTTAGGAGCTTTGTCTTGTATCCAAAATATTAACTGGAAGAATATTTTTCTGACACAGATGTTTTCTCTTGACCCTTTAGTCGGCTCAACTCAACTCAACAGACGCACGTGTGCAGCAAATGTTCAACCTCCTTTTAGATACGTCTGCAAGCGACTCAGATCGACAAAAGGTAAGTAAAAGCAACAATTTAGAAATAACCAACAAATAACTGTGTTGTGCTACTGTTATTTACTTTATGTTTTATTATGTTTCTGTATATATTGTAACCTGGTCCATTGTTTGATTTCAGGCTGCCCAGAATCTGGTGGTTTTGTCTCGAGAAGACGCAGGAGCTGAGCAGATCTTCCGTAATGATGGAGTGAAACTGCTGCAAAAACTCCTTCATTCAAAGCAGGAGGATGTTGTCCTTTCAGCCCTGAGGACTCTTGTTGGGTTGTGTACAGGACATCAATCCAGAGTAAGTGGGACAGTTTGTTGCCTCATCATGAAGGTCACTGCTTATTGTGTTTATTTTCTCTAAGACTAGGAGTGTGCATACAGTGATGGCCCTTTGGTATTTCATTCATTTAAATTCTATTGCTTTGTTACTGTTGGTCAGAGTTTATATATACTATACTTCCTTACATCAGCACTCATGTTGGTCAAGAACTGTACTCAACACTGTGCAAGCCAGTTGATTTGCTGCTTTCTACTGCTGACATCTACTGTGTTGTTTCTAGACTATGGCTATAGTAAATGAGTTGGGAATGGAGCAGCTGTGTGCAGTAATGGGATCGGGAGCCTCTGCTGTGTCTCTGGCTGCCTGCCACCTGCTGCAGGTTATGTTTGAGGCTTTGACAGAGGGCATGAAAAAAGAGATTAGAGGGAAAGATGAAGCCATTCTTCCTGGTGAGTTAGACTCTTTTTTTTAAGTTGGCTACTGATGAAAGTTGACTTATCACAAAGGCTTTTTTGTATCCATCTGCCCTGTATTTATGTTTAACATTACTTGTTACTGGATAAATCTGATGCAGAACCGTCGAAAGAGCTGCGCTCAATGTTACGCCACCTCTTGGAAATGATGCCAGCATCCAGTGTGTCAGGGCCGGGCAGAGACAGTGCTATTAACCTCCTGGTCAAACAAGTTCCCCGCAAGTCCCTGAAGAATCCTGATAACTCCCTCACATTATGGGTGATAGATCATGGTATATATCACACCCACACACACCTCTCATACTATGATTAACACAAAACAAATCTAATCCTACTGCCAAGCTTTACTATTTGAGAATGGCCTTGGTTATTGCAATGAAATTCAGACACTGTCACTAGTTTTATCTGGTGTTAATGAGTGCTTTGTTCTCCTTTAGGACTGAAAAAAATCTTGGAGGTGGCTGGAACAGTTCCTGAGCTCTCAGAGGGACCTCCTCTCACAGACAACTCCCACATGAGCTGCTCTGTCTTGCTTAATAAACTATACGATGACCTGAAGAGCGACAAAGAGAGGGAGAACTTTAATAAGCTGTGTGAAGAATATGTGCAGTGAGTAGATAACAGAAATTTGTGCTATTATTTTTGAAACTTTGCTGCTCATAAACCTGCCACATAAACCTTTTTATTTGTCTTGGAAGGCAACACTTTAGTCGTCCTGGTCTGGAAGGCAAGCTGCGGGCCATCCAGACAGTGTCAGTGCTCCTCCAAGGACCAAGTGAGGTGGGCAACAAAACTCTTGAGATGTCGGGAATGATGGATGCAGTGATTTCTCTGTGTGCCTCAGAAGATGTTACACACCAGCAGGTAGCTGTGGAGGCTCTTATCCACGCTGCAGGCAAGGCCAAGAGAGCCTCCTTCATCACAGCCAATGGCGTGGCACTTCTGAAGGACCTCTACAAAAAGAGCGAGAATGACAGGATCCGTGTGAGAGCCCTGGTGGTAAGTACCGAGTCAAAACAAGTATACTTGTTTTTATTTTTGACAGCTGCAGAAAACAGCATCATAAATAGAGCTGAAATAAACTGGATTTCTGGTCTTCTTTGACAGGGTTTGTGCAAGCTTGGATCAGCAGGAGGGACTGATTTCAGCATGAAGCAGTTTGCAGAGGGATCCACGCTTAAGCTGACCAAGCAGTGTAGGAAGTATGTTTGAGTGTTCAACCTGGTTTGGGATTTAGAGAAATGTGTCACACCTAAATCAAGTAGATATATTGTTATTTTTTTAAGAAGGATTGCTATTTCTTTTCAATTCTTTTAGGTGGCTGTGCAACAAGTCACTTCCTGCAACCTCCCGCCGGTGGTCTGTAGAAGGTCTGGCCTACCTCACATTCGATGCTGATGTGAAGGAGGACTTGGTTGAGGATAAGAACGCTCTCCTGGCCATGTTTGAACTAGCAAAGGTTTGACTGATTATTGTGTTTCAGGTTCATGATAAATGTAAGAAATGGGTAATACAGCTCCATAATGTAAGACTCCTCTAAGAAGAGTCTTTGCAGTCATAAGAACACACAGTAAACAGACGTTTTTATTGTGCTGTCTGGGCTTTCTTTCTCAAGCTTGTTTTTCTCTTTGTGCCCCTCCAGTCTGAAGATAAGACTGTGCTCTTTGCTGTGGGCTCCACATTAGTGAATTGTTCCAACAGCTATGATGCAGAGAAGCCTGACCCTCAAATGGTGGAGCTAGCCAAGTATGCAAAGCAGCATGTGCCTGAGGAGCACCCAAAGGTACCATTCAAATGATCCTCTTGTGTTACTGAATCAACATCACGTAGTCTTCCTTTATTGTTTAACATTAGCCGTATTCCTCCAACTTTATGAACTTTGAGAGTTATTTCTTGTTTTTTTTCATCTAGTCTTGTCTTTAAAGATATGCTGTTAAAAACCTGTCTCTCTTTATTTGTCAGGATGCTCCTTCCTTTGTGGAGAAAAGACTAGCAAAGCTACTTGAAGCAGGTGTGGTGTCTGCTTTGGTGTGTATGGTCAAGCATGAGAGTCCTGCAATGACTGAGGCCTGCAGGGAGTGTATAGGCAGGTAGGAAAACTGCATTTTTCTTCCCTACATCCCTGTTTTCACACTGTACATTTTCTATTAATACTTTTTCTCATGGTAGAGTCTTCTTGGCTTTGGTTGAGCGACAGGAGGACAGAGGTACAGTGGTGGCACAGGGAGGAGGAAAGGTAAGGTGGCCTAAATGGATACAAGGTGTTTGTCCTGCTGAACCAAGCTTAACATCTTATTCCAAGAGGTTCACACAGTTTATGTTAACTTTGTCTCCAACAGGCTTTGATTCCTCTTGCAGCTGACAACACAGATGTCGGTAAAATCAAAGCAGCACAAGCTCTGGCAAAAATAACTATCACATCTAACCCAGAGATTGCCTTCCCAGGAGAAAGGGTGAGAATTTTGTGCTGTGAAAAGTCTCTGTAGTGACAAACAAAGCTGTAGAACTTTTTCTTTCTTTAACATCATCACACTTTTTTGTTGTCAGATCTATGAAGTGGTGCGCCCCCTCGTCAGTCTTTTGAGTCTTGAATGCACCCTGCTGCAGAACTTTGAGGCACTTATGGCTCTCACCAACCTGGCTGGGATTAGTGAAAGACTGAGGTTAGCCACTAGGGGGAAGTGTCTCCCAAGAATACAAGAATATAATGCATGGGATGTGTAATTCAATCAGTTTTAACCCTCACATACTGTTCAAATCCTGTACCCTCACAGTATGTTCCAGGTCAAAATTGCCCCTTCAAAGAGTTCAAAGAGCAGCTTTCTGTCACAGAAAGATCTCTTGACTAGTTAGGTCATTTTGACCTCTGTCTAGGTGTGTCTGTGTGACTGTATGTCTGTGTGCGTGCATGTGTGTGTGTGTGTGTGTGTGTGTTTCTGTCAAGGTAATGATAGTTTCATAATTATTTGAATATATCTTTTTGAACAACAAATCTTATATTGAACACGGTTGTTACTGTTTGTCACTTGTCCCACACTGCTAGATCTAAAATCCATCTAAATATAGATACGGGTCAAATTTGACCCGTAACAGCCTTAGAGGGGAAAAATGTGTAGCAATACAAACAAAAACAAAATACACATAAATATTTTTAAAGTAATTTCATGTATTTTGGGCAACTTCAGGAAAAGTCATCAAGTTTCAGGCTTAAAAAATGATGTTTAGGGTATTTTTACTGCTGTTAAAAGTCAAAACGGGTCAAATTTGACCCAAACAGTATGTGAGGGTTAAGGACACGCTTTGCAAGTGTCTTAATGTGCTGGCAAGAAAGTAAACCCCAGTGTGACCCTTCCTTCTTTGTTTTGTAAAGTTGTCTAGTTTATTATTGTGGGCCTCTGCCTATGTTGACATAGTTTGTCTTTTTTCACAGACAAAAGATCATAAAGGAGAAGGCAGTCCCTAAAATTGAAGGTTACATGTTTGAGGAGCATGAGCTGGTCCGAGCTTCTGCCACAGAATGCATGTGCAATCTGGTTTTAAGTACGGAGGTAAGGGTCTCTGTCTATTGTTCAGCAAAGGTTGGTTTGGAAGTTGAGGTTAAAGCAGGGAGTTTTTTTGGTATGTGTTCTCAGGTGCAGAAGCTGTATCTGGCCACTGGTAATGATCGCCTGAAGCTGCTTGTGCTGTACAGTGGAGAGGAGGATGAGAGGCTGAGAAAGGCTGCTGCTGGAACCTTGGCCATGCTGACAGCTGAGCAGCCTGAGCTTTGTGCACGAATCCCTGGAACAGTAAGCCTTAATCACATCCACCAACACCACACTGTCACACATTATGAAGATTAACTGTTCTTTTTTATTACCCCTCTTTGTCTTTTCTTTTCAGACAACTCACTGGCTAGAGATTGTACAAGCACTGCTGCTCAGTGAAATATCTCATCTACGTCACCGTGGAGTAGTCATCGTTCACAACATGATGCAGGCAGAGAAAAGTCTGGCTGAGACGCTCATGGAAAGTGAAGTTCTGGAGATTCTTTCTGTCCTGGCAAAGGGAGGAGAGGGCATGCCAGAGCCAGTATGTAAGATTGCTCAGAACTGCCTGGACAAGGCTTTGGAGTACAACATTATAATGAGCAGGGACGGGAAGGAGAAAAGCAAGGAACCCAAACCATGAAAATACTGCTGCAGTGTGTGAATGTGCCTTAAGGCAAGGTCAGAGTAGTTGAGTTTTGTATGGGACCAAGGAAGTCGTTAAAGTACCGAGTTAAAACAAGAAACTGTCAAAGCAATACAAGAAAATGAGAAGTATTTTATGAAAGAAGCTGACATTTCAAGTGTAACATGAATGTGCTTTAATTGCTTTCAACTGATTGTATTCAACTTGATTTCAGCAGTGTGTTTCACTTCTGTGATGAACAAAGGCACTCTATACATTCTTCACTCAAGATTGATACATTTTTGAAAAAAAAATCATATAACAGTCATTCCCACAATATGTTATATTCTATGTTATCCAGAACCATGTTTCTTTATATTTGTTTTTATTATAAAATGCCCACAAGTCACATATTAAAAAGAGAGCATGGTTGTTCTCTTGATAACTGTCTTTTCATGTTGATTATCAGTTGTTATTGTCACTCCACTACATTTCCAGTGTGTTTCTTACATGGCTTTTACTTTTTTTAATGAAATGAAGTCATATTTAGGAAGAAATAAAAAAAAAATGTACTAAAATTCATGTACTTGTTTAGTTCCTTTTGCTAAGAGTCGTATTCCATGTCAAGCCTTGTTCACTCAGCTCGCGCTGCCATAAGCGTAGCAGAGCGCATGCGCACGATGCGCAGTACCATAAGCTAACTCCAGTGTGGAAACATGCGAACAGAAACGATTCAATCAGAAAATCATCAAAGTTTAAGTTTGTTTCAATGCGTTGGTTTGGATTTGGATTTAACGCATTTGGACAGATATATGATCATGACAAGTTATCTAAATCAGAGAAAATCGGCACTGATGAGGATGTGAAGGTTAGTAGCCCTTTAGAGCTAACCACAGGCACTGACTGTTGCTCGAAAAGTGTCCGAATTAAAGCAAGCTGGAGTCGAAGAGCATCCTTACACCTGGGTGGTAAGTCTGTCAAAGAAACCTCAGCATTTATTACATTTACTAGAGTCACGTATTTCATGCAGACATTCACCCTGTTTTTCTGTCCTCTGTCTATTAGGTGAAAGCTGTCTGTGTCTGGCAGGTTTTGGTGCTGTCACTTCCACTGAGTCCAGTGGTGCCTTAATAAAACACAGCCGTGGCTGTACCGATGTCTACATCAGTGAATCATACTTAACTCTCGCTTTTCCGGACAGAGTTGAGGCCTGGGATCTACAGAAAGAAGAAAAGACTCCATCATGGAGCGAGGAAATAAGATCACAATCAGAGACCTCAGGTACCATAATGTACTTTGACAAATAAAGTATTTAGAGATAACAGACTAAACTATGCACTTGTTTTTTTTCAGGACCCCCTTTAAGTCTTCCGCTGGTCTCTGGGGGTTACATTGCCATGAAACCACCTCTCTACCGGTCCTTATCACCACACTTGAAAGCCAAGAGTCTGGCATTGAGTGCAGCACATGCCATCCTCCTCACTGCCTCTGGAGCTGTGTTTACATGGGGGTTGGGCAGGTAGATCTACTCAACATCCATCCTTATAGACAACATCAATATATTTATGCAGATCTTGGTCTTGTGCACATGGATGTGTTTTCTTTTATAGCCATGGTCAGCTTGGGCATGGAGGCCTCACCTCTGAGGAGGAGCCCAGGGTAGTTGAGGCCCTCTGGGGGATGTCCATGACCTCTGTTGCAGCAGGAGGCTGGCACTCTGTCTGCATCAGTGGTGAGTAATCTAGTAGCTAGTTAAAAGGGTGATTGTACCAGATTGACCTTAAATAACCCTACAAAACCTTTTCTTTTACAGATGGAGGCGACCTGTATGTGTGGGGCTGGAATGAGAGTGGGCAGCTTGGACTCCCCTCACGCGGTTTGAGGAAAGCTCTGCAGCAGCAAGAATCAGGTACACCTGTTCTCTTACTAAATTATAGGGATTTTTCCAATACTGAATAAACCTGTGCTCCAACATTAACAACCATTGTTGCAATAGTGCAGATCAAGACAACATTGATATAAATGTCATGTTGCTCAATATTGCAACCAAAAGTATAGACAGTGTGAATAATTTGCATCCTAGTTACTCTCCCTTAACACTATTTTAACCTATGTTTGCAATGTGTTTCCTACCAAAAATTCCAAAAGCGTGTTCATTTTAGAAACAGTCTTTATCCAACAAGACATCACTGTTGATGTTCTGAATTAATTTAATGCAGTTGAGGAATTATCAACTAGATGTTGTCACTGTAGAAATCTGAAAATGTTTATAGATGCACAAGTATGTTGTTTGATGGTATTTGGGTTATTGGCGATTCTTGGTTTAATTGTTGTATTTTTAAAGTGTTTGCTGTTCATAGTAGTAACAAGATAAGTAGCTCTATGCATAAGTAGCTCTAAGTATTGAATCTTCAGAAGCAGGTGCATCATACCAACATACTGGCAAAACAACTGCTGATGAGCAACAAGAGGGAGAGAAGAATGAAGAGGTATTCATATCCATCCAAGCATTCCCAGCTCTGCTGGATGTCACTCCATCATGTGAGGTCAAGACAGTCAGCTGTGGCAGCAGACACACTGCTGCTGTAACTAGTAAGAAATCTCACTTGACATTTGATGTATAATTTTTGAGCTAGCAAGTTTCTTAGTAATCTTTTTTTCTTTTTTTTTTCTAATTACAGCCAGTGGTAACCTCTACACATGGGGCTGGGGTATGTTTCCTTTTTTGTGTAATAAACTAAATTGATGACCAGATATCTACAATTAGTAGCATATGTAACATCAAGATGTGAACAGGTTCCTGAGAGTACAAATTAAGTTTACGTAATCTTTGTTCTTCCCTTTTTTAACAATTTTAGGTGACTATGGCCAACTTGGGCACAAGAATCTGGTCAGTTCAGATGAGCCACTGTGTGTGGAGTTCTTCAAAGAAAAGCAGATGTGTGTTGTTGATGTAGTGTGTGGGGCATGGAACACTTTTGCTGCTGTTGTCAAGAAGGAAGTAAAGATTAAATCTTGAGACTGATAGACTTGGACAATGGACTTTGGACAAAATACCAGGAAGTGTAAGCTATTACATCAAATACAGTGATTTGAATTGATTGTATTTTGTACTCATGAATTTGTTGATACTCTTAAAAATAAAGGTACTCAAGATCTTAGAAATATTGTAAATTTTATTTTAAGAAATTAAAAAATTACAGTTTTTATAATTCACAGACAATACATAAAACAGATAAAGCAGTAAATGTTAATATAATTTAAGGCAAATATCTAAAATTGCTCTACTTGAAACTTAAAACACACAGAATTAAAAGGGCAAAGCTTTTTCCACATGGTGTTTGAAGTCTTCACAGCACAATCTTGAAAGAACTGTGGAAAACCAAAACACAATAAAAGGTAGATTAAATAAAATTTCATCGGGTGTGATCTATTTAAGTGATTACACTCAAAACATTTGTAGTTACCTGACAAAATCTGGTGATCTTGAAATGACATGCTGAAACTCTGAGAGGTTAACAGTTCCATCTTTGTCAATGTCTGACTCCTCAAGAATCTAAAGAGCAAGGTAAGGAAACACCGTTAGTCTTGCAACCAAACTTTTAAAAATTTGATAAGCCACAGATAGATATATGAATAGATAGGCAGATACATAAACACTCCTTTCAATTATAATGCCATAAATGAAAAACATTCACAAAAGCTTACATTGCCAATGAGCTGCCTCATTTCTTCAGTTGTAAGTCTAGTGTCATCTGTCTCACCAGTTAGGCAGTTGACTAGTTTCTCCAGATCACCATAATCAAGAGTTCCATCATCATCAAAGTCTGTGAACAAAAATATTGCTCTCAGCCCAAAAATTATCTCAATGTTTTAAAATAATAAAAATTTCACTTTATTTACCAAATATGCGGAATGCATAATGGGATTTAATTTCCAGAGTAGCGGAGTCACTGAAGGCACTCAAAAGGTCCAGAAAGTCTTCAAATGTGAGACTTCCATCTTTCTGCTCAGAGGTGGAGAAAACGTGGCAGATTCGTTTCCTGAAAGGGTTTGACTGTAAGAGGAAAGGTGCAAGGGTCAGTTAGGTTTATCAGTGCTTGTAGCACTTCCTCAAAGACACATAAAATGTGACACAGAACACCAAAGCAGTCCTCTGACTAAAAGTATAATTTTTTTGACTTATAAATACACATGTTCACCTTCAGTTCTGGCAGAGTTAAAATCCTCTCCATTGGCACCCTGGTATTTGGGAGATTTTTCTCATCTTTTGTGAGCAGTTCAGTGAATCTCTTCTGAGCACTAAAGAAAGATAACATTTGTAAAAAAGCAGAGGAAATATAATATAATAATGTAAATATTTGTAGAGTGGTGTGTAGCTTATAACTCACAGGAGAATTTCTTGTTTTGTCAGGAATGTCAGCTCCTATAAGAACAAAATAGATTATTACCATTTGCACAAGTACAGGACAGCACAGGTACATCAGGATTTTTGTCTCTATGTCTCCATAGCTAGCTCTAAAGGTGATAGATATCATTATAACATTGGCAAAAGTCACAAATCAAATCAACAGTTCAGTTTTAAAATAGTTTATGTATGACCTCCTCTGAAAATGCACCCATGTATGCGTACTAGCAACATTAGCTTCTCTCCTCAGCAAAACCCATGACTATTTATAGTTCGGGAAAATCCCACTTACAATGTATTTTGAGATATACTGAAACATCTGACCGAATAATTAATAAAGACGAAGTGGCGATGAGAACGTAGTAATTACGTTCTCTTGGTTTCCATCGACTGCTCTAAACTTTAAGGACTCCACAAACTTTAACATCAAAACTAAGTTTATTGTCTTCGCAGACTTCCTTTTTAGGTACTTACTTGGTATTCCGACAGCAAATCTTTCCCGAGTTGACTTGCTGTAGTGCCCATCCTGAAATGATCGACTTGAAAATGTACTTTTGTTGACGCCAACGCTCAGCGAACTAAACAACTACTTTGTTTTACATGGCGTACTTCCGGGATCACACCAGTGCGTTCTCTTTCCTGTCTCAGGTTACGTAATGGTTCCCATGGTGACGAACTTGCAAACAGCTGACAAGAGTAGCAAAAAGTTTGAACAGGTGTTTCACTGTGTAGTAAAGCTTTTTTAAAAAACACTATCAGTAGTATAAAACACTATTGATTTGCCACATTTCCCTACGAGAGACGTCGATACTGCTGTACTTTAGCTTATGTTTCAGCTTTGCTTTTCAAACTACCACATAATTACATTTACCCATCCGTTAATTCCTTTATTTATTTGCTTATTAGAGATTTAATCTCAAGATTTAATGGGGGAAAGTAGCTAAAAAACCTGGAAGAAATATAGCAATAAAGAAAAGGTACTGATTGTGTCTGTTATAGCTGAGCATATTACCTGACATGTATATTATAGCAGAGTGTATTACCTGACATGCAGGTGCCAAACCCACTCTTTACTATAGTATAATCCATAATTAAATTGTTCCCAAAAGTCTAAAGGTATTGCTGTGAAATAATAAACTTTTGTAGGGTCTGGAGCATTAGATCAAATGTGTAAAATGATTCCTCCCTCTGTGATTTTAAATTCACATCTTGAGTCTATTTTCCTTGATATTGTTTAGCAGTGTGTCCATTTAATGTACAACTTTTTCTGATATATATGTGTATATATAATTTAGTTTTAATTCCCTGAGGGAACATTCTCAAAATGATCAGTCAGGTTCTATCTAATCTACTCTCTAATCTAATCTATAAACTAAATAAAATGGAAGAGCTTTCGTGAAGTTTTAGTGTTCTACATCAAAATTTACTGTTCAACCAAATGTTTCTGGGTTAATCCTTTAATCATGTCTGAAATGCATCATTTTGGAACATTTTCATGCCATTTACTGTCAGTTATAAAAAACTTCCAAAAACAAATCAAAATAATATCTGAAACAAATGTACCAATCTTCTTTATTTTACTCTGGATTACAAACAAACATCTTCATTTATTTTTTTGTCATAAACTAAAAAAATCAGGGAATAATTACTTTTTTTTTCATCCCAAAATTTGCATCCCGGGAATGACAAAGTTTACGAGTATACAAACATCCTAAAATAACATTTGATTGTACCAAAAAAACAAAAAAAATGTGCAGCTTCTGTTCATAGAGCATTGAGTACTGTTTTTGTGAATGACACACAATGATAATTAGAAAAACATTTTGACGAGCAGCCCAGGGGATGATGAACTGATATCCAGAGAGGGAAGAGCTATGCTCCTGGATTTGTCTCCCAGTCTGTTGTATCTGAAACACACATACAAAGAGAGAATGGTTCTTAACACAACAAATCATAGTTTACTTTTTCCCCATTTTGACTAAACACTACAACTTTATATGTTTGTACCTGTCATTTTTGTTCCCTCCTTTGTCTCAGCTGGAACTCCAAGCCCATACTCGTTTTCAGCAGTGATTCTAAAGAAGTAGATCCCTCCCTCTTCCAGGTCAGACAGCCTGTAGGACAGTCGGCGGCATTTGTCTGTGAGTCTCATCCACCCTTTTCTGCTGATATCCCGAATATCTACATGGTAATTCTTGACAGGGGCTCCTCCCTCATTCTCTGGGATATCCCAGCAAACAGTTGCCGAGTTTTTCGTCACATCTTTCACGGCTATATTTGTTGGTGGACCAGGTGAATCCAAAACCCTCACATTTAGCGTCAAAGAGACAGACCCAGCAGCATTTTGCAGTTTGACCTTGTACTTGCCAGAGTCATCACGTGTTGCTCCTTCCACTGTGATAGAAGTCACAGAGTTGCTGGTGTTGATCAACCCTCTGACTCTCAAATCCACATCGGCTTTGTCCCATGTCACACTAGGGACAGGTTTGCCTGTGAAAGGCACAGTCAAAGTGAAGGAGCTGCCATATTTGACAGGAAGGGTTTTCCTCGTCTCAGGGCTAACATCAAACCTTGGTTCCTCCTCTCTTTCCATCGCTACTTCAGGATCTGTTTCAGGACTGGGCTCACTGATGCCCACCTTGTTGATGGATCTGACGGTAAAAACATACGCTGTCCCTGATGTAAGTCCAGTGACAGTTAACTCTGTTTTATCTGTGTTATGGACAGCAACAGTCCAATCTTCCTCTGAGGGTTTCCTGTATTCAACTTTGTACCCAGTAATGGCTGCTCCACCATCAAACAGCGGTCTGTTCCAGGACAGAGAAATGGACGACCTTGATGAGTCAATTATTGTGGGTTTGGCAGGAGGGGAAGGTAGAAACTTAGGATCCTCTGCGAGAGTGAGTGGGCATGGGGAACTTGGTTCACTTAACCCTGCAGCATTCTCAGCAAAAACTCTGAATTCATATTCACATCCCTCATGCAGGCAGGTGGCTTTGACACGTAGGTCATAAACTGGTTTCTTATTGACACGAACCCAGCGGACACCCTGTTTCTCCCTCTTCTCTATGATGTAACCACTGATTCGGCTATTTCCATCAGAGGCAGGTCTCTTCCAGCAGACAGTCATAGAATCACTGGTTACACTTGTGACCTCAACATCCAAAGGAGCAGAAGGGATGGTAAAGGGATCAGCTGCCTTGATAGGCTCACTTTCCAGATTCTCCCCTTCTCCATATTTGTTAACTGCCCTTACCCTAAAGAGGTATTCATTTCCTCTGAGCAATTTGGTTATTTTGCAAGTGGTTGCCATCATGTCACCATACATAACGATCCAAGCTACACGGCTGGTTTCACATTTCTCGATGATGTAGTACATGATCTCAGCGCCACCAGTCTCATGCGGGGGCCCCCATGACAGAGTGCATTTCTCTGCTGAGAGTCCAGACACTTCCAGAGGTCCAGCAGGTGGTCCTGGTCTATCTAGGACCTTGCAGGTAACAGCTCTGGATGTTGTACCCCCTGTACTCTGTAAGGTCAGAGTATACTGTCCAGAATCTTTCCTAACACTCTCTCTGATAACTAGAGAGGTATGTGTCTTTGTTGCTGTTATTCCAACTCTTCCCTCTGTCCCAATATTTCTACCATTCTTCAGCCAAAACACTGTTGGGTAGGGGCGGCCAGAGATGTCAGCATCTATTCTTAGGAGTTCCCCTGCCTTCACAACAACCACTTGTCTAAATTTGTCCTCCATGACAAGTTTAGGTGGCTCCACATCATGCTGCACTGTAACAGGGCCAGTTGTTTCAGAAGGTGCACTCAACAAATCAGCTGAATTTTTGGCAATCACACGAAAATCATACTGTTCACCCTCTGTGAGGCCAGTCACCTCCAGGCAAGTATCCAGTAAATTTGTGAAGTTGCATTTAAGCCAGCAACTATCTGGCAGCTCCTTCCGCTCAACAATATAGCCAGTTATTTTAGCACCACCATCATACTCTGGTTTCTCCCAAGATAGGGAAACTGAACTATTGGTTATATTAGTAACTGTGAGGCTTCTTGGGGGATCACACTGGTCTCTAGCTGCTACAGGCTCAGACGCCTTACTACATGGTCCAACCCCAGCTATGTTCTCAGCAGAGATCCGAAACTCATAAGTCAAACCTTCTTCAACGCTTGTTACCTTAAACTGGTTCTCAGTCACTGGATTTCGGTTTAACTTCGTCCATAAAATACTGCTTTGATCTTTGCTTTCAATGTGATAACCAATAATAGGGCTACCACCATCGCTATCTGGCCTGCTCCATGCAACCATCATGATAGACTTTGAAGCACTTGGAACACAGACATTCAATGGGGCACCAGGAGGCTTAAAGGGATACTGAGCAACAACAGGTTCTGACTCAATGAATTGGCTTTTGCCATGGCGGTTCTCTGCAGCAATGCGAAACTGGTATTCGGTGCCCTGTGTTAGACGGGAAATCTTGATCGATGTTCTGGCAACTGTAGCTGACACTGTCTGCCACACTGTGCTGCTTGTGTCTCTCTTCTCAACAACATAGTTACCAATTTGACATCCCCCTGTATAATGTGGGAGCTGCCAGGACAAAGACACAAAGTCAGCACTCACTTCATCCACACTGAGGTCACTTGGTGGTCCAGGTCTTTCAAAAACATTCACAAGGATTTCAGTGGAGGTGGCTCCTGTCAAGTTGGCCACAGTCACCTCATACATGCCAGCATCCACTCTGGTTGCATCTTTGATAATTAACTGGGATGATGAATCAGATGTTTGCACATTAACCCTGCTTGTTTCTTTGAGTGGGTTGCCATCTTTCTTCCATTCTGCTGTTGGTGGTGGTACACCCTTGAATGGAACTTCAATTTTTAAATCGTTTCCTGCCTTCACACTGAAAGTGTTTGACATCAAACTGATAACAGGCAGCGCACTAGAATCATGAACTACAACAGGAGCTAACAGAGATTTTGGTTCACTTCTACCTTTTTCATTTACAGCACTTACTCTGAAGAAATACTCAATTTCTTGTGTTAGCCCATTAATTGTCACTTCTTGTGCTTTAGTCTCTGAACATATGGCCCATGTGTCATCTCCCTTTACCTGCATTTCTACAACATAATATAGGATTTTGCTTCCACCATCATGATCAGGCTTTTCCCAAGAGATCCTTGCACTATTGCGAGTAACATCACAGAGTGTGATTCTGCCAAGAGGAGGTGGAGCTTCCGACACTTTCACAGCATCTGTGACCTCTGCTGGCAAACCAGCACCAAACTCATTAACAGCCATGACACGGAAATAATAGAAGCTTCCTTCCTGAAGATTGTCGATCTTGTATGAGTTTCTCACACAGTTGCTACAAACGCTTGTGAATGCCTTTCTAGCCTCTTCTCGTTTTTCTACAATGTAGTGGGAAATTTTTGTCCCCCCATCAATGAGGGGTGCCTCCCAAGATATTAAGACGGAATCCCTCTTCACTTCCTTTACCTCGAGGTTAGTTGGTGCGCTGGGAGAGTCCAGTACTCTGACATTGATGAAAGCTGATTTTGAACCACTGTGGTTCTCGGCAGTCAACACATACTTTCCAGTGTCATTTCTACTGACATTCTCAATCAGTAACACAGTATAGGAGCTTGTTACCTCAATTTGCGCACGCTCACTGAGGGCACCACCTTCTTTTGACCATTTCACCTCGGGTTCTGGCCTTCCTCTGATGCTGACATAGAGACGTAAAGTCGAACAGGCTCTTATACTGACAATCTTCCTCAAGGCACTGTCCAACTCGATCTCAGGGGGCTCCAGTTTCTCAGCAGCTAACACAGGCCCAGGTAGTTCTACAGGCTCTCCAACTCCTGCAGCATTTACTGCACGTATGCGAAAATTGTACATTGCATTTTCTCTCAGTCTATTCACTGTGTAGTTTGTGTCTTCTACACCTGTACTAGGTGTACATGTGGTCCACTCATCTTCTGCTGCTTCCTTCATCTCAACAACAAACCCACTGATGTCTGCTCCACCATCATAGATGGGCCTTGACCAAGTCAGAGACACAGTTCTGCAGGAATAGTCTGTCACTTTTGGGTTGGTAGGGGGACCAGGTGGGTAGGTAGCTTCACATACCTTGATATACTCACTTGGTTCACTGGGTGCACCAACACCGGCAGCATTCTCAGCCAATACTCTAAACTGATAGTAGTGTCCCTCTGTGAGCCCTGTGCACCTGAAACGCGAATCGTTTAGTCTTCTCCTATTGCATTTGGTCCACCTTACACCTTCTTTGTCACGTTTCTCCAGGATATAGCCATCAATTTCTGAGCCTCCATCACTCTCAGGCCTTTCCCATGTTAGCACTACAGAGTCACCAGTCACTGCAGTCGCTGTGGGGGTAGAGGGTGCGCTGGGTGTTGTAAAGGGATTTTGTGCAATGAAAGGGTCGGATTCCAGAAATTCCCCAACACCAAATTTGTTTACGGCAGCAATTCTGAAGATGTATTCTTTACCAGGTACCAGTTTTGTCACTTTGTAGCTTAGAGCTTCAACATGAGACTCAACCCCTGTCCATGTAACACGACTGGTCTCCCTTTTTTCAATGATGAAATGGGAAACATTGGCACCACCATCATTCAGAGGAGGGTTCCAGTGGAGATTACATTTCTCTGCACTGACAACTTTCACCTTCAGAAGTCCATCAGGAGGACCAGGTTTATCTAGGACTTTAACATTAACTGGGATTGATATACTTCCACCAGTATTATTGAGGTTCAAGGTAAAGTGTCCACCATCCACTCGTACACAGTCCCTCACTGTCAAAGTTGTATGAGTCAGGGTGTTTTTGACCTCCATTCTTGGTGTAACTTTGTCAATTTCTTTACCATCCTTGAGCCAAGTTACTTCCGGAAGGGGTTTCCCAAAATAATCAGCATCAATAATGAATGTCTCACCAGCTTGAAAAACAGAGGTGTTCTTGAACTTTGGATCAATGTATGCTGTGGGTCCTTCAACAACATCTTGAGCAATGATGGTTACGCTGTCTGAAGGTGTACTCCAAACACCAGCAGCATTTTTAGCAGTGACTCTAAACTCATAATTTTGGCCTGCTGTCAAACCTGTGACTGTGAACTGATTCTCAATAACATTTGTGAAGTTTGCTTTCATCCATCTGCCATCTGGTAGCTCCTTCTTTTCAACAACATAGCCTGTGATAGTGCTTCCACCGTGGTTTCTTGGTTTCGCCCACTGAAGTGTGATATTCTCTCTAGTTATAACGACAGCTTCAGGTTTACCTGGTGGATCACAGGGGTCTCTCGCCACATAGCATTCAGATATTTTGCTTGTCGGGCTGAGTCCAGCAATATTCTCAGCAAAGACTCTGAATTCATATTCAATTCCTTCCTCAAGTCCACTAGTTTTGAATCGAGCATCGGGTATGACAAGTTTGCTCAGTTTGGTCCATAAGATGCTGTTCTTCTCTTTGCGCTCAAGGTGGTAGCCAATGATTGGACTTCCTCCATCTTTGGCAGGGGGCTCCCATTCAACCACCATGCTGTACTTTGTCACTGTGGATGCAAAAGGGGTGCCAGGAGCAGTGGGTACACTAAAAGGATACTGTGCAATTACAAAAGGAGAGGTGATTGCAGAACTCTTCCCGTACCTATTTTCTGCAAACACTCTGAACTGGTATTCATTTCCTGTCTTCAGTTTGGTGACTTTGATTGTTGTTCTTACTGTTGTTGCAGACACAGTTTGCCATTCAGTGCTTGAGATGTCCCGTTTCTCCACTACATAGTTGTCTAGTTGACAGCCTCCCATGTATTCTGGTGCTTCCCAGGAGATGATAACATAGTCAGAACTGATCTCATCAATCCTCACAGGGCCTGTGGGTGGGTCGGGCTTTTCAAGAACAACCACAGTGATTTCTCCTGTATATTTTCCAGCACTGTTGCTTGCTATTATAGAGTATTGACCAGAGTGCTCCCTAGCAGCATGTCTGATATGAAGAACTGTCAGAGATGATGGATTCAAAACCTCCAGTCTTGATGTCTCTTTGACTGCCTGCTCATCTTTTTTCCATTCAATCTTTGGCGCTGGATGTCCCTCCACTGGGATCTCAACTTTCAGATCTCCACCACTCTTGACAGTAAAAGTGTTATAAGTTATCTGAAGTTTTGGCTTAGTAGCATTTTCCACTTCCGAGCCAGTTTGCACCGAAGGGTCTGGAACAGGCTGGCCTGGGGAAAAAAAAAAACATTAAAGGGTAGGACTGATAGGCATATTACTTGATCAGACTAGTAATTCTATGAGTTTTAAATTCATTTGTTTTAAAGCAGAAATTTGTTGAGGGGTGCAATAATGAAAAGTGGATGGATTTATTCACTTATCCCATTATTTTAATTTATTCTTTAGCCGGAAAATTTCTTTGAAAAAGAATGGCACAATTTGAGGTACATATTTAGTAGATCACTGTATTTTTATCAAGTGTGTTAAGGCTAAGCACTAACAAGTTCATAAGTCAGTGTTTGAACCCAATCATTTCAATCATGAGAACTATTCACGAGTGGTGAAATAAAGATTTGAAGAGAAACTATATTTAATTTCATGTTTGTGATAGGATGAGTATACCTTGGACAATGGCTGTTGAAGATGACTGGGAATCCTCTGCTGCGAGGGCTGCATCAGTGTCTGGTGTCACATTTATATTTAGAGTGTGAGCGTTGTCCCCTGCTTTCTTTTCTGTCTGAAAAAGAAATTAGTACAAAACTGTTTGGCAATATAAAATAACAGATTGCTTCAACGTGTTCTTTTTCCCCTGTGTTTTATCAGACTTAAGGTAGAATGTATGATATCAATAAAAGCAAAAGAAGGAATGAGACAAAAATAACTTTGGTGTTTCACAACATGCTAGCATGTAAGCTTGGATAGTGAGTGGTATGAGTCAGTATTAGGGCTATACACTCTGTCTGTGTTTAAAATAAGCAGAGGCATATCTGACCAGGCCTAGATCTACCAAACTGTCAAAAACATGTTATTCTACCCTACAGTTCTAAAAAGGTATTAAGCATTTTTCTCAGGAGAAAAAACACATCTTGTTCCTGTGGATTACTCCATAAACAACTCTTAAGCAAGTAAAAGTTTTAAGATTTTAAACAAAGCTTTACTTACTTCTTTGTCACTGGCGTCCATCCTTTAAATGTCAACAAATCAAACAAATCAAATCTTAATTTAAAATTCAACTAGGTCAGTAAGCCACTCAGCTACGATTTCTTGACTACAGAGAGTCCTCAAATCTTGAGGCAGATACACAGAGCTCTGCCAATCACTGCCTGTTTTATCTCCACACACTTGCTGTGACTGAAATAACCATGATGCCTGATTGGCCAGCTGCTCATTCCTTCAAAGTTAGTTGAGCCTTTATGTGTCAGCTGGAGAGATCTGGAAGGCTGTTATGTAGTTCAGTATTACAGGAAGGCTATTTGAGTTACAAGGGGGTTTTACAACCTCCATCCATTGTGTGTTGTCTGTAGACTATTTGTTGCTGACGAGTTGGTACACTATGTGAACACAAATTACGAAGACTTGACATGTATCAATGACCAACTTATCCAACTTTGTATTAATGTAGTGTAAAATCAAGAAAGCTAAATGATAAGAATCTCAAAAGAATTACAGGTTTAAAGTACAAAAACATCTTTATTTGCCCATTAGCCACTAAAAGACAATGACTAATGCCAGCATTTAACCACTTTCTAGGTAATATTACTGTTAATGAGCATGTTGCTAGTGACACCTTTTATTTGGTCATAAGAAAGGAAAGGCATAAATACCAAGCTATTTTCTGATTATGGGTAGCAGGTGATTAAAAGTACTGTGTGTAAAAATGGGAATACATAGTGATATTCAGCAGTCGGATCCTAGATTAAAATGCCACCCTGCTCACCCCTTAGTGTACCACTCATCTCCTAACAGACAAGAAGCTCACTAGTTAGAGACAAAACTATGATTGCCCTGATGTAATGGTCCGAAATATGAAAAATGTCTCGTCTTACCCCAATTTCCCTTACACTTCAAATTGTAGGCACACATCCCACAGGACTATTCTCTCACTGCAATAAATCGACAACAAACCAACAAACAGCGATTAAAATTTTTCTTAAAAGAGTCAAATCCAGAACAACACTCCAGTTCAGTAGGTGGCGGTAATGCGCCATTTAGCTGGTTTGTCAACCGCCAATAAAATCCGAAGAAGACGAAAAAGAAGACGACGACGAAGAAGAAGAAGAACAGCTGAGGGGACCGTGAGTAGACGAGTCACCGGCGAAATGCAGAAATGAATAAAATAAGGTTTTGAAATGTGTCTTTATTAGGCTTTGACTTTTGTTTAGATCAATGACGCTGACTTTGATAGTTGCCAACCCCCTCAAGAGCATACTGACTGATAAATGTGTCATGGGAGAATAGCCAATGAAACAAACGTGAGTAAATATTGAAAGAATAATGTTTTCTTTTTCACTCTCATTTTTAGACTGCTGGCTTTGTGTCGTCCATTGGCTGTAGATTTGGTAACACACCTTTATTAGCATTACGTGTCTCTTTCAGTGCTTCAATATTGTGTATCCCCAAATATTGGTTTATAAGTCTTTTAAGATTAAGACTTTGAAGTCCTTGTTTCAACAGGACCCACAATCCCCCTGTTTGATGATTAATCCAAATGAAACCTTATTGTCCTAACGCAGTGAACCCTGTTGTCATATTACACTTGCCTGCCTCTGTTCACCTGCAGATCCAGCCATGCCTCCACCGTTTGTGTACAGCAAAAAGGACTTTGTCTCAGATGTGTGTTGGAGTAGAGGTAGCAGACTGATTCCAGCAAAGTTTGACACAGCCGTCCAAGCAGGCTGGATAGAAAGGATGGACAAAGGACTCTTCCGCTACCATCTCGGGGATCTACAAACACGAGTCCTGCCTGGCGCACATGGCTTTGTGGCCCAGCTCAATATCCAAAGAGGAACAGAGAGGAGGAAGCCTCAAGAGATACTCAGCATTCAGCAGGAGTTTAATGCCAAACAGTTTAATTTTAATAAAATAAATCCAGAAGAAATCATATTTGAGATGATAAAGGACACAGGGGAAGTAAATGAAAGAGGACAACAGCATCCACCCTTTAAGATGGTTGTGCTCGTCAATGTCAGCCCACTTGAATTTGGACATTGTCTCTTTGTCCCAGACCCCTCACTCTGTTTCCCTCAGATCCTGACACCTTTCACCATCCAAAGTGGTATTGAATCTGTGCTGCTCAGCTCCAATCCTGGCTTCCGTGTGGGTTTCAACAGTCTTGGTGCTTTTGCATCTGTCAATCATTTACACCTCCATGGTTACTACTTGGATCATAAGCTCAAGATAGAATCTATCCCAGTAAAGGCGCTGGTCCCTGAACAGGGGCTTTATCACATGTCAGACTTTCCTGGTGGCTTTTTATTTTACACAGAGTCAGAGCAGGTGGAGAAGGTGGCCCGAGCCATCTGTAGAGTCACAGACTTTTTTGTGGAGGGTAACATTGCTCACAACCTGTTCATGACTAGAGGGTGCCCCCCCTGTGAGAGCATCCCTGGTGAAAAAGATCGCTGCTTAAGAAAAGGTGTTCGAGTCGCCGTATGGCCCCGAATATCCTGCTTTGGTGCCAAAGAGGAGTCTGCCTTAAATGTCGCTCTTTGTGAACTGGCCGGACATTTACCCTTTAAGAACAAGAAGGACTACGAGCTCACAACAGAGAGAGATGTAATAGATATTATTCAGCGGTATCTTCTGCCTGATGAGGAGTTTGACACACTGGAGCAGCAGCTTACTCATCTCTTGAAAGATTCGTAAACTTCTCATCAAAGAATATTTTAATCATGTGCATGAGTGACGTGTTTCTCACAGCTTCAGTTTACATGTGTGACAGCAACTTTAAAATGACACTGTAGCTCCATAACCTGTATGTCATCACCTGCAACAGCACCTGTCAATACTGTAGATACACATATTCAATGAATGACATTGACCGTGAGTGATTGATCCACTCACAAAAATAAAAGTGCACAGGAAACACGTGTTGCTGCAGTGCTGTTCTCTTGTGTCAAAGTGAAACAGTAGCATGAGCGGGATGGTTAAACATGAGGTTGTGTAAACTGAAAATCTCTTATGATGTGACAACAGTGTGTCTAAGAATGAGCCATTATGCCAAAGTGTTTGCTACTTTAAAGCTTCTTCTTTTTTTTCTATGAACATGTCCAAGCTTGTGTCAGAAGACCTGAGAAAATGTTTATTCAGAAACACCAATGTGGGCTGACGTCATCTCTATCTATAGACGTAGATTGTTGCTGCAAAGATGTTCATCTGGCACGAGAATCAACACAGGCTCAAGCTTGATCACATGCTGCATAACCTGTGTAAAATAAGAAGTGACATGTGACTCTACTACTACTTTTTTTTTTCCATGAGGGAGATTTCAGTAGTGAAGTTGGTCAATAGTACACATCATCCCTGAAGAGTGCATCTTCTGCCAGAATAGGATCTCCAAGGTAGCGGTGCTTAGCTGAGCAGTAAAATCAGTGAGCACAGATAGCTGCTCACTCATACTAATGAGTTCCTTTATGTATTGGTGTGGACAAACTACATCTCTGTGTGCTGTGTTTATATGCAAACACTGATTTCACTGTGAAATGGGGAATGTATGATATGTTTTGGGCAAATTTTGGAAGAATATCTTTCCTCTTACACTTTGCAGCAATAGATCAGAATAATATTGCAAAAAAGTGCTCCACCTGATTTAAAAATGTACTTAAGGAGTTTTAAATTGAAAATAATAGTGAGGATACAGTAGCTATAGCTTGTTAACCTTCATAGTATTTTTTAAATGATCAGAGCTGAAGCGAGTCAGTGTGTTGTCACTTATATTTCTACATTTGAGTGGCAAACTTAATTTGGACTCAGTAATAGTAAACAACATGTTAACAGGTTATGAGGGACATAACCACATAAGCACATGATTTTTCACCTCACGTGTCTTTGACCTTTTTTGACACAACCAACGTGTATGAATCACCTTTACTATTTATGTTTTGCAGTCATTGCATACACCCATTTCTTTCCACTGTAAAGCTCACGTAACTCAGGCTGGACAGAGGAAGTTTACACTTACTACATCCAAGCTCAGACTGGAAAGAGACAAAACATATATACAGTATATTAATATATTAATCTCATGCTAAATTAGGTGGTTGCTAAAACAGATTGTAAGCAGGACCTTTAATACCTTCCCACTTTACTGGACCATTTTTGAACCACACAGAAGAATTGCCTGTTCAGGTTACCCATTTTTTTAAGTGTTATACAAATTGAATATTAATGAGAAAAAAAATGATAAAAGTGAGATATAGCCATCTTAAATGCATTAGATGCCTCAACATCTGTGAAAAAAGAGACTCAAAAGAGACAAAAATGGACTCTTGTCTCAACCTTGAACCCTGCTGCTGTAATGGTTGGCTTGAAGTAAACCTGTCGTGCATCTTTCTAATGGGCCCAGCATGGATACACATTATTTACAGGTAATGCTTCAGGGATCAGCCCTGCAGAGGAGATGAGAAAGCCCCCACCCTCTGGCTCATGGAAACAGAAAAAAGGAAGTGCCATAGAAGACTGTCTGTGAAATAACATGTTTAAAGAAGAGATTATTTGCCCTGGTAGAAGAGTTTTTAATGAGAGAATAGGTTTCAATTAAAAATATGCAGTCCTCTTAAGTTTTCACTGTGTAACCTAACCAGGTTTATATGACCAACACAGTCTTAGAAGACAACCAGTTTGATCAGGATATGTGCATGTTTCTTATGCCCTTCATGACCTCTGTTATTTGTGTTGTATTACAGTTCTAAAATAGTTTTATAATGATTAAAAAAGAAAACTTTTCCTGTAGCTTAAAAACCTGAGTGGCAAGTTCAGTTTATACCAAGTGCAGCAGAAGAGGGAGTGATAGTGGGAGTGTCCTCATAATAAAGTCAACACTCATTTGTGCTCTTCTCACTTGTTGCTGGAGATGCTCATGGTCTTTGAAGGGTCTGTCTAAAACGCACTATAGGAAAAATATCTGATAAAGAACAATGGGTTGTGTTCAGAGCTTCAGGGATATGTGCGATCGTCAAAAAAACACTAACGTTCGTATGAGCCTTCCAGCTGTTTGCTTCGTGTGGCAAACAGCCATGATCATCTTATTTGGGGTTTTTATTCGGTACAACGAAGAAGCAGATACGCACTGGATAGAGCACAGAAAGAAAAACAACATATCAAGTGACATTGAGAATGACTTCTACTTCAGGTATCCAAGTAAGTGGCTTAATTTGCTCTCTTTAAAATCATTTTTCTTATGTGATCTTTTTTTAATCTCTTCTTTAAACATCACAACACTTACACATCTTTCCTTAATCTATGTAATACAAAATGAATATCTACATCTTTATGATTCCACATTTCACATAATTTTAAGTGTTAGTTTTATCATTTTGTTAATATTGTCAATTTTTATTGGGGTTATATCTGTGCCAGCCTGAGTTACAAAGATGATGTTCATTCTCAGGCTGTGTTGACCAATCAGATGCTTCTTGTACTGCTGACAAGGATCTTACACTTACAGGTGCACTGTTCCCCTGAGGTGTGACTCTCTCCAGCTCAGGCTTTTTTTTTCTTTTTATGTCATTTAAACTTGAATAGTGTTCCTCTTTGAGTGGATACATTCTTTTTCCTATTTTCACAATGTATTACATAATTTGGGTTGTATTTGTGAGTGTGTTGTTTGGGTGTGGTTTTAGTGGAGACTTCCACAGCATTTTGTGGTGTCAGTGACAGACTATCACAAAGAGATCTCAGATTTGGTGTTTGATGTCAGTTGATAAATGTACACCCTGACACATTCGGCTGTCAGGAGAGCTAAAAGGCATCTCATTAACGTCACGTCTTTTTTTTTTTTCTATTAAGTTACCGATGTGTTTGAGGACATAGAACTCAGTCTGATTCAAAAGCTCCTGAAAAACTACCCTGTTTCTTTCAAAACAGTGGAGAGCTATTGTGCCCCGAGGTGTGTCAAACTGTTACAGTGTTACGATGTAAAGAATACTCAGTTGTTGTTGATGCTGGTATCCAGACTCTGTTGTTTGATAGTTTTGATAGACAGTGACTGTGTTAAGAAACAGACACCTGTTTTCACACACCAAAAGTCATAGAAGGAGAGGTTTTGGCTTTCATCATTATAACGTTATCTTTTTCAATTAAACATATTGTTTATCTTCTGTTTTGACATTGTAAAAATCAGTGATTCCTACACGGCTAGAGTATGTTTAGTGATATACTTGTATATTTATTGACTGAAAAACATGTTTTATGCTTATGTTAATAATGTCCTTGTCATGTCCATTTGATTGCCTCCTCTTACCTAATATGCCCTCATGTGGTCCTGCACTGTGGGGAGATGTTGTCAAAGCAAACCATCTGTGTATGGTGTCTTCACGTGTATGTCTTAATAATGATAATAATAATAATATATCTTAATACCTACATATTTCTTAACCTTGATGGCTAATTAAACAACACCATTAAGTGGTTTATAGAAATTATTGGGATATTATTCTATTTTTTATTTTTTGACAGATATACTTCAATCAGGGGAGTCTCATTGTTGTTGAACTGAAAAAATAATACAGCAGGTAAAATGCTCAGATATTTTCCAATGTTTAAGGAGCTGTGATATGAAAGTTGTTCTCCTTCCCTTAAGTCTATTAATTACTCTGCATGGTTGATATTTACTTTTATTTTATATAGAAAAACAATTCAAGGTTGGTGTCATTGGTCAGTTCTTGGGACCACTTTAATATCACATCTTTCACTCAGCTGCCACATTTAGATCAGCTAATCACCTTCACACATGTTGTGGTAAGGGAGCTTGCATGCTTGCATACTTCTGTGAACCCTGAGAGCTTTGTCATTGGGAGGCAACTCCTGGCAGGTTTTACCAAATTGGACAGGTCGAGGGTGAGGAGCTGGACAAAACACAGTCAAGCATTTTCTTGTAAAGTGACCAATGGCGAATGGTCTTTCCAATTTTCATTTTTATATCACCAACTATACATGATATTACTGCTGTAATGAGATGGCGGCCATCTTTAAAATGGCAGCCATCGAGAAATTTCAAGCAGCTCGGGGCATTTTCTTGTTGAGTGATTCATGAAGACTGTTCATTCCAATTTTCATGGCTATATCACCAATTAAACAAGTACATCACCTAATTGTTCCACTTAGAAATTTTAAATGGCTGGGACACTTATCTAGTAAAGTGACCCATGGAGAATGTTCATGCCAATTTTCATCCTTCTATCACCAACTAAACGATTCTGGCGAAAATTTGTACTTGGCCGCTGCACTAACACTACTGACTGTGCCATTGGGGGCACGAAAAAAATAGACTCTCAAACATCAGACAATAAGAGCCTCAGATTGAACAGTGAACCCTCCACTCTCCAGCTGACCACTGGGCCATAGCTGTCCACAACTTCATAACTCCTTAAAACACACAGTGAGACAATGATCACAACACTCTGGAAACAGGGCTACAAGAAGCTTCATGGCTGATCCTGCATCAAACCAGCGTCATGTTAGATAAATAGTTGTGTTTGGTAAGACCTGAAGCCTGTAAAAAGTCATCCAGAACAAATAAAACATGAGCTTGCACATGTATCTGGTTTCCAGGATATAGACTGAAAGCAAGCCACCTCCACACAGAAAGGGCTATAAATTAAATAAATAGATGAAATAACAGCACAGTTATCCTTTTTCTTTTATTGTGCCAATTTCCTCTGAACTTTATCTCCTTAATATGTCTGTGCCCGGAAGGTTTCCAGGATGTTCATGTGATGATCTTCGTTGGATTTGGTTTCCTGATGACATTCCTCAAGCGGTACAGCTTCGGCGCAGTCGGGTTCAACTTCCTCATCGCAGCCTTTGGACTCCAGTGGGCGCTGCTGATGCAAGGCTGGTTCCACGCCCTGGACTACTCTGATGGAAAGATCAAAATTGGAGTTGAAAAGTAATTTTTCATCTCTAGTACTCAATTTTGAATAGTTAGAAGTAAGTAGTTATTTTTTGACAAAGGTGTGCAATATACAGCAGATGTTATGTAAGTGATGTTTTTTTGTCTGGGTCTGTTTTTGTCAGTTAATACGTCTCAGGAATAGTCCACCTGCATGGTTTCTGTTAAAAAATCACAGAGATACACAGTGAGATCAACCAGGGAAACCAGTCTGACCAACTGATTTCTTCAAGATGTTTTCCAGAAACATTAGATACAGTCCACACAGAGACATGGGCTAGTGAGAAGGAATATCAAGCTAGGGTGCAAGCAGATTTCAGGTGTCACGACACGCATGAGAGGTTTACACCTTTTCTGTATTTAACAGAGAGTGAGAAAATAGATTGATATATTCCTGTTTCTGAGCAAAAAATAAAATAAAATAAAATACCTAACCAGCACTGATTTCAGTTTAAATCACTCCCCCTGACATTGTCACCGTTTTCTCTCTTCTCAGTCTGATCAACGCCGACTTCTGTGTGGCAGGCTGCTTAATCGCTTATGGGGCAGTGCTCGGTAAAGTGAGTCCAGTCCAGTTACTGGTTCTGACTTTGTTTGGGATCACATTGTTTGCTGTGGAAGAATATATTATCCTTGACCTCATTCATGTAAGTTGAACCAAAATTTATTATAATTAGGTTTTTTATTATGGTTATAAATAAAATTTAGGAATACTTGTGCAGATATATAAGCCCAGTTAAATGAAAGCGAAAACAGGAGTTGTACATCAGATGGAGTTCTCAAATGTGTGTATCTTTGGTCCCACAATTGTATATGTTCAGTAACTTGGGACACTTTATAACTAAAAAGTAAAAAAAATATCTTTGTAGTTATTTAATCCACTGAAATTATTATTGGCAGCAAAGGTCTGAAATGTATGTTCAAAAGTTGCTATGCTTTTTCTATACATTGATTCAATGTATTATCCAATTCTGTCAGTATCAAAAGCCGATTCTTTTTATGAATGTTTTGTTATGACGTATTTTTTCAAAGGTAAGTGGGGATCAACCTCATGCTTTAAACTCATAAGGTACATGTAAGTCGGTGTTTCACAGTGTTTCACATACTCATGTTAATGTTCTCTTCCCTACAGGCCAGAGATGCTGGAGGCTCCATGGTGATCCACACATTTGGAGGTTATTATGGTCTGGCCATCTCATGGATGCTCTATAGACCAAACCTGGACCAGAGCAGCCGTCTGCAAGGCTCAGTCTATCACTCAGATGTCTTTGCCATGATTGGTGGGCATAATTTAGAACATGTCTCTTTTTCATGTGTTATTTTGGGGGAAGTCTGAACCCAGTCCATCCATTTCCTGCGAACAGGCACCCTCTTCCTGTGGATGTTCTGGCCCAGCTTCAACTCAGCCATCACAGATCATGGGGATGGCCAGCATAGAGCAGCCATCAACACCTACCTGGCTTTGGCTGCAACTGTACTCACCACTGTGGCTATCTCCAGCCTCTTCCAGAAACACGGGAAACTTGACATGGTGATAAATAACACAGTTGGATTGTTTGTACAAAACTTCCAGTGAATTGAAATCTGATGATAATAGAGGCATTTTTCTGCTCTTGTCCCTCAGGTTCACATTCAGAACTCCACTCTTGCTGGAGGTGTTGCCGTGGGAACTGCAGCAGAGTTCATGCTGATGCCCTATGGATCTCTGATAGTTGGATTCTGCTGTGGCATCATCTCCACACTGGGCTACATCTACCTCACAGTATGAGTTTTGAGTTACAAGCTAAAATCACTCTATTGGCTCTTAAATCTGTTGTAATTGTCACTGCTTCCTAAAGTGAATTCAGATCTAATGCAGTTTTAAACTGATTTCTATCTTTTAGCCATTTATGGAGAAGTATTTGAAGATCCAGGACACTTGTGGGATCCATAACCTGCATGCCATGCCAGGAGTTATTGGTGGTATTGTGGGAGCCATTACAGCAGCAGCTGCATCAGAATCAGTTTACGGAGCAGAGGGGTGAAGAAATATCAGCTTTATTGACTTTGATGCGTAATTAACTGCCAGCACAAGACCAGAAAATGATATGGTAATGTTTGTTTCCTCATTTTTTTACTCTGAAAGGCTGACACTGAGTTTTCCTTTTCTGAATTAAAGGCTGATAAACACCTTCGACTTTGAAGGCGAGTTCAAAAACACCGACCCCACTCGGCAGGGTGGTCTCCAGGCTGCAGGCCTCTGTGTGGCCATCTGCTTTGGTGTAGGAGGAGGCATCATGGTTGGTAAGGAAATTACCACTGCAGCTATTATAATCGCTGTAACTGAACATAAATGGCAGACATGTAAATAATGTGATGCTATTATCAGATTAGATATGATTGTTGACACATATTGCATAGTAGGTTGTGTGTTTTGGGATAATGACTCCATTTGTATTCCTCTCAGGTTGTATTTTAAGATTACCTATCTGGGGAGATCCAGCTGATGATAATTGTTTTGATGATGAGCCATACTGGGAGGTGAGAGACAGCATCGACAATAATCTGTACATTCACAATTTAGTGTCATTATTGTCACCAAAGAAATTGTGGAGCTGCATAGAATGACTACTGTCCATCTAACAGATCACATGCCTGTTTTCTCATAACCTTTGAGAAAGAGTAATGAAGTTATGTTACAGCGATTTTTTAATAGAAAGTTTGGAGAGATGCACTTTTCTAAAATCTTTATTGTAGCTAGTCTCCAGCAACTGCTCATATATTCCTCATCTCTCTGCATTTCTGGAGCCTGTCAAATAATCTGACCCAATCTAATTGAAGGGGTTTTTCCGATTAAAAGCAGTTCAGGACCAAGTTTAGCTCTTATAAAACACGCTCATTTTTACATAAATATAAATCTTGGCAGCTATTTATGGTTTGTTATGCAGTTCTTGTTTTGCAACAACTTACTGTTATGTGTTTATTATCCGGAGGCAGTTTTTTTTCCAGCATGAGTTGGATAGATCATTCTGCTGCCACTACTTTTTTCAAATGTTTATAATTTTGCAGTTCATGACACACCTAGTGCACCTAAGGTATGGTTGTTGGATCACTGTGTCATGATAGTGTCAATTGTTTCAGGTTCCCGAAGATGAAGAAAGCATCCCGCCAATCCTCCAGTACAACAACCACATGCAGAACAAAGACATGTGAGTGTTTCTTGACTGTATCTTACAACAACATCCTGCTCAAGGAGACACACTGTTCCTTTAGCAAAGATTCAATACAGGGATGGTGCCTTTGTTAGTGTGACATGTGATGCATTCAGTGTCCTGATGGTGGCAGCAGATCCCAACTTGCCAATCGGTATGTGACGCTGTGATTCCTGCCCTTTGTTGGGTATTTCTGTTCATAGTGTTGATTACAGTGTTAACACATGCAGCAAGGGTGCTGCTGCAGACAGCATGGCACCTCTGCTGTCACTCAGTGAGAGCTGCATTATGAAATGCTGATGCAAACCCTTCAGCTCTGCGCCCCCTCATGAGGTTCACCTGTGCTGTTTGTTGATTTTCACGGCACAGCTCTGCACATGCATGCGGTCTCTCAAAGTCACCTTGATGTTGAGTCGTATTAGTCATGCTTACTAAAAAAAAAAAGGAAATGAAACAATGGGGGAAAAAATAAGAGGCTTGGATTCCTAAAAGTTTTCTGATAATTTTAAGGCCAAATATACAAAAATGTTTGTTTGTGATAATGTTTGTTTCCTTCTTACACAAGCCAAGAATTGAAAAAGAAAAATCTACATTTTAACAGCAATTGCTTTTGAATTTGTAAGACTAAATAAAACCATCTTAATTAATACTGTTTTTCATGCAGTGTGTGGCATTTGTGGTTTTAATTTTCAGAGCGGAGTCAAATTTCACCATGGATCAAAACTGAGAGCAGGCCCATCACACATGACCCATCTTTTATTCTGCTGCTGGACAGAACTATTCAAAAACTGTCACTTTCCACACAGTGAATTATCAATGTCATTTCACAGGTTTGTTCAGCAAAAAAAATGAAGAACTAGAGTCTTACTTTGTTTAAAAAAAACATGTGACTTAAAAAATGCCAGTTGGATAAAGTCTAAATCAGAGCAAATATTTCAATTTTAATATTAGGAAATTTTTAAGAATTTTCTGTAAACATAGATGAATATGCCACAGTTTAATGCTTTGCAAACAAAAACATTTGAATATTGTTCTTGTACATTTGATTACATCCTAAGCTGCACTTTGGGGACGTTCTGCGGGAGCCGTCACCTCTTCATTTCCTTTGTTTGTGTGTTTTCTAGCCGTGGGGTGTAACAGACTTCCACAAAAATGTAATGAGAACAGGTGGACTTAAATGCTGTTTTTTGTGTGTATTTGTATATTTTAGTTGCAATGGTCCTTTAAAAGTAAATGAATTCTTGAAAACAGAAAAAATAAATGTGTGTGTTTATGGAGAACTCTTGCAGTAGGAGCAGTGATGTTTGTTTCAAAGTTTATTTGATAAGTCATTCTTTAAAAAACACATATGTTGACACCTAACATCATCCCTTTTTTCACTAAATACACGTAAAACATCTTGAAGTAAGTGGATGGACAACCAGTTCACAAAAAAATGATTTAAAACACGCTCATGATATTTTACTGTCATGTTAAGGCTATTTATTAAATGTTTGTGCGCTGCTAATAGAAGGCTTAAGGTTAAGTGTTATAAATATTTCTGTTATTTTGATCTAACAATTATTTTTTGTTGTTAAAAATGTGACATACTGTATCTACAGTTGCTGAAAGTCATGTCGATGAATTTCATGTTTCTATCTGTTCATTTAATTTTGAGGATGAATAAAAGGTAATTGAAAAGTGTCATCATTGCATCAAATATGTTGCAAATCAAGAATTCTTAAGCAACTAAGTATTTAAACAGTTGAATAAATGTATAAAACAATATTCAACAATTTTTTTCTTCTGTCTTCCAACCTGTTGGTGTTTCCTCTCCTGTGGGGTCAGACTGAGGGCAAGGGTCACACACCCTTATTGCTCTCTTGGGACACTGTGGTGACCAAACACAAGCCATTGTCATCATCATGTCCATGGGTAAAAGGGGAAATAAAGTGCAAGGTCACTGACAGGGCTGCACACAAACGCTGCAGTCAATTATCTAAAGTTGACTGATATAGAGACATCCTGTGGTTACACACACAAAATGAAAATGATGCTTTTTTTTTCACTCAGGTTAATGAAATTATTATGAGAAGAATCACAACTTGTCTCTGTAATATTGAATCCCCACACTGCTTATTTTTGTATTTGACAGCCGACCCTTCAGTCCATCATTTTAAGCCCTCTGTAGTTCTCACTGGTTGAAGGCAGCAGCAGCAGTGTATGATGGGAGAGTGAATGATTCCCACACATGAGTAGTAACAAGGAATCCATCTCCTGGTACCGTCCCTGCGCTAACAAAGGCAGGCTTAGTGCTGTTTTCTTTTGTCATCAGTAACGTGTTTGAGTAAAGGAGGTAATAGTGCCACAAGTGCTCCAATTAAACGAGATGCAGCCCTGCTGGGAAGAAAGGCTGCCCCATTGCCCTCCTTCCCCCCCTCCGGCCCCCTCCCTCTCTCTGATACATACACACAAATACAAATCCACACAAACCGGGCCTTTTCTCATGCTACCCCCATGCAGTTCCCGCCCAACTCTGCTCATGTTTATTCATCAACTACTTAAAGGCAAAATGCAGAGGCCTGTTCGAACTAGATCAGACTTATTTATTAATGATGCCTGGCCTTCCCCTCTGAGGCTGAGGGAGCCGAGCCTGATGTCAGCCATGTTTGAAGATACTGACTCTCTTTTTTTTTAGTGGTACTGCCCAGAGTTTTGACTTCCACAAATTGTACAGCAGAGAAGGAGAGGAGGGGGGTCCAGAAGAGGTGAGATGGAGAAACTTCAAGAGGCAAAGGGGCATGAAAAGAGGGAGGGGCGGGGAGAGAACGAGGCCTCACTTCCATTGCTGATGACTGACTTGCCTGCCATCGAGGCTCAATCATGATCTCTGATTGACAGGTCGAGGGTGGGAACGAGGGGTGCAGGACTAGAGCTTATAATGGGAGCTACACAAAACATACTCCCATACAGGGGGCTGCAGAGACGCTCATTAATGATAAAGAACATACCAGGAAAAGCATGTTTTCTCTGCATGCCAGAGATGTTGTTTGTGGGTTGAGATTAGTTTGTAATCTTCTGCTGGTGGTGATTTAGAGTGGACAGAACACTACAGGACGCAGTACGACGTGGGAGGTCGAGCTTCAGCACCTTGTCGTGGCTATCTGGCTTTTTGTTTTCTTGTTAGTTCAAAAAAACCAACATGATAGGAGTAGCTGCGAACCATGCCACCTGCCAGCATTTTCACTGGATTGTTTAAATCTTTACGGATATGTGTCAGTCACTCCTGTAAAACAGCCCCAAATTCACTGTACAGTCAGGAGGATTTACAGCAGTTAAAGAGGCATTCAGGGATCCATGTTCACTCCCTGTAAAGAGAGCAGTAAAATCCCCCATGAAAGCAACCACAAGTCTATAGAACTGTTCATAAACTACCCCAGCACTTTTATTTTCTCTATATATACAGCTCCAGTTTTCCTCAAAGGGTTGCTTCTTAGCAGGTGCATCTGACACCTGAAACCTCTCTGACCATCTATGTTGACCGCTTTATTTGCTGGATCCTCTTTTCCACCATTTGTGTAAGAATTGTTTATGCAATTCTTGCACCCCAAAGCATTTCAGAGAGAAGAACTGTGCTTGTAACCACACTAAGTACAATTGTACAAATGTTTCCAAGTCCAGTGACGATCCTGATGTCTTCAAAATGTTCTCTCTGTGTGGTCTTTTACCCAGATTTTTGGAAATGGAGCATTCACTGTGGTGTACTGAAGTAAGTTTTCGACACACATTTTCACATCGTCAGCATGTAGTATAAAAAAAGAATCTTCCTGAGTTCTTTAGCTGATCATTTTTGTCCTTTGCCAAAATATTAAAAAGCTCTGTAATCCCACTGTTCGTGTACTTTGCAGGCAATTGCATTTACCATAGTAGACCTGCAGAATCACCTTCATTTTTACCTCCGCCAAGGAGGTTATGTTTTTGGTAGCGTTGGTTTGTTTGTTTGTCTGTCTGTGACCAACTTTACGGAGAAAGTTACAGACGGATTGACCTGAAATTTTCACCAGAGGTCAGCTCAGCCCCAGGAGGATCCCATTACATTTTGGTGGTGATCCGGATCGCCTTCTGGATCCAGAATTCTTTATCATTGTGACATAGGGCAAATTTTTGGAATTTTTGCATTTAACTCTATGAAAATGACCAGAGTCTTTAGTAAAAAATTACACAAAAGGATCTCATTGAGTTTTATGAGGTGTCAAAGGTTGATCCTGATCCAGACAAAATTCTGGATACTGTGATCCAGAACACACAAAAATAAGGGTGTCGTTGGAATTTTCAATGCTGAAAGATAACCAATGAAGATACAAGGAAGTGTGCGCTTACAAATATTGCATAATAAATCATGCATTTATGTATCTAATATGAGCTTTGTTGTTTTAGGAACATTATGAACAGTGAACATACCAGTTTAAACACAAATAAAAGTTAATAAAAGACACGTAACAGTAAAAGTTTTGGTGTGAATCACAATATAAGGGGGGGCATGAGCTGCTCGGCGGAGGTCTGCGCTCTTTCTAGTTGATTTTGCAATCACTCACCTGTTTTTATGTATCAAAAGTCATCCCAACACCCTTCTATCATTTTGTGGTTCAAAACATTAGAATCATTTCTGTTAGTAATCTGATTTTCTGTCAGATTTATTAAATGTCCCCTCAACATTTTATGTAAGTACAAATGTGGGGTCATGTAGGCTACTTAACTACATTATTACAGTTTTATATCACTTTCTCTTTATCGTACTTCTTGCTCGTGACCTTTTGTCTGCAAATGTTGATTCTTTGGTCGATGAAAACTTGTGAACTTTTACTCAGACAAGCATCTGAACGAGGGACATACTGTAATGTTTAGCTGAAAAAATTGTGAGCGCTTTCACTACTTTGCCTCACTTTTTCTCCCTCTGTGTGTGACCTGCAAATGAAGCCCCCAGCCCAGTCCACCCCAGGTATCCACAGGCCTCCCCACACCACTGACCATCCACAGAGGCTGCTTAAGTGTCCCTAACGGACCACAGTGGAGAGGAACAGCAGATTAACCATGATCCTATCCGCTCACCGCTAGCCCCTTCATACGCTCCGTTACACCAGCATTTAAAAGGAGGAGGGGATGCCATTCAGACCTCTGATATGAATCCCAGACGCAGGGACGGGAACAGAGCTTTCACCCCCAGTTCCACAGAAAAGACCCCTTTCTGGCACCCTCTAATTCTGGTTGCTACGGGCTTCAGGGTTCAATGGCGGACTCCTGTTGTGAGGGGACAAAGCCCCTCAGTCACACGGCCATGGTTGCTAGGGGAGGCCGAATGTATGGGGAGGGACGGGCTGCCGTTGTCCCAGACGAAATGTCTCTCTTAAGGCGACCAAGATCTGGTGATTGACAGGTGGCTACACGCTCCACTGCGGATCACCCGGGAGGTCTGAGAAGGCCTTATATCTGTGACCGGGGTGTGTGCATGTGAGCTTGTGTGAAGAGGTGCGTGGATGCAGGTTACGTTGGTTAGCAGAGAAAACTGACAGTTTGGGCAAAACAGATTCTGACATTATTAAAGTGTGAACTGATTATTACCTGTAGAGGGGGCTGCTTCTGTTTCAAGAGGATGTTTAATCACCTGGTTATGAACCACTCAGTCTGTGTCTTCGAGTGCAGCTAGCTATGCTGGAAGAAGTACCATGATGCACCAGTGTTTAAATGCTCAGTCTATGTAAACCTCTTATACTCAAATTCGTGTTCTAAGCCCACTCCTCTGCAGATTTATTTATGAACAACCAAAAGGACTCTTTCTACATTTGATTAGTATTAAGTTTCTCTGTGTACAACTCCCATCTTAGTTTAACATATGAGAACAGGATTTATTTTTAGAAAGCTGATTATGGTCCAGTGTGCAACTGTATGATTATCATTTATCATAATCAGTGCATACATTTGTACTTAGTGCATGTATGTAGGTTATCATGAATTTAAAAAAAATCCCCCAAAAATAAAAGTTCCTCTGTAAATTAATGGCCCATATGACTGCTAATATTAATTTTGATATAATGTATTAAGTGCTTAATCTGAAAGTTAATGCATCAGATAAAAATAGTCTTTCAGATTTGATGGATTTACAGATTTTTGGTCCATGAGTCTCTAATATAAATGTCAAAATGGAAATATGAAGGATGAGGATGTGATTCATGTCGTTGAGAAGGAGCAGACCAAAGCTTTGTGTCACAAAGAAGTTATCAATGTTTGGACTTTCCTATTTTTGAATTTGATATTTGAGTTGTTTATTTTAGACATGATACTTTTGTGAGCATTGAGTAATTTATATAAATATAACAGGAGTCTCAAAGACGACGACTTTCTTGAAGGGGTCGCAAAACCAGTGTGCTCTTATTTTCCTGTATTCAGTATTCACATGAAATGACACAATTTTGTTAAATTAAGTTTAACAGATAACAAAATTTATTAAAAGGACAGAAATTGTAAAAGGCACAGCTAATAAAAAGGTAAAAACTAAAAACCAAATTTGAAAGGTTTTTAGAAACACAGGAAAAAAACATACATTTATAAATAGCTTGCCATTACAGTGACCAGTACATTATAGGTCTGCGTATGTATCATCCTGTAATGGTGAGTGTTTAGAACGTAGTGGATTAATACTGATACTATGAAATGAAGAGGATAAACTGATGCATCCGATTATAGACAAAAAAAAAAAAAATTAAAAGGTGATGTTTGATCAGCCAATATTAACGGGCAAGTATTTTGTGTTAATATAAATGAAAGGTTTGATGTTGGAAAAAAAAAAACGTTTTTATGAAAGCAGATTTTTTTAGACAAAGAAAAATGCAAAACTGTGATTTGTGATCCATCTCTCTCTCCTTCTCCAGCCAGAAAACCATTTCCTCTCTGAACCCCAGACATCAGCGGCCCCTGTGTCCCCCTCCGGGGCCATGGAGGTGAGTGGGAACAGACAGGGTAAGACGTGGGGCTCTAAAGGGGTTCACACACGTCACTGTCCTCCCCACAGATAGACGTCTGGGACTGTCTGGCTTCTGCACTCCCAGACAGGGAGCCCTTCCACCCGTCAAATGCTACACACGCCCAACCCCATCCCCTTTTCCCCTTGACCGTGACTCTCTGTCACCGCAGCCCTCCAGACTGTCTGGGGTCAAAGGTTAACTCAGCAGCCACACATCAGATACGGTTCAAGTCCCCTGTGTCCATATGAATGCTGAATGGTAAATCACCCTAAAATCAGCCTGTTGGAATGTGGCTTTGAATTCCTGCAGAGACGAACCCCGGGACCTCAGAAGGACTTTAAAAACTAAAAAAAAATAAAAACAGATTGATTTTGTCGTCTTTATTACTTCTCTCTGTCTGCCTCCACAGGATTGTGATTTTTAAATAAACAAAAAACTGCTCATCTGCATAAATGTTGAGTTTATAGTGATTTGTTCTTTAAAAAAGCACACATTGTTATATTTTCAATTTTAAAAAAATGTTTTTATTTGCTGTGTTTCTACGCAGCCGTGCTACATTTTACCTTTCACCTTTGACTGCTGACTCACAGCTTCTTCCTCCAATCACGGCTGAGCTTCACCAGCATGTCATGACAGATTCATAAGAGGAGGGAACGGCAGCGTCTTCACGTGGCTTTTTGAAAAATGCAAACCCACTCAGTGTGAAGCTCTGCTGATGAGCTCCTCAACGCCTCATGTGGGCATGCGCACAGAGCTGTGCTGTCTCAATATGGACTCTCATCTCTCACATCACATCAGCCGCCTCTTACCATGTGTCTCTAATTCACCCCCAATAGACACCCACTTCTATTTTCTTATCCAGAAAAGTATTTTTACTATATCTAGGTGAGGTTTCTGTCAGTTTCTTACTGCTTAGAAAGTCAGATGTTTGTCATCCTTTTTCTCTTTGAAGACATTTTACATCTTGGCAAGTCAGTCTATGTGATTTTAGTCTAAAAGACTGAGGAGTGCAAAACCACCAGGCACGGCAAAGCCAGGTGTTACAATAGATGGTTGAACTATTGACATTTAATGTTTTTTCATAGATGAAGCAGGATTTAAATATACAGATGTTAAGAAAACAAGGAAAATGACAAGAAGCTCACAGAGAGTCTTTCAAATCTTTGTTTGCTAACTTACCCACAATTTAAAGGCATCTATTCAATTAAAGGTAGGCAAAACACAGTCTTGGCTATTCTTTAGCATTTCAAATACCTGCAAACTGAAAACCAACACTTATCTCCTCAGGACTCCTACAGCTTCTTCTACCAGTCTGTTTTAATCATTCATCAACCTTCTCTATAGGTGTTTTCTTTTTTATCATTGAAACTATGAGATGCTGCCACTCTGTGCCAGATTTAATTAAGGTTCAATAAGAATAATAATTATTCTAAAAGGCGTCAAAGCTGAAATGAATCTAGTTGACAACTGAAAATAAACATGTCATCTTTTTAAGTCTACTTCAGACCAATAATGAAAGGAATAAATGACAGATATCAGACTAGAAACAAGCACAAATGTTGAGCTTTTGTTAGTTAATGTAATGATAGATGGGCTATCGTTTAAATCACTTTTATGCTAACCTACAATTTGTCCTTAACCCTTTTTTATATTTTATTTTCAAACCTTTAAAATATACTCATTTTGTTAATAAGTCATTGGATGATCTCTGATCGAGTTTGACTTTTTCACATCTGATCAAAACTAAATCAGCTGTGATGCATCACAATTTTAAAATATAATTAAAACAAAGATACATTTTACTGTCTTTTACAAAAAATAGTAAGAGGCTGTACTTTGAATTATTATTATTTTTTTAATTGCTTTTTTAATTCTCAAATTGTAATTCTTATTTTTGTGCTGGATAATTACTCTAATTCTATCGAAACATAATCTATAATAGGCACACACACACAAAAAAAAAATTATTCCCGGAGTCAGATGTCTTGTCGACATAGAAATATTGTTTTCGGATTATTTTCCCTTGTAGCTCCTTAAAATCCCATCAGTAGTCCAACTCTACTGCAGTGCGATCAATCAACATTGGCCCTCAAAACTTCAGAAAATCAGATTACACGTGTATGCGCATAATTCCGTGTTGCTGACTGTCATTTAAACCCTTACACCATCATTCAGGAGCCATTTGGCCTGTAGGATAAAATGTAAACAGAGCTGGCACTGGCTGGCTCTACAGTACATTACATCGGCCGTCCATTAACTGTGTTACAGGCCGTGTGCGAGGCGCTGCACGCAGCTGCTGCACCCTGACGCTCACCCATGAAAGGCTGTAAACACTGATGGAAAGCGCAATCTGACAGGGTGTAAACTGGAACACCTGGACTGCTTAAACAATGACGATAACGTGTAAAAGGCACCCAGATTTAATCAGATCATTTTATTGAACGTTTTGAAGTATCAAATTTGTTAAAGGGGTCTACAAACGCGATTTTTAAACTTTAGACATAGGAACGCTAGGGAAAAATGAGGATTCAAAGGGAATATTATCCAGTCTTTACACGGACCGTATATCAGTTTCAATGTTAAATCACTTTTAAAAGTTTCAAGAGGAGATCTGAGGCTCAGAGTGGTCTTTTCACAGTGATGGTGAGCTGAAGTTAGTTCATGTGATTCAGGCTCAGCTGTTGGCGCTGTCCTTTCAGCACTACTCTGACGCACATTTTCCTGTTAATCTCCTCTCATCTCCACAGCATTCACAGGTTTATACAATATGCACTGCAATCTATCAGATCCGTAACCACGTGTAAAGATTTTTTTTAAACCCCAGATTTAAGTTTGTTGTTGCTCTTATAGTCTCCAAAAACTCGACAGTTTCCGAATCTTGATTTTCTTTTTTCTATTTTATTTTAATGTAAATGTATTTGATTTGATCGTTAAAGAAATCCTAAGTAGTTTGGATGGGGTATCAGTTCCTCAGGAGAAGAACAAACTGATTATACAGAGACCCAGACTGTATGGGTGGGGGGGCGGGCCTCCTGTTGTTTCAAACCAGCTCCTCTAACTTCCCAAAGCGCAGGGGGGCCCAGAGGCAGCGCTGTATAGAGTGTGTTAGCCTCAAGTTCAGATGGAGACTCCTCTGAAGCCGCAGAGCTGTGTGTTGTGTGCTGTGTGTTGTGTTGTGTGAGCTCCGAGGAGGAAAGACTTTTAGGACACATTAAATCAGCCTGATTAGGAGTTTAGGCAAGGGCAGGGCTCAGGTCCGGACTGAAAGGGTGCTGAGCAGCTCTCGAGTGATACTATTCACATCCTGGGAGAAAGGTCAGTGTCAGAGGAGTTCACAGGCCCCATCTCCATTCTTATGCTAAGAATCACGCACATAGGCCCATTCAGAGGCTAGAAAGGCATAAACAGCTTCCAGCGACTTTCCCTCCAAAATGTTTGGATTCCTCAACCAGGGCCCTGATGTCCTTCCTCTCTGTTCCTCGTTTTTTTAAGAGGAGAAAATCTGCTTTTATGTGAGCTCATTCAAGTGCAACTCCTCAGGGTGATTATTTACACCTTCTTTCAGAGTTTAAATTAGGTTAAAAACATCAAACTCAAGCATAAAAAGATATTTTTTCTAAAATCGAAACGGTTTGTTCAGACTACTTCAGTAAAATAAATGTTTGATTGTAGATTTTTGGTCTTCTGTGAAAGCCTGTAATGACATGATGCTGTGGTTTTCCGGCTTTGATTATCTGTTGTTCCAGTCATTAATTTTAACTTGTCTGTGGGTTTTATTAACTTGCTCTGAATAGACTTCGTCATGCCTTTTCCTGTCCATCTCTTGGTCCGGCAGTCACAAGAGAGTAGTCGGATATAGCCACTTAATTAGCTGCCCTTGACCTTTGGCCCCTTCTCAGATGGCTCCTGACCTTAACCACCTTCCAGCATGATTATTGCCCTCTGGGGGACTGTCCACATTGTGACCCTTTGACCCATGCTGACCTGCAGGGACCTATACCCAACAGGTCCCTGACCGGCTGAAGCTCATCAAAAAGAAATATTCTGAGCTGAGCGTTTCTGCAGCTTTTTAACACCTGCATACTAACAAAAAACTAAAACACACCATTACAGAGCATCTCTGCAGTATGTGGTGCTCTTTAAAAATGATGAAATCACAGTCTTGTAGGAATGATTTGGTCTTATTTTAAAGTCAACTTCTGCAGAGGCTGATTTCACTAATTGGTTTCTATTCATCCACAGAGGGGAACTAATCACTAGGATCAGCTGCTGTGGTTTGGATGGATTGAAGACATGCTGACTCTTACATGAGCCACCATGAAATCTCCAATGGTATGATTTTAGTGTAGATGTTAACAAACTGTTTTAAAAGTGCTGTTCACACTCCTCAATGATTATAACGCTCTTCTCATTGTATCTGAAAATAAACTTACATTAATTTTTATCACTTATTCACTTGTTTATTTCTACTAGAAAAAACATTCACTTAACTTATTTATTTGATTGATTATTTTATTCATTAGTAGTTACTGTCCTTCGTATTATGTTTTTATGTTTTTAGCATGCTCTTAACAGGGTCATACTGGCATTTTAGTGATATCCAACGACTTTTTTTTATTTTGTTTATTTTATTTATTTATTTTAGTCTCTTGACCACGATCAGTGGGAGTAGCTGTCAATGTCTTTGGTCTGCTGCATGTGTCCTGTGTTTTTAATGCTTGTGCATAAATGCCTCTTTCGAGACTGCAAAACAAACCTACGTACGAGTATTGATAAAGTTACCTTGAACACTTAGTTTTTTTTTCTACTTCATTTAAATGTTTACACATCTAGACACTCTTTGTATAAGAAATTGTGTTTTTTTAGAGCATTGAATGCACCTGCTTTCCTACTTTTGCTGATCTGACACCAGTTTTTTCCTGCATGGCGATCAATTTCTCTCCTAGAATGGAATGAAGATGCTCTGATGCTTTATACACAGGCCTGTGTGCTTCATATGGGATCAATGCAGGTTATGCAATAGCCAGAATAGCTTTAATTGTATAACATTGAAAAGGCCTTAATAATCAGTTTAGCCTAAATACACACTCAGTGTTAAGTGATTCATATACATACATTTAGAGCCATTTTTAAAAGGAAAAATTCTCGCGACAAAACTTGAAAACATGGGGCGTTAGTGTTACATTAATATAATTATTATTTTACTGTTCATACTTCATAAAACCTTCCTCATTTCCACGGAAAAAAAGATTCAACTCTGTACTCCTTTGTTATAAACGGACACTTGCGTGTGTTTTTTTCCCCTGTCACTTTAAAGCGTTTTTGTTTGTTTCCACAAAGCGTTTAGAGACCGAAATAATCCCCTGTTGACCCCGCGCGTGTCCATCTGTTGTTTGACTCCGGACACAGATCAGGCGGACACTGATTGAGCTCTGACCAACACCAGGACGGCGTGTAATCCCCCCCAAACCCGATTAATCGACAAAAGTGTGCGCTGCATGGTGGTCAGGGATGTATTCATTACGTGTAAAAAAACAACCTACATTAAATTGAGACGTTTTTTTAATCCAGATTCTGGATATAGCTTTAATTTTTAAGATTAGGCCTTGAAATGAGTCGCCATGCAGTGGGAAGAATCTGTGTAGGCCTGTGTTTCTTTAAAAGATAATTAGTTCACATTCTCCTGATAGACTAAATAAAACATGAGGAGAAGGAATAAAGCTGATTAGCCTACATATTTTAATTTAAGACAGGCTCTTTTTTTTGGCTGAGTTTAGTGGCTGGTGAACTTTTTTCCCCTCACACTGATTCAGCACACGTCTCTTTGTCTGCTCCTCCTAATTAAATTTAATGCAGGGTCACTCAGACCTGTACCCACACTATCCTCACACATTCAAACACAAACACACACACACGACCACGTGAATAAAAAAAAGGGATTCAGCAGGTCTGATCTGTCTACTTTGGACAAATTTTAGGTCTACAGTTTTGAGTGCTCTGAAAAAAAGAACACCTAAATTCTTTCATTGGGTTAATTTTGATTTAATTATGTATTAGTTAAGTGTTAAAAAAAAAATACAGTTCCCTGTTAATTTACCAAAATCAAATATTGTAATAACTTGCCAACAAGACAGTGATTTTATTTTATTTCTCATTTTTATTTTAAAGATGTGTCATTTACAGGAGCTTACAACAGTGACTCATTTATTTTATGAGCATTACAGTATCAGTTATTTCACTTGACACAAATAAGAGCAATAGATAGAATACAAATCAGTAGAAAACCAATCAAAACAGCTTAAAAAAGCATGGATTAAAAGTAACTTAAACTTAAAATACCATACTGTAAATGAAAAATGCACACTTTGTCATTAAAACTGTATTATGACAAAGTATAAAAGCGTGCTATCCTATCATTAAATCTGCACCATTTACAGATATTATCTAAGACATCACAGGCTCCATTCAGATGTCTGTTTACAGTCCTTTTACAACTGTCTCTGACGTCTTGAGCTGATGTTCTGTGTGGAGGAATCTTGCGTGAGTTTGGTTCTGGTTCTCCTCATGCCTTCAGGCTCTTCCATAATGGGTTTGCAGATCCTGTCCATCCTGGGGAGAAATGATGGAGGGAACCATTAGCACCACATGTGAATTTTTACCCTGCATGGACAGAAGTTGACTCATATTTGCACTTGGGGCAAAGAAACAAAAAGGAAAGATTGTTCATGATATATCTGATTATAATTGTGTTCATAAAGGTAAGTAACTTTTTCATAAAGAATCTGTACATAACAAGCCCTGTTTAAAACTTTAAATTCACTTTTCGGATCTTGCAAATAATAATAGGTACTTGATAAAGCATATGCCTATTAAATGGAACAAAGGGCTACAGGGTAAACTAACACATAACAAAGGTAAACATAAAAGTGCTCATGGAGAAGCCTTGGGAGCATTTTCAGACGAGAGTATTCTTAATGTGTTAATGACTCTGCAAAGCTGGTACTGTGGTGACTCTGCAATACGGCGTTTGTTTTGAGTGTGATATTTAGTTTTGCACATCACAAATTGCAGGCAGTGTTTCAGAAAAACAAACTTCCTTTTCATGCCGTGTAAAAAATAGGCCCCTGTGCTCTGCGTGTTGTTCTCCTCTCCCATTTTCAGGCAGTATGTACGGAGGGATCTCAAGGCTTTTATCCCCGCAGGGAACCAGCCCCAACTCTTTCTCTGTCAATTTTCGCCCACTCCCCAATTCAGACGAGCCCTTTTCTCCCACCGAGCCCACAATGAAGGATTTGTCCTCGTTCTCTTTGTGCACCTCTGACATCTTTTTTTGACTGCTCCCTCTCTGCAGACGGCATGCAGCGTATGCAAATACACTCTCTTTTCTTCCTCAGACCCCTCCCCTGGATGAATGCAGCCTTAAATGAGGACACACTTGCACATGGTTACAGAGGGGGCAAGGAAACACGCACATATTACAATCAGTGGATTTCCATGCCCTCACTGACATGCAGTCACTCAAATATTGGGCACTGCTTATTTCAAGGAGAGGGGACAGAAATATTAGAACGAAAGCTTTAATACTGCTGTCACTGATTATTTTTTGTTATTGTTGTTGTTTTTTAGGGGGGGAACATAACATGAATAATAGTTCAGTTGGATGGGTGGACCGATTTAGTCACTTTCTGTTCCCAAACAGTACATTACTGTTTAATTTAGGCTGTTCTAATGTTAGGTAAGCACTTTATTTATATATTTATCACATTAAGTAATCTGTGCAGAGCATAATTTCTGAAATTTTTTCCACAAAAACATGAACTTCTCATGTGAACTTCATGAAAATGATCTGACCAATCGTGAAAATCCATTGTGTGCTGTACTGCACTTGATAAAGCAGAAACGTGGTTGTGGATTCAAGCAAAATGCCTTTAATCACTGCTGATTTTTGGTTGAAACACTCCAGTTACATGATAGTTTGAAAGCTTTTTATTTTGGCAGTTTGTTACTTATACAACTGCGGAAAGAAAACAAGTCAAGAGTGATATTTTAACCACAGTAATGGTATTTGATGTTTGATTAAATGAGTAGGTCTAAACACACACACACACACTCACACAGCTTTGATAAGGCAAAAGAAGAGGTCCAACAATGTGGAGCAGGAGCAGCACTGTGATGAATTATCACAGCGTCTGATGAACAGAAAGCAGCTAACATTCCCAAGCTGGCCCGTGCCATCTGTGAGTGTGTGTGACTGGGCTGGATATAGTTTGTGTGTGTGTGTGTGTGTGTGGTGGGGGGTTGACGTCTGCTGGACAGCTCTGACAGTTCGGCCTTTTCAGACTTACATTACTGAGCCGACTGGGCCTCTTTCCCATAGCAACCCTCGCAGAGGTCAAAGGCTATGTACCCCCCATGCACCAACTATACACCCACCACCACCCGCCTCCCTCTTCTGTTAAACACCAGGGTGGCCACAGACTCTCTTCACTCCACAGACGGAGAAGCTGCACCTATGAACTTGAACTTGACTTGAGTTCTGAGTGACGGAGTTCAACCATCTGATGCTAGACACACACTGTCTGCACGACAGGAGAAAAAAACCTGCAGTGTGTGGCAGCATTGTAAAATACTGCAATCAGGATGTAAAAAACTAATGAAGAAAGAAATATAAAAGAGCACATCAGCTCTTATTCATAGTCTGTGTCAATCTGCTATTTTTCAAGTTTTACTCGATACAAGGTGAAACCTGCTCCTAAAAAGCTTCTTTTTTCATCTTTGAAGCAGCAACAATTAATCTTAATGTAGCCGATAGTTGAATGAGCATCATCTAACTGCATCGAAAAAGTGCAGATGTTTTAACCTGTTAGTCAAAAAGTACCAAACACACATGCTTAGTGAGGAAAGATTAGCATAAGATCATTTTTGTCAGTTAATTTGGATAAATTCAGACTTCATCACCTAAGAATGCACAAACAGTAAAACATATGAGGTCATATCAAGGATTCCCCTTTAATTCTCTCCACCCTAGCACCTCATTTTCTCTTGATGTGATTACAAAGGGCCGCTGTATTAAAGGCTCAGTCACCTAATTCTCCTCTACTTTCATTGGAGCACACAGGACCCCCACATAGGGACGCCACAGCCAACGGACGTAATCTGCAAAGCCTTGGATGTAGAAACTTCTCTCCATCTTCCTCTAAGATACTTAATGTCAGGCTTTGTGCTAGATTAGTCTCGGCCAAAGTTGCATTAAAAAAAACCCAGATGAGCCTCGCTTGACCCACATTGGACCTCGTCCAAGACTCTGGGCTGCCCGTGAGTCGGGCTTTATATTTCACAGAAGAGCCGTTAAAACATTCATGGTGTCCACACATAGTGAGGAGAATCCAGAGAGGTAACCCAGGAGCTATATGGTATTAACATTTCATCACGACTATGGCTACACTGCTTTAGCAGCACTGAGGTGGAAGTGAGAATGGCTTCTGATGCTTCATCATGTCACACATATAATTTCCCACCTCTAAAGACCCCATGTGAAAAAAAAAAAAGTAGTACATATTTAATAATAAATAACAGTGAAAGAAGAGAAGGGATGAAAGGAAGGGAGGGTAATCATCTAGATTCTGCCATTTTTCTGGAGGGGAAATTCATTTTTCTGTCCATTTTTTAGTACAGCCTAAGAAGGAACTGAAGGATGAATATTAAAGTCAGTGTATCTCTATAGTGTGCAAAGAAGAGTCAGAGGAATTCACATCTTAAATCCTTCCAACACCGAGTCAAAGCTGCTGACCTCGCCAGTCAGACGCTCTGGTTTCAGACAACCTGGATTGAGAATTGTCTTTATTTCAGAGCAGATTAAAACTGTTTTACTTTAGTCTCTGTAGGGCATAACAAAATGTTTGGATCAAGATAAATATATATCTTTAGTATAAACCAAACTTGTGTGTTGCAATTAGTCAGAATCAGAAATCATTACTCTGGTGGATAATCTCGTGGTGCTCTTTGTGTATGCTGGTGTAATCCCCCCAAAAGCCGCTCCTCACAGTCACAACCTCCCTCCTTCTCTGACCATGCTGTCTGTCCACTGCTGCAACTTCATACCAACCTCACGTCTAACTGCCTCACTTACAAATAAGCAGACCCACACACATATGCGTGCACACAGCAGTCTCCCGTGCCCACGTTCTCGCTGCTGCAAATTGCTTTGCACTGCACAAGCTAGCACAAGCTAACTTTATCAGCAAAAGCAGAGGTGGCTCACTGGTGGCTCAAACATGGCTGCCCATGTGCTACACCTGCCTCCTCTGCTGCTTCCTACACGCATTTCACCCTAAACCTTTCCTGATATGCAAGGCTTATCCTTTAATTTTCAATCGCATCCATTTCATCAATCTGTCCCTCTTCTCCTCTGTTTTTTTTTAACCTACTCTGGATTCTTGCATTAGAGGCGTAGCATGGAGCAAGCTACAGTATCTTCAAGATTAATTCCTCACCTTCGCTTCTCTCTCCTGTCATATCTGCCCTAAGCAATGCACTGTATATCACAGATGAGAAGTGCAAATGCAATTACAGAGACAGCTCTGAGTCTTTCATTCGAATATGGAGGGGGAATCATCTTTTGATGTGTGGGCTGCGCACGCCTTACATATCAGGAATACGTACAGTATACGGCTCATTAATAATCATTACAGCAGGTTACATCATTCTGCTTGTTAGGCACACCCATCGCCTCAGCTGAGTCATCCTCCTCGGTGACATGCTAACTGTCCTGTGAGGTTTCGATGATGTCCAGTACAGATGTGTCAAGATGTTGTTTGCACTAAAGAGGAATCCCAACCAGCAGCTAAGCTTTGTGTGAAAATGTGAGAGAAAATCTCGACACACTTCACCTCTTGTACCCTTAATTTCCCATGCCTCATGGTGTAGGCCTAAGCGTATGCACCCATCTGCATATCATGTATGTTTGCATGTCTAATGCCAGTGAAATCCTTCCCTCTTGGCAGAAAAAAGCATCTCCATGCATCTCAGACATGCAGAGGAGGCTGAATAGACTAATGAACAGTCAGGTGGCACAGCATGGCCCAGACTACTACCCCCCATCACACACACATATCAAACATGCATACACTTGCACACACATTAAGACTCAGCGGCTCACCCGACCCGGTGATCCGCACGACAGTCTAATGTCTCAGGCATCTGCTCATGTCTAGTCTGGAGGCTCTTTCCCACCCTGCCCCCCAGCCAAAGACTGCCGCAGCACCCGCTCCCACAATGGTGGGAAAGCAGGCCTTTACCAAGGGGAGCAGGGGTGGAGGGGGTAAACAGCTATTGAGGGGGGAGACAGAGAGAGAGAGTGAGAGTAGGGCTGAATGATAATTTGAAAATGCACGGCACTGTTCATTAACACACAAGCAGTGCAGCTGCACATGGTGGCCCTGAACACACACACTCATGTGTCGCACTTTTCTGCTTTAGGTCCCTGCAAGAGGTTACAGAGGGGTACAGAGAGAGAGGTTTGATGCCATGATCAGGAGAGTCTCAGAATCTATTAACACACTCTTGGTGTGAGAGAGTGGGAGTGAGGAAAGAGAGGCTGTAGGGGTTAATTGAGGGATATTTTTGACCTTGTTAGATCTGGTAAAGGTGATATTTTCACACCAGTGACGTCTTGTGTCCATTCTATGTGCATGGTTCTAAATGTGATCTGCAATATGTGTGCATTGTTTTAAGGAAAGTGTTTTTCTGTATAGAGAGAGTGGTTTTCAATATAAATATAAATACTTGAGAAGATTTGTAATCCCATACATGAACTGTCTTTTAAGTGTCATTTCAACCTGGGACCTTGGTAATGTTCTGACATGCATAACTTCTGAATATTTTAAAGGCAAAATCAGCAACATCTAGCATAGGGAGTAAATCCACGTTAAAAAATTCGCAACTGTATTGACTCTTAGACTGTAACAGCTGTACCATTTACAGCAGTTATGTGACTCCCCAAAAAGGAAATCTTCTGGGTATCCCCCACCAACCCCCATTTCTTTTCAACACATTTCACCTGAGGTGCTCAGTGCATTAAGAGTGCTCGGGCACCGACGCTTTACATCGTTAGATGTTCTTAACAACAAAAGCATTTTTTCGTGAATTCATGTTTGTGGTTTGCCCAGCGGAAACAGGACGTTCACTTTGGCCTGGTGTGCATCGGAGAGTAAAGAAGCGCCATGACTAGAGAGGGTGGCAGGTTTCCTTCAACCGGTGCCAGCTCATTAATTTGTTTGCTACCCAGCCCCACTTACCACCCCCAACCCCCTCTTTCCCACCGCCAACCACAACCTTCCTTTCTTACCCACCACCCACTCCCCCCCTCACATCATCCCTTAACTGCTAATTAGCAGGAGCAGGAGATGGAGGAGAGAAGGGAGAGGCCATGCGTGAGTGGAGGAGGAGGAAATGGGAAACTCTTCTTCATTCTCTCATCCTTTCTCTTGCCCCCATCCCCCATTATCGCACACACACACACTATCTCACCCACCTCTTGCCCACAAGAACCAACACGACTGGTAACCAAAAGAAAAAAAAAAAAAAAAACATGATGCAGCTCACCTCGCGTGCTAGCCCCAGCCATTTTAGGTGTCGAAACAACATCTCTCCCAAGATGGCTCCTGTAAGCACGCCTATATTCGCAGGATCCGGTGGGGTCTTTGTCCGCCTCTTGGCACGGGTAGGGCATCCCCCCCGTTGGCAGTGCAGATGGCATTAGAGGCTCTTGGGCATGAAGGGTGAGGAGAAGAGGGTGGGGAGAAGAGAGGGAATCCATCCGTTTCCTTCAGTGTTTTCTTTAAACGGTGGTTGAAACATCTTTTCAGGAATCCCAGATTGAAAGCCTGTTACGAAACAAACTGTGGGAAAGAAAACAGAAAATTGAAGTGTGAGTTTACAAAAACAAATCCTCCTCATTTTGACAATCTTACTTAGCATCTTTTCTTCAAACCAGCAGCATGCAATGGGCACAGAAACTCGTAGTGTTCAAAGTTATGAGTTCTTTTGATTACCTCATGACATAGAGTTGCGTTTTTGTGTGAATGAGTGTGTTTATGGTTGTATACCTGCTGAAATAAAGAGGACTTTGGACCATCTCATAAATATCCTCTTATTTTTTTCTGCTATTCATTAAAGGGGGGACGCCATAGTGAAATGCCACCTTTTAAAGGCAATGCTCGGGTACAGACTTGTACCGCGGCCTTTTCACATATCCAATATCTCCCTGTGAAATGAAGCAATTAGCCTGGTTTGACAATCAGTTTCGCAGCAAAAGGTGGTTAAGAGGGTGAATGAAACCTCATTTCACTTTGTGCTCTTGAGGTCTTAGTGGCTTTCTACAGGCCGAGCCGCACAGAGATGAAGTACCAGGATAAAAGTTCAGACCCTGTCTTACAGCACGGCCCCGGGCAGCCCTCTCTTTGAACAGAGACACAATGTGTCCCAAACAGTCACTACAGAATCAAATACAGACACCAAGTGTTTTTTTTAACCGTTTGTATAAGGCAACACACCACTCAACTGCTTTATGAGAGAACTTAATGACATGAAAGCCTGGAAAAGATTTGGCTTTTCTTTGCTTTCTTCTATAAACACAGTCTTACAAGTGAAATTTAGGATTTGCTAAACTTTAAATTAACAATCATCCAAAACTTGAGTAGATAAACTCAAGACCTGAAAAATTCCATTTGAGCAAATTCTGAAAACATGCATGAAAAGCTTCTAAAACAGGAAAAGCAGGGTTTGAATAATAAAATTCAAGGTGGATAAATGTAGCTGCTTCAGTGTTATGCTCATGCTGGCTCACTGTCATCGTGTACAGGGATAGTTAGTGATGCTTTTCTACAATTGTAAGTCAAAATCTATGTTTTTTTTTTTTTACCCTACACTGCTGCCTGCCTATAACTACAGGATTTTCCCTCATAATAAAAAGCAAAGCTCACCTTAAACAGTGTTTCAAAAGTTTGGCTATCTAGCATATGAACAGACGCTGATAAAAAAAAAGAAACTTTGGTAGTTTTGTTTTGGCCTTTATTGCCCTCCACTTAACATAGATGGACAACAAAGCCTAATTTTTTAAACTAGTTATAAAAATAACCCTGATAAGATATAGTAGAAAAATAAAAACTAGACATTTCTACTTTCTTCTGCTTTTCTTCTATATTTCAATTTTCTTCCTCTTAAAAAAATAGGCAAAAAAGATTAAGCGTTTAATGTGGCTCTAAAATATATTATTTTTTCTTTAATAATAATGAAAACTCCAAAAAGATCTACAAACATTAACCGTAAGAACTTGAAGCAAAATATTAAATGCTAAACGTTGGAATTGATGCAGACTCATTAAGCAGTAAGACTACATACTTTACGTTTTATAAAAGCCAGACCAGACTTTAAATGAGGGCCTACTTACTGATGATGAGAATCACAATGCAGGAATACATGTTCTCACCTGTGTGAGGGGCACGTCCGAAAATCTGCCTTAAAAGCCTGAGGAGTCTGTTGAAATGAACGTGGCGTTCTGGAAGTCATTTTTACTTTCGGTTATCTAGCTTTATGACAGGGATTTAACACTCATACAGCTAGATAACCAAAGACAAAAACACACCTCCTCTCGCTCTGTTTGGCTGTAGGCCGACATCATGTCGGCGTAATCTGAAGAAGGAGGTAAGGACACATTAGTAGACCTAACATTCAAAAGCACACACACTTTTGTGTCCTTTTGTTTTCTTCCTCTTTTTTGCGTAAAAGCACGAGCGATAGCTACAGCCGAACACCGCACGTGCACCATGAGAGGACGTATAGGCCATATTCAGTATGAACATTTTTGGTAATAGGACATGTGTGTCAGAGACTGAAGATAAATACAAGCTCTCATATAGGCCACTGATGCTTGTATATGCCTTGTGTGAAGGCCTGGTGACTCTGATGTTCCGGTGTAACTGTACATTAATTTTCACTTCTATTTATCTTTTGTAAAAATAGGCTACATTGATATTTTTGGCAAGGTTTTATGGGGAAAGAGATATACTTAGAATTTACACATTTTACACGTTTATAAGGTAAAGTAGCTACAACTAGTCTAAATATATCTCAATCTGAGAGAGCTTACATCTGTCTTTGAAAATATTGTTTTAATTGCAGTGCAACAACGCTATATAGTGGACTACTACTTTGGTCACATTTTACATCTTTTTTGGTCACATTGCTTTACAGAATATCATCCTGATCACAGAACAATAGTCGGACTATAAATTCAGTGATGCTTTGACATAGTTAAGGTGTAGACCAAACAATAAATTTTTTGCATGTGTATCGTTTTTAAGCATTTCTGTTAAACACAACTAAAGTCAACTTTGTGGGAATACACAAAAATACTGATTTGTGATATTTCACAACCACAGCTCTGAAATACTGTTTTAAAACAAAGAGATGGGCTATTTTCTTAAGAACAAATTATACAGACAAAGAAAGATTTCTTTGAGTCATTTTTGTGTAATATGGAAACCTTTTAGCCTATAATCAATATTGTAGCTTCAAAGCAGGGCCATGACCATGAACCTGAGGCGAGTTTGCAATAAAATGGTTCTTTTCATGCATCAACTTTATGGATGAGCAACAGCTGACTTTCAGAAACATCTGAATTTGTTTTGAGCTGGTTTGAAAGATTCTTTCATTTGGCCCTTGGCTCTTTGGTCCTCTCTGGGGGGGCAAAGAATCCCCACTTTTAATTTGAGTTGGCCTACTTACTCTAAAACTAGAGTATTTCCCATCACGAGGATTATCCGTGGAAGATATTAAAGAAACCATAAATGATGATTAAAGGGCCATGAAGCATTACATTATATTCTACAAATTGGTAAAAAAAATAACACGATTTAAAAACCTATCGTTATGTTTTCCTGATTTTACAGAGAAACAAGCGCCTTGTGTTGTTAGATAAATAATGCGCAACCTCCTGCAAAAATAAGCCAAATGGTAACAAAAGACCAAAAACAGAAAGCGCCTCATGTGTTTCTCTGCTCTGCCCAACACACATGGGCATGGCACGAAAACACAGCCACAGCAGGTAAATCTAACGCTGTCCTTGCCCATCCTGCCCACTCACACTCTCGTTTCTTACCTGTCTCAGGAACGGAGCAGACTCACAAGTGAAAACTCCTCAACTTGAACTCGTAACCAATTTTCCAGATTGATATTTCTGTGTTGACACCGGGGCCCGTAAAGAGAGTGAACGCTGCTGCTGCTGTCAGGTGAGTCCAGTTTCATCCTCCTCCTCAGTCCTCCAGCTTCTGCCTCTCCTTTAGGCTGCGCGCTTCCTCTACTCAGTCCCGCACTGACGTCATCTCAGAGCCATGGAAGCAAGCTGACCAATCAGAAGGTCCGCCGAGGACAAAGCTGGTTTAAATTTTTACAGACATCTCACTCCATAACATTTTCTCAAGCTCTTTGTGTTTTTGAGTTTTCCCAGAGTATAGCAAATGCTCTAATTTGCATTATGGAGATTTCTCATTTATGTTTGCTTTAAAAACAGAATTTGAAGTTCTGTTTATATCATGAGTTGGAAAGGGGTTACGTCAAGGGTTTTTTGGTAGATAGTGTGCTTCAGAGCAGGCCGTCTTCATATGTGTTTTTTTGTTATATTTTCTGCAAGTAAAGGAAAAATGATGAAAAAGCATGAACATTGATCTTTTAAAAGCTTATGATAATTTTTTGAACATGTTGTACTTAAGTATTTCTGGTTTTGTTTAATGAAACAAGCTTGTTTGATTTTATTTTTATAGACTTTAAGCTCAATAGCCTGTTCTACATTCAGGGGGAGGATCCAGACTCAATTCTTGCAGGCCTTCACAAGGCGAAGGAGTTACATCGGTGTCGTTCAGCTGCCTCTTTGTCTTTTAGGTAACAAAATTAAACAGTTGATATCCAATAGTCTACAAAAATGTCTAAAATCATAGTTCTTCAATACTAATACAGGCTCTTCATGTGGCCCAAGCTTGGAGCTGATTCTGATGATGAATAGACCAAGTCAACTTGGGCTTCAGGTTGATATGTTATTTCACATCAAGTTAAATCTCTTTGGCACTTCACATAAACTGGCTGCTGAAAGAATTGACCCAGGAAAATTATTTTCAACCCAGCAGCTTCACTGGCTTTCACTTGCTGGAGACATATGTAGTGAGCACTCTTGTTGAATAAAACATCTCTGATGAGTTTTGAGCAGTAAATCGCTTGAGAGCGCAGGGACCAAGTATGAACAGTTCCCTCCAAATCTCTACGTCTTGAGTAAATGTAATTCAAGAAATCAGAATTAACGAGGCCGGCTGCACTGATATTTTCATCAAAAATAAACTGCTTCCTTTGGAGTGGCTGCAAAGCTGGATATTTTTATTAAGGTTAATAATAGGCCTGCTGGTATTTGGATAGGCTGCTGAAGCTGCAAGTTCAACAAAAGATGAATTTTACATAAGAGTCGTGTGAGAAAATATAAAATTGTATGAGGTAGACTCGAATCAATATTTTTGGTGTCATTTTTTTGAAAGGTGAGAATTAGCCACCAGTTAATTTTTCTGTATAGCATTGTTAGTTTTTACCTCAACAATTGGGCAAGTTTTCAAAGCTTTCAAAAGTAACATGTTTTTTTTTTTTTTTTTTTTTTGTTTTGTTCAGTGGAAGCTATGCTGTTTATTATGTCCAACATATACAAAAGCAGTTTGGACTGGGATTACAGCTGCAAGTCCATATATCTGTATGGTAACCACAATCAAATTCCAGTTAAACCAACTTCATGAATTGTCACAAAAAAGTTGAGAGATCCCATCAGATTTAGCTCTGTGCTTTACATAAAAATATGGAGTCAAAAAGGGTGTTTGCGACAAAGTGAAACAAATTAATATCCCACAGTTATTTTCGTCTTGTTTGTGACCTGTCTCACACTTGATTTCATTTCAGATCTTCTCTTAGAAGTACATATGTAGGCCTACCATTCAGCCAAATGCACTGAGACACAAAAGTTCTATAATAACCTTATTTTTAATAATTTATTGACAGACAGATCTGGATAACATGTGTCAACGGGGAAAACACAGCCTTTCAAGTCCAGTTAGATCTTCAAAGTATTCCAAAGATGATATCAGGCTGTAAGGGCAAAAGGATTGGTTGTTGGTGAACCTGAATGAACAACAGAATATCAGGATAAAATGTAGACGCTAAACACTGCGGTCAGTCACTCACACGTTGCAGGAACTGCTGTCCTGTGAAGGAGTGAGTATCTGGAGGCTGGTCGTCCTTTTCCACAGCCTTGCAGCGTAGGTAACCATAGAGATTTGCCACTTGGAGGGAAAAACTGGCCACCACAAGTGACTAGGAGGAGAACAGACATGGATTTAAGAAGGACATTGTGTTCTGTACCTCATTCTATGTGTACGCAAAGCATGCACCAATTCAAACATGTCTCACCAGCCATTTAATCTTCATAGAAAAGAGAGAGGAGAAGAAGAATAACGTCCATATAAGAGGACAGATGATGAGACCCAACCAGAATATCCTCGCCTCTGTCTCTGTCCCAGTATTTTTGCCCTGTGAGGTCTGCACGCGTGTGCACGCACACGCACACACACACACACACACACACACACACACACACACACACACACACACACACACACACACACACACACAGAAATGCAGCTTAAATTAATACCCCCAAAATATTCCAAAGGTGGTCTGTAATGACAATATCTTACTTTTTTGGCCTCAAACACCCAGAAGCTCTTCCCATCCTCATCAATCTGATTCCACCAGCGCAGCCCAACCAGCAGCCTGCCGGTCACATTCTGTAACACCAAACAGTAATGAGCTAAAAACACATGAAGTGAAAGATACCTATAACTAAAGGGTAAACTAGGACTGAGGCTTTGCCAAGTAAATAATTAGTAGCTGACCTCTGTGACCTCTCACCTTGACAGACCAGAAGTCAAAAGAAAGCAGAGTGATGATCAAGACAAAACATGAGGAAAAATTCTCACTGATCCAGTCACAGAACAAATAGATGACAATAGCAACCACCCTGAAGAACAGGTGGAAAAAGGAAGCTAAGGGATGTCTGAAATTCAAGACAAGTAAAAGGAGATGAAGCAATAAAATCATCAGATTTCAATATACACAATATACAGAGTAGTAACACTTTTATTACTCAGACAAGCTTGTATTTTCAGAACGTACAAACATGTCAAACTATATAAAATCACAGTTTATATAATTAAGACATAGAAATCTCCCATTGGTTCATATTCTTATTGTAAGTAAAAGCAAAAGTGTCACTGAGAAAGAAGAGAGGTTTACGTTCCCAAGGCACACATTTTGCAGCGCACCTTATGACAGAGCTCGCCTGCGCCCCCTCCTGCTCGTCAGCAGTTGAGTCCAGCTCAACATCCTCTGTGTCATCTGCTATCGCCTGACAAGAACCAACGACAAAATCAGCTTTCAGCCATTCCGAAATATCACGGACCACAGACAATACACATTCAGATCGAGTAATTTTGGAAAGGGGAAAGATTTAAAGGTATGAAAAGCAAAGTAAATTGGTCTACCACTTGGGGTTTGATGAGCTGCATCGCAGGGCTTGAAAGAAGCAGGTGTTACAGTGAAATAAGACCGACCCTGCCTCCTTGGGGACTACACACGTTGGAAAGCCATGGATTCAGTTCAAAGATATTGACTGATAAAAATTTAAATTCTTGATTTTTCCAGTCAACGTTATATCCGTGACATTTACTTATACACATTTTAGGGAGATTGTTGTGTATCAAAAGCAGGATCGGTTCAAAAGGACGACCGCGGCAGGACTCGAACCTGCAATCTTCTGATCCGAAGTCAGACGCCTTATCCATTAGGCCACGCGGCCACCGTATATCAATGAGAGACATACACACAGATTTAAATAACATAAAAGGCATTGTTTTTCCTGAAAATGTGTTGTTTCACGTGGAGCTTTTTCTCTGCTTACTCCGAACTTCAGTCAGGTTTAGAAAAAGCGTCATCACAGTCGTTTCATATCTTCACCTATTTGTTTGAATGCTTAGCCTTAAACGATGTAGTCATCCGCTCCGCATGGGGTCGCTAACACTGCTTGTTCTGGTTCAAAACACGGAGGTTGGCACTTTGTGGCACAGTCGATTTCAACCTCATACATTATAAAATTAATTGTTATAGAGGCATAGGACGGCCGATCGCGGGATGGGGTTGTTGTATGGCTGCTCCGGATCACGCTGTTGCTGAGACAACCCAAGGGGCTCTTGCGCCCTCTGCTGTTTTTATTTTATTTATTCGTTTTTTGTGCTGTTGCGGTAATGCCTGTGATATGACCCTGAGTTATATACCCAACTGACTTTAAACCAATCTCCTGGATTTTATAAGCCAAATGTTGGCAGGTATAGTCCAGACTCGTCACTGTCTGTCACCAACAATAATAAAAAACAGACACAAAACCTGAAGTTTCCTTGCAGCCTGCAGTTTTCTGGTGGACACAGCCTTTCTTCCTGTTATTGCCCAGACAGCCATGTATTATTTTATCTTGACTTTAAACTCAGTCTGACACCCCTGGATGTTGCCTCCAGCTCCTCACTCGTTAAGGTTAATAAAGCAAACAGCCTAATCCAGGTGGTCCTGCCTTCTCCGTCCTCTTTATAACTCTACAAACTTTTCTTTTTAGTGTTTTTTTATTGAAGATAATTAAGTGGAAATGCTGATAGGCATTTCCACTTATTGTTATTCTCCTGTTTCTTTATTATTATTATTATTATTATTATTATTATTATTATTTTTCTTCCGCCATTTTTTGGCACTTTATAACTCTTCTCCACTTTGTGCGATTTCAACCGTTCAAACTTTAAACTATTCCTCTCCTTCAGGACATGACGGCGATTACTTTTCACTTTTCTACCCTTTATACTTTTTGATTTTTTTAACTTTTTATGCAAAAATTTTAACATTGAAGTCAATGGGGAAATCTTCCAATTCTTCCTGTTTTTCTTCCACCTTCTGAACCTTGTAACTTCTGCATACTTTCACCTAGAGACCTCATTTTTGCTTTAAAATGTTCTCTCACTTGTCGACTATTACAGTTGTACTCAGTTTTTTGATATCTCTTACAGTTTTTCCACAATTTAGCTTTAAGCAACTTGTGGTTTTCAGCAAATTTCAAGCTTTATAATGGGTGTGTATTGGAGAGTTTAGAGTGATGATGTCATCAGCTAGAGTGCAGACCTCGTCTCTGATCGACAGAACCTCGCTCGAATATATCGCTCCCACGCCCACAAATCTCACTCCACTGACACAAATAATACATCAAAATGGAGGTATATGTGTCCTGCTTCTCACAAAAGAGGTTTCAAATCATTAAATCGTACCCCTTGGCCAGCAGGTGACCAACTGTCCAAAAAAGGCGGAAATCTCTCCCATTGACTGTAATGTTATTTTTCTCCAAGAAAATCCGGATCATCGCTCAAGCTCAGACTTTTTTAACTCGCTGTTGTGGCCTCATTTTTCGAAGTACAGACATGAAAAACACATCATTGTGTTCATGAAGGACGGAGGATTCGTACGATGTTCTTATTTTCATTCTGGGACTTAAGGAAATCACGCTATGTGAAGAAGTTCACAGGCTGAAATTCACTGCAGTTCAGCACCTCTCAGTCAAACAGTAGGTTAGTGATTTGCCTTTGATCTCACAGCTGTTTAGGATGCAGTCATTAACGAGACACACACACACACACACACACACACACACACACACACACACACACACATTCTTGTACTTGTTGCTTTTTGAGGTCCACCTTGCAGTTCAGCTGCTTGTACACACAGTTAATATGTGTCTGCTTCACCACCTATCTCCACCCACAAACTTTGAGCTACAGAAACCATTCTGGGCTTCTAAAATTCAGCTCATTGAAGATATTATGGGGTGTTTTGAGGATTGTGATAATAAATTGTATTAATGTGTTCAGCAGAGTCTTGTGTTCTCACAAGCTCCTTATGAATATATACAGAGGGTGAGCGTCAGGGCCTACTTGGAGTCCTCTTTCTTTAGCTTCAAGCCTTCTTTCTCCTGCTATAGTTATGCATCCAAGGTCCCCATGGCAACCAATTTGTGCACCTGGAGACACACAGCTGACTGGAAAGCTGCTTCTAATGGCCATATGAGACACATGAAGCCAGGCTTAGTACGCATAGCACTGGGGATGACACTTAAAACCCTTTCCTAGAGCGCTTGAAAAAACTTCAGCCCCTATCTCCTCACATGACCTTTGACCTACAGAAACCATTCAGGGCTTTAAAATGTATGCTTATTAAGGACATTATGGGGTGTATTCATGATTTATATTCATTTAAATTTTCACTTTTATAAGTCACTCAGTGATGATTTATCATTTAATTTTTCAAACTAATTTAAACTCATTCAAACTGATACAAACCTTTCTAATACTTAAAAACCATTTGATACTTGAGGATTTTTCATTATTTAAAATTTCCCTGTTTTAAATTAGTTTTAATATTTATGCATTACTCCATCCTTCAAACAAAATCCTACCTCAAGTACGACAACTACTGCTAATGTCAATTAAACTAGTACTTTCCCCTCTACTTCAACTGCTATTGCTCCTATTTCTACTTTCTCTACTGCTGCTATTGCTACTATTGTTACTTTCTTTACTACTTTGACTTATACTTCTTTTATTCTCAAACTACTTCTACTGCTGACATGACTACAAGTATCACTACTTTACTTCTTATCATACTACTTCTAGTACTACAACTTAAACTTATGCCACTTCTCACCTTCCTGCCTTTTAAGGGAATTTCCTTGTGCATTCAAACTTTGTGCAATTTTAGACATTTTTCTAGCCTCTTTCAGCATGAATAAAATTTTCTTTTATAGAGCATATTCATACTGTTTGTCCTTTAACCAATCAAACCATTATCCAACTTATATTTCTTTTTTACCCCTTCAACAGCTTTAACATTTATACCTTTCTCCATGTTTTATTAGCAGTTTAGCATTGCTTTTTCAGCTTTCAGCACTCAGCATTTCCACGCATTTTCTGCAAGGAAATGCAATTTTTCTAGTTATTATTATTTTTCTTCCGCCATTTTTTGGCACTTTATAACTCTTCTCCACTTTGTGCGATTTCAACCGTTCAAACTTTAAACTATTCCTCTCCTTCAGGACATGACGGCGATTACTTTTCACTTTTCTACCCTTTATACTTTTTGATTTTTTTAACTTTTTATGCAAAAATTTTAACATTGAAGTCAATGGGGAAATCTTCCAATTCTTCCTGTTATTCTTCCACCTTCTGAACCTTGTAACTTCTGCATACTTTCACCTAGAGACCTCATTTTTGCTTTAAAATGTCCATTGTCTTGTCGACTATTACAGTTGTAGTCAGTTTTTTGATATCTTTTACAGTTCTTCCACAATTTAGCTTTAAGCAACTTGTGGTTTTCAGCAAATTTTCAGGCTTTATAATGGGTGTGTATTGGAGAGTTTAGAGTGATGATGTCATCAGCTAGAGTGCAGACCTCGTCTCTGATCGACAGAACCTCGCTCGAATATATCGCTCCCACGCCTACAAATCTCACTCCACAGACATAAAAAATACATCAAAATGGAGGTATATGTGTCCTGCTTCTCACAAAAGAGGTTTCAAATCATTTAATCCTACCCCTTGGCCAGCAGGTGACCAACTGTTCAAATAGGCGGAAATCTCTCCCATTAGCCCTAATGTATTTTTTCTGCAAGAAAATCCTTATGCCACTCAGGCTCAGACTTTTTTAACTCGCTGTTGTGGCCACATTTCTTGGAGTACAGACATGAAAAACACATCATTGTGTTCATGAAGGGCGGAGGATTCGTACGATGTTCTTATTTTCATTCTTGGACTTAAGGAAATCACGCTATGTGAAGAAGTTCAGAGGCAATAAATTCACTGCACTTAAGGAGCTTCTCAGTCAAACAGTAGGTCAGTTAATGCCTTTGATCTCACAGCTGTTTAGGATGCAGTCATTAAGGAGAGACACACACACACACATTCTTGTACTTGCTGCCTTGTGAGGTCTATGAGAAAAGACCCACAAAGCGAGGACTACAAACTTTGAGCTACAGAAACCATTCAGGGCTCCAAAAATTCAGCTCATTGAGGACAATATGGGGTGTACTCAGGATTTTTATTCATTTAACTTTTTCCCACTTTAAAATTATTCTCATTATTCATGCATTATTAAATGCTTCAGACAAATCCAAACTCATTCAAACTGATTCAAACCTTTCGGATACTTCAAACCTGTTTAACACATTAGGACGTCTAATTATTTAAAGTTTTTCCCACTTCAAAATCATTCTCATTATTTATGTATGTTTTGATTCTTCAAGCAAAATCCCAGTTCTACCACTACAATTACTACTTATGTCACCTTAACTTGTATCTTCACTTCTACCTCCACTGCTCTTGCTTCTCTTAATATTTTTTTACTTCTACTCTTACTTCTACCACGAGCTCTACTGCTTTGACTTCTACTTCTTCTATTCTAAAACTACTTCTACTGCTTACATGACTACTAATATCACTACTACAACTACCTATTATCATACTACTTCTAGTACTACAACTTAAACTTATGCCACTTCTCACGTACTTGCCTTTTAAGGTAATTTACTTCTTCATTCAAACTTTGTGTAATTGTAAAAAAATTTCCAGCCTCTTTCAGCATGAATCAAATTTCAATTTGAGGAGCATATTCGTACTATTTATTCTCCAACCTCTTATTTACAATTATTTAACTTATATATTTTTTTCCCCCTTCAACAGCTTTAACATTTATACCTTTCTCCATGTTTTATTAGCAGTTTAGCATTGCTTTTTCAGCTTTCAGCACTCAGCATTTCCACGCATTTTCTGCAAGGAAATGCAATTTTTCTAGTTATTAGTATAATTATCTCTTAAATACAACGGAGTATAAGGGGCACAATTAGAAAAAAAACAGAATAAAGTCATTAATATCAGTATTAAGTCGTAAAGTTACCTGTTGTGAAGGAGAGTTGTTAAAATCAGCACTGTGGAGCATTTAGATGAATTGTACTTAGTATAGGTTTCACAAACATGGAGATACTTAATCCTTTGGTACATGAGCATTACACTGTCATGAGTATCAGAACTTATATTTGAGATATATGAGAAATGCTGCTTTTGTGGAGGGGAAAATGGCTGGAAATGGCTGTACAGAGGCTAAATCCGTCAATACAGCTGTTAATAGCAATAGCATAGGGCTTTAGTTTATCATATGAGTTTATATGCCATGAGGTGTTGAGGTCTCTGCATGTGTAGGTTACTGACTTAATGTGATCATCGGGTCTATCTCGTCCTTATAAAAACCTGCTCTATTACGGCGAGTGTCTGTCTTCTTCTGTAGTCAAACCGCAAGATATCAAAATCTACCCGGATACAGCAATGCTGCTTTTTTATTGGCTGTTCAGTAGATATACTTTATTTGATTGGCTTGCGCGTGGCACGCAGCTTCTGAACTCTCGGACGAACTCGGTTGATTCCTACCTGTTCCATAGTTAAAGAGGTGCAACTTGGTGGACATCACCATGTTCATTTAAATGCGTAAGAAAATGTGTGGCGTGTGAGCGTGTGAACGGGTGGGAATGCGTGTGTCACACGCTGAATGCGTGAGACTTGAGAGCCCTGAGATTATCTACTGTGGACGACCCCAGCATCAGAATCAGTTGACAAATTTCATTGGAAACTACACTCACCGGCCACTTTATTAGGTACACCATGCTAGTAACGGGTTGGACCCCCTTTTGCCTTCAGAACTGCCTCAATTCTTCGTGGCATAGATTCAACAAGGTGCTGGAAGCATTCCTCAGAGAGCTTGGTCCATATTGACATGATGGCATCACACAGTTGCCGCAGATTTGTCGGCTGCACATCCATGATGCGAGTCTCCCGTTCCACCACATCCCAAAGATGCTCTATTGGATTGAGATCTGGTGACTGTGGAGGCCATTTGAGTACAGTGAACTCATTGTCATGTTCAAGAAACCAGTCTGAGATGATTCCAGCTTTATGATATGGCGCATTATCCTGCTGAAAGTAGCCATCAGAAGTTGGGTACATTGTGGTCATAAAGGGATGGACATGGTCAGCAACAATACTCAGGTAGGCTGTGGCGTTGCAACGATGCTCAACTGGTACCAAGGGGCCCAAAGAGTGCCAAGAAAATATTCCCCACACCATGACACCACCACCACCAGCCTGAACCGTTGATACAAGGCAGGATGGATCCATGCTTTCATGTTGTTGACGCCAAATTCTGACCCTACCATCCGAATGTCGCAGCAGAAATCGAGACTCATCAGACCAGGCAACGTTTTCCCAATCTTCTATTGTCCAATTTCGATGAGCTTGTGCAAATTGTAGCCTCAGTTTCCTGTTCTTAGCTGAAAGGAGTGGCACCCGGTGTGGTCTTCTGCTGCTGTAGCCAATCTGCCTCAAAGTTCGACGTACTGTGTGTTCAGAGATGCTCTTCTGCCTACCTTGGTTGTAACGGGTGGTTATTTGAGTCACTGTTGCCTTTCTATCAGCTCGAACTAGTCTGGCCATTCTCCTCTGACCTCTGGCATCAACAAGGCATTTCCGCCCACAGAACTGCCGCTCACTGGATATTTTTTCTTTTTCGGACTATTCTCTGTAAACCCTAGAGATGGTTGTGCGTGAAAATCCCAGTAGATCAGCAGTTTCTGAAATACTCAGACCAGCCCTTCTGGCACCAACAACCATGCCACGTTCAAAGTCACTCAAATCACCTTTCTTCCCCATACTGATGCTCGGTTTGAACTGCAGGAGATTGTCTTGACCATGTCTACATGCCTAAATGCACTAAGTTGCCGCCATGTGATTGGCTGATTAGAAATTAAGTGTTAACGAGCAGTTGGACAGGTGTACCTAATAAAGTGGCCGGTGAGTGTATATCTGACCTCTAGGGGGCAGTCCAAAGTTGGGAACTTTTACATTATGCAAATTCCCATTTTCTAAGTCGATTTTTCCCCCCTCTAATTCCAGATATTGACATGTGGGGTATCATTTGTAAGATTTTATCAATATTTGCAAACAATTCTATTTCCACATGTCTTTATCTACCGTGGAGTTTTGGGGAAAAAAAATAGACTTAGAAAATAGGAATTTGCATAATGTGAATGTAATAGTTCCCATCTTTGGACTGTCCTCTAGAGGTCAGATATGGTTTCCCATGAAATTGGTCAACTAATTCTGAAAGTAGACGACCCCAGCATTGCAATGATGCACCACATGTCATGATACCTACTGCAGTATTATGGAGAAAAAAAAGACCTCAAAACAGGTATGAATTGCAGAATCTGTTGTAACATAGGCTATTGTTAAGATGAACACTTCCATCTAGTGGTCAACACCGTGCCTTTTTTTTATTTAAGGTGGAATTGAAACTTACTAAACAAAACTGTTTTTTTTTAAATTGTCTCTATACAATCTACATTAGTAAGCCAGCCATAACGGATAAGACATGATTTCTTTACATTTATCTCTACAGTTTTAGCACAAAAATCAAATTAGTGTCAGATAAGGTGATTTAGCCAACAGCACACAGACCAAAATTGTCTTTACGTTTTCCATGGAGGAGATCACACACTGACTGAAAATGTTAGAAAGTTAGGCGGGTGCACAAGACAAAATTGTCAAGGGGTAACTGCACTGTCCACAGGGATCTCCAAATTAGACAAAATATAGCACATCCAAGACAGACACACTGGACTGGAAAAACTGATGCACACTGTCATCATCAACCAGAGGTACAACCAATAGGTAAGGCTGTCAGATTGTAGTATATACATTTAAATGTTGATGAATATATCAGAAAAGAATAACTCTGAGGACTTGAAATTTATACTTTTTGTTCTCTTTGAATTTCAGGGGAGAAGAGTTTGAAAGAATTATTGAACAACTTCTAGTTTCGTAATCTCTTTTTGTTTTCTGCGTCACAAAACTTTCAAAATACATTCAGAAATGCCATCTGTGAGTCAAGATGCATTGACATTTGCTTTCTTGGTCATCGAAAGTGAGGAAATTACTTCATTATCAATGTTGCAACACAGCTGCTGTAGCCCACATGTGCACACCCACAGAGCACTGTGGAATTGTAGGAAGTGATGTAAGGTCACTGAGGGGTTAGGTGGAGTTCATTGTTGTTTGACAGTGAATTAACATAAATGTGAATAAAAACAGAACCACAACAGACAGGAGGCTATAAAAGAGGAGTGTAAAGATATTTACTATTCTTCTTCTTCTGCTCATATTTTGCTCTCAATCTTTGGTCTTGTATTACAGGCCAAATGGCAGATTATGGTATACAGTAAATCAGAAATGTGTTGGTATAAGAATTATGAGGTATGATATGACCTGTCCAAATATAAACAAATACAAGAATAGTCAGGTCAGGGTTTGGGCTGGCCAAAGGAGGATACATTTTAAACCTAAAGTTAAATCTTTTTGTAGAAGTCTGCATCTGATGCAGATTTAATGAGTTACATTAATTATCTATACACTCTAAGTTAGATAAATCCGGCATCTTTTCATCACTGAATTAAATTGATTTTCAAACCATTACATTTGAGAAAAATCAATCCATTAATCCTTTACTTACACAGCAAATGTTATCCATTTCAACTTCTGTTAGTCACATACACACCCATTCGAATAAGCCCATGTTTGCAGCAGTCTGGTACAAAAGACGACCGTTTTGGTCTGAATAGCTTGTTTCAACTAGGAAATAGTGTGTGTGTGTGTGTGTGTGTGTGTGGGGGGGGGGGGGGGGGGGGGGGGATGTCACTCGACGGCTTCTGTTAGTTGTCACAACAGTGTGACAGTGGAGACTTGGAGCTTGTGCTGGATCAGGAAATCCTTTAGTTGAACTTAGGGGATGTCTGGATAGAGGTGACAGAATGTAACCCAAGCATACAAATAAAGCTCACTTGTTGTTTGTCTCTGTCCATCTCTCTTTTTCTGCATCTCTCTTTATTATAATAAATAATGTTCTCCATAGTATCATCTCTTTTGAAAAGACATCAAACAGATACATATTTGTGAAAAAACTATTTATTGACAGCATACAAGATGCACGTCTCATCCGCGTGGTGTAGAAGTCGTATACAAATGAATAGATAACATAATGTGATAAAGTGGTAGTTTAAAATACATATCATGACTCAGTTTGGAAGCAGTGCAAAAGTATATTAAGTAACCAAAATACAAAAAGACAATTTGTGTGATTAGATATTTCCACAAAGCATACATAAAAAAGCAAACAGCATCGTGTTTCTAACCCTGCATTAATGACTCTTTTTTACAGGGACAAGGAAGGAAGGTGGAGAAGAAAGGAAGATTCAAATTCAGGATATCAGTTAAGTGTTGAAAATATAGGGAATGAAATGGTTCAGTGGAAGAATATGAAGAAAACAAAATGTATTCCTCTTTGCATGTCTTTAATGGGAGATCACACTGAAAAAAACTCCAAATTTTGTAAGATAAAAAAAACAGCCACCGGGTTGCCAGAACTTAACCTTTATAGATATGGTACAACCTTTTTTGCTATAAAAGGAAAAACAGAATTGGATTCTTCAATTTAACACACAAAGTTGAAGATTAATTTTGTGGTAAAATGCAAACTTTTACCAGAAAAAAAGCTTTATTTTAATCAAATATTTTACTTTACTTTAATTTAATTTATTCTTTTACTTTAGGAATACACAATGTTCACATGTTCAGTCACTTCCATTGTACATGGCAGCTTTTTTTGTGCTTATGTTGAACTTTTTGAATTGATCAGCTTCCTTTCTTTTACAGTATTTAGTTCATCTTAAGTTTCTTTTCGCATCACAGCACTGAGGCAGAGCAGCTCCTCCTCTCACATTTAGGGAATGCCTTGTACTCTCACCAAATAACACCACATGTCATTTTTAGTGAGCTCAAAGCATGTTAGTGAAATCCAGTGAATACAGGGGTGTATTTCTTGCGGACAACCACAGTGGCGACCCCCCTCACGTCCTTCAGTCTGTCAGAGTCAAAGTCTACCAGGAGCTTCCTCACTCCGGTCCGAACAGGCGAAAAAGCGAGTTTCACCGACACCTTCTGTCCTGGAGCTATGTCACCACTGACAAAGGAAACAAATATCAAAGTGTTAAATACTGGGTTTGATTTATATTTGTACAACCTGCAGGCCAAACTTGTGGAAATATGGATTTTTTTTATTTTGGGTTAAGCCTTTATTTCAGCTGTTGCTATATATTTTAGTGCTGTTTACCAGAAAGTTATAGGGGACAAAAGGCCTTTTTCCTGCGATTAATTACAAGTAAACAAGAGAAAATTAAAGTAAGAAGAACTGATCATGGGATTGAATAAAATAAAAGCTTGATTTCCCCAAAAATATAAAAAAAGGAAGAGAAAATCATTCAAATACAGGGAAAATGAGGATCGCTAAAACAGTGAGTTTATAAGAAAGTAGTAAAAATGTAGGGTTTGAAAACCTGCTTAAAAATGATACATACTTTATTCTCATTGTGTCAGGAGAATTTTTTAAAAAGCCCAATAAAAATGGTTTTTGTATTCCTCTTGAATCCTGACTGCTTCAACTTCTATTGCTGTGTGACATTCCTGATCCAGGATTTCTCTTTCCATGTAAGTTTAATCAAGTTTCCATATATCTTGTATGTCCATTTAATAAGTGTTAGATACTTTCTAAGCCAGCCTTCTCAGTGACTTTTAGTTTCAGGGTAATGATCATATGCTTCTGGGTTTTGAAGTTAGTCATGTCCTCAATGTAGGTCCTTGTACAGCCATGGCCTGTTGCACCAGCTCTGTTATAGTTGCGTTTTAAGAAAGGGTGTAAAATCCGTACTAAACCATACACTGAGACTAGCTTGTTTGTTACTTTGTTTGGCTTCATTGTGGAGACTTAAGGTCAACCAGTACAGACCTTCCAAACTAACCAAAGTATTGTTGCAGATATGACGTGCACACTTCTAGCAGCCAATCAGAGAGAGGCTTTTCTCCTTTTGGCATGTTGTTCACGTGTTAACTCTAAAGCCTGACTGCCTGTTCACAGGCGAACAGCTGAAAATAGCAGTTTGTTCCTGTTCCTCAACAGTAATGTGAAGTATGTAAAATATGACAAAGCATCATGATAAGGGGATAATCAGTAGTGCAAAATTATAACAGTGACATTTAGCGGTGAAATCGCCAACTAGGGCTGTAATATATTTATAAAACGCGGTGTTAGATCTCCACTTATAGAAAATAACAGCAGGAACACAGATCAAAATGAATTTTTTTTTCATAATTTGTAAAACCCACTGCTGCTCATCCTCCTTCAAGACCACCGATATAACAACCTAAAGCCTTTATATGAAGGACTTTACACCTTCACAGACAAAGATATTAGGTTTTAGCTGTAACTTACTCTTACTTTGAACCTATCTTAGCTGGCATAACACTTAAAAAGTTAATAAATTCTGAACTTCATCCTCAATCAGAAATCATGGTCAAGTCGAACTCATGAAGATCTGATGCATACACCCTAATGCAGGTCATCAACAATAAACTGCTGATGTGAATTGATGAAGATGGGGGCAGTATTTATACAGCAAGTGTTTAGCTGATTGAACTTTTGATCCACATTTGCACATGCCTGAACTGGCCAACTCAGTACTTACTCAGCACGGATCTCTGTGTGAGACAGTAGGCCAGCCCCCTCCACAGTGAAGATTCCTCCTTTCAGGGGGACCGGTAAAGGATTGATGAAGGACATGAAAGCTGTCACTGGTTCCCAAACAAAAGCCTTCCCTGGTACCTGCAGAAGGAAAGTATCATAGTATCTCAGCCCTGTGAACTGATGTCTTTGCTCCTAAATTCTTGACCAGACCAGGGGTAGCAGTAGCCTATACTGCTGCCCTGAAGCAATGAGCAGGATATGCAAATACTTAGTCTCCAGTCAAACCATACCAAGGCCATTGCTGCTATATAGAGAATTAAAGATCTGCAAAAATAAGGCAACAGCCCTTTATGAAACACAGTGTCACAAAGAAGAAAACAATAAGGGTCATTTGTCTTAGCTTCCTTGGGACAACATGCAATTAAGTTCTTTAAACAATGATTTGGAGCCAAAACAGACCAACTGTCTGGGTTAGTTCAGCTTGCCCTCACCTGTATGAGGACTTCAGGCTTGCTCAGTGGGATGTTGGCCATGGCCATGATGGGCTCATTCCCCCCGTGAGTCTCCAAGAGCGCCTTAACACTGATCAGATGATGTTCAGAGACACACCTGCCATAGTCTTCATAATGCAGTCGCAGCACCTCCCTGTGGACTAAATACAGAAACAAACACGAAAGGGGGAACAATGCTCAAAATACTTCAGTTCTGCTACAAAATAAGAATATGGAACGTGTGCAGGTGACACACAGCTTCATTGTTGTTTTGTTTTTAAAGGTTTGTCTGCGTTTCTAACCTTTATGAGGTGGCACAGTCACACTGGTAGTTTGTCTCTGACACTCCCCCCGGTGGAGAGAATTGTACGTTACAGCCATGGCCAGCATGGTCAGCTGAGCATGAGCATCTGTGGCTCCTTCATTCTTCACCTGTTGACAGAATAGATAAGTGACTTGATCAAAATCTGAATCAACTTAAGAGATCACTCTTTTTTTTTTTCATTGCATCTACAAAAGGATAAAAAAATAAGTCTAACACAAAAGCAGCTCAAGATCAATCATTTCAAACCGGGGTACTGGGAATTTACTGGAGCACGTTCTATATCTTCCTTTCACCTACTTTGGGTCAACTTAGGACAACTGATGCAAAATGAACTGTGGTTCAACTTGGGACAACTTTCACACTCACTCACGCCTCCCCTGATGTGTGTGAGGGAGAGGAGGGACAATAACAATAGTTGGTCGCTAATCCTCATTGTAGCACCAACCCACCCTGCTTAGAGAATAAATAAGAGCCCCTCCAGCTCACTCTGCGGGCTCTGGGAATATTTTAGGAAAAACTACCAAACCCATTGAGGGAAAAGAAAATGAGGCTTTATCCAAACAGAAAATTAGCATAGAAATGGAGCTCCTGGGAAATATTTTTACACTTCAGATCAGGGTGGGAAGGGCCCTGGTGATGTCCTCCTTAAAATATTTCAAGAACATTTTCTCCCCAAGGAATTCAGCTGAACTTTCTCCACATGTCTGCTCTTGTAGGGGTAAATTTTCACTAAATGTGCGCAGTGTTGAAACCATTTTTCTTGCGTGTTTCTGATTGAAGAAACATGACTTGTTGGCACAGTTCCCTCGTGCAGCAGACCTCCGTCTCCCCTTCCCATTTTGTCATTTTCATAAATCCATTCAGCTACAGTCTCGGTATTATTTACCTCAACAATCACATCAAAGTCCGTCCCAAATACAGGTTTGGCGTTCTTGATTGACAGGTGCAGTTGCGCAGGTTCTGCCCTCTCACTGATTGGCTCTGTGACTCGGCGCCCTGCCTTCTCGTACACCTCCCTCTCCTTTTTGGAGCCTTGAAACACAAGATGGGAACTTCAAAACCAAAACTGATCACACATTATTTTTTGCACATTTTGTAAGAAGTTAAACAGCCAAAAAGCTCTTTATTGTCGTGGAAAGCTGCAGATACTTTCAAACTCACCTTCAGGATATTTGTAGTGTAGAGTAACATCATCTCTGTAGTCACCAAAAACACTTTTGGTGCTGATACTCCTCCCAACACTCCGTTGGTCCACTCTGATCTGGAACAGTATTAAAAATCATTAATACCATCTCCTAATTAAGTAAAAAAAAAAAAAAAAAAAAAAAAAAGACAAAGACAAAAAAAAAAACATTCAGTTTAGAAAAAACTCTCACCCTCTGCTTTTGGCCACCTGGTTTGATGATCCAGTGGATGATGTCAGCGTTCACCTCAGCAAATATGAACGGGGCGTCGTATTTTACCTCCAGATTCCCCTCCTTGATGGCCGTGACTGGACATGGACCACAGCAAAATACACCTGAGGAGCAGATCAGGAAAAGAAGTTGGATTTTCATGACGGTATCAAAAATGAGGAAATACCATATTCAAATTCCAGCATGTTACTTTTATAGAACATTTACGAGGATGGCTACCAGTGATGAAAGACAAGAGTCAACAGGCAGGATGGATACTGTGTAGATTTTGGTTATATGAAGTGAGAAATCGCTTTAAAACATGCAAAGGGATTATGAGAGGGGCAGGCAGATCTAAGGTAAAAATTAAGGAATGTACCATCACTCAGTTCTTGAGGGGTGGGGTCCAAAACCTGCCAGCCATCATTCCCTTTAGGGAGATCATCTCTCTTCATCCAGGATTCGACCCAACAGTGAAAGTTCCTGAAACCACCAAGAGAGTATAATTCACTAAATCCGAAATCCCTGCTCTGACTAAATAATCATGAGTGAACATTGCCGGCATGTATGTGTGTGTGTGTGTGTGAGCATGTGTTCCTACCATTTGCTGTCCCCCTTCTCTCCTGAGTCCAGTCTGTCATTCAGCACAACGTCCACAGAGAGATTTCCATCCACGTCATGAGCTGAATCAAAGTTTGTGATGTGGCGTGTTGGGATTCCTAGACAGCGCAACACTGTGAAGACACAAACATCACACTTTTGGGATAAGTCTTTCCTTTTTTCTCTTCTCCACTTCTTGTTTTTATACATGTTGGTCCTTATACTACTCATTCTGATATCTACAAACATTGGACCACTTTTTTTTTTCTTTATTTCTGCAGTGTTGGTTTTTTTAATTTTACTGTGCAGCACTTTGGTAAACGTGAATGTTTTTTTAAAATGTGCTATATAAATCAAGCAAATTGGATTGGATTGAAGGTTCAGATCTCAGCTAACATTAAACAACTTGTTTGAACCTCACCTGTGCAGGCGACCCCAGCAAACACCCAGCATTGTCCATATTTCACCGCCTTTGCTCCATCTTTGCTCCACTGCCTGAGGATCGGCACGCTGCCTGTCCATCTGGACGGTGCAATACCTCCAGTGTATGGCTCATTCCAGCGACCCACCAACACACCCCTGTCACCTATCGAGTTCACCTGGACAGGTGGAGGAATAATGGCGAGAAGAATGTAAATCACTGCAAGAAGCATGATTTGAATGTGTAAACCTACATCACCAACTACATGAGTATGGATTCACGTCATTTTCCACCAGTTTAACAGTTAGGATTAAATGGTATTTAAAACAATAAAATAGATACTATACTAGAAAAGCACCCGGAGAGCGCAGACCTCTGCCAAACAGCTCATGTCCCCCCTTAAACAAGAAATGCCCTGACCGGGATTCAAATCCATGACCTTCTGGTTGTGAGGGGACTCACTACACCACTGTGATACCTATCTACACCAGTGTGCCGCCCATTGGTTATTGTTCAGCATTGAAAATTCCAACAACACCCTTATTTTTGTGTGTTCTGGATCACAGTATCCAGAATTTTGTCCGGATCACCACCAAAATGTAATGAGATCCTCCTGGGGCTGAGACGCACCTCTGGTGAAAATTTCAGGTCAATCCGTCTGTAACTTTCTCCGTAAAGTTGCTAACAGACAAACAAACAAACCAACCAACGCTACCGAAAACATAACCTCCTTGGCGGAGGTAACAATTAAATAACTTTATGAAGTTAAATGTAAGTTATTGGATTGAATAAATAAGATCCAAACAGAGACTTTTCAAGACGATGGCAACAGCTATTCTTAAAATATGGTCAGCCTTCATTTGGTCAGATTACTTTTAAAAAAGCGTGTCTAGTATGTGTGGGAATCACTAGTGGCCCCATGATACAATGTTATCACGAGACTTGGTTCACGATATGATATTATTGCAATTTGTAACATTTTGCAATACAGCAAGTATTGTGATTCAATATATTGCGATTTATACAATTTTTAAGCAAATTCAGCATTTGGCTTTCCTTTACGTTTGTCTTACACTGTATTTCATTTTCATGTCGCACATCTTGCAAACTTTATAAATTTGTTGTACGAACTTTCTCCTGCTCCATGATACCACCTCTGCCAACCTCACTGGACAAACAGTTGATTTTATTTTTCCATTATTACATATTTGACATCATATTAGCAACTAATTTGAAAAGTCAATACTTGGTAAATGAGACGATATATCACCAGACAAAATATCGCAATACAATGCTGTATAGATTTTTTCTCCCACCCCTAGTGTCTAGGTTTTTATCACATCTAAAGCTTTCAAGGACTGTATGTTTGTTGGACCACTCAGGATCATATTTGTTGGTGTAACTGAATGCAGATGTTATTTATTTATATTTTTTTTAATTATTCTGTATTTTAACTCTCAGTGTTCGAAGATATGTGGAGGAGAACAGAAGAGATCATTACCATCGCTGTGAATATCCTGCTGATGTAGATTGGGTCAGATCTCCTTTCAATGTCCATCTTTGAGTTTTTTAGAGCATCATTCGAGTTGTCCAAGACTTCAAAACAGATGTCCATCACGTTGTCTTCAAACTAGAGGAGAATTAAACAGAAAGTAGAGAAGAATGAGAGGAAATGAACAGGAGAGGGCTTCATAGCCTTTTAAAATCAGTTTATAGTCACATTTGTTTTCTTTCTGGTTTGTATGTGTATAAGTGACTGTCTTTTACATAAACTCTGTCTTTGTCTGTCCTCTCAGTGAGCTGTGAAAGGACAGGCCCTTGTCTGTGTGGTTTAGTTACATTCTGACACCTCTATCCAGAAGTTTCCTCCGTCCAACAAACTATCAATTCTAATCCAAGAGAGGCTCTGAGTCTCTGCTGTCACACTGCTGTGACAATTCACACAGGCCACCCACTGACCTGATGGACACAGACACGCACAACTCAGAGACACAACTGTGTGTGGGTAAGAGTGTGTTTAAGTGGGATACCTGTCCATAATTCCAGGGCATACTTCCGATGAAGTCCGAGGACCCCGTGTAAATGACTCCATCTTCATTCATTACATATTCTTGAAGCTGGCTCTGATCAGGGAGGTACACAACATCATCTGATACACACACACACAAACACACAAAACCAAGTAAGCTCCTCTCCTCATGGTAGTGGTCAGAAATTACAAGGTTACAGTTGTAATAAGATTTCACATGAAATGTAAGGATCTACAGACTAGATAAGATTCATAAAAAAACTCTGGTACTCCTCCACTGGGTCTGGTCTTGTTTCACTCCTGTGTTTTGATTGTCCCAGTCACTCTTCAGACTCTGTTTCATCACTTATTTGTTGGTTCATTCTGAATCTGTTTCCTGTCGCATTTTCCCCCGTTTCTTCCCCCGGAGCTTCCTGGTGTTTGAGTTTAGACTTTGAACTTTGCTCCTTTTTGATGAATCTGCATTCTGGGTCCTCCATTTTTTTTAATTACTGTACAATAGTCTTAACTTTAGCCTCTTTATGACCAAGTTTACAAGCTGCAGGAAGTCAGACCTCTAGGATAAGAAGATAGAAATGAGAGTCTGCTCTCTGCTTACCTTTGCACCATGGATTGAAGAGCAGGTGGAACCCAATTTGGTCAATCTCCTCTACAATGTGTCCATCAGGCGACATCACCAACACAACCAGGCGGTACTGACCGACGATAGCATCAGCAGGACTGTGCAGGGTCAGCAGTATTTCATCTTGAGCTCTCTGATGCTGAAACCACCACTTGTCTGCAGACCCATACCCCTTTTGAACCTTGATCACCACCTCATCCCTCTGACCTGAAGAAACAGAAGTGTCTCCTAAAAACAGGTTCTAAAACCATCAACTATTACGTATGTCTGAGTCAGCGTTACACTGCCATCGGGGAATAAGAGCAGGAATTTTGTTCACTCAGGTTCCTCATGAAGCTCTTTTAGGGGGTTTGAGCAAGCACCAGAGAGAAATTCCTTTCTGCCATTGCCCATATTAACACATACTGACATTTTTTTTAATCTGTGGCCATCTTTATAGTGGGAAACTCAAATACCAATGGAGGAGACACAAAAAGAAAAAAAAGCTGGTGAAAGGTTTCTCAGGATAAACCTGTAGATTGTTTCCTTTAAATTTTTTTTCCAATGAAATTATCTCAAAGTCCAGATAGTACATAATCACTTTAAATACAACTCAGCCATTCACCTCCTTAAATGATCTACAGTTAGTTTGATCATCTTCAATATTACTTTAAACTAGAAAAGCACTCGGAGAGCGCAGACCTCCGCCAAGCAGCTCATGTCCCCCCTTAAACAAGAAATGCCCTGACCCAGATTCGAACCCAGGACGTTCTGGTTGTGAGGCTACTAACTACACCACTGTGCCGCCTTTCTACACCACTGTGCTGCCCATGGGTTATCTTTCAGCAATGAAAATTCCAACGATACCCTTATTTTTGTGTGTTCTGGGTCACAGTATTCAGAATTTTGTCCACATCACCACCAAAATTTGATGGGATCCTCGTGGGGCTGAGATGCACCTCTGGTGAAAATTTCAGGTCAATCCGTTTGTTACTTTCTCTGTAAAGTTGCTAACAGACAAACAAACTAACAAACAAACAAACAAACCAATGCTACCGAAAACATAACCTCCTTGGCAGAGGTAACAAGTTCTCCTTGCAGGTAAAGAACTTCACTCTGTAATTTGCTAAAACATTGATGGAGCTAAGCTAACAAACCTTATCTAAAAGTAGTCTTGACTCTTAGCTGACCTTCTTTCTCAGTCTAGCTTAGATAACAAACTCTTACAACCCTGACATTTTGCTCTAATCAAGTCTCATAGATAATTAAGAGTAAACTACGTTGAAAAACATTTGCTCTTTCTTTATCTGGGAGATAATAGACTTTAATTCCAATAATGCATGGTCAATGCAGGATCTAAATGAGAATCTCAAAATCTCTATTTAATCTATGTTTTCTGTCGTTATTTTCTTCCTGCTCTATTTGGTTGTACCTAGACTAAGAGTAGAGGCATAACTGAGCAGTGTAAGTAGGCTGCTTGTAAACAGGCTGCTTATCTTTACAGTGAGTAGCATACTAGTAGCTACAGAAAACATGTCTCCCATGTCAGGCTGGACTCACCGAGGTGCAGAACAAGCTCCAGGTTGTGTTCTGGGGACAGAGAGTCAGAGCACTGCAGGGTGATAGAGAAAGGTTGACCCCTGCGAACAATCAGCCGCTCCCGATCAATCTCTCTGGTACGATGAAACAAGTTGTTTTCATGACTTCTTAAATCCATATCAACGATCAAACCTGGCGGGACCAACAGAGACACATTTTAAACATCAATCTGTCAAAAACTAGACATATTTTTTAAATGATGGGAGTTTTAAGAGTTCAGTCTGAGTTTCTTCAAAAATCAACATTACACCACTTCACATTAACAGCTAAGCCACTAATATGAGACATGTTGAGTTAAAGTTGTAAAAAGAAAGGATGAGGAATCATAGAGTTCAGCCAGCTCAAAATAATAATCATCTTTATTCAAGAGCAATTTGCCAAAATCTTGTTCCAGTGTTTTAGAAGACTAAAAATGGCAAAATAAGGCAAATAAAAAAGTTAAAGTCAACACAAACCTTAGAACCACAGAGTCACCAAAAGGAAGGCTGATAAGCTTAACCATGAGTGAGCACTGGCTCAAATATGCTGAAGAGTTCAGAACTGGTGCATGGAGTGAGTGGCTATGAACAACCTAAGAGGCGAGCAAGTAAGATCTTCAAAACTGATTCTAACACATGGGAGCCAGTGTAAAAAAAAACAAAAGACAAAAAACTGGTGCTGTGTGGGTACTTATCTTGGTACTTGTTAAGTCTGGCAGCTGAGTACAAACAGTCTAGAGTCACTTAAAATATCTTTGATTGAGGCAGATGAAAGGACTGTCGTCATTATCAAGTCGTGGGAAAATAAAGGCATGTGTGACTTTACATGGTAAAGTAGATTGGAATTTGACAAAAGGAATAAAAATCCTCTTGCAAAAGCTTTAATGCCAAATTAACACAAGTTTAGTGTCAACAATTTCGTTGAAGATTAATCTGGCCCAGTTAATCAAGACTGCAAAATAAAAGGGGTTTATAAGCTCACCTCTGCATGGCAGCGAGATTTACATGTGGACCAATTGAATCACAAATGTTAAAAATTGAAAATAATGACTGTCCGTGTCTTTATTGTCATATCAGAACATGTAGTTTTTTTAAATTAAGATTTTTCCTGTCCTTTTTTTTTTTTTTTTTTCTTTTTCTTTTTTCATTTATTAAACTTTTGGTCATGTGATAACTTGAGATAACTTGGATTGGTGTTATTTAAAAAGTTGACTTAAGTTGATAGTGTAGTTCAGTCTGCCACACTGGCATTGTCAGCAAACAGTGTTGATTTACAGCAGGCATGCGCTGTTTGTGTTTGGAAAAATGTACCAAAGCACCAACAGATGCTTAGAAAACCACTGTTGCTCACTTTCTGAACTGTTGCATCACTGTAGTATTCCCAGGCTTTCAGAATAAAAGAGATAATCTAACACCTAGTTTATAAATGAATCTGTCTTGTGCTGGTCTGGCCCCCATACCAAGTAGGGTTGAATTTGTTGCAGGAATTAGGATGGGTCACATCACACCCGAGTGGGGAGTCCAGATCAGCACATATTTCACATATTATTATCTCCCAAAAGAAGGGTTATACAAGGTAAGAGAGCGGGGCAAGAAACATAGAGAAAAACAGGAACAATAAAAAGGCAGACTGAGGATAGACCCATCACTTACCCTTATGGTTGGCCATGGTAGATTCTCTTTCCACTGAAGTTGAGTTGATAAATTGTTGCTCTGTGTGTCCTGGAGTGCCTCAACACTGTTCCTTTCTCACTCGGTGTCCATCACAGTCTGGTATTTATGCAGCACATGCCTGACCCTCCCATTCCTCCTAAAAACACACACCCCAAGACTCTCGATCACTCACTGACTCCACCCCACCTCCCTCAGTGACCCCTGACATCACTTACCAAAATCCTTCAGTTCTCTGTAAGTGTGCATGCGATGCATGTGTGTTTGCGATGTGTGACTGAGTTCCTCATTTCCTTTGAGACACACTGGGGCCTTTGTGGTTATATATACAGCATTGGTGGGTGGATGCTGTTATGTTTGGCTTTGACTTTAGAGGTTGTATTATCAGTAGAGCAGCATGACATCCCATCTTCTCTTATCAAGCCCCTGTTAAAGTCAAGACTGTAATTTTATGTAATACTGTACTGAGTGTGAGACTTTAGACTTGAGAGGTTGTGTTATCATAGAGGAGTCATTTTACCAGAGAATTGGGAGTATGCAGCAAATTCCAACAGCACGCCCCTGTTATTTCTCAATTATTGTTTCACGCCTGAGGCTGTTTTTCATCTCAGTTTGACAGAATTAGATGTACATAAACTCTGAATCAGGGCTGTCAAGATACCTCTTGATGATTATTATTACCATAATATATCACAATAACAATACGATCACAATATTCATTGAAACCTTGAAAATAAAATGACACAATTAGTCAAACCTTGGAAAGGTGAAACAAGGGCGGGGTGACATGTTACTTCATAAACTTAACTGATAAACCAAAACAACGTATTTGTCATCATCCATTTTTAATACTTTTTCAATTTATGATTTTGTTTGGATAGTTTTTCAGTCTTGCTCAGAGGCCTTTTTCCATGTCTCTGGTTTTGCTTTGAGGTCAAACTATGCTTTTATTTTGAAGAATAATTCTGGTATATCATGAGTCCCAGTTAGGTATAAATATTCAGTTGACTGCTACACTGATGCGCAAGCTCTAATAGTGTTATGAATTCCCAATGATTCATTAGTATGAGTTTTAAAAGGGTCAAGGGTCATAAAAGGGTGATTTCTATTGTTGATTAAGTGAGTACACTAACAGTCTGCTACAATGTCTTTCTCTTGCCTCTGTTATATAATGTGTCACATCATGTTACCTTAAGCTTAATTTCAACGTTTCTTTCACAGTAAAAATCGGGTTTTACAATATCAACAATTTATTCCCTTTAAAAGACGATTAGTGTCAACACCGATACACTGTCACAGCCCTGCTCTAAATCCTAAAGACAAACATTTATTCATGGACAGTTTATTGGTTATTGACAACCAGGGGCACATCCAGAGGGGCAGGCTGAGTGGCATGCCTCCAAATTCTAACTGGCCACCCCTGGGGTCATATCAAAATTATTTTGATAAATCCACAAACTTAATTATTTGCTTTGTCAGAGGCAGGACTTCTGTAAAAATAAGCTATTAACAGGGATGTTGCAACAGACTGTTAGTGGCTTCACTATCAGAGTTGTGCTTTTCATAATTAGGGCCTTAGATCATGACTCGGGAAACAGTCACCCTACTCTAGGGTGACCAAATGCCGTGTTTTCCCAGAACATGTCTTGTTTTTATGTCCTTTCCAGGCCATCCTTTTTTTAAAAAGTGATGAAAATGTTCTTTTTTTTTAAATTGTTTTTTATTTGGCCACAATGATGAAGAAGGAAACTAAAGACACTGATATTTTTTGTTAGTTGGTTTTAGTAAGTTTGTGAGAGCTATTTTTGTCAAAGTTCGATTGCTAAAATAGCAGAGGTATTTTTCCAGGGTTTTTTTCTAATACATTATTTCTATCATTATATTATTCATTATATTTGACACAGTTACCTGCGAGAAGCCTATCTGAATTTATGTCTTTGGTTATAGATAGTATTTGGTCATATAACAATTTTCTATCCATACAAAGGAGGCACTCTTTAAATATATCAAAATTACAAGGCATCTTTGAGTAAACTTCGGGTACCATTTGAGTATGTCATTGCCGGGCTGAGTGTCCTGGTTTTTGATAATCAAAATATGGTCACCCTATGTTACTCCTCAGATGCTAAGTGGCCAATCTACTTTGCCTCACTGTGCCATTCATAGGGAGTTGCAACAGAGCCTTTATAGCCCTGTTTTAAGTAGGCAATGTAAAAGAGACTACAGGTGTGTCACTGATAAGGATGAAAAATCATACATAGAAATGTAACATATCATATTTTACTGTCAAAAGTTATGTAAACTTAAAAATTAAAAAGTTATCAGAGAAATGCTGTTCATTTGTGTTTGCACACTGATGCCAAACCTGTATAAGTCAGTGCCCTGACTCGACCTCTCCAGTTCAAAAGGTTTTGGGGATGAGAAGTTGATCTTTTAGTCTTTTTATCTTATGTATTTTACTCGTTTACTTTAGTCCCAGAATTATTATTTTATATTTTAACACTATTCGTTTATTTTCTTTTATTGTTTGATTTAAAACAGTTTTATTAAATGATATTTTATTATTATTATTCTATTATTATTAGAGTTCATTTTATTTTCTATCATTTTATGAGTCTCCTATATCTTGTCATGGTTTTATCAGTTTAGCTTCAGCTCCAGTGTTTCCCCATTTTAGTTTAAGATAGCGTGTCCTTGGTCCTCTGGGGCTTCCTGCTGAGCCCTGACTTTGTGTCCCAGTGGCTCTGTGTGTGTGTGTGTGTGTGTGTGTGTGTGTGTGTGTGTGTGTGTGTGTGTGTGTGTGTGTGTGTGTGTGTGTGTGTGTGTTGGGGGGAGGGGGGGGGGGGTCTTTGTTGAATTCGGGCTTGGAGGGTGGGTGTGTGGGTGGGGTTTTGCAATTTGTATTTTATTTTGTGTTTTATTTTGTATCCCCTGATCCTCTCCTTCTTGTGTTCTTTAATGTACAGCACTTTGTGATACAGTCCATGTATGAAAAGTGCTTTACAAATAAAGTGATTGATTGATTGATGCTCCTGTGGTAAACACATATCAGTCAAAGTATGTGAGCACTATCTGTTAGCACTGTTATTTAGAGTATCTTGTTGTCTGCTTTCAGCTCTTGGACCTGCTACTCTTAAGTGCAGTCTTACATGCTAACTACAATATCTGGATTGTCTTTTTAAGTGATATTTCATATGGCGTTATCATAAGGAAACTCTTGTGAACCAGATATCGCATTCAGCTTTAACAGGAAGTTGACCTGTACAGGGAAATGAGAAGTTGATCCTTGGGTCAGGAGCTATTGCTTCAGATATTGCCACGCAGGCAGCTACTCCATGATTAAGCATTTCCGTGGCAAAGGAGTTATTTTGGTCATAATTCCTGTGAAGTATAACACTCTAAGAATCACTTTTGCACAAAATTAATGTTGTATAAGGCACATTTGTTTTTCATACCACCAGCCCCGCTTCCTTTTTCTCATTAAGGATGTTGGAGTCCTTTTTTGTCAAAGCTGAAACATGTATTGCACTGGGTGATACATGATGATACAACTGCTAAAAGTCAGCTTCGTGGGCTGCTTGGGAAAATGATAAACGATAATTTAGTGCCAGCAATCACATAACACAATTTGGCAACTCCTCATGTGTAAGCGGTACTGGGCTACGACAACACAAAACTAGACTTACATAAAATTGGTGCATTTGCAGTAAGATTTGAGTCTCCTGCTCTTTAAAAATGTAGATTATTTTGTTTATTATGTTGAAATCAGCCACCATACAAACCGTTCAAACCGTTAGACAGGGTGTAGTAATATACAAATTGAAGTGGCCTCTGATTAACTGGTTATGTAACTCCTTTGCTGGCTTTTTTCTAATATTTATTTTTGATGTTGCACACATCAACTGTCCTGCCAGTTTGTTTTTTTTTCACAATAACTGATCTTTTTTTTGGCTCATCATCACCCATGAGTTTGCTTGGCTATGTCAGGGTGGTGAAATCAGTCATGTTATCTGCAAGGAGTTTACTCATTAATTATACTCTTTATGATACTCCAAACTACACCTTTTGCAATTTTTGATATTGCACAAACATGAACCAAAGTAAAAGTTCATCAAATCTGTAATTATCAAAGGGTCAACCATCTATAAAGGTGTTATTACAGAGGATTGTTAAAGAAAAAAATTACTTTTATGTATGAATCTCATTCTGCAATTCAAGCAGAAGTGGAGATCAGACCCAAATTAGCATGCCAAGACAGAAATGCAAAATTCTGTCTGTTATCTGTTATATTAAACACCAAAGAAGAACGTTATGTCTGTTAATTGAGTGTCATCCTGGCTGAGCAGCAACAGTAGTCAGTACCTTTTCAACTGGGCCCAGAATGAGAAATACAAAACTATTTGACTATCTATCAGATCTATTTATTCTCTGCAGTGTTGTGTTTTAATCCTCATAAATATGCTATCAAATCTAACAGCACTGAGCAGATTTAAATGGGCAGCTTGCCATCTTAGTGTATGCACAATATGTTTAGATCATTACCATGCATAGGTAAGCCTCTTCCAAAAAGTTTATTTTGCTGTCTGTTTAAAAAAAAACTATATATTGTTTTAGAAAATCTCCATCGTGGAATGAGTTGTCCGGAATCTCTGTTTCCAATTACAAAAAACTACATTTACATGGGGGCACAAGACCAAAATGCAGATTTAAAAATTTGGTTTCCAAAGACATCATATGTGTGAATGAGGCCTGAGTTAGAACTTTCAAAAGTGAAGTACAGTCTCTTTTCAAAGAACACAGTCATATTTCAAGAAAAAAGGGTGAAAAGAGGCAGTGATAAAGCATGCTCAGGAAAAACAGTTTCTTTCACAAGAAAGGGGAGAGCAGAACAGACACAATCTGCAAGCTGATAGCAGCTATTGAAACCAAAGAGTGAACATCCAGGAATTTAACTCATTTTTATATTGTGTTTAAACTTCTAATATTGTGAATTAATCAGCTTTATTTGTACAATATCACAGGGCTTTATTTCCTTTAGCCTACATGTTACCTACTCAGAAATAATTACTTTAGTGAGTGATTTGGAGATCAGTTTAGCTGAGGGTATTAAGCTGTCCTTTTATTCTGCTGCAGCTTAAAAAGATGCGAACCTCTAAACAATTTCTTATTCACAAATTGTTGTGTAAAATAGGAATCTGTTCAAATAAATCAAGCATATTTTTTAAATACTATGCTTTCTCTTTCATGGTTATGGACCCCAAATTTTTATAGTGGGACAGAAAGTTATAATTATTCAAAGCTAGTTATTTGCCTAATGTAGGGGTGGTTATGAGAACTGTAAAGTGTGTTGGGGGCCCAATGTGAAACCTTATAGGGTCCAGAATCCTGAGTGGTTCTCCTGCCATTTACAGGCACCCAACACCCTCAGCTTTGTGCCATCACTGAAATGTTCAACACTTATTTTGGTTTTGATTATAATGTGTAAATTCTCTGTGTGCAGGCAGGTGTTTAAACTGTGTGGCTGTGGACTGGGAGAAACAGAATTTGTTGGCCCGACTCAAACGTTAACCGTGTAGTGTTACATACCTCAGCAAACACAGAGAGCTGGCGACAGCAGCTGTAATGTCTGGCCCAGGGCAGAAACAGTAGGATAATGGGATCTGTGACCAACTGATAAACAAAATATAACACATGCACACAATGAACACTGAGTATCAAAACAATGAAGAATTCAGGCAGCCATAAAACACATGCTACACATCAACAGGCAATGGCAAGAATCCTCACTTTGGTGCAATAATGATGACATACACTGACACATGAGGTGTTTTATTTGCTCTCGCTTTTGTACCTCAAAGTGATGTACCTCATGCCTACAACTGCCACCTACTCAGCAATATTTTTGTTTTACATCCAATTTAAAGAGTCTGAATCACCAACAGAAAACACTTCACCTGATTCTTCTGCTAGAACTCTACAGACCACGCCTTTTGCCCTGCTGCTTTTGTGTGCTCTCACATTAGTATTAGGATAGGGAGCTAAGCCCTTGTGGTTACCTTTCAGTGGAAAAAAGTCTTTGCAATGTAGAGTTAACTCAAAAGAAGTGTCATCTTTTCTGTTTGTGCTCCAGATCACTTTATGTAACGCAACCATTGACAGATTGAACTGTGACATTAAACAGGAATTAAACAGACAATGTTAGCTGGAAAAACAAGTCTGACCGAAGGGACACAGTTTTTATCATCGTGATACTGAGCCGAGGAATGTTGGGACGGTCATGTTTCGGGAAAAAGAGGTCTTTGACTGACCTCAGCCTCTCAATCACACCAAAGTGTCAGCAGAGTGACACACTGACATGTCTGCGTGTGTCTAAGTGCGTCACAGAGGCTCAAACTTATACAGAAATTTCAACCATATGACAAATCAGGTTGCAAGTCATTGTCAGCACTCTTGTAGCTGCCTCACACCAGTGAAGGTGGAGACTTTTCTTCATTGACTGACAGACAGAGAGAAGAGATCCCCTGAAAAGAGAGAAGGATCCTGAACAAACTCAGCTGCTGTGGTTCATGTGTGAACCGCCTCACAATGCACTTCTCCAGTTAAGACTGAAAAAATATTACAAATTTAGTGATGAAGTGTGTGTGTTGTTAGTTATGTAATATAAATAGGTAAGAAAAGATTTTAAAAAAGACAATGAGAGTTTAACACAGTTGATTAATCGCAGGGACTTGGGTAAGAAGAAATTTTCGGTATTGAAAAGAGGCTTTTACCAGTAAGATATCAACTGGTATTAACTTTTTAAAATATTTTTAGATCAAAGCAACTTACAGAATTAAGATTTTAGAAGTGGGGAAACTTAGGTTATAACTCCTAATCACTAAGGACCACTTCAATGAACAAATTTATTTTTCCCTGAGAGATCTTTTTCATCTTTTTTGCTGAGAGGTCACTTGGCATCTGCTTTTATGGTCAGGGATAAGGTAAAGGATGATTTTTTTTTTCATTATGCACTTAAAGAATAATGTAGAAATGTTCAGGAAAAAAAAAAAAGAGTAAAAATTTAATTTTGAGAAAAAGGTTTCACAGAGATGTCAGGTTCTACACAAGTCCAGCCCCAAGTGGACACTCAAGAACTGCAGCATTCAGCACATCCACACTGGCTTCATTTCTCAAGACTGGTGATTTCCCTGCAAGTGAAAAAGTGTTTTGACTCTATTACATATAATATAATATATGAACATGCGACAAAGCCATAGTAATCAGCAATTATTATTTTCAACGTTTTGACTTTTTTTCCTTTGGAGTTACCGATGAAAAAACATTTGTTCTTTAATGTTTTCCATGTATACATTTACCAATGATCAGAGCAATCAACGATCTAATTCTTAAATACATCTTTGATTAACTTCAGACTTTAAAAACTAAGCCTGTTGAACTTCTGTTGAGTTGTTGCCAGTTTCCCAAGTGTTTCAAAGGAGCAGCTGTGGTCAGTGATAGAGCATGTGTAAAAAAAACTAAGATCCATTGAATCTCTTCTGTTTCATTTTATGTTGTATGTTTTAACTATCTTTATTGAAAGTTGCCACATTCTAAAAAGTTCTTGTTTATGTGAAATTTCCGCAGTCTATGCATCATCAAAGCATTTACCTATTCTTACTCTTATGTTGGCCAGCACTCTGATAATGCTTCTTAGATTTGAAATGGCTTTTAAAAGGACGTAGACGAGAGCAGACCTTCTTTTAAACTCTGGTTCTCACATTCTTGCCTAAACCTTACAGTGCCCTCTGGTGACAACTAAATCATTTCCTCAGGGCCACACGACACAATTTGACTTTCGGGTACAACTGAACCCACAGCACAGAGGCGCAGCAACATGGTGTAAGAGGGAATGCGATTTTTTTAAACCATACAGGTTTAAACATGATGTCAACCCTGACACCCAGCATTAGGAATGATGTTTAAGAACCTGTTGTGTCCCAATCCATCTACAAAACTTACTTTACTTACTTGTTGCAGGTCTTGGCAGTTTGTAGGTTGTAACCTCAGAGGCCAAAGGGTGGCTATTTCAAACAGGCAGTCTGAGGCCCGGACTACACGTATATAGATATTTATTTATCAGGATATTTTTGTACTCCTGTCTAAATAAATGTATCTGTCCACAAGTGTTAGTTCTCAAAAATATCTGCGTCCACACGTAGCCTTCAAACGCAATCCTATCTGGTGCCGCTTAAAAAAAATTCAGGAACAAAGCTACCTGATTGGCTGATGAATCGTAACAGTGTGATGTGTCATGCATTGTTTGCAGAAGCTACGCTAGTGCGTCGGGTCCATGTGACGGTGTCATCTGCAGGCACAGCCCTTCTAACAAAGTTGTCCCACCACTTGCTGGTTCGACTGGGTTTGACCCAAAACTTACGCTTCTGGCGAACTTTAAAACGCCTAACGTTAACTTTACAATTGCTCTCCAATAAAAGTATTGGGAGCAGCAGACGCCTCTGTGAGCTGGCTGACTGGTGGATGTAATTGTATAAATCAAGGTTCACTTGCAAGGCTGAAATTAGCCCCAAAAGGGCAAAACAAACGTAAAGAATACCCTGTATGTCTGCCATCGTTGTTGTTTTTCTTTTTAATTCGCATGCGTGAGCTGCGGTTTCACGTCATCGATCCGTAAAAGTTCAACCACATGAATCCACTTATACGGATATTTTTTTATTTCTCCACTTGTTTTTTCGGACTCAGATTTATCCGGTTTGAGTGTTCCAAACTCCCATTTTGGTGTGGTAGAGAGGCCTAATCGGACATAAATATGTGCGGCTTGAAATATATCCGCATTCGTGTAGTTAGGGCCTAAGTGAGGCTTTGATCCAATTGTTCATTCCAAATTTAAAGCCTCAGGTCCAGGCATATTGTTTAATTAAGTACAGGGAGATCAGCACTATAATTCTTTATTCTACAAAACAAAATAGAAAACAGAGAGCAGTACACAATATAAGAGCAAAGGCTGAAAATTTGTTGTAGAAAATGCAAAGACTGAGTCGCTTAAGAGTCTCTCAGCTCTCTGATGGTGGGGCAGCAGCCCTGCGCACAGCTTTCGCCAAAGCTTGCTGGATGACGGGGTAGAGTTTGTAGCATCCCTCGATGCAGGTTCGAACCCCAGCAGTCAGAGTCTCTTCAGTCATTTCTCCATCTGACTGCAGACCAGAAATCTGGTTCAAACTGGGGAGAAACGCAACAGTCAGACCGCCCTGGTTCTCACTGCTGACGGAGCCGCAGCTGTTTTCCTCCATGTACGTGGGATCCACAACATGAGATGAACCGTCCTGGCGAATAGAACAACCAAGCACTAGATCATACATTTCAATCCCTGCATCTGCAAGAGCCAGGGAGGCACATGTGACTGCATGGGCCAGAACAGAGCCACTGTTCTCAAGAACCATCACATTGACCTCGATCTGTGAGCGGGGATATTTGTGGAGGCACACGGCTGGCTGCAGGCTCTCGTGCAGCATCAGTGAGAGGTCCTTGTCCTGGCTCCCCTGGATCCAGGAGCCCCTCTCTGGGCAAGAAAATGGAGCAAACCGCATGTCAGTCGTCAACCTGGACATAAAGAGAAAGACAGAGTGATAGTGTTTTGTTAAAGTGTATATGTGAGTAATGTAGGAGCTATAGGGGTAACCATTAGAGGCTTATTTAAAAAGGGGTATTCCTGCTTGCTTCTCTAGTAATACCAACTTTAGTAATGACCACACGATAGCAATACACAGTGGTCTGAGGAGCCGTACACAAACCTCAACCAAAAAGCCACTCTATAGCCACAAATAATGCTCAGAGCAGCACCTAACTCATCAACAGTACATGTAGGGTCCCAGCCGTAGTACCAGTCATCAAACACCGTTTTAACTTTACCTGGTTTCTTTAGCAAAGAGACCAAACACAACTCACCTACTCTCTTCCAGCAGCCTTGAGTTTGACACCTGTGAAATACAGAGTAAAATAACAGATGCATATGTGTAATAAAGCACTTCATACCTTCCACACTTCATATCGGTCTCATCTTTTCGCTCGGTTTCTCTGGGGCCGTAAACGCAGCTCATCAGTTTGGTGTTTCCAGCCTCGATGTACGCAGACCCTTTAGCCTGGCTCACCAGCCCACAGCGGACGAACACGGGCCGGACGTCCACCTGATCCCGCTGACGACCGTCTGCTCTGGGGCCGTGTGGAGGGAGAACCGCCGCCGGTTTACAGGAGAACAGTGACGGACTTTGAGACACCTCTGGGCCGCGAACACGTTTAGTGTCAGTCGGCATGATGCTGTTTAGTAAACTGCAGCGTGCAAAGAAGTCCAACAGACAAATACGTCCCTCGGAAACACAGCGCGGAAGTAAATGATTCCGTTGATTCGTGGCACCGGCGGAAATTACATCAGCAAACACAACAGCTCGATTTCTACAATTTAAGCAAGTTTTATGTAGAAGTTATGAATGGATAAAGAAAGCTAAAACACAAGGGTGAATGATAGAAAAATAAAAAAAAAACAGTTATCGGGTACATAGACAATCCTGAGTCTGAAAGAGGCATTCAAGTCTTTGTTAATTGCTCTGATTTTTTTGCTTTCAGATAGTTCCTCTTCTGTTTCAAACCATAGTTTCATTTCATTCTTAAACTGATGACTATTGAATTACCTTGATATTAAATTTATGGATATAAAAAATTGTCGACGATTTATCAAAGGCTTCACCTGTGGCCAGGCATTTTTAATAAACAGTTTCTGTTTTCTCTGAATAAATGTTTGGTCTGACGTGTTTACAACCATCTGCGATTGAATTGGTATGAAATAAAACGTACCCTCTACACAATAATATTCGTCGTGTCACACATTTACAAATTATTAAAGAAAATCGTTAATATATAACCATTGCAAAGCCTAATCCCTAAAACACAAGCATGAATGTTATTAAAACAAACCGGAAACTGGTGGGAAAAAAAAACTCCAAATCGTATTAGTTGTTAAATAAATTACATATCAACTTTTCTCTCCTCAGCAGATGAACATAAATTCTTGAACATCTCGGTCTCCACTGACACCTGTGTCTTTTTCATTGCATCAGCCATGCCGGCACAGTTCGAACCACTGATGTGGCGGGCTTGGCAAAGACTGACAGCCAGTTTCTCCAATGAGAATTGATATTTACGGACACGCCGGTTCGGCAGACCAATCAGTGGTGGGCGTAGGCGTGTTCATTCAGGCTGTACTTTCCTTCTGGTCGAGCAGCGTGGACCAAAGCTGTGTGTTTGGGAGCAGCGACTAACTCATTCTGCGAGACAGCAACTTCTGTGAGTACTACAGCTTCGTCACTGAGTATTAAATAGGTTAAAGATTTATGTGCGAGTCCTGGAGATTCAAATTCAGTTTGAGTAACACGTTGAAATGCCTCCTTTAGTCTGAAGACAGAGAAGTAGCCTGTCTAGCTAATCTGCTAACGTCAGTTGTGAAGCTAAGTAGTACCTCGACCCTCACAGTAGTTTTATCAGCTGAACATCTGGGAATACTGCAGACCTGTTTTTACTGCTAGTTTGGAATGGAAGTCGTTGTCTCGTTTGACTGAAAACTTTTATGGCACATTTAATATTAACAACCTAACCTCCAACACTTTCTATGAGACCTTTGAAAACAGCCCATTTAGTATTCATATTTGGGCATTTACAACAAAAAGTAATGCCAGAAATAATCTAGCTGAGTTGTGCACACAGTGCTCCTTAAACAAACTTAAAAGCACAACTTTTAGGACATAATTAATTTATTTATTTTCATTTACCACCCGCCTGATCTTCATGTCAAATGTGTTACCTTCCCCTCTTGATGTTAGATGTTGAGCTTTATGTTTTGTCTCCACAGAGGAATTCATTTCCCACTTTAACAGCCCATTTATTGCTCATACCATCTTTTACATGTTTACATCTTTTACAGTCAAAAATTTCCATCCCCTCACCCTGATGTTGCTTCGTTCACCGGTTGTCAGCAGGGGGGTTTGGTAGTCAGGATGGGGACTGTGGTTGTTTACCATCCGTTTGCTGGCCCCAGAGAGCTGGATTCACCAGCTATGTGGTTTCTTTTGTCAGCTAGTTTATGAATGAGTGCAGTCAAGAGAATTCAACCCCGCTGCCTTTTAATGGTAGACTGTAAATTATGATTATGCCATGATCAATGCATTGGCAAAAGCTCCAAAATATTTTTGCTTTCACTTTTTGAATTGAAATCCTCCGCTTATCTACAAGCTTCAATTTAGCTTCATGCAGTGACACTGAAGTTTTTTTTTTTTTAATCTTTCTTAGTTTCCTAAAATCTTAGTGCTAATTCTATTACACAGGCTGCTTTAAAACGTATTTACACTGACATATCTGCAAAATTTTGTTTTTTTGCTTTGGGGGAAATTGGAAAACCCCAAACCCATGACAGAAAAGGACGATAGAGTAAACCCCAGAAGAAGCAGTTCACTGTCATTTGAAATTCAACTTTGGAGGAAGTTAAATTCAAAATAAGTGCAAAAGTCATTAGGGGAAAGAATCCTTACGACGTAGCTAGCTAATTTTATGAATGGAATTTCAATTTGTTGCATCTCTGAACATTGTGTTGCCTGAGCAATTTGGGTAAGTATGGGGGATCTCATTTGATGGCTGTGGAAGGTTGGATCCTTGGGTTTGGACTGTGTGCACTTGCAATAATCTAAATAAGAAAAGCAAAGTCATATTTGGTAAGGTGAAAATATAATTCAGAGGAGTTTTAAAATTTTTTCTGAAATCCAGTTTCTGTTTTTTGACAAGACCCCTGATCTTGAGTTTTTCTTACATTTTTCATGGCCATTTTTTTTGGTACTTTGGTTATCTGTAGGTGTGAACAAGGCCTAAGAATTTAATGGTGTTTCTTTTGTCTTTTCTTAAGTCCGTTGCGCTATAGAATAAAAGTAATAATCATAAATATCCATTTTGAATTTAGTGATGTAGCTTTGTCTTGCTTTAATGATGTGCAATTTTTAAACGTATTCAGATTGAGATCCGCTCTGTCCAAATCTGATGCAATGTTGTCCACATGGAGATCCCTAACTACATGTTTCAGATCAGTTTGGGAGCAGGTCCTGGCAGAAAACAAATTCCTGAGTTGCTGTTGCTTTATGAGAAGAGCCAAAGGCTAATTTGTTGAGGGCAAATGATAGAGTAGAGCTGAGTTTTCTGACAGCAGCGATCTAAAACCAGTGTTCGTCTTTTTCCTTGCCACCATGAGATGAAATGAGTTGATTAAAAAAAGTAAATGATAGTTTATGATTTGTCTGCTAAGGAATGACCAGTCATTATTCAGTGATGTTGCTTCGACTCCTCTTCATCACGTGGTCTGCTGACTTATTCTCATTGTTGATATCATTTTTGGCTGTGAGATAAAGAAATGTGCATTGCAGGGGTCATATTAAAACACTATGACTAAATCTTTTTCCAATCACTTGATAAATTAAATGATTTTTTTTTTCAAACAACTTTATTATAATGTGGAAATACTTTGTTAAAATATATGCCTCTGCTGAGGTGAGTCTAAAGCAGTCCTGCTCTTTTATCAGCACCTTTGCTAACAGCAACACAGTCAAACCCAAATGTCACTGTTTTTTCTCTTTTGTATTAGATTCATTAGAACTTGCATTTTGCATGCCTGTAACCTCGTCTTGATATAAGTCAACAGTCAGTGTAGACACAAATATATTTCTGCATCACATTTCAATGATTTGCTAGTGATAATGCTTTCTAACGTAAACACTTCACATCGTGAGTTTGACGTGTTTTAATTTTTTGTGTCCAATCAGAGGGAGCTAAATTGAGGCAGAGTCAACCTTGAGGCATACCTCTGACTTGCTGGATAGGACCAGCGGGTTTTACTGGTTGTAACTCCTGTAATTGCCTTATGGTGTTTTATGGCTGGAGGTATTTTACAAGCAGTCTAACTCACCTGAACACTAAAAGAAGTTTCATGTAGTCTAGCAGGCTTTTTCGAGCCGGTTCACCCTGTTTGACCATCATAACACAAAATTAAAATAAAAACATGAGTGTTTTCTCTGTTATGACACGTAAGCAGTACTGTGGCTCCCGAGCTTCTGTTTATGTAGCTCACTTGGCTCTTGTTTGTCTTGCCCCTGGGGGTTTAGCCAAATTCCTGTTTATTGAAGCAAATTTTCAACCACCATATGATCATAAAATTGCTGTTTTATATGAGTGGTAAGGCAAAGCCACTGAGTCTTCTCGATCCTTGTAGTCTATGTCCCTTTGAAAACCCTTTAAAGGGATATTCCGGTGTAAAATTAAGTTAATATCAAACACACCGTAACATCGAGTTAGACATACCCATTAGAGACGAATGTTGCCGACTTGCTTTTCTAGTTATACCAACTTTAGTAATGACCGCACAATAGCAAGACACAGCAGTCTACATCTCCACGCTCAAACCTCAAACAAAAAGTCACTCTACAGCCAAAAATAATGCTCAGAACAGCACCTAACTTCATCAACAGTACATATAGGGTCCTAGCCATAGTACTAGCCATCAAACATCTTTTTAGCTGGTTGCCTGGTTTCTTTAGCAAAGAGACCAAACACAACTCACCTACTCTCTTCCAGCAGCTGCTTGTTTGTAGGGAGACCTGATCAGTCGATCACCGAGTGCAGCGGGGTGACGCAGCTCAAAGAAGAACATGTATGATTATTACTTTATAATTTCCTTGTAGTAAAAATCACCTTTTTAATCATTTTGCACCACAGATGCTGTAGTTCCTCTGCTTTAGCATCTCGGTCTGATTGTATTTCCACAAAGAAATGATCATAAATTGATTGTTGATGAAGTTAGGTGCTGTTCTGAGTATTATTTGTGGCTATAAAGTGGCTTTTTGGTTGAGATTTGTGCATAGAGATGTAGACTGCTTTGTATTGCTGTCATGCAGTCATTACTAAAGTTGGTATAACTGGAGACGCAAGCAGTCAGCAACATTCATCTCTCGAGGGGATGTTTAACTCTGTGTTATGGTGTGTTGACCCTAACTTAATTTTATGCTGGAATATCCCTTTAATTTAACCACTTACCCTTAACCAAATAAGCCCCGGCTTAATCTAAGGCTCGAGTCTCTCCTGTTTTGAGTCAAAGGCAAGGGTCAGTGCGTCGCTTTTTCCAAAAACACATCACAAACACAGACAAAGCACTGAAAAGTATGAATACTTCTTTGCTTTCCTTTGCTTTGTCAGTAGTTTGGAGCACTAGTTTCAGCAACAATTGTGATGTGAGCTGTGCTGGAAATTTATGTAGAAACAAGTCTTGTTGTCATGGTGGAACCCCACAGAAACCCAGGGCAACTTAATTGGATGTGAAGCCAGTTAAAAATGGCTTTCACCCTTGAGAGCTGCGTGTTCAAACATGCTTGATATTTACAGTAAGGTATTTTGTTTGTTTTTTTCAGAGAGCTGGTTCAGAATGGACTCCTCCATGAGTGCAGCCCAAATCCGGGAGAAATTCATCGACTTCTTCCGAAGACATGAACACCACTACGTCCACTCTTCAGCCACCATCCCACTGGATGACCCCACGCTGCTCTTTGCCAATGCTGGCATGAATCAGGTATAAACCCAGGCTTTACTTCACTTCTGTTCAAAACATCTATGATACTTATTTAGATTGCTACTTGAATACGTACCCAATAAAAGAAATTCCAAATGTATTCCAAATTTTCCCTTGGTTCCTCTTTCTCTTAGTTCAAGCCCATCTTCCTCAACACCATCGATCCTTCCCACCCTATGGCCAAGCTGCGCCGTGCAGCCAACACTCAAAAGTGTATCAGAGCAGGAGGCAAACACAATGACCTGGACGATGTGGGAAAAGATGTCTACCACCACACCTTCTTTGAGATGCTGGGCTCCTGGTCCTTTGGGGACTACTTCAAGGTATTACGCTGTCACCCTTTTGAAAATATATCTCAAATGAAAGTTAAGTTTTGAGGCTGGTAGTGCTCATATTTTTTGTTCAGGCTAAAATACATTAGCAGTTCAGACAGAGATAAAGTTTTAAAAAATCACAGCAGTAGATAAATACATTTTGTAAATCGTAATAAATACTCTTACTTTCTAGATGACAATATTAATGATTCTTACCATCCACAAAAACTACTATTGACATGGTAGAATTATTTGTCATGCTCTACTTGTGTGCTTATCTGTCTTAGCTATTCTCCTCCCTCTTTCTCATTTTTCATATTAGATTTAAAGTATTTCACTATGCTCCGTTAAAAAGTACAGTCAGTAGGGCGGGCAGATGGCCGAGTGGGTTAGCGCGTCCCATGTATGGGGACCACAGTGGAACCCCGCAGCGGTCGTGGGTTCAGGTTCGGCCCTGCCTATGTGCTGCATGTCCTCCCCCATCTCTCCCTTTCTCCCCACATTTCACCCTATCCTATCGATAAAAGGCAAAAATACTTAAAAAAAAACCTACAATCAGCTCACAGTGGCATAGTGGGGTTCAGCTATAACGTGCGGGTTAGTTTAGTACTGAATACAACTAGTTAAGTTGCAAATCTATAACATGTTCTGTAAGGAAGCCTAACTATTGAATCTGCAGTAGTGTAACATCGGTGTCCCAGCGTGTCATTTTACATCATACTGTGGAGTAACAAGCAAGTACATAAAAGGTACAACATGTACAGTAACAGCAGTAACTTCATACACATGTATGACATGCTCTTCAGTTTGACAGCAGTGCTTGTAACACCTATGTTACTACCTTAGTGGTGAGACAATAGACTGTTGCATTTCTATTACATTTACCTAGAGGGCTTAACTTTACAGAGATGTAAGCTTCCCACCTTGAACCAGGGGTATATAGAAATGGGGTGAGTTTGTCTACCAAAGAGCCTCCCTCATCATGATTAGATTTTTAAAAATGTTTTCCTTCCCATCTTTTTCCACAGCAACTGGCTTGTGAGATGGCCTTGGAGCTGCTGACCAAGGAGTTCGGTATTCCCATCGAGCGTCTGTATGTCACCTACTTTGGAGGTCATGCCGAAGCAAGCCTGGAGCCCGATCTGGAATGCAAACAGATCTGGATTGATTTAGGGTGAGCGGGGTTTGATAGGATGAACTGGTGGTGAACATGTCAGATGAAGACATTTGTCATGTGTCTGTGCTTCACATATCAACTTATCACATTCACTTTCTCCTGGGGGTTAATAGTAACTGCCTTACAAATCATCAACATATCTCACATTGCAGCTGTGCCAAAAAAAAGAAAAGCTGTTGAAAGTTAGCAGGGTCCAGTGTTAGCCATGGCCCGATGATCATGGGCTCATTACTGAACTAAGTGGCCAGTATCCCTACCAATCACACTCTGAGATGTACACATGTATTTAAAGACATCTGCACTGGCAGGAGACTACAGGGTGAACCACTTAAATACACAAGTGGAAGACAGGCAAAATGTTGTAGGCATAGTCTAGTCGCCCATGTCCCTTTACCCATGAATCATTGATTATTGACATTCTGCATAACTGCTGTTATGGCTGTTTTTTTTTATTTAAAAAAATCACAAAAAGTACAGAAAATATTTATTTTCATATTTTTGCTATCTGGACTGGTGAAAGTAAACACAGGGTCAGTAAAATTTAACTGTAACTTATAACTTATTATCATTATCAAATTTGGTTTACAGCAGGCAGCACAACAGTACACGATAAACATAAAAACATAGAACATAAAGGCATAGGGAAAAATCCTGAGCACGTGTAAAATAACCGTACTTAACCACAGAAAGCCAGATACTTATAGATTAAAAGATATTATAAAACCCCTTAAAGTGCATTCATTCGTGAAGTAAACAATTATGATGAATGGACAAGGAACTGGATTAAAGAGATTTAATAAGTAATCAATAAACAATCAAAGATAATAATTCAAAGTCAATCTTAGTCCATCATAATATCCACCCTATGTCGACAGTATAAACAAAGAAGCAAGGGGGCAGTTGTGTTGGTCATTGGTTAGTGTGTAATGTGTGGTCAGTCCCAAAGAGATTTTTCGTTTTTTCTTCAAGTCCCACTGAGTCACCCCACTCTCTCCACCTACATGAATGGATCCAATCTCATCTATATCTGAACTAAACTAGTGTCTCCCAAAGTTTAATGAGATGGTTAGCCACATTTTATCAAGTTGGTAAAAGCTGTTAGTAGGCCTGGGCGATTTGGCAAAAAAAAAAAGGATCACGATATATTTTGTCATATCACCCAATTTCAATTATTATCATGATTTTTTTTAAACTGCCAGTTGTAAAGCATCTGTACTAAACATTAAAAAAATTAGAGATTAGTTCAACATTTTATCAACATAAACAGTAAATAACAAAGCAAATTGAATAAAATACACCTAGAAAAATCTAAAAAACATTTTAATTCAACAGTACAACAAATGTAGATAAATACTAAATAATACAGTGAATTAGTTTATGGTCCTGATTGTTTTTGCAGGTATGAAAGATAATGAAGATGCTTTAAAATGTAAACATTAGATGATGTAAACGTAGATTAGGGTTTGTTCAAAACTGTCAAATACTGTGATTGAATTGTCTTCATGTGTATCTCTCAGGATGGATGAGGCTCGCATTCTTCCCGGCAGCATGAAGGATAACTTCTGGGAGATGGGAGACACCGGTCCCTGCGGTCCCTGCAGTGAGATCCACTATGACCGCATCGGGGGACGAGATGCGTCTCACCTGGTTAACATGGACGATCCAAACGTACTCGAGATCTGGAACCTGGTGTTTATTCAGTACAACAGGTAACGGACCTTAACACACACTCTGATCAGAGTCTAGAAAAATCTAATCTACAAAACGAGTTCACCAGTGCAAACACACAGCAGCAAAGTGTTTGGTCTAAAGGAGATGTTAATCTAGCACTTCTAAATGTTTATCTGCCTGTTTTTGCAGAGTCTTGTCAACACTACAGAGGGATTCAAACATTTTACGCTACAAACTCCCTGTAAACGATAAATCTGAACACAGACCATAATTGTACTCTAACAGCGAGGGACCCTGGAATTTGGACACACCTTTGTCCCTAATTGTTTTTGTTTGTTATACACAATTATATACCCACACCCTTCCTCTCTACACCCATCAACATTTCCTTTTACTGTTTGTGTTGCAATTAACAGCTGTTTGTATGTTGTCGGCGAGTAATCTGGTACTCGTGTTTATTCCATCAGGAGAAATGATCCATTCTTCTCGACTGCAGGATGATTTTGCAGGAACATGTTTCTTTGTTTGTGTGGTCTATATGGTCTATCCAGAGTTCTGCTCATTCACTTATCCCTGTATTTGACCAGTTTTGTTGTCTCTTTTTTTCCAGAGAGTCAGAGACGGAGCTGAAGCTGCTGCCAAAGAAGAGCATCGACACGGGGATGGGTCTGGAGCGTCTGGTTTCTGTGCTGCAGAACAAAATGTCTAACTATGATACTGACCTCTTCATCCCGTATTTTGATGCCATTCAGAAGGTATAGAAACATATCGAAAAGTTGTCTTTGTCAGCCCACACATTTATAATCGTTTACCATCAGTGGAGTACACAAAGGTCCATAGGTCACAAATTTTTTTCTTATTTGCCTTGGAGCTTGAAGCTGTTGGTTTCTCAGAATGTTTTATTCATAGATCACGTTGTTTGAAGTTATACTCAAACAGAAAAATACGAGCAGAAGCAGAAATAATGTCTAAGTCAGAAAAACAATTCATCTGCTCAGAGGAACTATGGTGTGGGATCTAGGGCTGCAGCTATCGATTATTTTAGTAATCGAGTACTCTATCGATTAATCTGTCGATTAATCGAGTAATCGGATAAGAAATGTTTTGCTCTCACTGTAATACTTTGCATTGAATCACGTTTGCCTCAGAGCGGACTTAATGCATGGACCGGGTGTTTTCTTTTAAGGTGCTGCAGCATTGACGACGTGCTGTTGTGAAACGCCAACTCCGCCTTACAGTGAACGCACTGCACGGCGTTTTCTTTCCTTTTCAGTGTGTAATGGTCCCACACTTTAGACACTTTCTGCCATTTCCTCTGCGTGTCATCTCTTTCTTCCTCTCTCTGTCTGTCCTCGTTTCCCTCCATGATTGAACCAAACGCGCCATAGACATAATAAAAGATAGACCCCGCATCGGCCGCTACCACGAATGGGCGCTGTCGAGAAATGCGGCCGCCATCTTGGTCCGGTCATCCGCCTCACTCTGCACCGCTGTTTAACCGGCGGAATGAAGTCTGAGCGCATTAATGAATCATAGTTCGCTCAATACTACGTAATTTTCTTCTCTGCAAACGCCATTCAAAGAGGCATGATAGAGGCCATATTTTTTTTTGGCGTTTTCAAATACTCAGAATGAATAAAATGATATTTTAGAACATGGCAGCAGTGGCTGTATTATAGTATAACAATTAATCAAGGATATATTTAGGTTTAGAGCTAGGTTCCTGCTATGTCTCAATAATTATAAATAACTGGCGGTATTAATAGGCCAATTCAATATATATTGATTTGATTATAATTTTTTATATAGTTTAATTTTATTTATCCATTTGTAGACACACACAAATAATGTCATATAGAAGCACTATTTTAATAACTGGAAAATACACACAAATATATAGCCTACATATCAAAAAGATTTAAACACAAGAACAGCATGACAGGACAGCATCTAAACTACATATCAATTTGCTTGTTGGCTACACAGCACAGAGGAATCACTTGCTGCGAATTTCTCCCTCTAACAGCAATCTCCCACTTCTTCCTCAAGTTTTTGTCCTTAGGAAATCTTCAAAATGAAACAGGAGATCACCACAAAGAAATCTTTAATAAAACAGATAATAAAACAGAGCTCACTTTCTTCCTTTTTCTTTCTATTTTATTTCTTAACGTTTCTTAGAACCTCTCTCAAACAAAAGTTTTTCAATCTAATGCAAATCTGTTGATAATCGACCAAAGTTGCTATTATTGTGAATAAGCTAGCTGTTCGCAAATGCTGTTTCCTTTTTGGAGTTGACCGATTGTCTTCCTCTTTGGCCTACAAATGACTCTACAGTCAAGTGTAATGTTTAAAAAACGTTTAATCATAACTGTGAAAAGTTATTTCTTGAGCCCTGTTCTCTGCTGTCCGCCTGTTGGCACAGGAATACGCCGCACAGTGCTCCGGCATCGCTGAATGAATGAATATGATTGACCGGAGCGTATGGGAAACTTGACCTGACCAAGATGGCGGCCGCATTTCTCGCTGCGCAGCACCCCCAGCGGGGTCTACCCTTTTATTATGTCTATGAAACGCGCGGCAGCGGAAGGAGCGGAAAGAGCACGCTGCTGCGCAACAGAAATAACCGTCCGTGTCAAACACCGTGCGCTGCACATGGTTCCGGATTTAAACGATTCCTCGAGGCATATAATTTGCCTCGAGGAATTTTATTAATCGAGTTACTCGAGTTACTCGAGTAATCGTTTCAGCCCTAGTGGGATCTAAAAATGATGTTTTTGGTTCAACATTACTTGTGTGTATTTTCAGGGCACAGGTGCTCGACCGTACACAGGTAAAGTAGGCGCTGAGGATGCCGACGGTATTGACATGGCCTATCGTGTGCTGGCTGACCACGCTCGTACCATCACCATCGCACTATCAGATGGTGGCCGACCTGACAACACAGGAAGAGGGTGAGACATGGAAGTTGCAGGGGGAATAAAAAGGAGGGGAGAATATCTGAAACATAAACACCTTTTGTAATGACTGCAGTGCAGCTAAGTGTCAAATTCAAGTGTCAAGTGTCATTTTGCTTCTTTGTGTTCAGCTTGAGAATTCAAACATGTTAGACATGCTTTAATGTGTGAGTCTTAAAGGCAGTTTCTCTTTCCAAACTTGTACTTTGCTGATTTTAAGCACTGACAGACTCTAACTTAAAGTGCAGCTTTCAGTGCAGAGTTTGGATGTTTGTTTCTTTTCTTATGTCGTGTCATTTGCTGTTTCGGTCATGATTATAGTTATGTGCTGAGGAGGATCCTGCGCCGCGCTGTACGCTATTCCCATGAGAAGCTGGGGGCTCAGAAAGGCTTTTTTGCCTCTTTGGTGGATGTGGTGGTGGAATCTCTGGTGAGTTTTGTCAAAGAGCTGTGTGTTTTTGCAGTTTTTACTAGCAGATTGTGAAAAACGGAGTAAAAACTTTTCACTAAGTGGGATTGTATTGGGGTGCTTGTGAATAATACTGGTCACAGGGGATCCTATCAGCTTGCCCCTTTTGTTGCAAAGATGACCCCAGATCCAAATAGAATCTAGACTATCAACCACAGCAGATAGGGTGAACGCCACCATGTTGTTTAGAGCCCATTTTAACAAACTCCAACCAAAGCGCTGTTCTGGGTATAAGTGGAAGTTATTTAGTTTTAGTCACATTCAGAGAGCCAGTTTGTTTTTTAGCTTTTCTCTGACTGTCTGACTGTCAGCAAATTAATCAGCTCATCATGTCTACAATGTATGATGATCAGCTTGACTTTTGCCCAGTTTACTGATGAGTTGTAAGTTTGGACATTTTGAATCTTAGTCTGGCGTGATTTTAAGCAGCATGTCTGATGGTCGCAGTAATGTCTTTGAGTACATTTTATTTTAGTCTTCCCCTTCAACAGCTAACAAAGTGTACTTTTGAACATTTCATGGGCACGGTGGGTTGTGATATTATACAATCTAATACAGCGAGAGCCCTAAACATACTTTTCCATCCATTCTTTATTCTGATATAACTTATACAGTACAGGCCAAAAGTTTGGACACACCTTCTCATTCAATGCATTTTCTTTATTCTCATTACTATTTTAATTGTAGATTCTCACTGAGGGCATCAAAACTATGAATGAACACATGTGGAATCATGTGCTTTAGAAAAAAGTGTGAAAATACTGAAAACGTGTTTTATATTTTAGATACTTCAAATTAGCCACCCTTTGCTTTTTTGATAGCGCTGCAAACTTTTGCTGTTTTCTCAATGAGCTTCATGAGGTAGTCACCTGAAATGGTTTTTACTTCACAGGTGTGTATTGTTAGGGTTAGTTTGTGACTGACAGAGTCAGTCACTAAGTACTTCTGTCATCAAGAGCAAAGGGTGGCTATTTAAAAGAAACTAGAATATAAAACATGTTTTCAGTTATTTCACACTTTTTTTTAGAAGTACAAAATTCCACGTGTTAATTCATAGTTTTGGTGCCTTCAGTGATAAACTACAATGTAAATAGTCATATAAAAAAATAAAGAAAAGACATTGAATGAGAGGGTGTGTCCAAACTTTTGGCCTGTACTGTATATTAGAAAAAAAGCTGGTAAAAGACAGTGAGTGGTCTGAGGTGACAGGGGACTTTGCTTGGTGAGTGATGGAGACTGCGGTTGGAGGTGAGCTGCTGGTTTCCTCTGATTAGGAGAGGTTATGAAATATTGGAACAAAGTCCTAATTGTGATAGCAAGTCATGTCATGGGCTCACAGTTAATGTACACCTGCACAAGCTCTGGATTTTCCCTGCTCTCCACTCATCAGAAGATTCTCCCTTTTCCCTCCAGTCTGTTAAGTTTTTTAGTCTCCTTTTGTAAACTACAGCTCATAAAGGTTTCCACAGGGTTTTTAGCCTAGAAAGGGGGTTGTATGATCACATTTTCTTTACTGAGGTCTTAAAATATTTTAATGCATGTTGGATTTGATGCAAAAAGCAGATAGACATTCTGTGTTTCTCTTTATTTACTTGAGGAAGGTGCATATTGGTGCTACTTTAAACTTTAGTAGGTCCCTATATCTCACTCACAACTAGTGCAATAAATGTGATTTTATTCAAATGTCCTCTATTCTTCTTTTATCTTCTCTCCCCTCTCCCATCTTTATCCTCTTCTCCACCCCCCACAACCTGTTTTCAATGGAATCCTCAAGGGTAATGCTTTCCCAGAGTTGAAGAAAGATCCCGAAATGGTGAAGGAAATAATTAACGAGGAGGAGACGCAGTTCCTCAAAACCCTCAGCAGGGGGCGCCGTATCCTGGATAGGAAGATCATGAGCCTGGGAGACTGTAAGACTATCCCAGGTGAGTCCCACATGGCGGATATAGAGGGAAGAGTTCAGGTTCATGGTATCATCTTTTTTAAGGACCTGCGATAGAAACCATTTCATGAACCTGAGATTTATTCACTGTGTATTCTGCCACAGCTGTCGTCTGAATTTCATATTTTCTCCACTTCATATCCTAAGCCTCCAACAATACTTTGCCTCTTTTCTGTTTTGTGAAGTTTTGTTAATTGTTCAACTTTTCACTTTGAGTCCAGTCTGACCAAACACTAGAAAAAAGACACATTTTCTCTGCCTTGGGTTTTTGATGAGATTCCTGTCCCACAAAAGGGTTTGCAGGTTTTTTCAGGCCAAAATGAAATCTAAGTCTAAATCTAATCTAAAATCGAAGTCTACTGCTATCATTCATACAAGTCTAATCAGACAGTTTCCTTGCTTTTAAATTGTTCAAGCACAGACATATGATACTCTGTTGATGTGTTCCTCCTCATCAATTTGTCTGAAAATAACCCTATTTCGTTTTAGTTGTCTCTGAGCATCGTAGCCTTAGACATAAACCTCTATCTGTCTAATCAGTTGATCTCTCTGTCTGTGCATCCAGGTGACACAGCATGGTTGCTGTATGACACTTATGGTTTCCCCCTGGATCTGACGTCCCTCATCGCTGAGGAGAAAGGAATGGGGGTGGACATGGCTGCTTTTGAAGAAGAGAAGAAGGCAGCACAGGTGAGAAGAGTATGATTAAAAAAATGTTTGTTGGGTATTTGAATTTAGACTTCACTGCTCTGTGAGGGAAACAGTGTTTTGTGTCCTTGCCCCCTGAGGGTGTTATTTTACCTCGTGTCAGCGTTCTACAGTATTGCATTCTTCCTTGTTAGTTAGAATAAAGGGCCATGTTCCTGATGTATAAGTAGACTGTGCTGGACTGAGGCCACAATATTGTTTAGCAACAAGATTGATTTCTTCTTGTTTACTGCAAACCTCACAACTGTTGTCCAACGAGTCAGTCAACTAATCTACTCACACACTGGCTCTGAAACTGACCTCCGTGTTAGACAGAGAGGTCATAAAAAATTCTCATGTTCACTGAATTTACAAGACAGAAAACAAGGCACTGTGGTTCCAGTGTATCTTGACTTTTGGAAGCTTGTAAAGGTTGGTCTTTCTCAGGATTGTTTGACATTTTTCATAAAATTCAACACCACTCCACGTACTCTTGGGCACAACCACCAAGTTTCCACAGTCAGGCTAAATAAAAGTGTATTCAAAGTATCATAACGATTTGTAAGAATAAAACAGAAGCTCCACCACTTTGAGGGACATCTCCCATCCTTGTCCATGTAGTAATACCTGTCCAGAGAGAGAGGTAAAATAAGTACAGCTACTCGACTGACTACATCCCAGCCTATCTGGAATCATTTTGCTCTGGGATGGGATCCTGGATGTGGACTAGTGAGACTTAAATAAACATGATGCCATTTAGTTTTCAGTCTGACTGTACTGTGCTGATTGGAACAACAGTGTGCCATCCTGACTGTGATTGTTTACCTTGCTGCCAATGACACAACAAGTGTGTGTTATTGGGCAGATCAGGACTCCGATGTGGTCCAACAGTAAAAGTACAAGGGCAGTTTAGATGTTTAAAGAGGCAGCTGCTAGCTCTGATAGTACAGAGATCAGTGACTGTTTCCTCATTTCAAACTGTGATTTAGTGATATAACCATGAGATTGTTGTTTATTCTTTTAGTATTTAACAGTCAGATGTAATAGTAAACCCACTTGTATCTTTTTTTTTTGTAATGTCTCTTTAAAGTTTAAAAGTTGAGACTGCTGAATTCGTGTCGACCTCTTTAACAACTCAATGTGTATTTGGGTTGGTAGATAAAATCCCAGGGTAAGGGCGCTGGAGACGAGGACCACATCATGTTGGACATCTACGCCATCGAAGAGCTGAGAAACAAAAAGATTCCTGCTACAGATGACTCACCTAAGTACAAGTACACCTCGGATCAGAACGGCAACTACAGTCAGTGATTTAAATCCCCATACGCACTTTGGGTTCAAATGTGTGTATTTTCAGGACTTTCCCTTTAACTGTCTTCCCTTTTGCGTTTGCAGCCTTCGAGCAGGCCACCGCTACAGTGCTGGCCCTCCGCCATGACCGTGACTTCTGCAGCGAGGTGACGACTGGTCAGCAGTGTGGCGTGTTACTCGACCAGACGTCCTTTTACGCCGAGCAGGGCGGGCAGACGTTCGACGAGGGCTACATGCTGCGGGAGGATGACAGCACAGAAGACGTGAGTGCAACACAATAGAGTTGATGTGTGCGCTCGTCAGTGAATCTGGGTTTTATGAATTCACTATGAGCTCTGAGGTTTTCAAAGGACCCTCATTAAGCTGATTTTATGAATCAGTGTTTTGCAGCACACAGCTGTCACAACACAAAGAGGAAAATCACTTTGTTTCTGTCATTTGTACAGAGATGACAATTGCAATCACGACGACTTTCGTGGCGTCTTAAAAATTGTTTAAATACGGCTGGATGAGTCTGACAGAAGGATGAAAAAATGCTTGCAGGCAAAAGAGCGTCTTCTCGACAACACAGACTGCCAGATGTTATAAAACAATCGTTCAAGATAAGACACTGGCTCTGTCTTCTGATTTTAAGTGAACGGCATCAAAACTGTTTTATTTTACAGTTTGCACGAAACCATCCATCCAAAAAAACCATGAAGTGACATTAATTTGTGTCTTTATTGTCATTTTATAATAAATCTCAGCTTTGCCGAAGCTGCTCAGCCTCTGTTTTAATCTTAATCTGACAGCGTGCCTTTCAGAAAATAATGTTTCTCATTGTCAGAAGCTAAGAAAAGAAAATACATGCAGGGTCTTTGAGCAGGTGGTCCTCCTTATATAACAGGGTCTGATAATCTCTCTTTCGACTAAAACAAAAAAAACATCTGACCTTGCTGTCTCTCTCTCTCTCTTTTCCTGTCTGTCTTTTCTGCAGCGGACAGAGTTCACAGTGAAGAACACGCAGGTCAGAGGAGGTTATGTTCTCCATGTGGGAACAGTCTATGGGACACTGAAGGTTGGCGACCGGGTTAGCTTACGTGTGGATGAGGTGAGAACATCTGCAGGTTTAAAATCAAGCAGACAGTCATACATGAGGATTTCTGTTTCTAGTCGGTTAAATAGCTGAAAAAAGCAGAAAGTGGCATGTCTGGGTGTGTAGAGTTCTGCGTGTTTTTGTCTCTGATTTTTCACTCAAACTAATCTGTCTGTCTTACTATCTTTCAAGGCTCGTCGCAGGCCCATCATGAGCAACCACACCGCCACACACATCTTAAACTTTGCCCTGCGGGGGGTTTTGGGGGAGGCAGACCAGAGGGGCTCCCTTGTTGCCTCAGACCGCCTGCGCTTTGACTTCACAGCTAAAGGTGCTCTGAGTACAGGGGAAGTCAGGCGGACTGAGGAGATTGCTTGCGCCATGATAAGAGATGCCAAGGTATGAAACTGGAAATGATCCTGATAAAAGTTTCATGTGGTGCTCCTTTCCTACTCAAATGTAAGTCTTTATTTAGCTCCTGCCACATCTATAAACTAGAACAAAAGAGAAAACAGGGAAGAATATGTGCAGAGATGCAAAAGAGAGGACAGTAAAGACAGAGGCAGGGTGAGAGGTATGTTTGGGCTGGATGAGGCTGTACACTTCACCTTTCCCTACCCGCTCATTTGTATTTGGGGGAGAGGAGAGAGAAAAGAAGAGATAAACTGTTTTTCTCCTGTTTTTATTTTGGCCCTCATCTGACATTAAGTCTCCTTAAACTCACCCTGGGTTAGAACGTCACTTGACTGTTTCTTCCTCTCCTTCTCTCGGCTCTTTGCAGGAGGTGTACGCTATGGACGCTCCACTTGCCGAAGCCAAGGCCATCCAGGGTCTGCGTGCTGTGTTTGATGAGACCTACCCTGACCCCGTTAGAGTTGTTTCCATCGGTATCCCCGTTGAAGAGCTGCTGAAGGATCCCAACAGTGCTGCTGGTTCTCTCACCTCCATAGAGTTTTGCGGTGGAACGTAAGTATGATGCTGTGATTTGATTTACACACGAGACGAGACGGCCATGTTTGCAGCTCAGTCGCTTTTACTAACTGACGGCTCAAATATAGAGATGGCAGGTTTGGGCGGGTTAGAAAGTGTTGCACTAGAACTACATGTCCGAGGTAACATATAGATGTGCATGTTCATGATTCAAAAGGTTGTATACATCTGTGTTTTTAAAAATGGAAAGAAATGAGGTACTCATGTTCTGTTTAGAAAAAACACAAATATAAAAACCAAATCAATAAAATAAAATACATAAGATATATAATACTGCTCTTAAAAAATGGACCAAGTAGAACTAAAGTCAACTGAAATTAGGGTAGTCTAGATGCAACTTTTTTCTACCTCTGATACAATACCGATATTGTGGTCTTCAGTATCAGCAGATACCAATATTGGTCTGATATTAGCACAAACTTGTGCATGACAAGTTTTGCACTCGGCTGCAATGTCTTTTTCGGACTTAAACGAAAAACACTGTGACACTGTGACACTACTCCTTGCTACTTTGTTGGTACTTTAGTACACGTTGTTGTAATTATATGGGCTCTGCATGCTGGATCAGGGTGCTGCGAGATAGAGGTGCTGGAGTGGAGTCTGGAATGGACCGCTCGTATCAGAGTGCTGATATCAGAGATTTGAGATGCAGGCTGATATAATCCAATATTTTTTTTTCTTCTGAAATCGGACTGCTATCTGATATCAGTATCGTATCGGGACATCCCTAACTGAAATATACATAAATTTACAGTAAGCAGATATAAAGATTTGCGTTACGGCAGCTATTTGTTAACAGAAATGAGTTGCAGAAGTGTTGCATGTGGAAAATTTTCAAACAAAGGGGAACATTTCAATATACCCACTCTTGTAGCAGATTCAACGTAGTGTAAAATCTGTTATCTGGTGTTTCAATTTTCAGGATGAGAAGTGTTCCCACTTGTACTGCTGACCAATCAGTAGGGTTTGAGTCTGCATGAAGATCAAAAGCAGACAAAATGCAATGCGTGGTAATGACATCCTAGTTCAAGCATGTCTATAAACATAGAGTGCAAGTGTGCAATCAAACTGCTGTAGATCCAGATTCTCCCATGAGCAACAAATCTGCTGGATGCTTTATTGCAAAAGCTAATCAATATTTAGATTTCCTGACTTCTTGGCATGAAGCACAAACCGTCGATCCGACCTCCGCTCAGCAAACAATCAAAACAAGGAAAGTACAACAAGCTTAGTGTTTAGCTAAAATCTGAATCATTATGTTTTCCGGAAAAAACAGCAATTTCAAACCTGGTAACTCTACGTGAACCATAATCAGAAAAAGATATCTTTCTCTGATAGTACTCAATTATGTGAGACTGAAGCCTTTTTGTCATTTACCACCTATAATTTGATACTCAGTGGAAACAGATGAGCAGGCACAACTTCTCAGGATGCAACAGACCAAATAATGACTGTGTTTAGTTAGGGTACAAGGAAAAACACTGCATAACAGAGGAAGTCTTTGTTGCTGCTGAGCATGCATGGATGGTGTTAAATCTCCATTTTTTTTTTGGAGTGAAATTATTTCTAGCACTTTTGTAATAGGTGTCATTACTTTTATCAAACTTTAATTAAAGAGCTGTGAAACCCTCGGCACTGACGCTGTGGGTTCTGCTCTCTTCGTTTAGTGGAGAAGTTTGGTCTATTATTATGATGTTTGCCTGTTTCGTTCTCCGCTGCCACTCTCACACTGAGTCAGCCTCACAGCTCCTCGACTCTCTCGGTCTGCATCTGTGTGTCAGCGCACAAGCAGATAATGTTTGTTTGTTTAATGTCTGTCTGCAAAGTTTCATAAATGTCTGGGAACCTGAGAAAAGCAGCGGGGTCAAAAGGGAAGATGGAAAAGGTGTAACCTGTTAGCACTTTGTGTGTTTACCATTAAATGTCAAGCTGTGCTGTGAAGTGTTCTGGCTTGGATCAAGTTTGTGAGAGTGCTGAAATCAAACAAAGGTGGAAGAGGAGGAGAAAAAGTCTGAATCTGCATGAAACTCCCAGTTTTCAGAGCTGTCAGACCTGCCTGGTGGCGCTGTGCAAAGTACAAGTCATTAATTGGATTTCTGGGCCTTACGGTGTGACAGTTGTGCCGCTGTGCAGAGTTCAGTCTAGCGATTAGATTTGCTCTACCAATTTTCACATAGCCTGCTCCTGGCTGTAATACTCACCTTAATGCCAGGACTGTCTGACTCTTAGATATATTACAGTCAGACTTTTCATCTCATTTCATTGGATTTTGAGCCGAACAGATTTCTAGTTGAATGTGCAAAGGCATCAAGAGCTGGCTCTGATTAAAGCACTGTAGGAGACGCTTCTTCATCATATCCTGCTACTTCAGGTCTGAAAATGAATCCACTTTAGTAAACACTTGTTTTGCTTCCTTGCCTCCATCGCCTTTGATGTTGTTTTAATCTGCAGCGGCTTCAAAGATCCCAGCGCTCCTGCTGCTGCTGTTCTCTAATGTTTTCTCCCCCTGCTCTTGTTCCTCCTGCTCCGTGACGGCACCCTCCCTCTCCGCCACCCCCCCCACAGTTGTGTAACCCCGTTGCCTGTTGGTAATGTGCCGCTGTTGTTTCTCTTATCTGCAGCCATCTGCAGAACTCGGGTCATGCAGCACCGTTTGTCATCGTCTCAGAGGAGGCCATCGCTAAGGGCATCCGCCGTATTGTTGCTGTGACAGGAACAGAGGCCCAGAAGGTCAGGACACACACACACACACACACACACACACACACACACACACACACACACACACACACACACACACACAAACACACTGGGGCCTGAAGCGATGTGCTTTTATTCACACATCCACCTACACTTGTATAAAAAAGGAGTTTGAAAAGAAAGTACACAGATTTAATATCCCCACTACTGTATAAACTGAACGTCCCTATTGGAAATTAAGAGATGACTGACTTGATGATGAAGGTCACAAAGTCGTCATGATTTTCTTGTTACATGCAACAGAAGAAATAAAAGTTGTCATTAAAAAAGGTGTCCCAGATGACTCCTAGTGAGAATTAACAGCTCAGTGCTCAAACTTTAATGATGCTTGTTTTTGACTTGTTGAACTTGTAGAGAGAAAGAAAAAGCATTTTGTACTCTCCCCCTCTCTTCAGCCCTGAGGACAAATGAATCTGTACTAATTTTGGAAAATGATTTTCATTTGATCCTCTCTTTTATCGTTTTTTTTTTGTCCTTGCCTCCTCTGCCTTTGCACGTTTCTTTTGTCCTTCCTTCACTTTCTCTGCTGTTTGACTTCTCTGATGCCTCTGGTGTCTCACATTCCCAGGCCCAGAGAAAAGCAGATTCCCTCCAACAGTCTTTGTCCGCCCTGGGAGTCAAGGTGAAGCAACAAAAGGCCCCAAACAAGGACATCCAGAAAGAGATCGCGGACATGACAGAGGTACGTTTCAAAGAGACGCCAGAAAGTCCCACCAGGACATAATCGGAGCTTTGGCATCAACATCATGTCCGTCCTGTCTGCAGTTGATAGGCACAGCAGTGATCTCCCAGTGGAGAAAGGATGAGATGAGGGAAAACCTCAAGGCTCTGAAAAAGACCATGGACGACCTGGACCGCAGCTACAAGGCTGACATCCAGAAGAGGGTCCTGGAGAAGACCAGCGAGGTGATCGCAAGCAGCCCCAACCAACCACTGCTCATCATGGTGGTGGAGAGCGGCGCTTCAGCCAAGGTGAGTCCGTCTTCAAAAAGCCTCCAAAATCACTATTAATATGAATAAAAGTCAACTGGAATGATAACATGGAAAGCTTTTTCTTTCTACTCAAAATGTTGGTTTTTTTTTTCATTTACAAATTGGCTTTTGAAGACACACACACACACACACACACACACACACACACACACACACACACACACACACACACACACACACATACACGCACACACTTACAAGAGAAAAAATCAGTAACCAGACCTCAGGACTTCATCAGCACCCAGTGTAAAAATAAAAGTGCAAGCATGATTCAAACTGCGTTTATCTGCATCAGTGCTGCACTTCTCAGGCAGGCTCATGGCTTATCTCATTGTGTAATTGCCATGGGACCAAATCAGCTCTGTGGCCCATTAATTCTGACCTTGAGACATCTATAGTGCTGATAAGGAATTTTTTCTTTCCTCCCTCCTTGTTTCTTCCTTCTTTTTCTTCTCCTTTTTCCTTCTTTGCAATTGTCCTTTTATCCTTTCCTCTCCTCTTCACCTCTCTCAGGCTCTGAATGATTCACTGAAGCTGCTGAAGACACAGTCCCCTCAGACCGCTGCAATGCTCTTCACCATCGATCCCGAGGCCGGCAAGATCATCTGCCTGTGCCAAGTCCCCGAGGTAACACACACACCCACCCACCCACCAGTCTGGTCACACAGGCCCAATCCTAATTTCAAAATCAGTGGTTGGCAGACTTACTGGAGCATTCCTGCTAAGTGTGAGGGTTCAGGGCTGTCCCTGCCACAGTTTTAGGCAGATCTGAGGTGTGACATTGTTATCCTGCTCTCACATGGTATAAACAAACCAAAGGAAGAGATGTGAAGGGAACAGCAGGAAATGTATCTTTATGGGACAGTATGTACCTGCTTTCTGTTTTGGTTTTTATAATCTGATAGCCACCCCAGATGCCATCCAAGAACCCCACACCAACTGTCATTGATGTGCTGCACCCATAGACGATACTAAAATCAATCAAATTTACCTCATTGTCTCTTTTTAGTCATGAAAATTGGTGTTTCAATAAAAATGTACCATCATGGTTTTCATTAGGGCTGGGCAATATGGCCTCAAATCAATATCACGATATATTGAGCAGTTGACCTTGAAAATGATAAAAGGACGATAACTACTCCACAAGCTGCTCACCCCCTCCCACATTAACTTCGTCTAATTCAGCCGCCGCTCCAGTCGCTTTTGAACCATCCTCCATCTCCTCACCTGTCTTTCCTCTTTGTTACGGACTGGATGGGGTGGAGTCATGTCTCTGACATAGGACAGTGTCTTAAAGGGACATGAGACCATAGCCTACCTACACACATCCAAAACCAACTTTTATTTATTTATTTTTTGACACAGAATATATTGACATGGGCAAAATGACGTTGGTTATTGTCGTAAATTTTCGGTATCGGTAAATTTTTGGTTTATCACCCAGCCCTAGTTTTCGCCGACAGAATGAATGTGGATGGTTCCTGAAGAGTTTAGTGATCACCATTTTCTATGTTTATGATCTGTCTATGATTTGTGATAACCATCGACAGGAATAAAGACTATTTTTCCATTAGGTGTGTGTTAAGGAGGAGCTACACCCTCATTGACTGCTCACCTGACAGTATTTACACCTCTGAGGGTTTACTGCTCAGGCTTTAGGTTGTTGGGCCACACCGTGCTGGGAACATCTCCTGTACCAGATCTGTCTTAATCTTCACTCCTCTCTACAGGAAGTGACAAAACGCGGTCTGAAGGCAAACGAATGGGTCCAGGAGATCTGCCCCCTGATGGATGGCAAAGGAGGCGGCAAGGACATGTCAGCCCAGGCCACAGGCAGGAACACACAGTGCCTACAGGATGCACTCGAGGTGGCTAATGAGTTTGCACGGCTCAAACTGGGAGAGAACTAAGAGGAGAAGAGATGGAGAGAGGAGATACTGCAATGGTGGAAAATTCAGATCACGCTCTACCTCCAGCCTCCTTTCTTCTCTTTTCTCCTTCCTTTGGGTCATAAGATTAGGAAAAACTCCCAGGTTGGTTTCCCACTCCTGCAATAACGACAGATGACCACTGATCCTCAGCCAGCACTTAATGAGCCACTTCTTCTTATTTTTGACTGGGACTGTGATTGCAAACTCACCCTGTAAGATTCCTCTGGAAATCTCTAAACATAGACAAGGATCCTGCTTTGTAGTGGTTTAAAGAAGAAGGATGTTAGTGTCCTCTCTTTATTATTTCATAGCTGACCAGAGGAAAAGACAAGGGATTGGCTCTTAATGGATTTAGTCCAAAAAGACCAGTACAGCTCAGGTGAAGTGGCTAAACCCGTACCTTTTGTCCCAAATTGATGAAAACAGCTCTTGAATGACCTCTGTCTTATTTCTGTGTTTGTGTCTCATCTCAGTGTAGCCCTGTTTTTACAGCCATCCCCAAAACCCCTCATTCCCCAGAGGGTAACACTCTTGGCTTTCTGTACCTCTTCAGCTCAGCCTCTAAAACAAAGGAAAAGAAAAGCATGAAACCGGTTCTTAAATAATTTAGGTACAGAGTACACAGAGTACACTTATGCTGGTTGAAGGATTTTGAGCTGATCTCTAAGCAGAAGCTCCACCTGTCTTTGTGGATGAAAATCTCTGTTCCCTCCTGTGACTGGCTGTAAGAGCAGTAGCTGTATCATAGTCTTCCTAAATAATAAGCCATTATCTAACATGTGCAGTGAGTCCAGGGGTTTGGGTATGTCATTCATATAAGTGATCATGAAAATGTCCCTTTAATTTATCTGTGTAACTTCATTCCTCTGACATTTTTATGTATTGGCTGAAAGCAGAATGTTAAAACGGATGTTTTTCATCATTGTAGCTGTTCATGTCGGAGAAATGTCACCTCATGGGATTGGAATAAATACTTCTGGTAAATGCCACGAGTCTCTCTTGTTGTTTTCAAGCTGTGATTGATTTGTATTGGTGATTAATTTCAGGTGAGTTAAGATGGATGCAGGTTACTCTGAACTTTAGGAAAGTTCAAAAGTAATCAATTACACCTGAAAGTCAGACAGAGCCATTAGATGTGGATCACTGAACAAAACTGATTGAGCTGAACTCATTAAGCTGTGGAGTCTATCAACAATGTTGCTCCAGAGAAAGTACCTGGTGTCAATGTTCTCCAGACACAGTGTGACCTGTACCAAACTCCTCACCTCCTGCAGCTCTCATTTCCCAGCCAGAGCACAAACATGTTTGAATCACAGCCCTGACTATTTACCAAAGTTTAGGTCAAACTTAATAGCAGACAGCTTCCTCTGTATGTTAATGAAATACCTCACTTTACCCTCAAAAATAGACTCAAGTTTCGCAATAAAAGATACTTGAATTACTGGAAAACTTGAAGCTTTGCACTATTTCTGTCTGCATATTTTTGTCTGATTTCTGAACCAAAGTGAAATAGATAAGAAAGAAGAGGAAAGATTCAGGGTTTGGCAGCTATTGTCATTAACATGCAAGCTTGACTACAAATAAACCTTTATATAAAAAAAAGGATTTTCTCAAGATTTTTTGTGAGCTCTTTCAAAACTATTGCGAGATCTCGCAAATGTTGTCTCAGGAGTTAATGGTCAGAGTATTACTTGTGTGCCAATTCAACAAAAATATTGGAACATACGCAGCTGTGGGAAAGGTTTATTGAATTTTATTTTGAACTAATTTTCTGCGCAGCAGATAATTTCCATGAAGTAATAATCATCATAATCATAAATTTGCACTGCAGTAGTTCTTCTGCCTTAGCGTCTCAGTCTGATTGCATTTCCATGGAGTAATAACCATAAATGTTCTTCTTTGAGCTGCGAAACTCCGCTGCACTCGGTGATTGACTCTTCAGGGCTCCCCCACAAATAAGCGGCTGCTGGAGGAGAGTGGGTGAGTTGTGTTTGGTCTCTTTGCCAAAAAAACAGGCAAAGCTATAAAGATGTTTGATGGCTAGTGCTATGGCTGGGACTCTGTATGTACTGTTGATGAAGTTAGGTGTTGTTCTGAGCATTATTTGTGGCTATAGAGTGGCTTTTTGGTTGTGGTTTGCACGTGGAGACATAGACCGGTGTGTATTGCCATCATGCGGTCGTTACTTAAGTTGGTATAACTAGAGAAGCAAGCAGTCGGCAACATTCATCACTTGATTGGATGTCTAACTCTGTGTTATGATGTGATTGACCATAACTTAAATTTACGCCAGAATATCCCTTTAGGAAAAACACCTTCACATTTGCATTTTGGTGCTTAAACACATTATTACCCAGTGTCTGTAGACATTCCTATTTCCTAAACCTTTGGTGAATATCTGAATCTTTCTGAAAACTGGGATTTGGATTTAGATCCACAGATTGATGGGTGAATGAGGCCCACTGTTTTTTGTGTTAATTAAATAAAAAAAAGTTTCAATTTCAGCACCTGTTATCTAATATTTATGCTGATACCAACGCATCTGTTGGAAGCCTCAATGGAAATGAAAGCCACGCACAAGAACACCTCAGACTTGAAACCCTTGTTCCATTAAGCTTTTATTTGAACAATAGCATAAGATACAAAGAGTTGATCACAATTCATACAGATGTTTCCATGTAGTACATACACCTGAACTACCTTCTGTGAAAAGTAGTCCTAACGAAGAATGGGACAATAAAGCCATGACTAGATGATCACAGATCCAGACAGCAGGAAACCATCCACACACTAACACACTAACTCTCTAAATTCTCAACTACTCTTTTCTTTCCTACTATACGTGTTTTTTCTAAAAGCCACATATTGATTGCTGTTATGGCATATGTACGTGTATATTTAGCAGTCCTAATCCTACTTTTTGGCTCTCATTTGTTTGCAGATTTCGGGCACAGCAGCTGACAGATGTATGAATGTCAGCGTGACAATCCACAGAGACTGTGTGAATCGTGCTTTTTCAGCTCACTGACTGTCGCTAAAGAGATGTTTCTGTTCTTGGTGCAGACCGGTGAACTGATGAGCGAAGATCTGTCCTCATCTCAGCCTCAAACATAATGGCAGCCCAGCAGCAGCCACCAGCCACAGAGACAACATCCTGAACCAGCTGTGTTATGATCAAGATGTGTTTCTGTTTTTTTTTTTTACAGTCTGCTGCTCTGAGACATGGATAAAAAGTGATCAGACACCTCCACCATAGCAACAAGAAAACCACTTTCAGATAGGAGCTGTTTATTTCAAGCCAAGAGAGCTATGATTTCATCTTCTCTGGCACAGATTTTTATGAACTCATGCTGCATATGGGTTATTCTTCTATTTTTCAGATCACAAGCTGATCATTGTTTTGCACGCAAATACACTGTTTCTTCTGATCACTATTTGATTAAAGAAGTTTTGAGAAAATGCTTATCCACTCTGTGGTGCAAGATTAATGATGATGATGATATTGTTGTATCTTTTTGCTAAAATGAGCTACAGCTATGAGACCATTAGCAATGGGGACCCTGAAATACAAAAAAAAAAAAAAAGGTATAACCTTTGATATTTTGTGCACAACATATAACCTGCCATAATAGCATATGTGCAACGATAAAGGTTATAGCTATCTTACACAGAAAATTTTGCATATGCAACAATGGTGATCAACAAGTAAATATCTTCAGAGCACAAGATAATTATTTTATGTGCATAAGATAACTTGGGCAAACAAGATGAAAAATACACAATGTCAAAAAGAAAAAAAAAAAAAGGCTTTTGGGACTCCAGGAGCTCTGCTGCTAGCCTAGCTTTGATATGAATCAGCAACTCCCTTTCAGTATTTAACTACAAGAAGACTAGGCTGTGGACACCCAAATGCAGTTGTCATCATGTTTGTGTTGTTTGTGTCTCATAAACAGCGATTCACCAACGATCATAAGTTACAGTTTGGGCTGTGTTCCCATTTCTGTTTGTAGTAAGCTATCTCTTTTTGTTTTCCAGTTACCCCTTTACTAAAAGCAAAAAAAGACTTGGTGTGTATATTTAGCAGAGTCGCACTCAACACGCCTCTGATACGGAGCTGCAACGGCGCTGATACGCGTCCCGTGTGCGATGCTGCATTGATTAGAATGAAACCTATTCGCTGCGTGATACGCGACGCTGACGCTGACGCTGACCCAACGCGCTCAATACGTTTTAGCTGTCAGCAGTACACACGTGAACGTCTAATCCACATTTGCATTGGCGCTATCAATCTACCACTCAGCAAAAAGCATTTTTCCTTAGAGGTCAAACTCTTCCTCTCCTCCCTGTGATATGTCCTGCGTGTTCGGTATAAAACCCCTCGGAAAGTGTAAAATTAATAGCTTAATGTGGCTAATATCTTGGTAAACTCCTTATGGTTTGCATTTCCTGCTTTGTGCATTTATGGCCCCTAGTACATCTCCAGACATCAGTAGTTTTTAAGAAAAATGTTTCAGTAGAAAAAAACCCCAAAGATTTAAAGAAAATAGTCAACCTTGTTCTGAAATTAGAGGCGCAAAGATGCAGTTGCTGAAATCAAATTATTCTTTATTCTTATTACCAATCTTACTCTCTTTGACTTGTTGCTGCTGCTCTTATTAATGGATTAATTCAGAGTTCAGTTGAAAAAACCTGCATAACTGACAATACAGGACCCCATTTCCCAAAGTGCCCTAAGCCAGTTCAGCTCTTTGTTCCAGTGAAGATATTTCTGACACAGCCAAGATATAAACAATGACCTGAAAAGTTCTGCTCCTTTTATTAATTGAAGAGAAACATCTCGACATGAGAACGAATAAGTGTACTGGGTCAGCAACAGGAGAAAAGACCTACTTTGTGCCAGAAATTCCCCCCGGGGACACACTCATATCTGTGTCGAGCACAGCGAAAAAGAAGAAGAAAAAAAACAATCTAGGCGAACACAAAGCAGTGAGGGATCACCCCCTGCTGTCCCCTCTGTCTGATCACAACGTCCTGGTCTACAGCTGTGAGACATTTCAGGAGCTGATAAGAGCATGAATGCTGGAACAGGGTCGCACCTCTCTGGTGGCACAGTCAACTCTGCAGGCTGCATGAATAGAGTGGAAATGTGTTATTATCCTGCCTGAGAGCCCAAAAACACAATTTACACGTTCAGTTTGAAGCTGCAAGGAGGAAACACACATGGACAATACAAATTACTGTAGCCACTTCAAGAAAACACAATATCATGTTAGCAGCAGTTTACTGATCCTTCTGTGATGCTCTTCTGTAATCTCTGTCTTTTATTCTACAGTCCCATGTGTAGGACAGGTACCTGCAACTCTATGGGCTTGAATCCAGCAGCTGATTCTCTCTCTACCCTCTTTCCTGCATTTTGTCACTATGCATTCTCTAGAAAAAAGTATAAATGGCTTCAAACTATACACGATATGCTAGGAAAAGGAGCAAAAGTCCTAATACGAATCCACAGCGAGTCACTCTGCATCACATATTAACATCCTCTACTTTAGCCGAGAGCCATCTTTAGAAAACAATGTCCGTGTACAAAGCAGTGAGAAGTGAAGAGCGGGAGGCGTCTATGCCCCAAGCAGAAGGCAGTGTGTGTGTGATTTATGTAGGAGTGTATTTGTGTGAGTGCAGCTCAGAAGGCACAGCTCTCAGCCAAAAGATATGTGTGTGTGTGTGTGTGTGTGTGTGTGTGTGTGTGTGTGTGTGTGTGTCTGTGTGTGTGTGTGTAGCTAAAAATATGCAAAGGTGGCAGGTGTGTGTTGTCGATGGAGCAGCTGTAGGCGAGAGACGTCCAGCAGCAGCAGGACAAGGCACGGAAGCATGAATATGTGTGCGTATGTCTGTGTGTGACAAACAAGAGAGAGAGAGAAAACACAAACAATATGTCAAAAATTAGCGGCATTCATCCCTAAATGAGTCCAGCTCAACACCAAAGTATTATATCAGATCTGTTATGTGCACAGATGGACAAAAAAAAAAAGCCGAAAAGAAAAGTGGCAACACATGAGAGTGAAGAGTGGTTCAATCAAATCATAGACTACAACACACTGAGATGGGTTCAAGAGGCACGTTCTTCATTTTGCCTGCAGGGGGCGGTGCAACACCCTCCTGACTCTTTCTTGAGTTTCCTAGAGCCTCCCTCAGTGAGAGCAATGATCAAAGTACATATAAAAATAAACACATAATAACAAGCTTTGAAATGCCATGTGGTAAAGTCCCTCAACTTTGAACAACAGACTCCGAGTGTCTTTCCTCACCCATCCACAAGTGTTATTTCACATTAAAGTACCATCTGCTGCAGCGGCTGGCTCTCATGGTTCCTACGCAGCTTCTACTTAACACATTCGAGATTGCAGATTTGTGTTTTTCTTTCGCTCAGCCTATAGCACTTAATGATTCACTAAAACTATACACAGATGCAAGAACAGATAGATATTGGGGAAGTTCTGGTTGTAACTTTAGCAGTTTTTTTTTATCTCTATGGGAACATTTTACACAGTTCAGGATTGCAATGGAATACTATATGACATATATAAGTTTTGCTTACTTAAGTTAAAAGGGTTCATATATTAACAGTTTTTAATGGTGGCCATATTTTGTACACACAAACCTGTTGATCAGGGTAAGATTCAGAGACTGTATATAGAATGGATGCCGTCGGCCTCCTTGCTGGGTGAAGCCAGAGCAGCACCCTCTAGTGACGGGCTGCACTATAGGTCATAAATCCCGCCTCCTCCAGCAATCTCTATGGAGCTGTGGACAAACTTTAGAAATTAATTACACAGAGTATACATGTTTCGCCCCCCCCTGGTTGCGATGTTGACATGTAGTTATTGTAAGACTGGTTTGTGCTCAAGTCCTCTTTTTTTTGTACAGCTCCATTTTTTAAAGTTATTAGGGGGTTCATGTTTTCTATGATTGACACTTGATACAGCCTATGGGCGTACGAAGATTGCGTAGCTCACCTGGGGAATACGCTGTACGCTGTTGAGCCGAGCGTCATCACAGTGACTCTGTGATTCTCCTGCCTAATGCATACAATGCTACTGCTTAAGTGTTGGTTCCAGGAAGTGGAGAAAATCCCAGAGATACCAGGAGCAATTCGGCTTCAAATTCAAATAATGACGGAAGGCGGAGCCAAGTCGTCCATTGTATATACAGTCTATGGTAAGGTGTAACACCATTTGCAGGACCGAGTACTGCAGCTCCCTAAATGTAAGTCTTTTTATGCATATTTAATAACAAGACAAATCACCTGTTTGTGCATTGTAAAACGCTCTTGAGTGCGACTGGAGATCACAAATTCTGCAGGACACCTTTAAGTTTGTTTTGTTGCTTATATAGCTTTAAATATATAGCTTTAGGAAGAAGTTTTAGGGGTCTTTGAGTATGGTATTCCTCGTATTTTAACTTGCATTACTGTACCTAACACAAACACTGATTCGTTCTAATTCCAGAAATTTAGTTCCACAAGCCAGAACTCCAAGTGGAATATGAAGTGTCTGTTAAGCGATTATTACTTTGAAAATTTCAAATAAATGCACAAACCAAAGTTTGGTGTAAATTATTACAATATGTCCTAGACCTGCATAGGAACCATGAGTACTCTTTATCACAAAACTGTGTATGATGAACACATCTGCAGAGTAATGACTTTGTTTTGTCCTTTGCTGATGGTTTTGTATTTTGGACACACTCTGGCACGACTCTCATTACCAGTATTTGTTTGGAGGCTGCAGATGGGTAAGTGACGATATAAACTTGTGATGAAAAAATAATAGATGCGGCACCTGGGTGGAAAAGATAATCGAATCTGAGCCAAAAGTATAAACCCAGACAAAGTGTAAACTCAAAGAGTACATGAACAAGAAGAAGACTGCAGTCTGCAGGGGGATATGCCAACATTAGATTGAAGCTATCAGAATAAATCAGAACAGGAAGTGCAGATAATGTGATGCAGAGGTGGAATCTAAGGCGTCTGGTGGCTCCGTCCCCTCCAGACTAAGCTGAAGTTTTAATTGGCTGAGCAGGGACCGGGGCAATTGGTTAATGAAGCTGATCTGCTGACAGGTACAAGAATTCCCACATCCAATGGGATTTCCTCACACCTCATCATATGAGCTTTAATCTGGAGCCAAATGCTCCTGACAGTCTCTGACTCCACAGGGATCCAGAAGGTTTCCGTCTGTGAAAGGGAAAAGATGCAGAGCGTGTTCGCTATGAGCTGCAGTCCTTTCAAACCAGAGTGGTTAACCCAGTTCAGTTTGTGTTTGCAGAACACTAACAACTGTGAATAAACATCTTTTCAATTTCTTACTAAACCTCAGCACACTGTGTTTTGTCAGACCGGTTCCTCACGCCCAAACTCTCGGTCGCCAGTCTTCCTCTCCTTAAATAGACTCTGACAGACCTCATGGGGATTAAACTCAGGTCCAGAAACCAGCATGCCTCCATCCAAACACAAAGTCCCAGGAGATGGACTATTGGCCTCATTAGAGTCTGATGCAGTGAGACCGGCTCTCCCCATGAACACTCCTCCCTGTGTGTCTGGATGTGAACAAAAACTGTAGCAGGGCCCGTGGTCTCCGCTGTTTATCATCATTCCTCTCTACAGAAGCTGAGGCTCGTGCCGCAGTGATCTTTCTGAGTCAGAATGGCCGACAGGCAAAAATCTTCACTGTGTGTGTGTGTGTGTCTGTGAGTCTGCTGGAAGGTGACAAAGCCCTGTTAGCTGTGGTGAAGACCTGGGGGGAACAGTTTAGTGGGAAGTCATACCATATAAACTCACAGCAATCACCTCTTGCCTTATGAGCAATCGTTTAACAGCCCATCACAGTCAGACAAGGTCCCTGTAACACTGTCTTCTGAGGCAGAACTCACATAAAGTGGAGTTATGACAGTGAAAAGTGGTAAAGTGAGCTTTTTGCCTTGCACAGGGTTTAGGAGGAACACGTTTTCTCAAGGGAGTCGTGGCCCGGGGTCCTGTAAGAGATGAGAATTCAGTCCTCCAGTCTAAAAACGGTCTCCAGCACACTGCTTTCTGATACACAATAAGAGTCTGTGGTGCCAGCTCCTCTGCAGTGCGGTACCAACATCCAAAGCTTAGAGGTCCAACAAGTTTATGATTGTTCTGTTTCTGGGATCTCTCTCTTAGGGGACTCTCAACCAATCACATTCTTGTATTTTCCTTTTCTGTGTCTCTGGTGATTTCTAGTCTTCACTCTATCCTTTTAAAAAAATCATCATCATCACTGAAACAGATCGGATGTATTCCTTGTCAAATTTATCTGTAAACCTTGACGTTCAGGGCAGCTGTCAGGCAACTTCTACTTTACGTAAGCAGATTTATATTTGGATCTATGAGGTCCAAGGTCCTGGTTTCTCGTGAATCTACACCGTGATCTCAACTGGTGGCCTACCTCCCAAAGATGAGGGGGGGAAATGAACAGATGACTTTTTTTGGTACCATTTGGCGACCTTTTTCTCTCGCCTTCTGCAAACAAACTGGTGCAGGTAAGTAAAAGCGAGAATACAAAGACATTGTCAGCCTCTACAGTGTCTGCTGCTGTACCAATGACGGAGCTCGGGATATTATACTGTTGTTTGTGTGTAGTTATTTCCCAGGGAATACAGTGATCTTGCCGGCCTTGGCCAGCCGTTGGATAATCTGAGCTTCGTAGTCAGCATCGTGGACGCCGGTCTTCCTAAACTCCCCAGAGTAGCGGTTCTGCTCCCAGTAGTGGTGCCAGTTCCCCCGGCTGTCGGCCCCGAAACCAAACACATTCACCTAAAGGAGAGTCGAGAAAGCGGGCGCGTGTTTACGGCGGGCATATGATGCAATTAAGATGTCAGTATGATACAATAATTTACAGAGTATGGTGCTATGAGAGAGAAGCTGACCTCATCACAAACATGCAGGGCGAAGAACAACACCAGCATGCCAGTGGAGGGGTAGCGACCGTGGTGTCTGGTCCAGCGGTCGTGGATGTATTTAAAAAACGCTGGGTTGAAGATCTGGACCTGGAGGTAAAAGGAGACAGAGAGAAGAGATGGTTAAAAGAATAAAAGGCACTCCCTCTATGAAAGCAGGAGAGCATGTTTATTCTGCAGATGGAGGCTGTCGCTCAGATTATCAACATGGTATTACAGGCAGGATAACCTCCTGCAATCAGAGCTGCTGCATATTCAAAAGGTCCGACAAAACAAGGAAAGATTTTGCACAGTTAAATTTGAATACTCCTCCGGGTTGTGATGGCTGTGAAAGATTAAAAGCACTTCTAACCAAATGAATCATAATGACATTTTAATCATCTCCCTCCAGGTGATGTTCAGACCCAACAAACAGGGCTTTAGGCTGCTCAGAGCGCCACCGCCAAGGAGGAGATCTTACAAATCTATATTTCTGGGTCGCCTCCAGAGACACACACACACACACACACACACACACACACGCACACACACACACACACCAAAAGCCACAGTGTCTCTGACCAGGCGAAGATTTTCACAGGAAGGGATTAGTGTGAGTTTTTTTTATTATTATTATTTTCATTTTCATTTTCAAGGATTAAACAGTAAACAGAAGATTATTTAAAACAAAGGAGAGGTTTATAATCTAACTGTAATCCCTCATCAACAATGAGGAGGGGATGCAATGGCAGAAAGCGAGGTCACTGTGTGTGTGTGTTTCATGTGTTTAAGGCTACACGTGTGTTGCCCTAAACATTGAAGTGTGTGAGATGCCAAAGAGTCATTGCAGAGTAAGCTGAAAATACACACCTTGTCTTTATCTACACGGAGGAACTGCTTCACTGGAGCGTACGTACTGACGGAGAGAGAGAGAAAGAGAGAAATTGATTAAATACATTCAATCAACCCTTCATGAGATTTCTGCAGCTGTGGACTCTGGATGATTGACAGCTGACAGATCGTTCCAGTCCAGTGACTCCAACTTCTCATAACTCTGGCTGTGTGTGAGTGTGTGAGAGAGAGTGACTGTGGGTATATGCGCTGTGACCCCTAAGGTGAAGTTCTAGATCTTAAAATTCATGTCCTTTTACAGTCTGTTTTATTTTTGTCCTTTATGTGCCCTCATATGTGTGTTCATCTGTGTGTGTGTGTGTGTGTGTGTGTGTGTGTGTGTGTGTGTGTCTTCTCACAATCGAATCTGGCCTGTGGACAGAGCGCTGGTGATCCAGACGAGGTCCAGCGTTTTGAAGGGAACCAGGACAAAGCTGACATTCGCTGCCAAGTTCTTGGCACTCTCTGGGTACATGAAGTGATGAGTTGTGTGGCTGCCGACGTCTTCTTCATAGCCCACCGTGGGGGCCAGATTTATCCTGGAAGCAAAAGTGGAACGGCGTGAGCGATTGAGAGATGCAGGCTTTGTGAGCGGGCTATGTCATGAATTATCCAGCTTCAATTTTGTTTGTTAAAAAATGTGCAAAAAATGTTTCAAGGAATTCATTTCATGCCGGCATGTCAGACTGATCGATAATGTCGTTTTAGGAAATGAAGAAATCTACTGTTCATTTTGCAGCAGGCTAAAAGCATCTAATTGCTTCAAACAATTCTGTTTCAACCTTGGAGGGGGGCAGACTCGCAGTATCTTCGTTCCCGAATGATCAACTGTTCTTCTAAGGTCAGATTAACCCTCAGCCACAACAACAATGAGATAATGGTATGATCAACCATAAGTCTGAATCAGTGATGTTGGTTCACAGTGTCATAAATAAATAAATCTATAAAGGTAATTAACGTGAGCCACAATGACAGCCATCAGACATCTACTCACAACAGACAGACAGAGAAGGAGCATCTTTACTTCATCTGAAAGAGCTGTTTTATACTGTGGGTGTGAGTGAGTTCAACATTGATAAAGTGCTACCTGTTAACAAACCACTAAAAGCAACCTTTTGTTAGTGATGCTGTAGGTACTCAAGATCCCCCCCCCCTCCCCCCCATTTTTTTGGCGTAGTTTACTTGTGATACCTCTTGGTCTGCACCATTAGACCACTAGAGCCCAAATAACAATCACATTTTGTTGTCAATTCAGAAGAGGATTACATATTAATCATGATGATTTATTAACTTGAGGGACTTCTATTGTTCTACTTTCACATATAAATAAACAGAGACACATTTTCAGTTATGTTTTGTGCAACAACTCTGCTCAATTTTGTAGAAAACTTTGGCTGAGAATATGTTTTTTTGGAGTCTTTTACAAGAAATGCAACAAAACTCTTCATCCAAAATCAAAGGAGCTCTGTTTCCACCAAACTAAACCTCATTTCTGTGGTTACTAGACTTTCTGCCTGGAACTTGGACTTAGAATGAAGCTTTTACCTGAAATTTGAGCAAATCCTAAAAGCCCAGTCATCAGGCTCCAATGCTTGCTTGGCTATGAGTCAGAGGTACTGTGAGAGCACCATTAAAGTGAGACTTCTAGAAGAGCCAATCTCATGTAAACACCTTTTTGTAGCACAGTGTAGCTACATGTTACATATCACAAACACTTGTAGCCTTTAAATAAATTTTTACACAGTTGTTAGTTCAGTGAAGAACCTGATTTTTACGTCAAGGAGACCCATGATGCTGATCTGTACTTTAACATACAAATATAATGTTTCAGAGTTGGATGTCCATAAAAAACCACAGCAGAGATTCATTTGAATATAATCCTGGAAGTGTCTTCCAGCTTCTCTGATTGTTTTGAGAACATTGTGGGCCTTGGCTTCAACCTTTTGTCAGACCCTGCTGTTCTTTTATGACCATGTCAAAGGACAAGCTCTGTCATGGACTCACCCACTTGATGAACAGAGAGACAAAAGCATCAGATCACAGTGGGAAGTTTTTATGTTTTCCACACAACAACAACCACAACAATGTAACTGCTTGTTCTCAACACTTCACACACAGAAGACCAGTAGGAGCTGGATTTGCATTTTGACTGTGATTTAAATCTGGAGTTTCCATAAAGGCTTGATAACACAAGCTGTCAGTAACACCAGCTAATGTCACAGTGGCAGTAGGGACGGGCGATATGGACTAGATAATTTATCACGATGAGATTCGCCATTCTGGTGATAATGATAAAAGTCCAGATAAAAAAATATTATAATTCCAATCTATATTTTTGACTCATTTTGTCTTGGAGAAGTCAAATAAGATACTTAACCACAAGTTTGAGTGGTAGGTTATGGAGAAAACTAATGACATCAAACAAGTCTGAAATTTAAAAAACCTTTTCAACATTTGTTGAAAACACTCTCTTGTACAGAGTGAACAGCAGCAGCAGATCCACTGTCCGATGTCAGGTAAACCTGATTGCGCTCATCTAAACCATTACCTTCAGCCATGTTTGTTTGTTATTCTGCTCTGTGTGGGCTTTGGCTGCGAGTCTGTTGCTAGCACTTTGTCAACTTGCATTTATCATATTCATCATGAGATGTCAATTATTTATCATGGAGGATTTTTCTGACGATATATCGTGAACGATAATTTATCGCCAATCCCTAAGTGGCAGACTGCTGACAATCAGGAGGTCTAGCTAGAATCAGATGTTTTCTATAAAGGTATGACGTTATGACTGCAAGGCTGTGTAAAAAGTAACACCCACTAGTTGTGTGTAACTTTATACAACTAGAAAAGCAGCCAAAGACCATATTTCATTACACCAGTCTGTCCCAGATCTGTTGGATTTGAAAATAGAAATAAAGGTAAAAAAAACAAACAAAAAAAACATGACAACAAATCTCTTTGCTGACACTCAACCAAGATTTTAGAAAACATTGTTATTAAATCAAGTCTTATGCACTTGTTTACACTTTAATATTGCCGCTTATCTTCAACTCATGGAAGGCAACTGATACCTGAGTGATCGTGCAGCCCAAGGTTCATCAATAGATGGTATATTGGAACTGTAAGCACCTTTTTCTCTTGGCCAGCAGAGGACAGTACCACTGACAGCTGAAGGACAACTAGTTTTAACGCAGCAAGCGGCGAAAATTTAAACCTGTTACTTTAGTTTTTAGGTGATCATTTCCACTCTGAGATAATAGCGTCAGTTTTAGTTGCACAAGTCTTCTTAGCACAGCATGATATTAATTTTCTAAGTTATCCCTCTTTGAGCGTGGTCACAGTAGATGGCTGTCCACTCTGGGCCTGGCTCTGCTCAAGGTTTCTGCTTGTTAAAAGACTGTTGTTGCTTGCTAAAAGCTGCAAAGTGCTTTGCTGATTGGGGAATACGATGCGAAGAGAAAGGCTCTTTTTGATGTTGGGGCTTTGTAAATAATGAAACAAACAACCTATTTTTGTTTTTTGACAATTATCTGGAGGCAACATTTCTTATTTGATGAACTGATTCTTTTAAGCTTCAAAACAGTAGTGCCCAAAGAAAGAGGTGACGTCATGCTGGCTGTGTCCACCTCTGTTTCCGTCTGTGAATTCGCCTCAAAGCTGGAAGAAGGCAAAAACTGTGTCTTTCATGTCACTTTTCTTGTTCTTTCATATGATGAATAGATTTTGTCTGGCCTAACCTTCAGTCAGACGATAAACGAACGTCTCAGCTGTCTGTACGCTTCAGACTTTCCCTGTATTTACAGTAGATGTGACTCACTGTCTGGGGGAGTGAGCTGTTTATATAAACAGAAAAGTGCACCTGAAAAAAAGGCCACTGTGTGCGCCTGTCCATATGTCTGAGAACAAAACAGATGTTTGTTCTAAACGAGGGAGAGAAAAGGCAGACAGACAGGAGGTGGGTGTTTGTGATGTGTGGGTTTTGTAGCGACAAAGCTGATTTGAAAAACTAATGAGGAGCTAACCACAGCGATGAGGAGCGTAACAGGAGCTGGAAGTTGGAGGCTGCCCACACAGGTCTGCTGAGGGAGCAACACTAATGGATGCTAACACTGTTAGCATGCCAGAGCACAAAATACTTGTCATTCCTGCTGAGGCTTTTGTGCAGCAACACACTCTCCCTGCACAGAACAACATATAGCTGTGTGTTCATGCCAACACACAACAATCAGGCTCTGTGATTCAAGGCTGCTGCATGACAGCGAGCGGGGGAAGAGATGCAGACAAAGGGATTTATGTGCCTCTCTGCATGTGAGGGAAACAATCTAAACGTTTCTGCTTCTAAGGTCGTAGAGCCGCGTGTGGTGACCTCACACCAGTCAGGTGACCTCTCTGTCCACCAATAGGAGAGCTGAATCTGTAACAGCATTAGGCAGTGAGGTTCAATGCAGGGTTAGAAAAACACATCTGCTATAGCTTCCCTACTCATACTTTGACTCTCACACAACATCCATCTCCACACACGCTGTGCTGTGTGATGTGATGCAGCTCTCCTCACATGAACTCTGATCTTTCCAGCTGCCTCCCCCCTCCTTCTTTCTACATCTCTCGGTTTTGTCTCGACCTCTGCCTCTTTATATGTCTGTTTAGTGCATCTTCTCTCTGTCCTCCTCACCCATCTCTCTCACCTCATGACGTAGTTATGTCCGTCGATGGTGGCCCCGTATTTGGCCCCTCTGAGGTTTCCAGAGTTTCCCACCACTGCGCAGCGCAGACAGCGACTCGGATCCCAGGAGCCATATGGTGACCTCCCGGGTATCACCTGCGATAGAGAGGTGTTATAAAAACAAGCTGCAGAGATTCAAGCTACACAGGAAATTAAAGAGGACCCTGGACAAGGCAATAAACATTAAATAACTCAACCTGCAGCTCAGACCAGATTGTAAAAAATACATTTTGTTCCCAGTGGAGGGGTGAATTCTTCATGAGACCGTTCATGAAAAATACATGAGACTCTTCAACCCACAGGGAGCCAGAATGAGGCTTTAAAACATGCAGACCTACATATATGTATGCTAGGCTCTTTGCATACACTGATACACTAAATGCCTGATGAAGGTAATTTGTCACCCTCAGCCTTCACCCAAGAGTCAGGAGTAATGAATCAGCCTAATGGAAGGTTGAATTAATAATATTAAATACCTGAAACAACCTCAGGAGCACCTGCTGGATACTGTGGGGTTTGAACTGCGGCTGTAACATCTACAAAAAAAAAAGACAAAATAAGATTAGGGTCAGCAGCTTTAGATGAAAAAAAAAAAACAGAACAACAAACTTTATTCTCTCTGTGTCCATCTACACATTCATGCAAGCACTCATTGACTTTTATGTGCAGTTAAGCAGTGACATTTGTGTGTCTTTGTTTCATCTAAGGTGTGCTGGGGTAAAAGTCATGTGTCAGAGTAACAGGTTTGACAAATAGGTTTAATCAGACGGGGTGAACTGTACTGAGAAGAGAAGAGTTAGTGCCGATGTCCTCACATGAAATAAAAACTTAAAGGAGTTTCAGGAAAAAAAATTGAGGCAGCAAATTCCAGGCGCTCTGTGTATTTCCAGGGAAAGTTAACTGACACTGTTTGTCACAAACAACAGTGAGACTTCCAGAGGACATGCAGTTCTACTCAAAAGGAAAAACAAAAGTGACAGCAGACACGACAACAAGCGTCTCTTGTCTGACTCTGACAAAGCATTCTGAATAAATAAATGGAGAATCAAAAAGAAAATGTAATGTGATGAATGTTAAGAGGAGTGAACAGGGAGACACAAGAGGAGTGGAAAGTTGTGAAGATGGGGAAGAACATAGTACTCTTCTTCAGTACTCTGGACGATGATGTCTGCAGTGCTCAAAAAACTCTCATCTTGCCACATGGATTTGCATCATTTATAGTCAGATAACCACATACAAAAATCTCATTTTAAGAGATTCTCAGCTGAAGTTTTGTTGATAAGTTTACACCATGCTTGAAGAAAGCATGGTGTAATTTGCAGCAACTAATGAGGTCCTTATTTTCGGATCACAAATACAAGCCTTTCTGCACAGTCAGTCCTGACTTTAGCACGCAGGGACTATCTACAAAGTACAATACTGACAAGAGATGATGTTTACCAATCCCCTTTGTCAAAGCTCATGTAAGGAACTTTCACTTTGTGTCTATCTTGGCGCCCCCTAGGGTTAGGGATGTAGCCTGGCTGGGCCATCCTGTTGTGTGAATCACTTGCCAGTCCTTCACACAACAGTCTGGACTTCGGCCCATAGAGAGCGTGTATTCCCGGTCAGAAAATATCCGGGCCAATCAGAGACCGTGTTTACACTGTTACCCGGACAACAGGGAAAGGCAGCCCCTGATTGGTCCATGTGTAGATGGTGACGTCTAACACATGCTGCGGGACTTTTCAAAGCCCTGTTCATTCAGAACGCCGTTAATTCTGCAGTTGACTTTGCAAAGTCGGCAGAAATCATTTAGATCCGCAGAAGACGTCGGATATAAACGATTTCTGCCGACTTTGCAGCCAGGCTAGTAGGGATGTACATCTTCTCTTTTTGCTGATCTTGCCTTTGGTAACTAAAGTACTTGTTGGAATAAAAATCTCACACTGCTTTCTTTAAACAGTTAAACATGCCATTTATAGTGAGTATTTGACTTTTTCTGTAGCATGCTGTCAATCAACTGGCCTGACTCGTACTCCCTCACATCAGCGTCAGACATTAAAGAAGAATGTAGAAATTGTTAGTCGTGTTGCTGGTGATTGTGTTTGTTTTCATGGTCACAAAGAAGCATCAGTATCAATTTTCATCTTTTTTACAACTAGTTAAAAACTCCTCACTGGGGCTTTAAAACAGACAATTAAACAAATACAAAGAATAACTGTTGGATGTGGCAAGCAGAATCTGGGTCAACCCTTGCTATGAACTGTAACTATGGTGCCTCAAGTTAAAACCTTAACTAAAAGAGAGAAGAAAATAGGAAGTCGAGGTTAATTATTCATCTTAGTTTTAATCTGAATCACAAAAAAATGTCATCAAAACACCAAACATGTTTGTGACCTTTGTTTATGCGCACATCTCTTTTTATGCTGTATGGACTGTTTGTCCCAAGCTCCATATTTTCTGTTTCTCTTTGGCAAAGTTTTTATCTAATTTCTAAAACCCAAAAGCAGGAACTGAAAAGAAAAAAAAAAATCCTTAACATCGACTCAAAAATAATGAGACATTTTATACTAAAGAGACGTTAACTTTGAGAGAAACCCCTCTGGAAAATCTTTGTTTATATTACTTAGAAACAAAAAGAAATGCTTTTTCTCTGTGGCATTAATTCTGTTTTATGTAAGAGGATGTTTTTCACAAGGATACAATTGCTGGATGTCTTCTGTCCTTCACTGAGCAGATACTACCATGCATTACATATGTTATAGCAGATTAGTAGGATGAAAATCAACAAATAGGAGACATGACAACAAGCAAATCCTGTTTCAGTGTAAATATGGTCACACCTGCTGTCCCTAAAGAGACATGCAGACTTTCTCGGGGAGACTTCAGTCACAGAGTGCTCATGTCCTTGAAGCATGAAATATAGTGAAGGCACATGTTCTGAATATGAAGCAGTGCTGTGTCTGTCTTTTGAAGTTTTACATTCATTTAAAAGTCAAGTATGGCTTTTCAAGGTACACTGTTAGAAAACAGCATCAGTGTGAGGTAGAAAGAGAGAGATGGCACGCTCTAGCGGGAGCTGACAGAGAGAAGTTGTCCAAACAGACAAAAGAAAATTCGTGATCCAATTTTAGCTCTTGCCAAACCACGCAGGCAAAATCTTCATTCACGCGTGTGAAGAGAAAGTGAGCACCTGCACACCCTTAAAAAATTTCCCCCTGACACAAATTCACAAACACTACAGTTCCATCAGTATACTAGCAGCCACTAAATGGTTATTTTCTCTCCATAACCTTCTTTTCCACTCTCCTCTTCTCCCTCTCTCCCACACAGCAATCTTCATTTCTGCACTCCTTTGTTACCATTTCCTCTTCACCCACCACTGGCCTTAATTCGCATTTCCCAACACAGATCTCATTCCCTTACAAATTCATTCACACATCCTCTCCTGCAAACTCCTTGCCCTCATGTCTAATTCCTTCTCTTTAATTTCCCTTGTTCCCTCTTTGTTTCTCCTCCTCCTCCTCCTCTTTCTTCATCTCTTCGTCTCTCTGGGACACCTGTACACTACACAGCTCATCAGCACCAATCAGAAGCTGCTAAATCTTTCCTTGCTTTCTGCTTCTTTCTCTCATGCAGTTACCTCTGCATTTCTGCCCTTTCCACTTTCTATTTTACGTTCTCTTTGATCTCTCTATCATTTTCCCTTTTTGACTGTCTCTAAGTCCCTGCATGGTGCAGGAGCCAGTTTGGCACGCCGCACCGCTGTTGTTCAGGGGCTGCTAATTTTTGGCAGATGTTTTCTGGCAGCCTTGTTTTTTTCCTCTCAGCTGTCCTCTGACTCCTGAAGTAAAGCTTTTGGCATCTGCATTAAAGTATAAAAGTCATATTTCAAGTTGGCAGAGCGTTTAAACTTCCAGGAGCTAGTGCAGCAGTGATTGAAAGGTTCAGATGTAGCCTTGGCTCAACAACAGTGCAGATTTTAGACGAATGGAGATTTCATAAAGACAAGTTGGGCCACACAAACACTGTCTTAGGTAGAGATTGTGTAATGTTTGGTAACCATAGACTGTATATACTATGGACAACTTGGTTCCGCCTCCCGCCTGTATACGGATTTGAAGCCAAAAAGCTCTCAGTATTTTTCTTCATTTCCATTCGGCCGTGCAGTCACCGAGAGTCGCTGTGATGACGCTCGGCTCAAACAGCGTATACCCCGGGAGAGCTACGCAATCCCTGAACGCCCATAGGCTGTACCAGGTGTCAATCATAGAAAACATGAACCCCCTAATAACTTTTAAAAACGGAGCTTCACAGAAAAAAAAAGAGAACTTGAGCACAAACCAGTCTTACAATAACTACATGTCAACATCACAAGCAGGGGGGAGAAAAATGTATGTTCTGTGTAATAAATTTCTAAAGTTTGTCCACAGCTCCATAAGCTTTGCTGGCGGAGGCGGGATTTATGACCTATACTGCAGCCCATCAACAGAGGGTGCTGTTCTCACGGTGGCTTCACCCAGTTCAATTTTTAAAAGTTATTAGGGAGTTCATGTTTTCTATGACTGACACTTGATACAGCCTATGGGCTTATGATTGCGTAGCTACCCGGGGAATACAACATACGCTGTTGAGCCAAGCGTCTTCACAACAAAACTCGGCAACTCTCCCGCTGAATGCGTACAATACTACTGCGCAAGTGGTGGAGTGCGTACAACGTGAGGTGACCAGATGACCCCGATTTCTGGGAATAATCCCCTACTGGATGACATGTCCCTAGCTAAAGCTTTCCCTGATTTAAGCGTTTTATGAATAAGAACAAAAATGTTGCGTGTTGACTAGAACAACGGTTATTACGGTAGCCGAGTAGGTAGGAAGCACGAGTAAGCATGTTGAGCGCGAGCTGAACAACAGTTTTTACAGGGGGTTAGTATGGGGGGGTATGTGCTGCTGCTAAGTAGTACTGAGGTGTTGTCTGTGATCACACACCCCAATCCCCCCTGCTCCAGATGTCCCCAGATTTCATTACAGAAATCTTAGTACAACGCAAACCTTAGTACAACGCTACTGCGCAAGTGGTGGTTCCAGGAAGTGGAGAAAATCCCAGAAATACCGAGAGCAATTCGGCTTCAAATTCATATAATGACGGGAGGTGGAACCAAGTTGTCCATAGTATATACAGACTATGGATTCAGCTAAATGACAAAACAAGCATTAGCTTGCCAATGAACTGTAATCCATTCTGTCTGAAGAAAATTAAAAACTGTCAAAAGTTTGGGCACCTCAACTAAATATATATCTTTAAAAAGATTCAAAGAATCTCAGAGAAATCCCTGAACACTAGAGTCAAGGGCCAAACACCAGTGCTGGATGACCATGATCTCAGGGCCACAGGCAGCACTGTTTCCAAAAACAGATCAAACTCTGCAGTGCAAATCACTTCATGGCCTCAAAATCACTTCCAAAAAACACTGTCAGTAAACACTGTTTGATGCTGCATCAATAAATGCAGGTGGAAATTGTTTTACGCAAAAGAGGAACCATAAGTTACCATAAGAATATATTTTGGCCCATTTTTAAATAAAACAGCAATTACATTTTTCAGGTTCAACTTTGATATATCGTGTTTGCTCTATTTTCAATTACATTAAGGGCTTTAATGAATTTCAAATATTCAAGTCATTCTTTTATTAATAATTTATTAGAACCAGGGTTGTAACATGCTTAATAATCCATTCAGTGATTTATAAGCTGTACAAACCTTGCAATATTACATAAAAAAACTTCACAGAAAACAAAGACCAAAACTGTGCAAATATAATAGCCCAATCTAAATACTCTGTCACACATTCAAAGAAAGAAAGCAAACACAAATACATCCACACACACACACAAACATACAAAAAATAATGACTGAGTCTGGGATGTGTGTCACAGTGCTAGACCAAGCACTGAAACTCATGAGGTCACTCTCAGTTTCACACCTGCGCATATTAGGACTCAGAGAGGACTGTGGGCCCAAACCTACTGAAATATTCACTAACAGCTATTTCAGGGTAAATCAAAATGACAGATGAGGCGTTGGCATGCGTGTTTAGGAGGTATTTTAGCACACCTCAGTGTAATTTAAGTCCTACACTAAAAATATTCTTTTACATGTCTTTTTTTTTTTTTTGCTCAATGCTCTAGTGCAGAGCAGGCTTGATAGTTCATGAGTCTTGCGCACATAACCATTGTTGTCTGTCCTACTTAGATGAGTTGATTGGATAGGGGACTGAGATCTTTTTCTTAGAAGAGCTAAAAGCAAGTCAAATCTGGGAAGGATTCCTGGAGGCTCTTTCTTCTCCAGGACGATATATAGTCTGTGTTCCCATTCTTGGAAGAAAATGCTCTAATCCCTCTTTAGCTGATTGTGTCCTTTTACTAAAGCCTTTTTTCCCAGATATGTTGTCTATTTGTTTTCTATTTCCAACCTGCTCCTGCATATTTGTTTTCAAATCTAAGGCAACAGTGTTAAGAAAACATGTTTAAATTCTTGGGCCTGATGTGTCTGCACCTACGGCCAGTGTTTGTCTGAGGGACAGAAATGACAGTTGAGGCTCTACAAGCCATATTTGCAAACACTGCAAGGTCAGACAGCTTTGTGCAATTGGATATTTTGTTCTATTCCACTCAGAACAACAGGGAAGCACTCCTGACAAGAAGACAGATAAAAATTCGATCAAGGTCTGTCAAGAGTGGAATGTTTACTCTGCTCAGTCTTTTTTCCTTCCTTTGAAACCTCATCTGTATTTTCTCTCTCTTTCCCGTTCTTTCTAGTTTGTTTTTCTTTCCCTCCTCTTTAATTTGCAAATTCATCCCTATCTCACACCCGCCTTTTGAAGTTGCACCATTCCCATTTTCCTTCAGTGCATTTTTGTGCTGTATATGATCTCACTTTCTTCCTCCCATTCATGTCTTCTTTTCTCTTTCCCCTCTCTCCCAGTTCGTCACTCCCATGTTGCAGTCTGACCTAATGACTTGGCAGCTGTTGGCCTGTGTTTGCAGTTTTGTGCCATTTCAAAGCTGGACTGAGGCTACAGCTCTGAAACAAGCTGTTAGAGCAGCCTCTGAAGGACACCATTAAAAACTGGAGATAACGCAAAAAAACACACAAACACATTAATTCTTAGATACAAGTGGATATCAAGAGACAAATGAGCATGCACCACAGAAAAGAGACCAATAAAGAGGATTAGACACACAATGAAAATGGGTGCTAATGCAGCCATTCTTTAACAAAGTCCTTCCTCTCTCTCGACTCAGGAAACACATTAATTTCAGTGTAAGAGCCATTTCTGAGCTGTGGTTTCAGAAAAGCTCAGTAATCAAGCACGTGTCCCTCTCTGCTGAGTCCAAGGACACAAACTATTCGTAAGAGGGGATTGGTTGGAGGAGAGAGGATGAGGACAGATCCGTGATTATGATGTATTAGTCCCTGTATGATGGTGTCCTGATCAAAATCTCACATGTCACACACACACACACACACACACACACACACACACACACACACACACACACACACACACACACACACACACACACACACACGCGCACACACACGCAAAGTTTGCACTTCTCCTCACAATCCTTCACCTTTTTAACAAGTAACACACGAGAACTCTTTGACAGCTGTAGACATCTCCGCATTTTTCTCCAGCTCTGAATTGTACAGCGAAGTGTTGCACCTGTTAACCTGCGACTGACACTTTTTACTTTCTGCTTCTTCTTCTTTTGTGGCAGACGACAAACAGCTTTCAGATGAGCTATATCAGCCCTTTAGGGATTGTTCTGCACCTCAACGAGGCGCCAGTAAGAAGAGTTTTTTAGATGACATAATTGTAACATAAACTACTTTAAATTTAAATTTAAAGCTCCTGTAAGGAATTTTTGATTGTTTACACAACAGGCTGAAATAAACAGAGATGTGTTTTAGTAATGTACAGAACAGTGTTTTCCCTACATTCATCCAGCAGCGGCGCACTGCCATTGCTGAATTACTTGCTCCGCTAATGAAATTTCACATGAACATTCATATCAATGCACTACTTATGACTTCTACTCGCACTGAGTGAGCACAACAACACACAATGTTATTTTCGACTTGTTTTGAGTCATGAACGAGTTTTTTTCTGGTCATGAAATAGACTGAAATGAACAATGATACCTCATTATGACCTAAAAAGAAAAAGGAAAAAAACGAAAAAAAAAAAAAAAAAAAACAACAATATGGGTGACTATTTCTCTACTCTTATTTTAAATGTCTGAAACAACGGTTGGGGGGTAGGTGTCAAACCAAGAGATTAGCTAAATGCAGGCGATCTGACGAGTGTACGTAAACAGACACAGTAGCTTTCTTGGATGTACTTGGACACACGAGCGAACACATACCTGTAGACAAAGGTGAGTAGTTTTCACATAGGCAATTAGAAATACGCCTACTCTCTTCAGAGTGGCACTTAGCAAGAGCTCGCTTCATGTAGCATTGAATACAGACTGTAAGCAGAGTGACATTACTGAGCTGGGTTTTGTCAAAAAGTGCATTAGTGTGTGCTTTTGTCTTGTATAAATATGTCATATCCACCTCTTACAGAGCCAGGCGAACGGTTTCACTTTTTCCTGAAACCAAGATCAGCTTAGAGTCTCAGCTGCTTACTTATAAAGAAAACAAGAAATTCAAAACAGGAAGAAAATTTATTTTCTTAACCTCTGATCTGTTCAAAAAGATCTCAGTGCTGAATGGTTTTAGAGAGTTAAATCATCAAGCCTAAAATATTTAAGAGCTTAAAGGTCTCATGTAATGAAAAACATGGTTTTCCTTCTCAACATACAGCATCAGCTGAAGTCATCTTCAAGTCTGGTAGCTCTGAGAATGTGGAAACAAAAAAGCCTCTGCATAGTTTCTGTGGAAAAACTCAGCTTTTACAAGGTGATTTAATTTGGCTCCTGTGGTGACATAACGACAGGACTGACTTGCATTGGAATTCATGCAAAACCATCCTGACTCCCACTCCTGTACACCCTGGTTTTACTTCAGTGCTGCTGAGTCAAGATGCCACAGGCCGAGGCCAGACACACTAGGCGATCTGTATTTGGTTCTGTCCCAGCACTGAGGAACAAAATACAACATTGTTTCCTTTTTATTTTTAACAACACGCCAGCTAACTTTTTTGTTTGTGCACACAACTTTACCGGGGACTTTTTTTTTTTAACAATATGAATAAGTTAAGCACATAAACTGGACTAAAATCGACACGGCTACATTTGAAATAGAAAGTAACTGTGAGAGACAGAGAGAAACTGAGTCAGTGCACTTATTTAGACTCATGGTATCACTTTCCCATTACTGTGTGATAGATCTGACTATAATTACTCCAGTTTATTCACTGAAACTGATCTGTTGCTCAGATTGATTCGCCTTGTTTGACAGCTTTAGACTTATTTTCACTGAAGCTCTCAAAGCGTCAAATGGAGCAGTGCTTGGATAATAAAATGAGCATTAAAACATCACCGTGATTAGCACACGCAATTTTACTTCTATTAAGCAGGCTGAAATAACTTCAAGGCTCTGATGTTAGCTTATTTTAGTCCCTGTTGAAGGGTCATATCAGGAGGACACAGTAAATAGTTTTATATTTCCTTTATATAAAAATCAGTGGTTGGCTTGTTGCCCCCCCCCCCCATTGAATCAATGATCATGCGAATTTAGGGGTGAGTAGGGGTGGGAATCACCAGTGACACCATGATACAATATGATCACGATACTTGGGCCACGATACAATATTATTGCAATTTTTAATATTTTGCAATACAGTGAGTATTGTGATACAATATATTGCGATTTATACAATTTCTTGAACTGTTCAGCTAATTTAGCATCAGTCTTTCCTTTATGTTTGTCTTACTTACACAGTATTCTATTTTTATGTAGCACATCTTGCAAACCTTACATGTCAGGTCCATCTCATTTGTGCCCTGCTTGCATTCCTAATGTCTTTCTCCAGGTGCTACTGTATTTGTTTTACTAACTTTCTCCTGCTCTATGATGTCACATTTGCCAACCTCACTGGACAAACAGTTGATTTTATTGTTCCATTATCATATATGTAACTTCAAATTAGCAATTAATTTAAAAAAATCATTACTTGGTAAATGAGACAATACGATATATCACCAGACAAAATATCGTAATACTATGCTGTATCGATTTTTTTCTCCCACCCCTAGGGGTTAGTCGGCAGAGTTTTCAACAAACTGATATCTAGCAGATAGTTTTCAGCATGTTACCATGGTGATCTACTAGAGAGCTGCCTTTATAGTTCTAAAAGTCCAGAAGTAACCCTGACGTTATCTTGATAATGTAAGTCAGGCTTTGTTTGGAGTAAATCCCCTCAGAGTGCTTGCAATGTTTGTTCTGGTGATTTTCCGCCTCTGCATCCGTCAGGTTGAAAATGTCATTCTATGTGACTGCACAGTACTTGTCATGTCACAACTCAAGCAGTAAAGTTAAATAGATGATGTTACTTACCACCCACCAGTAGTAGACATCAGACGGCAGCTGCATGTTGTCTCTTGTCCAGACAGGTGAGATATCCGGGTCATAGTTCTCATCAAACCAATCGGAAACCCCGGGGTCTCCGACGCAGCGTGGGCAGGCACACGTCTTCTGCTGAGGGGCGTCAGGTGGTGCCAGCTTGTGTGCGCCCACATAGCTGGGAACCAGTTTCACCCGCCTCGACTCCTCCCATCCAGGCGGCTCAAGGTAGTTGAAGCCGACACCCCCACGGAGTGAAACAGAGAAGAAGAGCGAGGTGAGGAAGACAAGAGCCAGCGAGCCCAGGAGCACCCAGACTCTGCGGGAACACTTCATCTTGCCTCCTTTCTCCGCCGCGCCTCCTTCACCAGTACTACCTCCTCCACCTCCTGCTGCTGCCCCCACTGTACCCCCACCCAGCCAGGGCCTGAGCTCGGAGAGTCTGGGAGCTCCTCTGAATGGACCTCCGCTCCAAGACCCCCAGCCCCAGCGTCTGTCCCGGTGCAAAGTGGAGGACGGGATACGGCCCCCCCATGGCCATGACCCCACCCCTAGGCCTGCCACTGTCTCAAGTCCACCACCGCCTTCTCTGCTTTCCTTGCCTCCTCGCAATGACCACCACAGCCTGGTCAGTGTGATAGGAGTGACCTCCTGACTAGTGAAAGATCACCCACTACGTTAGACGAGACACATACACACACGCACACACACGTACACTCACTGACGGGAGACAGTGTGTCAGAGTCAATTTGTCTCACAGTCAAGCTGTGCACTCAGCGACGCTCCTACGCTTTCTCTCTGTCTCTGGCTGGAGCCTCTCCCTCCCTCTCCTTCACAGCTATGTGCTCCCCTCACACACAAAACTGTCTCCACACACACACATACACACACACACACGCACGGTTGACTCGCAGCTAAATTACACACAGCTGTAGCCTGACAGCCTCCAAAGTCCTCTGCTCTCGATGAGAGGTGATCTCTCCTCAGATCACAGCCTCTGCTTTTTCCACCTTCCTATCTTTTACTCATCCTCTTCTTCTTCTTTACCTTCTAACTTTCCTTTCTCTTGCTTTCACTCTCTTTTTCCCTCCTTCTTTTCTAAGATTGACTGCAATGTCCATCTCCAGAGAAAGCCGGCGCTCGATGTGAATGGATGCAGCAGGTCCTCCCCATCTGCTCTGCCATCTATGTGAGCGTTGAGCTGAGCTCCGGCACTCTGATTTCTCTCTCTTTTTCTGTCTCCCTCGTAGCACTGAAGCGACGAAGCCAAGGAAAGCTGGCAGACTAGTTGAGAACAGCGGAGAGAGGGAGAGAAGAAGGAAGGAGGAGGGGGGGAGGGAGGAGCAGTAGACACGAGGTGGTTTGGCCTGACGGGTGTTCCATCACATCTCTCGCCAAACTGAACCAAAAATACACCTTTTTTTTCTAACTCTCTTTTTCAGTTCCTATCTGATTCCAACAATGTGAGCTGGTTTCTCCGTGGTATGCCTCCTGTTTTTTTCTTCTCTTATACCTTCCCTTTGAGGTTCACCTCACCCAGCACTCTGCAGGACTCACTGAGGCACTGAGACTGATATGGGGAATAGCAGTTTTGTCAAATCTTCCTTGGCCATTCCTCACCATAGGATGACTAACATAGAGTTGAAAAATTGGGAATGGAATTATCAAAGTTTGAACTCCCTGTGCTGGACTTGTGAAACCTTCGTAAGGTGAAAAAATCAAACACCCTGGCGATGTAGTCAAATGTTCATGACTCTGATTTGATTAAGAGCAGACACCTCTTCCACGTCCAATTTGCAGTTAAGGGATCCTGCCAAATCCGACTGGAATGATGTCCATCAACGCTTAAAAAGATGTCTTCTTTCTTCGCCCCGTGGCCAAAAAGATAAAACAATAAAAAAAAAGATCCGAGTAAAAATATCTCTGAGAAATGTAATCAAAGCATCACAAGCCAATTGCCTGACCTGCTTCAGATGGAAAAGATGTTTATGAGGTTTTTCTATCCAGAGTCCACAAGTTGCTAAGAAAAAGGCGACAGCGGTGGATGTAGTGATACCCAGAGGATGTGATGGGGAAAAGGACAAAACCAATCAGCCCCAAATCTCATCTTCTTTCCAGCTGGCTTTGGGAGGACGACCGCAGGATGGGTGGGGGCAGCGTCTGTCCTGCAGCCCACACTCCATGTGTGTGTATGTGTCTTTGTGCCTAATGTGTGTTTGTTGTTGTTGAACTTGGGTTGCACAGTGTCTGCCAGTTGCACTAATTTAATTGTGTTCTACAGATGTGCTGCAGTGTGTGTGCGTGTTTATGTGTGTGTCTGTGTATGCTCTGTTGGCTTGCAGTGGAAGTTTCATGAGCTTGGTGAGCTAGAGGTGACTGCTGCTTAGCTCTAATCTCCTAAACTGTAATCCGAGGGTAAGACCCCTGCAGCTCCCACTTAATGCCAGCTGTCTGCGATGCACATGTTCATCTGAAGCCTCATAAAACACCTGCTCAGTCACCTGCACACACTCACTGATTTACATTACACCGCTGTATCTGAAACTATCCCTCCTGCATATGGATATGTGTGTTTTTAAGGCACAAGCAGCTGCTCTCAATGGTGTTGTACTTCATCTACACATGTGAGAGTGTTTCTATGTGTTTGTTTGCTGTTCATGGGTCTGACAGCCATGCCTGGCCTGAGATCTGACTTCCTGTCCCGAGGAAAACCTGTAGAGACAAAAAAAAAAGAGATAAAAGACAGGATGTCATTTTCTGCCATTAGCCTCATTGACCATATTGACATCTTGAATCCTCCTCTCCTTTTGCACTTTGATCCTTTTCCTCTAACTCGTTTCCTCCCCTCACAGCCTGTCCTCCTTGCTCACCTTAAACTGTTCCTCTTTCTTATTTTTGTTCGGCCACAGGAGCTCGCTCCTTTTCTCTTTGCTGCTGTTTCAGTTACAGCTGCTTTATCTCTTCACCTGTTTTCATCACCAATCCTCGAGCAGTTTGTTTCCCACTCTGTCCACAGAAAGGACAAGGGCACACATGAAACAAGCCTCTTCTTTGTTCCGTTTCTGTGTCTGTTGATTGATTCTGAACCAGTCCCTCAACTGGCACTTCGCTGGACTAAAAATGCTGAAGTGGGCTGACAGGATACAGATTGAAAGATCCGGGGCAGAATGCTAAGCAAACAAACACACCTCTTGTACAAACTGCCCTCAGATCTGGTAGCTGTTGTATAAGATGATGGTGCATCTGTGGGGGGATGCTTTCAAAGCTCTGCAGAAACTGCTGTCAGGTTGCAAAATTTGTCTTCATCAGTATTTCAATGAAAGAAATGTTTGTAGATGTAAATAAGCTTACCCTCAGCTCATCTGATTTCTGACGTACTATTAAGTCTCTCTTGTGCCCTGCTGGTTTGATGCCTGCTGCTGCTGCACACTTCTGGAAAAGTACTAGACTACAATGGTTGAACTAGTTTGGAAATAGAAGATCCCTCCCACCCTGGAAATGTTATGAGCTCAACCACAAAAACATGCTTTGTAGATAAGTTTAACTTAAAACCTCTGCTGACTGGAGTACCAAACTGTAAACAGATATGAATACTGTAACCAGTAGGCTTCATACTTTATAGATATCTCTGGCTGATTAAACCACCACACTCTGGACTAAACCTGCCTCAGGCATATTGGAGCCTGAAGGAAACATACGATTAGCCCAAATGAAAATAAAAACAGGCTGTTATGATGCAACTTTGTCTTTTTTATAAATCACAAACTCTCTGATGTTTGCATCTTTTACATCTGCTCCAGCAGCCTTTAAAGCTCCTCCTGTTTTTTAACAACGAATGAAACAGACTAACAGAAACTAAAACCACCAGCGAAATGATTTAATGCGTGTGTGTGTGACCTAATTAACTAATTCAAGTTTTAATAATTACGCAAAAATATATAGTTGGCAACTATTTTCATGCCTGGTCATGATAAAGATTTTTTTTTCAGTGTATTAGGGCCACATTGAGAAATAAAAAATACTAAGATTTCGACATTACAGTTGTTAACTTATGAGAAAATAAAATCATTACTTACAAGAATAAAGTCAGAATAAAGTCCTTATATTCTAACCTGTTATGTAAGATGACAGTTGTTAAAATGAGAGTCATGAAGCATTTTGTGAAAATATACGTCAATATAGGTTTCCTAAATAAGGCGATACTTGATCTTTTGGAATATCAGCACCACTTTATCATAAGTATCATAATGATTTTATTACGACTTTATTCTCGTAAGTAATGACTTTCTTTTAGTTAGTAATGACTTAATTCTCGCAAATTAACGACTTTAATCATCATGTGACTCTGTTACTCTCGGTCTTATTTGTAGGTAAAAGGCAGTCTTTAATTTTGAGTTGTGATCGGGGTAAACAAACTCTCCTCAAACTGGAGAGGGTGCTTTTTTCTCTTTATTCTGACGTCCCTTACTGTAAATGATTAGCCCATTAAAATTAATAGAAAATTCAGCAGAGCGATCAATCATGAAAACACATTTAGTTGCCTTCTTAAAGTCTTCCTATAACACTTGGTCTCTTGCTTTAATTTTACTAACCTTTAAGCTTGAGCATCTTTAGTTTTGTGTGGAGCTTGTGTGGCCAAAGTTGAACCTCTTTTCTTTCTCCTGATCATGTCTTTCACATCAGGGAGAAGATGATCTCCTGTAGTCTTTTACCCATGAAACGTGTCAGTTCTTGTAAATCTTTTCGATTTAAACTCAGAATAAAACTCCTTTCAGCAGCACACTGTTAATCACCTTGTGTGTAACAGACACTGAGGCAGCAGTTAAATGAATTTAATACAGTTCCCAGGAATATAAAAAAGGCAAATGAACTCCTCGATGGTCTTTTTTTTGCTCATGGAGGTCATGAAAAGGCATTTGAATTAAATTCAGTCTGTCTCATAAACAGCTCAAAACTGCTCACAGTGCCTTAAGTAGAATTATGAACACACTTAACTTTACTTAGCTACTGATTTATTGTCAGCAGGTATTAATGCGCTGGACTAATTATCCTCCTCCTTTGCTTTAACTGCTAAAGGTCACTCATTTTTTTTCTAGCTTCAGCTTGTGAAGATGTGATGTAGCTGCTCTTTGACTTGTAGGATCATGAAAAGTTTAGAGATTCATGCATGATTTATTTATTTATTTATTTTACTGCCTGCATACCTCTTGTTTAACCTTGTCAGTTATTCATATTGTTTATCTTATTATTATTTTAGTCCTGTTTTTACTATTTTCTCATATTTTAATATACTCCCTCCCTTTTCATTATTACTCTTATTTTACATTATTTTACATGATCAACGTATTTATTTCTCTTCCTGTTTTATCTGTGCACTATCCACCTTCTTCTTTTTCACCTTCCTGATGTGATGCAGTCAACCATCAACCACCAACCTTTAACCGTCCATTTTTTTAACTGTCAATTTTCCTTTGTCTGTTTCTGCCTTAGTTTGTTTTTTTCTGTTAAAGCACTTTGTAAACATCTGTTTTTAAAGGTGCTATATAGATAAAGTTATTATCATTATTATTATCATAACCTTACATAAAGACTCTTTTCATGTGTTGTTGAAGAAACAATAGCTTCATTGTGTACTTCTGTCTGATGGTGCGATACGTAATTACTTCATGAAGGAGATCTGCTTCACTCTTGATACTAACCTACGAACCCACCCTTCTAGCAAACCTATTTTTGACGCATCGTCATAGCAGCCAGCAGGCAATGTAGGGTTGTTACGGCAACACAAACCTCCAAGTCCCCAACCTTGACCTAAAGCTGAATAACTGGGCACTTTTTCTTTAATTCGAGCTGCTACTCTGTTCATCTTTCTCTCTGTATGTTCTGCTTTGTGTTTGCTGTACTTATACATCAAACCATCCAAGTCAAACATTTTCTCCTCTTCTCAGAGATCCCGGTAGTTTCTCGTTACTTAAACTGTTGTCGCTGGATGTTTGTCCACAGGGTATAAAACCACGATGACAAACAGCCGCCGGATGCACACCATCACACAAGCTGACGAGGAGAGAGCTGACAGAGCTTGTGCCATTACTGTAGCTGTCGTCTGAGTCCTAACAAGCCCCAGATTTACAAGCTGGTTGGTTTTTCCACTCAGTTACACTACTTTCAGATTCTGTATTCCTTCTATTTGTCATTAGAGCCAAAGGATATTATTAACTGGAGCATGAAGCTTGCCTCTGCCCATTCAGTTTAAATATGAAACACTCCCAACGCAGCAGAGAGGTTTTTTTTATTGAATTTACTCTTATTTCTTTTCATTTTAAAGAAAGTAAAGGACAAATGCAGATCTGTGATGACAATGATGGTTGCTTACAGAAACAGCTGTCAGCATTTTCAACTTTATCTGCCAGTTTTATCTGAACTGTCCTTTACAGTCCTGGCAGATGTCAGTGAAATCAGGTTCTGCTCATTTCTTCCCATAGACTACACCTCACTATGCTGCAAGGAAACATCTGTCTTGCATAGGTTTTGGCAGTGTCTTACACAAGCTGCGGCTGAAATGATTGATTTTTTTCACCAGGTATGAGATCACCTGTGGGGTACAATAGATACACCCCGCCGCAGACTGTGAACTCGACTTCAGTGTTTTGTATTCTGTTCATTTTTTTTTCCTCAACCGTCTGCAAAACTCAAGCTCACCACTTTTAACTGTCAATCACCTCCTCCACATGAACTACCTCTGCTTTCTCCATTTTCTGCTTCAGATCCAACTATTGTCCTGCCATATTCCTGGAAGTTTGATATCATCAAATACTAACAACTAGCAATTATCCCCCAATAGCCCCCTGCCAGTCTCCTTTCTGTAACAATGCCACTTAACAGGTGCTGGAAAATTTCAATCTCCTCTCTCAGTCTGCCTCCTGTTGAGTGTTCTCGTCTGTGGCCCCCTCAGCCTCACCTCTCTTTTCATTCTGTGTCCAATAACTGAAAAAAAAAAACAATGAATAACTCAAGAATAAATCTATTCTCCTGCAAGCAGCTTTCAGGTACAAGTCGGTCTAAAACCTAGGTTTCATGTACCAAGACAGCAGACAGGTCTGACACTTGTAACAGCAATTTCACTTCCCATTTCTGTTCCCTGCTGCAGAACACTGAGAACCATTACTATTGTTATTACTGACACTGAAAACCTGCTCTGGGAAAGTGGCAGCTCTGCTCCAGGTCTGCATGCCATAACCTGATAAGGCGCAAAGCAAGTAAGTTCGTTTATACAGTGCAATTTGTATGCAGGGGAAATACAATGTGGTTTACAAGAGAAAAACAAAGCATGCCAAAACAAACGGGATAGGAGGAAAATTCAAGAGATGAAAGCAGGAGGAGCATCCTGCTGTTAGTCCATACTAATGGGCAAATAAACAGAAGAGATTGTTTGTCCCAAGAATCAGGCAAAAGTCCTCTAAAAAAATCCCAGGAGGAGGGTTTCATTACTTCAACGGCTCGCAGAACAAAAGTAGCTTTAGTGAGGGGTGTTTACTACAGAGAGCTAGAATCTAGTAAAACCAAAAATAAAACAATTTTATGATTCACAACCATCTTTTATGGAGTTCACAGGGAGACTGCTGCTGCTTATTTGTCTTTCCACCATTTTATGATGTGCCTTAACCAGCTTCAAGGACCGTAGCTATGAACTCACAGTATTATTGTGTGCGTATGTTTGGCCCATTATTAACGTTTCATACTCTAATGTAAACAGTTGCAATCCACTGGTATATTGACAGGCCAATTGCAAGCGATTAAAATGGAAACTTTTTAAAGTAGGGGCTAAAACTGTTTTAATTTAAAAGTTTGAAAATGTTCTTACAACCTAGCCGTTGACCAGTAGGACAGCACGTGATGAGAAGAATATTTAACGGGTGATAATAGTGTCCAATAGTCTGATAATTATATTAACAAGTGCATACTATCATGTCAAGTATTAGGGGTGGGAATCACGAGTGGCCCCACTGGTGATATTTTTGCGATTTTTAACATTTTGCAATGCCCTCCAGTTGCTGAGATATTTGTTGTACTAACTTTCTCCTGCTCTATGATGTCACCTCTGCCAACCTCACTGGACAAACAGTTGATTTTATTTTTCCACTATCATAGATTTGACTTCATATTAGCAATTAATCGATACTTGGTCTATGAGACAATAACTCACCAGACAAAATATCGCAATACTATGCTGTATCAATTTTTTCTCCCTTCCCCCCTCTATCAAGCATGTTCCTTCTGAATCCAAAACAAATCCAAAAAGAGTTTTTTGTTTTTCGATTGATACCAGCTGATCTGAGGATAATTAATCACTAACTGGAGTTTAATCTGACTGCATTAAAACTACATAAAAGATGCCGTTAAACCCAGGCCTTCACATTGAGCATGGTAAAATGTGATTATGTTGACCGGAACACCATGGCTTGTTTATTTATAAAATTAAATTTTATTATTGCAGTAAATTCAGGTTTTCACAATGTGTCAAATGCTCATAACATGATAACCATAACATTTTGATTTATTGCCCAGTCTTGCTGGCATGAATTATGTAAACAAATATGTCCTGATTATTTTCTTCATGTCAACAAATCACATGAAAAAAATTAAACCAAAATGAACTAATTGCACAACAATGATACAGATTGTGTGTCACTGCTGAAGAGCTTCATTGTGGAAGACAAAAGGCTGCTGAAAAACCAGACCTCTTTTTCGCATGACTGAGGCCAGACCACTGGGGATCCCTTCAAAACCTGGGGAAGCCCTTTGTTGGTAAATCAAGATGAAGCAGAGGTTACTGTGATAACCTGTAGGAATTTTGGACTCCTCACTGCATTGCAGCTTTTGACACAGGCCTTGACTTAAGCTACTTCTACTAACAAATCAATTTATGTTTTAGTTAGTCTATGTGTTTGAGTGCATACCCCTGTATTTATGTCACCCTCTTCCAGGTTTTATGACCATTTTTCATTACTCTAATTACTCACCTTAACTGTTGCTGTCACCAAGCACACAGTCAGCAGCCTGCCAATAATGAGCCAGAATAAGTCAAATCCTGATCTGGTGGACCTATGTCTGAGATTTCTCCTTTCCCTGTCCTTTATTTTCTCTGATAATCGCAGTTAAAATAAAGCATCAGCACAATCCTGCAGCAGAAGCATCTGTTATTAGCAGCTGTCATAGTTGTACCGAGCGTTTTCAATTACTTTGCCCAATCACCCCCTTATAATCTGTTCCCCTACCTCCTGCTTTTTCCTGCATCTCCTGCTGTTTCCATTTATTTGATTATTTTTTTGCCACCTCATTCATCCAAATCTCTAATCAGGACAATAACTGGAGTGTGTTTATGATGATAAAGGCTTGATGCCGACATTACAGGTGCACAGCGCCCACTGTGAGACTCTACTCCCAGAAATCTAGTCCCTATTGTTCTCTTCCCTGCATCCATCCTTGCAGGAGTGTCTCTGAAAAGCAGTTGAACTCACTGATTTCTTTTTAAAAGGTTTAAACTGGTTCTAATATTTTTCCATCACTCCTCTCTCTTTGCTTTCTTCCATTATTTCACCCGAACCTTGCTGTCTCATTTGCCATTGTTTTTCACAGTTCCCCTCCATCAACCCTCGCTCTCTTTCCATTTCAATCACCGCTGCAGATGGCACCAGACAGAAACAATAAAATGCAGCCATTTTCGTTGTTACAGGTGCCCGATATCTCCCCCAACACACTCTCGCACATATCCTCTTCCTGCTTTGTCTCTCCTTACTCCCCCCTCCCTCCCTCGGTGTCCTCTTTGTATCCCGGCTGTGTGGCTGTTTCTGCTATGTGGTAATGGCAATGCTTTACTGCAAATTTATCCAGCATGGACCAACACTGCCATCAACATTAATCATTGACGGAGGTTTCAGGGTGGACTGTCCCATAATGTGATTTATATTTTTGTGACAGATTCATCTCATTTTCACTTTGGCTGCACCTTCTCATTCTGCAGTCTCTCCCAACCTCTCCCCTTTTGTCTCTTTTTGCTCTGCGTATTTTGTTTGATTAAACAAAATCTGTTCTCTCTGTCTCTAAGTGCATCAATAATGCAGGTAAATGCTGTGGAACAGTGGAACAACACCATAGAATAGCATAGTTTTTGCATGTATCAAAGTACAACAGTCCATTAAACCTTTCTGTCTGAGTATGATGCCTTTCAGAGCCCATTCAGTTTCAACAACAACCAAAGAGTACACAGTATGTGTGCTAAATAGTCTTTTTTTTTTTACACTGTGTTCAAGGAGTGGGGCTACCCCTTACAAGAGCACCGCCTTAACTTGCATTTCTAGATGCTTAGACAAAGTGTGTTAAAAGATGATTTACCGAAATGATTTTGAGCCCATGCAGTGATTTCCACGACAGAGTCATGTCTGTTTAGGGCTGCAGCTATCGAATATTTTAGTAATCAAGTCTTCATTACACTATTACTCACAATCGAGTAATCGGAGAAAACATACATTTTTTGGTTAAAGGGCCCTAAAGACATTAGTGTCCGAGAGCTGAATAGCTTGTATGTTACCTGCTTCTGCTACTACACCGGCAATGTTAGGCTGCAAGCTAACATGAAGAGGAGTGTGCAGAGCAGCGCTGTCTCCGCCTACGACTCAGAGGTGAATTGCTAATGAACTACTGGAGCTCTGCAGAAGAAAAGCCCCTCTCATCATTCATTTTTTTCTGCTACGCAAAACCAAAACCAAAACCAAAACCGCACTTACTCCTCCTACCTTGGTACATAAGCGGGTGTTGTGTCACCTTGAAAATAATCAGTGTGAAACAGTGACGATTTAAGTTAATAAACAAGTACTCAAGGCAGAGAAAATTCCTCAATCATTTTTTGTAATTGAGGTAATTGAGGTAATCGAGGAATCGTTTCAGCCCTATGTCTGTTTATGATGTAATTCTGCATAAGTGCCCTAAGATCACAGCAATAGTTTAGTGTCTTTGGTCCTATTCCTTATGTGCAGGGATTCTCTGAATCTGTTATTGATAATATGTAGATGATGAAATCCTATTTGCTCACCCATCCTCTCACAGAGTGCTGATACTCTTATTTACTTCTGGGAAACGCAGACTTTTTCTGCTCATGCTGTTATGTGACTTAATCTATTAAGGAGACATTCCTTCAGTTGTTTCTTTGACGCATCACACATCATTTTGTTGTCCTTATCCCAACATTTTTGAAGCATGTTGCTGGCATCTAACTCAAAATGAGCATATATTTTTCATACAATGACCATATCTTTCGGTATCAACAACTGATATGTAGTCTTTGTGCTTTTTTCAATTAAACATAGCATTTAAATGACTTTTAACCATCCATGTTTTTAAGCAGAATTTTACACAACATTCCAATTTTGGGTGGAACTGGACCCTAAGCCAACAAGTCTCTCAGCAGAGAACATTTGAGCCTTGGCCAAAGTACTCCTCAATTTCTCCAACAAGCACTAAATCGAACACCTTTAGCAGCAACCTGGATCTTATTTCTCTGTCTGAATTTCACAGAGAAGAAACACCCCTGACTTTATCAGAACCTGCCAAATAGCCAACACAGAGAGAAAAGTCCTGACTGACATGGAGTGACACAGTGTGAAGAGAAAATGAAAATATGAAATGAAATATAGCAAGGCGGGAAAATAATCCCAGGCACAGTCAAAGAGCAGACAATTCAAAGGAGAAGATAATGGGTTATTTATCTCTAAATTCAAGTGTTTCTGTTTTTATAAACTGCAAGCAGAAAGCCTTGCTCCGTAACAAGGCAGTAGCCATGGAAACCCTCTATCTGTTTCCTATAGAAAGATGATTCCGTTGCTCCTGCTGTCGGTTAATTATGTCGCTAAGCCACTTGCACAACATGACTGCAAAAATCTAGACCTTTGAATCTAATTGGCAAAAAAAGCTTCATTGTACAATTTAAATTCAAGTTCCCTCTCCCTGATTAGTCTGCCTAAAGTTCCTGATGAAGGGTTTGTTCATGAGGTATAATTTTTTTGAAGAGCAGTGATTAGTGCCACATCCTCTCATCACTGTCAGAGGGATGACCTGGTTACTGCTGCAAGAATCACAGACCCTGAATAAACGGCTGAATAGACTGAACAGATTTGATTAAACCTGTGATTTCATCTGATTGAGGATCTCAGGAGCTCTGATATAAGGCCTAGCACCTTTAGGGGTGTTGAGATTAAGACTTCTCAGATTAACAGCATTAAAATGGGAGGATTGCATCAAATATGTTCATGTAAAGTAGAGAAGAAAAGAAAGCATATGATGCCCACTCTGCAAGCATATCTAAAATATGTCAAAACCTGTCTTGGTTTTGACAGACTTAAAAACTGTCAGCTCTATAGAGTCTTATCATCTTTGCATTTTCTTATCTTACATTTAGCCACTGGTTTTGGGCTTAAGATTTTTTGTACAGAGTCATCAAGTGAGTAGCATCACAGGTTAAGTTTGAGACGCACTCATTTGTTACCGTTTCCTGTAGTTAAAACGATTTAATGGAGTTCTGTTGTCTTGGCTTGTGCATTAAAAGGACAAAGTCTTAATGAGAAAGCTGAATGTCAAACTTACATAAATTACATATTTTGAATGTTTAACAGTCTTTGTTTGGAAATGATGATATTTGAATGTAAGTAACCCAACAATGGAATCCAAAGTGTGAGCCGGTTATGGCTGATAACTACAGCTCATTACTATTTTGAAGACAGCTGCCGACGATTTCTTCATTAGATCCCATGAATAGAATGGAAAACTGCCCAACAAATTTGAGAGGTTTTGTATCCAAAACCCTGATTTCATAGCAGCCCAGCCAGTGACAGATTAGGAGAGAACATCCTCCCTTTCACAGGACTGGACAGCATTGGCAGCTTGAAGCGGACACTCTTCATTGCACACAACCTGAGAGTAATCAGTACCCATGGGGCAGCGACAGGGACCTGTTTCAGCCCAATACATGTGATAGCTCACTCAAGGTGAAAGCTTTCATTGATTTAATCAAGGCTTACTAGGTAAGACAAAACCTTCAAACCAGCTTACTGTGAGAGCAGTGTTCAATCATTTTCTGTCATCCTAATGCACTTTCATGAAGCATCCAGTGAACAAGATGTACTGCCATAGTTGTTTTTATAGTTTTTTTTTAAAAAGGGTTAGGGCTGCAGCTATTGAATATTCTTATAGTCGAGTATTCTACCAAATATTCCATCGATTAATCGAGTGATCGGATAAAACATAATTTTTTTTAGTTGAAGTGTAATTATCGCGGAACAATCCCGGAACAAGCTTGTGTGGTAGCAGATTGCAATGCTAGTAAGAAAGCTAATTATGAAATTAGCTTTCATCATGCCCCTAAAGACATTAGTGTGCTATGTTACCTGCTTCTGCTACTACATAAAAGTCCCATCCAGGAGTAACATAAACCAGGCTCTAGTATAACTGGTGCACAAGGTTTAACTTTACGTTGCAACTTACAGCATTGAATTGGACTCAAGTTTACAACACAGGTGCACACCCAGCTAGAGCACATGGACCCTGTTTGGTGGAATAGCAATAAATACATTGAAATAGATAGTTAAATGTTATTTTAACTCCTTTATGTGTTTGTGTTTTGCTTGTGATGGGTTAGATATTTTCAAGGAACAGCCAACCAGCCTCCTAACCCCACAAGTGAATTTGTTTAGAAAGGACCACTATCAAACACCCCAATCTTTTAAGGCTGAAAACAGGAACTCTGTCATTACAACATGGCAGATGGCAACAAAAACATGATTACACTTTTGCAAGAAAAAAAGCGTTCAACTTCCTGATCAAAGTGCAAACTGTGTCTGCCTCACTCTCTTAGTTTTGTGTCATAAAAGAGGAAAAAGAAATTGGTGCAGGTTTTACAATTTACTGTTTGGTGCAAACAGCGGGACAGCTAAAGTATAAAATCACAGGCGGCCACAAATCTTTGCAGAAACCAATCCATTAAAACCTTTACAGATACTTGAAAGGGCTTTCAAATAAACTAGCACACACAGGAAGCCAGTATCCCTCAGAAATTATGGGTGTTTTGTGGTCTATTAGTTTGGTCTCTTGCCAGAACCTGGCAGAGGAGGTTTAAATTATTTGAGGCTTTGCATTTGCTGAGTGCATTATTTTAGTTTGGCCCATCAGCCTGAATGTTATTTTAAAGCCTGACCTCTGTACGAAAGATGGTTGACCGAGAAATATATCATCACCGTAAGACTGGGTGCCATTTTTCCATAATACTGAAACTCTTTAAAAAATATGACATTATTGATATAAACATTTACATTCAGTTACCACTTGTTAAAGGTAGTGCAGCATAAAACAGAAATAACCTTCAACTATGTGAGAAAGTTCAGTTTTTGTTCAACAGAGATGATGTTTCAGCTGTGTGATCTTCAACTTCCGAGAAACCCCTTGAACTTTGAATAAACTCTCATACAAACTTCTCAGATTTAAATTTTCCACATTCTATGACATCAAATTCACTTTAGTGTCACTTTAATGAGACTGTACACAATTTACGTGGCAATACATCTACACTAAATTTAATGCTGCAGATAAATATTTGGAGCATCGTCATTTCAAACGCGCCCCCTGAAATTCATCCTGACACATTCAGAGTCATTGGAAACTTTGAGGACATACTTTATAATTAGAATTTATTATACAGTTTGGCAGGGCTGCTTAATTCAGGTTCTTAGAGGTTACAAAAAGAACTCTGAAACTTTTTTGCATTGTAGATGAAAACAGCAACAGTAATTTTCCCGGAGGTCACAGAAACTGACAAAGAGTCACACAGATTATCACGCCAGATGGGACTCTGCATGTGAAGGAAAATGCTGTTACAGAAGTGTTTCCAGCATAGAGAGGTACAAAAATAGGAAGGACATAAAGCAACAAATGCAAATTATGTTTTATATCAGAGGTCAAGGGGGCATTCGTTACGGTTCATGGGTGACACTTTGTTCTCGAAGACCAAAGTCAACAGCAAAAGTGGTGTTACACTTTAAACTGCTTACATTGATTAGTCACTATTATTAGCCTGCTTTTATGTGCTTTAACTGCACATGAGGTACCAGGAACAAGGGGTGCAACGGTACATGTAACCCACGGCACAGTCCGTACCTTGGTTTTTGGGCCACAGTTTTGGTTCAGTTTTGGTATGTGTTTTGTACACAACGAGCAAAGTGTTAAGCCGAAAAAATACGATCCGTATTGAGCGCGTTCCGTCAGCGTTGCGTCTCTGTTCAGTCGAGCAGCTCTGTCTATCACACACAGGACGCGTATTTGGAGCTAGCAGCAGCATAGTGCAGCCCCAGTCAGCTGGGCTCAGATGAAACAATATGCTCACAACAGGTTGTTTTTTGCCTTTCTGTGGTCCATTTCCTGCTAATTTGGATATAATTCAGTGACTGTTGAGCCTCTACTGTATGTGAAAAAACAACGTGATTTTACAGTTTCGTTTTTTGCAGATTTACTCGTGTTTAATAATGTAAACTATGTTCCTTTTTGCTGTGCTGTTACCTTCAGACAGAGTTAGTAGCTAAAAGTCCTGTTGGGGTCCACATGGATCAGGGATTGACCATCAGATTGTTCTGAGTTTACTGATAAATCCATAATCAGGAAGTATTTCTCATCTACACCCACTGATACGCAGTCTGTGGCTGATAGCAAAGCCATGCTTGACACAGAATAAATTACAAAACTGAAAACCTGCTGGCCATTAGGGTGTATTGTCCCATGCACAGTGGACCGAACGCTTTAATATTTTGTCATGTAATGTTGCAAATCACCAAAACAGCCTACTACCACCCCTCCCTCTCCTACCCTGCAGCTGAAACCCTCATACATGCAATCATTTCATCCCATCTAGATTATTGTAACAGTCTCCTCCATGGCACTACCTCCATTCTCCTCAATAAACTTCAGCTCATCCAGAACTCTGCCGCCCGCCTCTTCACCCATACACGCTCCCACCAACACATCACCCCCGTCCTCCAGAACCTTCACTGGCTGCCCATCTCCCATCGCATTCAGTACAAAATGCTCCTTCGCACCCACAAAGCACTCCACAACCAGGCCCTCCCCTACCTGCAAGATCTACTCCACCCCTTGATGTATATTTTATTGTATATTGATCTATGTTTTATTGTTCTTGCTTTTATTCATGTACAGCGTCTTTGTGTCCTTGAAAAGCGCTTTACAAATAAAATGTATTATTATTATCCTGAATATATCCTGAACCATCCTGAATATTATGAACAAGAATTATAAAACCTGAGATTGCAAGAGATTCAAACCTCTGAGTCTTCAAAACAGGTTTGCAGTTCAAATATTCATATATATTCAATAATATCCCAAGTGATATATTTATGTTAAAGCCAAGTGTAATTTTCTCAGTTAATGAGTTTAAAAAGTCGTCATTCTAGATAAAGTGATTATAATTGATTGCATTTTGGTGTCGTGATACTAAGGGGTGTTGTCGGTGGTGAATCTGAATTAAGAGTCTTTGTCTTCAGAGTTTGAGCTTTAATCTGCTGTCAAATGGAGAGAGGTGGAGGACTGAATGTTACATGTGAGGGAGGAGGCTCCAAGAGACAGTGGGAAAGAAGAATGTGAAACAAAGATAGAAAGGAAGAGAGAAAGAGAAAGAGAGATAGAGGGAGGGAGAGAACAAGTAAGGTCTGTCCAAAAACTCCCCAGTGGCCAATTAAACACATCAGACGTGTTTCTGCTGGAGGAATTCAAATGAGTATTGCTTGACTGTTTGTGCGTATGAGTCTCTAATACTATGAGAGTGTTGGTGTGCGGTATAAGCCCATTTTATATCTGTGATTTTGCCAAAGTAAGACAAGCGGGGAAAGGAGGGCGAGTGAGAATAAATGTGTGATCTAACTTCTGAAGGACTGAACGCCTGCTCCCCTGCTGAGCTGCTATGGGTTGCAAAAGGGGTCATAAATTTGTTTTCTCAACTGGCGAGGGACCAACTCCTGAACCCAACCCTGCATTGTTCTGTGCAGCTTTGAGGTAACAAAACTTTACTTTCTGCAGACAACTGTGGCATTGTTGCAGCTACTTTCCTTTACTATGGAAGAAAACTTGCGGCAACACAACCTGATAGAAGCAAAAATGTTGTTTTTTTTTTAAAGCAGATGCTAACTTATGAATTAATAAAATGAAACACTTAAAAGGTTTTGCCTTGTAGATCCACATAACAGATAACTTAAGAGAGGGCATTGAGCTCAGTGGATAAGCCCCAGCAATTCAAGAGCGATTTCTTACTTTGTTCTTCCCTGCTTTCATGTTTCTAGACCTCAAAAAACCACAAAGTGTGGAATTGGTTTATCAATAACAACTTTGACTTTGTCCAAGGGGAGGCTCTTTGTCAGATGCTGCATGCTACACAATCTTGCAGAGATCAACAGCTACCTTACATCCCAACATCTGCAGTATGAACAGGTTGCAAAGCTTGACAAATAAATTCCTTTAAACATAATTTTGGTAATGCTTAGCGATGGCGATAAAGTATTTATCTGAGAACAATGGCTCACTTACTTCTCAGAGTCACTAATCAGCATTTACAGACCAATTCACAACTGGAATTTTTGCTGTATGTGAATTTTGGGAAAAGTTATCCCTCTTCTCCTCTGTCCTATGCATGTGAAAGTAGTGTTTTTGGTCTCAAACCTCTCTGTCTTTTAACAGTACAATATTTCACCCGCTGAGAGTATTTGTTGCAGGAAAAGTAAAGAAAACAACCTTTTCAGCCTGATGTCAATCATCCTGTCTGACACATCCCCTCTCTCAGTGGTTTCGGGCATTTAAAATTAAGAGGAGTAAAATTGACAGGCTTTTGGCCGATAGTCTTGTTTTTTTTGAAGGTCAAAAAGATCTGCCAACTGCCAGCATGTGCCAACAGAGGAGTTTCAGTCTTTTTTAAACCGCTGTAAAAGTCCACAGGGTGCCTCAAAAGAACCCCTGTGTTTCGCTGTAAATAAAAAGTTTCACAGACACTTCACTCTGGTTTACTACAAGGGTCTTTTATTACGATTTATATCGACTGCTGAGTGGAGTTCTGGTTGATAGTTTATGATGCAATCCAGGAGGTTGCTCAATCGTTCCACTCACTGGCTGTTGATCATGTTGATCAATATTAAGACCACAATGACCTATAACAATAATACATTTCAGGGACTTTTTTGTTTTTACCGTTTATTGTAATCTAAAATCACCTACAGTAGTCTCACCTACAGTCAGAGCTGGACTGGGACAAAAGAATCAGCTGTAGCATTTTTGGCTTACAGTAGCCCCAAGTATAGCATCAAAGCTTAACTTAAAGTCCCACTCAGACTTTATTTTTGTTTTACAACTTAAAGTGTTCTCAGTGGTCTTTGAGTTGTGATTATGACGTTTTTAGCCAAAATCACGTTACCTGTGTCATTTTCAAGGACTTCTCTTCTGCAGAGCTCCAGCAGCTCATTAGCAATTCTCCTCTGAGTCATGGGCGGAGACAGCACTGCTCTGCACACCGCTCTTCATGCTTCATGTCGGTGCAGCAGAAGTGGCAGGTAACATAGGAGCTATTTAGCTCTGAGACACTAATGTCTTTGGGGAAACGATGAAAGTTAAAATCATAATTAGCTTTCTTAAGAGCATTGCAATCCGCTACTTTTCCATGTGTGGCCTGCATAGTGGGGCTCTGGGGGCCGAGCTTGGATATGTGACGTAGGAAATCTCACAGTATCTGAACCTGCTGTTTGGGTCTGTCAGAGGTTCACAACGATTTGACTGTGGAAATACTCAGAAATGCAATTTCACACTTAGTTTTCTCATGATACATCCTGTAGTATCAGAAAAATGCCACATGAACATGTAGACAACAAGCAAAACATCATTTTCATCTTAGTAAGTCTTTAAATAAGAAATTACTTCTATTAGATGATTTTAAGAGTTTTACATGTAATGGGGAATTTTCATGTGTTACTAGAAAGTGATTTAGCTGAACTAGCACACTTTTTTTTCACTCACACTTTTGGCCTCAAACTTGAACATAACGTTTGTTTTCAAATTTCATCATGCTGTAGGCTTCTACACTGTTGATCCTTGCAATCATTCACTTTCTGACACTTTTGAACACTTTTAAACACTGCTGCAAAATTCTCGATGCTCACTATGTCTCTCTGCTTTACTAACACACATTTGATCCCCTTTTATTAGGCCTGCCCTATGCAGATCTTTTCCTGCACCCTCAGTTTATTTATTTTAGTTTTGTTTGTTTGTTTTCTACGAGTGCTGCAGACATTGTAAATAACCCCTGTCAATTGTGTTTATATGATTGTGACAGTGCCAGGACTGAAATATAATTAACTGTGCAGCATGTTTGTGACAAAAAAAACACACCAATTAGGCATTTCCTGTATCCACCTTGTTCACCCCAAAGTCGCCCCTCGGAAACAGTGAAAATTGCTTTGAGACCCCTTACAGTTCAAATGTAGAGCCATGAACTAAATTATTGCGCCGATCTGTTCTAATACACTTGCAATAATGTTATCATCTAGGAAATGTTTTTCTGAGATGAGTTTTAGCTACTAGCCTGAAGCCAATTCATGAAGAGAAACACACATTAGACCTACAAGGCTGGAAACAGGAGAGATTTGATCACTACACTTTAATTAAGACCTCATGCTAAGCAGGAGACTTTTAGTCAGAGAAAACGCCCCATTTACTGAACATAATTACACCTTGATGTAAGGACAGCTGGCACACTAAAAAAAAGAATAGTAGACAATGTTTGCTGGTTAACAGATGTCTAGTCATAAAAATAATATATGTTTTTTGCTTCAGGGATGGTTCCTCTATCTCCCCTACCAACATACTGCAACGCTAAAAATTACTGGCTGGCCCTTGCAGACTAGATGAGGTTATGAGTCCCTGCGGTTTTCCAGCTCAGTCCTCTGTGTGTGTGGACAGCAGCCCTGAGTCTGCAGTAATGGATTTTTAATTTTTGTGTCTCTGCATACCATCCATAAATAAAGCAAAGCAATATCCTCAAAGCCTGGGCAGAAAAAAAAGAACTGCATCCCAAAACACCTGCATGCCTTTTGAGACCTTCATTAAATTTAATTAGCTCTAATTATTAATTGTTAATCACAAATGGGAAATACGGTAAAATATTCACACATACGAAGGTGAAGTATTGCACTACTGTGATCTGCTGCTGGGGTGTTTATAAATGGTTGCATCATGACTCATTTTGGATTGCCTCATCAAAGGTAACAAAACACAAGGAACAACAAATACACCTAATGAGAACCAAACAGGGCACTAATGGTCTTTTCTTTATTTTGCACTTCACCGGTTTCCTGTTTCTCAGGCAACATTTTACAGTCCAGTTACACTTTTATTAAAATAGTAATGAGTGGGGGACAAAAATGAGCAGAGCTAATGGAGCACCTCCAGTCTTACACAGGAAAGAAACAGGGGGTAATATTCATAAATATTCAAATCACAAATCATGCTTTCATCATTCCTCTCCATAAGGTGTTTTGTGTGTGGTGTGCCACCCTCACACAGATACATCATTTAAACCCCATATTGTTGTTTTTATCTTTGCACAAAACCTCGTCAAAGCAAGCAAGTCTTTGCACTTGTCAACTGCAACTCAAGTTTCTGTGCAACATGCCACATTCATGGATTTAGTCAGTGTATCAAAAAACAGCAGCATCTCTATAACTGGGTGTTGTGTACTTACAGAAAGATCCCACTCAATCCACAGTGATTCCAACAAGGGACAGCAGGCAAGACAACTGGAGGACAAAAGCCAAAACCTGTGAGCAAAGAAAGCAGCCCCTGTTAGAATTACTCAATGGCATAAAAATGAAGTGGTACGCCCGGTATATCCGGTCGAAGTAGATCCGCAATTTAAGTTATTTCACACATGCAGTAAAACTGGTGTGAAACTGGTGCTCGGTTGTAAGGAAACCTCAACAGCCTGCCTCATTATTACTTTTTTCATGTTACCTATAATTACAAAGCATTTTACAATGCAGGTCACACACACCCCACACACACACACACACAGAAAGCTTGCTTTACTGGAGTAGTTAATCAGTTCAAACAGATAAATTACTGATTACACCAGTCAGCTGTAATATAACCACCTGCCTTACACCGTTTAGGTCACATTCTCCCAAGGTCGAGCCAGTCCTGTCCAGAATCTTGCACATGTTAACAGCAAATCCTTTAATCCTGTAAGTTGTAAGATGGGGCCTCCATGGATCTGACCTGGTTGTCCACAACCCACTGACGCTCAACTGGACAGCAAAGGTCATCACCTTCAACTATTTTTTCCTCTGGCTACCTTTTTCCCTTGAACCAGGTCTGATGCCGACGCTTTTGTACCAGAAGTAGACCAAGTATTTGGGCCGATGATTGCCATTATAAATAATCTGCAATGGCCAATGGCTGCGCTCATGAGGTTTATCAATAAAATGATCAAATTGTATCTTGAGACACTGCAGGCAGCCCCACCAGTCAGTATGTTTACAGACACAGCTATATCGAGCTACAATTAAAGCTTCATTAGGCAACTTAACTAGACTACAATAGCTACTTGTTCCAGTGTATAAGCAATGGGGAAAAATGTAATTGGTCAAACCAACTTTTAGTCAGCCTACCAGAGGCCAGCCTTACGCCTTTTCACAGATAGCTACAGTGTGCCTGTCTGCCACTTTAGACAGCCATGCCTCTGATTTGCCAATCTTAAGAGCTTAATAACTTTGAAACAAATTTGTCACATAAGTCATTAAATTGTTCCTTTACAGTTCTGAGTTATCAAGACCAAAACTATTTTTTGAAACAGGCTGTAAATGTGTTATTTTTGCTCTAAAATCTAGCTTCTTTTGGCTGAGTGTAGGGCTGCGATGATTAGTCGACGCTGTCGACAAAAATCGATGATGAAAAAAGTCAATGAATTCTATTGTCAACTATTGTCGCCATATGTGTTTTTTTCCAGTGGAGTTAGGCATTTTACTTCATTATGATCTCTGCATAGAGTTACACATGCACAACAGCGTCTCCGCCCAGCGGTAGGGCATCCAAACAGGGCAGTGCCGGCGTCCCATACAGCAGCTACGAGTATGCACTTAAAATCCTCCCAAGTGTGGGAGCACTTTAGCCTAAATAAGGCGAAAAAAAAAAAAAACTTGCAAGGTTTGCAAAGCATATCTTGCATATCATGTCGGTGATGCACGAACATTTGAGGAGAAGGCCCGTAATTATCCAGTTAGTCAACTAATCGTTTCAATAGTCGGTGACTAGTCGACTATTCAAATAGTCGTTAGTTACAGCCCTAGCTGAGTGTGCTTCATAGGGCAGGCAAGAACTGCAGTTTTCAGCACTGACACATCAGCTTCATTTCTCAAGACTGGAGGTTCATGCTTGGTTGTCTCCAAGCTAATATATTATGTATCGAAAACGTACAATGGGAAAGTTTTGTGAATGTCTTTTCTTCTACTGAGGTTTTGTTTACTACACGGCCTCCAAACAATGTTTCTATGCTATTTAACCTCTGGCTTAAAGGAAACACTGGAGTATGGACGGATTATTTAGGCCAGTTTCAGTTCAGTTTCAGTGAGAATGCAATAAATCCATTCTTTGAACATGTAAACATACAAAGTGTTCCTTCTATTTAGCCATGTTAGTGCTACCTCTTGTTTCCATTTCGATATTCTGCCTACTACCAGCAGAGCTCAAGTGCTGTGGATGTATGCATCGTGGGATATTTGCATATTCTCAATGTTTTTTTAATGATGTTTGTTTTCATCCTTAATGACTGGCCAGTATTGGAAGCTGTTGAGAGGAACTTTCAATTTGTGTGTGTTTTATCATAATTATAGGCATAATTATTTTTGCCTTCAGGGGGATGATTACATAAAATCATAATTATTTTGACCTGCTGTCCATTAACAATCAAATGTGTGAGTATTTGTGGTAGAAAATGTAAAGAAAGGCTGGAATGCTGTAAATCAGGTGTTGTGATATCTGCCACTAGTCATTAGAAATTGGGATGTAGAATGTAATATTCTTGTTGCTGGTGATCTTGTTTGCTGTCTTAAGTCACAAGGAGGCATCAGTTTCAATTCCAGTCTTTTTAGGACATTTAATCATGCAGACAAAACCTTTCTTGGTTGTGTCAAGCATATCCCAGGTAAACTGTGCCATCAGCCGCCCTGCTCTCTAACTATCAGCATTATGAACAGGCTGTTGGAAACAGTCACAGTCCACCACTTCCTGTTCTCTTTGTGGATGCTTTCAGGGATGGATATGGAACAACATGGACACCCTGACTGGTTTACGGCAGCCTCATAAACAGCAAACAGTGATACACTGAGTGTAATGACACCTTTCTATGCAACAAGCATTTTTCAGCAGTTTGAGCTGCAGTGGATCAAACCAGCCTTCCCCATGTGCATCAATCAGCCTTGGCTGCCCATGACCTTGTTGCTGGTTCACTAGTTTTCCCTCCTTGCACCACTTTTCTTACAGCAGGTACTGGACTGCAGACTGGGAACATTCTACTAGAGATTCAGTTGTTGACATGTGTTGACATGTCATTGAACCATTACAGTTTAGCCCTTGTCAAAGTTGTTCACACCATTACCTTTGCCCATTATCCTGCTTTTAAAACGTCAACCTTCAAGTCAAAATGTTCACTTACTGCCGAACGTATCCCACTCACTGACAGGTACTGCTGTAAAGAGTTATTCAGAGTAATTCATTTTGCCTGTCAATGATAGCCAATCATACTCAAATGTGCTTAAATTGACAATTGGACCAGGGATGAAAAGCATTTACTATTGTTAACAGCACCCTGGGCATTAGGGGTGGGAATCACCAGTGGCCCCACAATACGATATTATCACGATACTTGGGCCACGATACAGCATTATTGCGATTCTTGACATTTTGCAATACAGTGAGTACTGCGATACAATATACTGGGATTTATACAATTTTTCAACTGTTTAGCTAATTTGAAATTTTTCTTTCCTTTATGTTTGTCTTATTTACGCTGTATTTGCATTTTATTTATTTGTTGTAACTTTCTCCTGCTCTATGATGTCACCTCTGCCAACCTCACAGGACAAACAGTTGATTTTATTTTTCCATTATCATAGATTTGACTTCATATTAACAACTAATTTGAAAAGTCGACACCTGGTAAATTAGACGATACGATATATCACCAGATATTGCGATACTATGCTGTATCGATTTTTTCTCCCACCACTACTTTACATGCAGAGGTTTCAAGATTTGTTAACTATTTTCTGGTGGCAGTATTATGCTCAACAACCTGACTTTCACTTTGGGTGTTCACAAGCTTATTGGGTTATACTGGTTCCAGTGTTCACATGAAAACCTGACCACTGGATAATGGGAGTGCAGAGCTGTTGATGAAACTAAATGAAGAAGAGCAGAGAAGTGAAATGTGTTGAGTTCAGCTGAGGCCAAATGAGAGGAAATCCTCATACTTCTTAATTACTTTTCATGTGATACAATTATAGTTTTTAATTAATTCATCAAAAAATAATTAGGTATGGAGTCCTTGGAAAAAGATTGAATAAAATAAAAGTGATTAAGGAACTGACTTTCCACAGCTGGGTATACACTTTAATGTCTTCCCATTTCCTTTTAACAGTGATGAGCTTTCTGTTTCAGTCATTTCACATTGATGATATCCCTTTTTCCCACTTTCCATCGGTCCTTTCTTTGGCCATGGTCAATAATCATTGAAGTTGTCCTAAAAGTTTCCATGTAACTCTAGGTCATCTGTCTGGTTGCCTCTTCTCTCTGTCTCATCATGTCCTACCACTTAGTTTTGTCTATTGATTCATTTCCTTCTTTCTTTACTGCCTCTCACAGTCTTAAACCTGATTGCAAACAATATATACTTGACCACCAAGCCATTACTTTGGAGTGAAAAGGACTTCTTTACATGTTCACTCATCTCTCTCTCTCTCTCTCTCTCTCTCTCTCTTTCGATTTATGAGTCTTTACATCCTGTATGTGAATACAATGGCATCACATTTGTCCAATCATGGGGAAAAAATGGCCACACTTAAAGAGCACTAACAATAATTCTTTCTGGACAGCTGGATAAAGGTAGCAGTGAAGTGGCCTATCACCAGAAACAATCACCTCTTCTACCGCTTTCATCTCTCTGCTCAATTTCCTCTCACCCAACTTTTATCATCCTCCTTCCTATAACTCCTCTTCCTATTGTCAGTCATTCAGCAGGTGCTTATATAGAGAGCTGTGTATAAAACCCTCCACAAATGAAATATTTTATAAGCAAAGTATGGACATTTTACTGGGCTATACATCCCATGAGCTGAGGATGGTTTATTGTTGTAAGTTTGTATGTATGTTTATCATAAACCAACAGTGCCTAAGAAAAAGTCAACCTCAGTTACTGAAACAAACTTTCTTGCAATTCTTGTGTTGTTGTTAAATGTATGACTCACACTAACCTTTGCAGTAAGAAATAGACTGGTCATTCCCATTGCTTTGTAACAGATCTATTCTATCTGTTCATACAGTCAAAGGCTGCTATTTCAGAAACTGTGTTCCACAGTGAGAGTGAAATCCCGACTGGCATGTTGTTATTTAGAAACTAGAGCATTTAGTATTTATTATCCTTGTTGTGTTTCAGAAACTGCTGTCAGCAAAATTCAGGTGAAAATCTGCTTTGAGGGTGGTGATAAAAGCACTCACAAATGCTGCACCAAGACCATCTGGAGCTAAAAGTAACTGTGGAAAATATTTCATTCACTTTTTCAAAACCTCCATCAACTTGCAGCACAAAAAAGGACTGAATCTTTAGAGTAAGAGAAAGTGGAAACGCCAGTTGACTAAAAGCACACAAAACTACAACTGGAGAAGTTAAAACTGATGCTGAGTGATCGGTCAAATTTGTATATGTAGGAGCTTTTCATTTGGTTCTGTTTTTCTCATCTTTTATTTTCCCTGCCAGATATTGTAAACAGATCTGCCTGGGTGTTAATAAGACATTTAAATGAGAGGATACTGGCTTGTAAATGTGTGCTTCATAAAACACATTCACAAGCCTTACAATGTATTCCTTTTTCCTTTTAATAGTTTTACTATTCTTTTTCAAGGCTTGCTAGAACACTATAAAGTTAACTAATGCACTCAGGGTAACCACGCCTGTATAGTAATAGTGAATGGACAGTATATATAAAGCACTTTCTCTTGTTGTCTGACCTTTAAAGCAGTTTTTAAAGCCCCAATGAGAAGTTTTAAATGGTTGTAGAAATGATTGAAATTGAAAATGATGCTCTTCCTCTCTTATAATTTTCAATGGCTAAAACTGTGGGATAGTGGGTGTCATGTCAGTCTACTGCCAGAATTTCTTGTCTGTTGATAGACAGTTCAAAGCCTGTACACTGTGTTCTATTTTGAAATTGACTGGATGGTTTATGTCCATGTCCACTCAGCACAGTGATATTTATCACTCACAGTAAATGTGAACAATTGATGTGTAGAAAACCTAACCCCTCACAGCAGTTGTAGGCATTAAAATAATACTGTAGAAATTGTTGAGCTTGTCATCTATGACCCCATTACATTACTTTTTTTTTTTTAAAGCTTAGAGACGCATCATTTTTCGCAGTCAGTTTCATGACCTATCAAAATCTTTTTACAGGAGCACTTGGTATCATAGTTTAAAAATCATCTAAAACTATCAGAAAAAAAACATCCAGTTGTTAAAGTCAGGGTTCCCAAACCAAAAGTCACTTGAGGAAATTTCACAGAGATTTGGTAACAGTTCTAACCAGCTCACTGAGCTAAAGTTAGCTTACTTAGAAAGAGTACTATTGTGGTAGTACTACAAATAAAAGAGTGTGCTAAGCTCGTTTCAGCCGTAGTAAACAACAGGCAATCAGCTGCCAGAGAGGTGGAGCCTGCTTTTGTCTTTAGCTGTTTGAGATCACATGACCTTTTTCAATTCTGGATGGAAAGCATGTGTGCAAAAGCAGAAAGCTTAACAGGGTCAATGACTGTAACTGATGGGTGTTTTGGCTGAGTGACTGTTTAATGTTTCATTGCAAGACGTGTAGGATTAAACTGACTAACAGCAACACATTAAGTTTTCCAGCTCTTAGTCAAAGGTGGTGGAAAAAAAAAAGACTGCCAGAGAACACAGATTGCATGTCTGCATTTATACCATGTCGTGTCATTTAGGTTATAATCAGAAAGCGTGAACCAGCTACTTTTCTCTCCTTCCTTTCATCCACTTGCCAGCCCTGCTAGTGTCTTGGTGCTTTGCCTCCCTCCCTTTTCCTCCATTAGTCTTCAGTCCTGAGAGAGGCGAGAGGAATACAAAAGGGAAGACGAGAGGGAGAGTCCTTCGTCCTGAGGCCTAGTGCCAGCTGCTACTGCTGCAGAGGCTATCCATCGAAACACGGGGAGGCGAGGATGACACTGCTTTGGAATTCAGCCCTGATGCTAACTCTGTGGGTAGGCCTGCCTCTCTAACACCCTGAGGTCTTTGGGTGCTATATGACACATTCCCCTGATAGTGATAGCAGAAGGTATGCCAGCCCGTGATCCATAAACAGTGCGAACTTGGTTAGTCTATCTGTATCTTATCTGCCATACACACCGACGGTGAGAAGTCATCGTGATGCTCTTTTCTTTCCTCCCTCTGTCTTTGAGATTACTTTGTACAAGCAGATGCAATCGGGCAGTTGTAAGTGTGCTGAATGGAAAAAGAAAAAAACACAAACCACACTGAAAAAGGTCAGAGAGCAGCAAGAGGATTCTTTCGTCCTACATGTAATGCATTCCCTCAAAATTTCCTGCCATTACCAGAGTGAGATGAATGGGAATAAAAGTGGACATCCTGAAATTATTCAGACTTTTCCCTGCCAGCCTCTTTGTAAAACGCAAAGTACAAGTCATCATAAGATTATGAGTGAATGCAGCTGCTACCACCGAGCAGATGGTGGATTAAGTTGGGTGAAGTTTGACCAGTTAATACTCTTTAGTGCCCTCATCGTTTGGCAGTTTATTATAATTCACTCTCCTCCTCATTCTGTTGTGGAAACAGCTACATGTTGCATCGATATCTGAAAACCCATCATCATCTCAGAAGACACCTCCCCCTCTTTTTGCATAGGCTACCTAGCCACCCTCCTCACTTGAAGAAAATAGGGAGTTGTTCTGTGAGTGCATCTTAAACAGATAATTTCCTGCTGTAACGTGCATGTTTGGAAGGAAAACTAAAAATATCAGGACCTTAATGTCCTGAAATTACCAAGAAATTCATGTGTCCAAGGGTATGATGTTATGACCATTTTGTGCCATTTAGAATGAATGTGTGCAAATCTTTAACACAAGCTGAGAGACAAAAAGTTACCTTCAGTGTGGACTCAAATGTTTGTTTGTTAACCAAAGTAAAATGGAATTTTCTTATTTTCCTTTACAAGACACCTCAAAGTAGTACACTGAGTCTGTGAACATAGAGTGCAAGGAAGTGTTTGATGGAGTATTGCTGCTTTTTTATTGTATTGGACATCTTAGAAGTCTTGTCACCCTGCTGGAATAATAAGCTAAACTTGTGTTGGCGGCACAGCTGTTGTTGTGTCACACTCAGCAGAATGCACGTACACCCACAGAGGCATAACTCAGAGCATGAAAGTGCCTTTAGAGTAGACAAATCCTGGCCAAAAAAAAAACCCATGTGAAATCCCTTCAATCTAAAAAAAAAAAAAATCAATCACATTCAGTATTTATACAAGTTGATTATCATTTGTCAGCTTTCCTTTGAGCTCGCCACGACATAAAACCTGCACCTGTAAAGAGTAAAGCCGCTTTAGATTTAATCACTGTAATTACTAAGAGTAAGTTCTCATTGCCAGGAGCGGTATTGGCTGGCAAGAGAATATCCAAAGCTGACAAGGTGAAGTCAACATTGTTTGGTGTAAGTGCTGAACAAAGAACATTTTTCAAAGACCAGTCTGAACAGAGGATTCGCCAAAACATTTTCTGCACCTCAGGCAAATTGCTGAACTCAACACCAGAGCCTGTCTAACATTATTTTAATAACCTAATCAAAGCAAAAAACACACAATGCTTGTTTCCTAACAGGGACGAGGCTGCAGTCAACAAATGGGTTTAGTGAAGCAAGTGAGAAAAGGAATTAATGCATCGATTTATCAGTAAGGGTTTCATCTATGAAGTCAAAGGAAGTGATGAATATAATGATATTACATGGTCTACATGAGCTGAGCTATCTGTGTGAAGAATCAACATAAAACAGCCTGTTCAATCTAAAGCTCGGTTTTCACCAGGTTCTGTCTACTTCTCACTGTCTCACGTCTTTCTTCTCTCTAAGTCTCTGTAACTCTCCTCTTCTCTGTTTGTCTCACACACCCTTCTTGTACACTCCCAACTCTGGTCTGACCTATGAGATTTGATTGACTGGCCATCAGCACCAGATGTGATGACTTACAGCAAGTGTATTGTGTCCCGTGCCACTGATTACTGCAGCAAAACCTAGAAAAAAGCTAAGCTGATCAGAATAGATTTACTAACCTGAACTTCATAACAGTTCATTATCAAGACCCCAGTAGCTCCTAAAAGTGATCTAGGTCTTACACCATTATTCAGGGGTCACATTTATGTCTTTCCAAACTTTTCAAAAGCTGACATTTGGTTTCAGGAACTAAAGTTGAAAAGTTACTCAACTAACTACTTAGTACCAGTGAAGTATTTTCAACTAAGATTTCTGTGAGCGCATCAACACTTTGCATTTAGGACTATGGATGCTGACGACCTCAGGAAACAGGCACTCCCACTGCAAAAACTGCTGTAAGTGGACACAGTCCCTTGACTACAACCTGTCTTAAAGGTGGGGTAGGCAGGAATCCGTTAAAGAAGCAACATTTTTTGTGGAGAATATACAAAAAAGCTTTTGATATCAGTCAATACCTATTGATGACATTTGGGAATATCACGATATCGCTGTGTTCTATTATGCCTGTGTAGTCAACATGTAAACAAAGCTGTTCTCCAACCCCCGACCTGATTGGATGTGAGGAGGACGTTGCTCCCTCCTGTTGTGAGGCACGCTTCACGTACTCAAATAACGTGCATGAGCCCAAATAAAATTAGCGTGCTACAATATCGGATAGTATACCAAATTGTCTTCCTTGGCCACAACTGCCAACACAAGCAAGAAAAAGAAGTAAATACGGGAGAATCTGGCAGAACAACAGGTGCTTAAAAAGGAGGCAGACCGGACAAGAGCTAAAAAGCCAGGTCAACATCAGTGAAGCATCAATGATGGGGAATGGTTCGGGATCTTATGGAACCTTTCTGCTGGACAGGTAAACCGCTTTAACAAAGTAAGCCAAGTGTCTGCTTTAACAATGTCAGCCAAGTGTCCTCAGTCACTGTCTACCAATTTTAACATCTCAAATTCAAGTCAGGTGGAGGTTCTGAGAGGGTGGAGTATTTTTGGTGTGAAGGAAAGTTGATTAACTAGGCCTCAGCCTTACTCAGTTCTTGAAAAGAGAGCAGGAGGCATCCCACTGTTTTACCTGACTCTCTCCCTTGGGTTCTTTTTCTCACCCCAGAGAGAGATGAGAGTGTGAGCAGAGAAAAAGAGATGAGAGGGTTTCTAGGAGACAGATGAGATGAACACTTTGACAGACAGCAGCTCAGGGAGCTGTTCCAATCTGTGTTACCATACAATAGAGAGACATACAGAAAGTAAAAGACGCTGAATTTTTCTAAACTTGAGGAACAGAACCAGCAGATTATTCAGTGAGTCGGTATTAAGTAAAAGAAACAGTGCAGAAGAAGGTAACCAAATCAGTGACATGACATTTCTGGTCATATAACTCAGATCAGTGAGCATAGTGCTGGTAATGATTGCAACTGTAGAGCTGCTACCAAAATAGCATCAGCTACGTCAACTGCCTTCTAGACAGAGCTCCAGGATGGAGCACTTTCATGGCTCTGAATCTGGTTTTCTGTGAAGTGAAAGTGATTTGATGGCTGTCTGTACATGTGCTCCCAGGTGATGAGAGGACATTTAAAGACGGTATAGCAAGCCTGCAAGACAAAACTCCCAGATGGCAGTTAAACTGTGTGATGGATGGCTCTGTCTGCCTACCTAATACCCATCTGGATAAGGGAGGACTGTGATAGTTGTGACAAATAAGCTTCGTTTAGACCCCGTATGAATGTGTCCTCTGCGATCACAATGGACAGTTGAAATGAATGCAACCTAGACACCATGCGGCCACATTTAAAGATGGTATTATCTACATTCATTTGATAGTGGGCTCTGGACCACCTACTCTCTGTCTTAGGAAGGCCTGATGTTAAACTCTTTAGGAAAGGTTTTCAGCTGTATCAGACCAAAGTTAATACAGATGACTTTGTCGGACCCATCAAAGCAGAAAAGACCATTAAAGAGAGGATTAACTATAGCTATATAATTATTTTTAGCAGCTGCACAGGGTCGGTATCAGCTGATGAGATTAACTGCACATTGCCAGCCTTTCTTTGTATTTTCAACAGCAGAGATTCACTGTAAGAGATATGTTTGACTGCAGCAGGGAAGCAGTTTTTGCTCAACTCATAGCTTAAACATAAGAGCAAAGAGATATAAAGAACCATTATGGTCACAGTAAAACTGACAGAAACCAAAAGCTCTTCACAGCAGCAGCCATATTTGATATTCACTGGCAATTTGCTTCTCTGTTGTATCTTGAAAGACTTTTCAGCTCTGTCAAAGTATATGCGAATGTATTTTATGCATCAGCGGGATGTGCATTAAATAATATGGGACATTATTTTAATTTTTCATACCAGACTGAAAGGCATACTGGAGAGACGGGGCCTGGTAGTAAATGAGACGTGACCCATAACCAATTCAATGAATGTTATGTAGCGCAGTAAGCATACAGAAGTTTTATAGATGGGGTTCAGTATCAAGAACCAGAGTTTTATGATCGCCCACTACCTTAGAAATTAATGAGCTAAGAGACAAACGTTGCTCCTATTCTTATTCCACATTAACATTTTGTCAATGTAGCTTTTTTCATGCAGTGGTTTCATTGTTGACTGATCTATACCCAACTAATGATGTCAGGCAACTCTGCTGCATCTTTCCGCTTTAAATGCTAGAGAGCACAGTGTTATTAAAGCTCCTGCGAGGAACTTGTGTCAATTTTGGCATCCCCTGTGGTCTTTACTTATCTTGTCCTCTACAAGCTTGAGTAATGTCCTCTGACGAAAAAAGAAAGAAATTTGCTGACTTGACAGTAAAATTTATCATTTAATGTGAAAACTTTATGTGGAAATGGTAAAAACGGAGCTGTACATTCAGCAGCTCAGCTGACACCCACCCTCTCAAAGCAGTTTCAGACTCTTAAAAATTTCTGCTTAAAATAAAAAAGGTCAATCTTATCACTGAGGGTACACAGTTCACATGGCATTTGATCTCATTCTCTGGGTGAAGAACTAGGGATGGGCGATATAGGCCAATAAATTCATGACGATACGATTTGCCAATCTGGTGATAACAATAAAAGATAAAAGATAACAATAATAAAAATATGATAATTCCAATCTATATTTTGGACTCATTTTGTCTAGAGAACAACTAGAAAACTAGTGACATCATCAGTGACATTTGTTGAAAAGTCTTATTGCACAGAGTGAACAGCAGCAGATCTTTTGTTCGTCATCTAAGCCCAGATCTTGAAGGAAATCCCTCATGTGGAGCCTCCTTCAGTAACAAGCTGCTTAGAAACGTCTTCTTCATTACCTTCAGCCATGTTGGTTTGTTAAGGCTGCAAGTCTGTCGCTCGCGCTTGCGTCATCAACTTGCATTTATCACATTTATCATGGAGGATTTTTCCCACAATATATCCTAAACGATATTTTTTTGCCCTTCCTTATAAGTAACATGAAGCTTCAATATCTCATTGTCTCTCCAACTGCAAACAATCTTCTTTTTCAGTCAGCTGGTCAAAAACTTTCACTGTCTCATCATCCCATCCATTACTCACAATGCTGAGGCAGAATAAATATACCTGCATTGACAAGACTGTTTAAAACAGGCTCAAATTATATGATATCTTTTACTATACATAAATAACAATCAGAACATTCATTCTTTCATTCAGGCCTACAAAATCCTGATGTGGGCTAAAGAAGCCTTTACACAAGATGCAACTGAGTCCCATTTTGACTGGAATGTGGTCAACAAATTCACCCCCACACAGTCACTCACAATGGACAGGTATACAAGCACACTTCATCTCCCAAACAGACTTAAGAGGGTTTCTACATCAACAATGAAATACTGCACAACAGTAAAAGTAGATAAAACAGCTAGATTATACCCTACAGGCTGACATAGAGTTAGAAGTTGCTTTTCTTCAGGGGCAACCTGGGGCAGTGACAAATGTTATTTCCTCTTTGTGCAATGACACACCACCATTTCAAGTACACACACACATACAGCTAACGATTTATGTTTATGCAGCCCTTCGTCCAGTCTAATAATCACAACACAAATCACTCTGCACATGGCAGTACACATCAATAAATATCTTTCGAAGTTAAACATTACAGAATTTGTGACACATCCTGCTGGTGTGTGGAAAAGCATTCAAGTTGTATACCCAGTAGCATGTGATCAGATTATAGTTACTCACAGCGTGATGCAAATGATTATATTAATACAATGCGTTTTGTTTGGCTGAGCTGTATCCTGAGACAAGAGTCAATCTTTTCTCTGTTGTTTCTGTGCTAAAACTGCTTTCTCAGTTCCATGTTTTTTTTTTTTATTCTGGGGGACAACATCATCGAGGGCAGATCAAAACTTGATCATCAAAATGTGGGATGTGGGATGTGTAAGCTGCTGGGCAAAACTATGGGATAAACCCTCCAACATCCATTTAGAAGCCAGCCCTTACATCCCTGCTTCATGTAGTAGATGTACAATACTGACGCATATCAGCAACAGCCATCTTGTTTGTTCACCCAAAGAAAGCTCTGACCCAACCACACATCAAATAATTAGGTTGGATGGATGGTAAGAGAAACTGTGCATACAGCCTCAAATCTGTCACTGTTAATTTAACTCTACACCTTGATTACTCTTAATGAAGGATTTTGTTTTTCTTGCTCTCATAATTTATGTAAAGCAAGTTTGTGCTGTATATTTTAACAGCTATTAAAGTTAGGGTATATTTCCTAATGAAAGAGTGCACAACTTTTTGAAACTTTTTGATTTTGAAATAGTTGAAGGACCCCCTCCCCGCCACATACACACACTCATATGCATAATGATATGCTTTTGCAAGCAATTCAGCAACTGTAAAATGATAAACTCTGCTTTAAACCTATTTGAATTAGCAAATAACACCTTTTGAAATCAGTATATGAAACAAATTTTTGTTCCTGCAATATCTCAAGATTTTACATTTTCCTATAGTAAAAGGCTTAAAACAAGACACCAAACACAGTTAAGTAATTGTGGTGTAGTTTAAAAGGACAGGACTTTTCTTTTTGTGCATTTATGAGAGAGTAAACAAAGTAAACCCAATCATAATGCAGACTGTGAATTATTTCTGTGGCACATAATGTCAGTCCATGCAATAAAGAGGGGATATATCTGTTTCATTTTATCAGAATCTTGATTTTGTGAACTTTGACATAAAGTTTCAGTGACAAACACAGACTGTGCACATGACCAAGGCAAAGTTCACTCAAACCTGAGTGTGGGTGAGACAGAAGCATTGTGCTGCTGCTGATCAATCTGTTACAAAACAAAGTCATGCAAAGAAATAAGTGACCACAACCTGATCATAGCAAATAACTGCCTTTTTCAAAACACTAATAAAGCCTCAGAGTTCTGGACCTCTCAGTGGCTTCAATGGTGGTGGTTCAATAGAGGTAATATTGTACGGTATATCAAAGTACATCAGAGCTTGTAAAAGAAACACAAACAACTGTTAACGCTCGTCGCTGTCTGTATAAAACACAACATGTATTTCAACCTATAAACATGTTTCACATTTTAGCCTCCAGATGTCCAGAAGTTTCCTTTCTTTGCATCTTACACCGTCTTCAAAAGAACATTTAAAACACAATATCTAATGTGGGCAAGCCTATGTGGGTGAAATGTGCTGAATGTAAGTCTGGATAAATTTTCAATTCATAGCTCAGCACTTGCTCACAGGCTGGTCATGTTGTGCAGTTTGATACAAGGGTGAATTTGAAAAAGAAAGTCTGCAACCCAATGGCAGGGATGATGGTAAATGCTGTTCCAGTTCAAGTTAGAACCACGTGACTTCTCATCTTTTCAGCAAACTGATGTTTTTATGGCCAAAATGACTGGCAGCTCTTGGCCTTACACTGCCTATCAGTGAAAAAACATTGTAAGAAGGATGGTTACAGCTGATAACATTGCAGTTGCAGTTTTACAGCAGCAAGGGCTTGTGCAGCAGACAAACCCTATGGGTCAAGGTTCAGAGTTGCACAAAAATGTAAGCCTTAGGGCTCTATTTTCGTGTCCGCCGGTGACGCGGCGGACAGTGACGGACCCCGCGCAGTGGTTTTTACGTCTGGTGGAGCCCAGCGCACAGCCAGTTTGGTATTTTCGTGGACTGAGGCGCACCGAGGTCCGCCAAGCTGGGCGTGGTGGCGTGGCAGGGGGAGGTGTCGACAGAATCAGCAAGCGCAGTGACATTTTCGTGCTCGCCGCCAGCGTGTAAAGTGCGCTGAAAGCTCGCCAATTCAAACCTGGTCAGCTTTCAGCGCAGGCGGAGCGCAGCTGGTCTAGTGGTATTTTGGTAGAACGGCGGCATATCGGCATACATCGCCGATGCCTCACCAGCAGGTTTCCACAGTGTCAGGCACATTTCAGTGCAAAAACTAATCAACAACAACTATTAATCTGAGTCAGCACATACTTTTAGATCTATATAGATATATTCTGATATATATCTGATCTGATGAGCGCATCTGGCACGCGTTTGGATACTCAACCTGACCGAATCAACACAGCTGAAACCGCATTAAATTAAATTAAATATCTAGTAAATAGACACACATGATGAAGTTAACAAGATATTTAATTCTTTCTTCCTCTTCCTCTTATTTTTCATGCGGCTCGGCCTGGACATGTGTCCTTGTCCTCTCCACGTCCTGCTGCAGCTGCTGCTGCAGTGGCTGAACAGATGATTTGTTTCAGTGCTCAGATGAGTTATTTACTTTATGCCTACATACGGATATTAAAATATTCAGTTTTGTGAGCCAAATTTATTTTATATGCCAACATGTATGAAAGAAAGCTGAGTTAGGGAAGGGGGATACTTACACCCTGCTGCACCGCTCACCAAAATACCAAATTGTGCTTGGGAACGCCTTGTCGGCCCGGCAGACTTTACTTACGTCGCGCCTGCAGCATGTCTCCAGCGAGGCACGAAAAAAGAGCCCTTAGTCTCTTTGTGGTACCTGGTGGATCACACCTGTATATTCATCAACATTTCCAGTGTTGTGGTTCTTTACATTAGTATCTGAATTAGGGCTTCACGATTAATTGATGTTAAATCGTAATCAGTTTATTTAATCATGACAATGTAAAAATAATTAAAATCATCAAATCAATTTTCCTTTATATCATGTCTCACGCCTCCAGGCCACCGTAGGGTCCCCCTTCCTGCGGGAGAGATCCCTAGTTCCCACACACACCAGTGTAAACAAACATGGCGTTTGCAAAGGAGGTGTTAATTTCGTGGCTAAAAGGGGCAAGAGCAAGTCAGCTGTGTGGAACTGGTACGGCTTCGCAGTTTTGGATGAAGAGCAAACCACTCCCTGCTGCAAAGTCTGTCTGAAGGTGGTATCAACCAATCCTAACGAAAAAAACATAAAAGTTTTTTGTCATATAGGCGTTTCATCCACACAAAAACGGCGTTTCGGGTGACTGTAAACGGTACTTTTTGAAAATGGGTCAGAGAGTGCATAAATATGTAAACGACTACCATTTCAGTTCTGTATGGAAGCCTATCTGCTTCTTTCTTGAAACAATTATGTGACACACAGCTTAACTCTTATGGCGGCTGCGCGTGTACGCCCAAAACAACCTTTATATGCATGCTCTGTACTCTTCTTCTGTCTTTTGCGCATTTCCTTGGCAGTATTACAGCGCAACTTACTGGCTTCGCATATGCACCACATCATTATCAGTGGTTTCCTTTTAAAAAGAACTTATTATTCAAGTGACGTTTTTCAGAGAAAAAAAATCTGGATTATATTTTTGGCCAAAATCATAGCCCTGCAATTGACTGGCGACCAATTCAGGGTGCATCCCGCCTCTCACCCAATGACAGTTGGAAAGCCTCCAGTTCACCCACGACCCTGAAAGGGATAAGTGGTATAGAAAATGGATGGATGGATGGATGGATGGATGGCCAAAATCGTGCAACTCTCCTCTGAATGCCCATTTCTCAACTTGAAGCTGTCTGACACCCAACACGACTGTAAATAAAGTTCCCCTGTCAGTATCAGGAATATCAGTCTGACGCCTCGATGCTCTGTTTCCACTTATCTATTCAGTGAGAGTGTCTTGTAAGTATTGCACGTGGAGAGCAACAGACAAAGAGTAATCTTTCAAGACTGTATCAATAGGATGACCTGCGCGTTAACCCACTTTGAGGTCCCTGTGGACCCAAAGTAACAAGGACTGTTTCTTTAAAAAAGCAGAGAACAGATACAGAGGCGAGGAGAGAAGTGAAGAGGTAGAAAAAAAAAAGCTAACCCAGTTAAGTTTGTGTAACTCTATCAAAACGCAGCTCCCTGGGTACCAGATTAACCTAGTTAAAGCTTTTCCTACTACATTAATCAGCCAGATTGAAAAGAGTTTCTGAGAACTGAAACTACAGACTGTTAATCATATGATGAACATCAACAGCTCCAGTCTCAGATTTAGATGTGTGAGCAGGATGGTGATCTATAATTATATTATTCAACTGTGTTCAAATTACCCTCTGCAGTCCAAAGCATGTGACTGCCCAGAAATCTAATCTAGCATTTGGGTATTGATTTTGCAAAGCGAGGAAGGCTGGAATTCTCTTTGTTTTTTGCTGAGTGTTTTAGTGTTGTTTGGTCTTTTGGGGCTGCTGTAAATTGACTAAAGTCTAATTGTATTTACTGGTGCTTTTGGCACATTCTTGAAATACATCAGAGTGTAAACATTGCCATTTCCTCCAGTCTGTTTTAAAAAGCGGAGAGAGACTGAGGGTGAGAGCAAATGGAAAACTTGGTTTTACAATTCAATTACACAGTATTAGATAAAACAAACTGCTCAGTAAACTGCAGCACGAAAACCACCAGAGTCATTCATCTAAAATAAATAGCCATGATTTCCATCTTATTAGCTTGTAGGTGGAGTTTAAATTTGGAGGATTTTTATCTGGTGAAATATAGGCTGTCTACCCAGCGCTGACAAAACTGTTGAGTCTGACATGTGGGAAACAAAGTTGCACGATTCATTTTTATCAACTTTGTAGGCGTATAAATAAACCATCCCCAAAAACAAAAGGATAGTTTTGATACTATTATAATGTGGTTGATGGCACAGATGCATCCCTTTTTGCATTCAAATACTTGTTTTGTAGGCAAGCTAAGATTTAAGCGAGTAACAAGTTTTGGATCTGTTTGTTTGTGTTCATGCACTCAGCTGTTTTGACATGCACTGCCCATGATGTAAAAATTCACCATGAAATAACCATCTGAACAAAGGCTTTCAATTTTTTCACCAGAGTGCCTGAGTGCATCCACTCACTTCAGGGACTGAGAATTCACTTTAAGAAAACCGGCACTGGGAACTTTTCACTTTCAGTACACCCCCTGAGAACAAATGACAGCAGGAAGCAAACAGCACAGTACAAAGACAGAGAAACAACCTTGCACTTGGTAAATGTTGGAGAAACACTGTGGACTTGGTTCGAAAAGTTTACTTGAAAGTTTTGAGGTAACTAGAACACTTTATTAAGGGTAAGAGCAGCATTATCTTCACATCAATTTATTGTCAGTGAAGACTTAAAGGGATATTCTGGTGTAAATTTAAGTTATGGTCAAACACACTGTAATACCGGGTTAGACACCACCTCGAGAGATGGATGTTGCCGACTGCTTGCTTTTCTAGTTATACCAACTTAAGTAACGACCACAAGATAGCAATACACATCGGTCTACATCTTCACATGCAAACCTCAACCAAAAAGCCAGAACAGCACCTAACTTCATCAACAGTACATATAGGGTCCCAGCCATAGTACTAGCCATCAAACATCTTTTTAGCTTTTTCTGGTTTCTTAAGCAAAGAGACCAAATACAACTCACCTACTCTCCTCCGGCAGCTGCTTGTTTGTTGGAGCCCTAATGAATCGATCAAAGAGTGCAGCAAATAATTTCCATGAAGTAATAACCATCATAAAAATCATTTTGCACGGCAGATGTGGTAGTTCTTCTGCCTTAGCGTCTTGGTCTGATTGCATTTCCATAAAGTAATAATCATAAATGTGCTTTCTTGAGCTGCGAAACTCTGCTACACTCTGTGATCGACTCGTCAGGGCTTCCCCACAAACAAGCAGCTGCTGGAGGAGGGTGGGTGAGTTGTATTTGGTCTGTTTGCTAAAGAAACCAGGCCAACATTCATCTTTCGGGGGGGGGGGGGGTTAGGATGTGTTTGACCATAACTTAAATTTACAATGAAATATCCCTTTAAGGGTGTTATATCTTGTCCATGACATCAGTCTTAGGCAAGATTCTTGAGAAAATCCAGGCATTTTTCTTTCGGCCTAGTTCCTCTGAATTATTGTTGAGTAAAGCACTTTAGACTACCATTTGTTAGGACACGGAGAAATAATATGATAAAGGTGATGAGAAGAGATGAACTAAGGGGGCATTTCTCATATTTTGTTGATACCTGGACAGGCGGCCCAAGTATAATTTTTCAATTACACATCCCTACATGAACACTATCTAAGTATGACCTGTAATTTTCCTGAACTACACACAACCACATGCAAATAAGACTTGCGTAATCTGTGTGAGTTCAGAGAGAGACATCTGCTGTCTTGCCTCTCCAGAAAGGCTTTGGTTGCAGTGTGACATCTCATGTCAGAAATGTTGTTTCAGGCAGCTCATTCTGCTGATGTTATCCTGCAGTCTATCACCTGAGTTCCCAACTGAAACCTCTGGAAATGACTGCTATGTTATTTGGGTGGCTTTATCAAAAGTACTACATAATGGAGTGCAGGTAAGGACAGAGGGGATGATGGCAGCAGGGCCCAGAGACAGACCTTTTTAGCTGTAATACAAAATTCTGCATTATTTGACAGCATCATGAGGACTCATATTTTACGTAAGCATTAACTAAACTTAAGTACATACTATACTGCAGATCAAGTCGATTAATCAGGGCCAATTGATGTCATTTGGGCTCATGAGACTCATTAAAGAATGAACAGATTATTTGTGCAGACACTGCTAGCAGTCTTGTTTGAGTAGCTGCTGTAAAACAACATCAACATCCCCTGAAATCATAACTTGTCAGTGAATGAAGATCAAATCTAATAGTTACTGTCAAGTGTTTGATACATACTCTGTGATTATTTGTGGAATAATGAGAACAATGGAGTTAGAGATCCCCTCTGGCAGAAATCTGTCATGTTTGGACATATTTAGAGGATTATTCCAGGGTAAAATTAATTAAGTTAGGATCGAACACACCATAACACCGAGTTAGACACCCCCTTGAGATTTGAATCTTGCCAACTGCTTGCTTCTCTAGTTATAACTAACGTCAGCAACGACCACACAATAGCAATACACAGCGGTCTATGTCTCCATGCACAAACCTGAGTTGATCATCCAGAGCAGCAGAGTTTCACAGCTCAAGGAAGAACATTTATGATTATTACTTCATGGAAATGCAATGAGACCAAGACGCTAAGGCAGAAGAACTACCGTGTCTGCAGTGCAAAATGATTATGATGATGATTATTACTTCATGGAAATGATCTGCTGCACTTGGTGATTAACTCGTCAGGGCTCCCCCACAAACAAGCGGCTGCTGGAGGAGAGTGTGTGAGTTGTGTTTAGTCAAAAGCTAAAAAGATGTTTGATGGCTAGTGCTATGGCTGGGACCCTATATGTACTGTAGATGGAGTTAGGTGCTGTTCTGAGCATTATTTGTGGCTATAGAGTGGCATTTTGGTAGAGGTTTGTGCATGGAGACGTAGACCGCTGAGTATTGCTATCGTGCGGTTGTTGCTGAAGTTAGTATAACTAGAGAGGCAAGCAGTCTGCAACATCCATCTCTCGAGGGGGTGTCTAACTTGGTGTCAAGTGTGTTTGACCATAATTTAAATTTACGCCAGAATATCCCTGTAAGTTTTATTTTCTAGGTGACGACTTTGTTAGAAGACACTGCATAACCATTTTTGTAAGATATATGTGAAATTTGGATTAGGTGTCTGCACAGTTCAGTGGTACTTTTGCCATCCATCTGTGATTGTGTGCTTTTATCAGTCGTAACAGAAGCCATTGATTAGTGACGAGACTAACAGCGCTGAAATAAATGGACTCTTACTGCATGTGTTATCTAATCTGATGGCCCGGGTGATTTCTATCGGAGAAATAATTAAAGAGAAGCAGCTATACAAGATCACTATTGATAACGTGGCAAACTAAGAATCACAACTTAAGGGAAGACAGGCTGAATCATTTTTCAGTCATTTCTATAAAAACTATGTATTCCTCTGTAAAGTGCAAAGCTTCCTTCCGTTGAACAGTAAGTGGCTTTTGGCTTGGATTCAAACACCAGCACAAATAAAGGAGCTGAGTGTGTTTGAGGAGGTTAAGTAGTTTACGCTGATAGGATTCTATTTGTGCGCCTGTGAGTGTGTGCGAGAGGGAGCAAAAATTCAGTTACTGTAAGTAGTTGAAAATGATGGGATTATGTGTGGGTTTGTGTATGTACATGTCCATGTCTGTGTGTACAATGTGGAGGGCTAAAAAATACTTAATAATTCCTTCCTTGTGGTCTGCATTAAGCCAAGTTCTGCTCTTTTTTTCCCAGAGCTCCTGCATGTGGCTTCGTGCGCTGAAAGAGTTTTGAATTATTGTTAGCATTTGTCAAAATAAAAGAATTTGTCTTTTGATTTTACAATCCCTTCATGAAGCCCTCGAGGATAACTTGACTGGACGCTTTTTACCTCGAGGCGTTTTTTAAACTTTGTGTAGATCATACAAGTTTTCAAACTGTCCCTGGCTAATTTGTACAGCTTGCCCTGAAGAAACTTTGAAATAAAAAAGTTTGTAAGTTAGAAGTCTTTCTTCATTTTAAGTTTTCACTGATTTTAAATTGTCATGTGAAGAGTCTGAATGTTCTTTTCTTTGTCAGTTGTAGACTCACTACAGGATAAATTTTTTGCACCAAAGATTTTAAGAAGAATCTGACTGGGAAATTCTTTGTGCATTTATGACAACTAGCTTGGCATGGTTTGTATAAAGATGACTTAGTGGTGAAAGTGCGCAACATCTAATCCTGAATGGTGAGTTTTGTATCATTGAATTTCTTGGTATGTGTTGTTGGCTATATAAAATCTTTAGAGAGGTCAATGCATCACAAAACCACAACTGAGAATGTCGAACACATATGGCACTTAATGGCAAAATCAAGCTTGACTCTGCTCTCAAATCAGTGCATGGATCCAAACGGACACTGTCTGGATATAAAGATGTAAAGACTCTACTACTTTTCCTCAACACATTCACAGATATTCTGCTGAGTCCTCTCTATAGCCACTCCTGCTGTTTTTCACAGAAAGGATTTACATTTCAAATCTGTTCTAGGTACTCTGGGAACAGAATGGAAGCGTGTGCATGTGTGTAAGTTACACACATAATCTTTAGGTAGGAATCCTATTAACAACCTCTTGGCTTTGTACTTACTCTGTCAGCTGATGTCTGATGTTCACTTTAAATGCTAGTTTTTAGGTCTGTAGCTATCTGTGTGGTTATCTTATCAAAAAGAGCAACTCTATGTTGTTGCCTGTGGTCAGATTTAACTTGAGATCCACATTGGCGCTGACCTTAAACAAACACAAGCTGTTTGGCAGAGGAGTAAGAAATCCTCTATTTGGAAAGGACTCAGTTTGGCCTGTATGTAGCACACAGACAGGTACAGAATTAACCAGACATAGTACAAGTATTTTAAGTCTAGACCAAAAACCCAAGACTTAGTGATCATCTTTCTGGGAGCCACACCTCTAAGAACCTCACTTTAAATTGGGGACAATAATCCTACTTCCACTGTCTTTTACTTACAGAGGCCAGGATATCCACCAATCCTTATCTACAGTGAAGGTAAATAAGGATCTGGCCAACTTTGTCATCAACTATCTCATACCCCTAAAGAACAGTGTTATTTTGAAGTCTCCAAATACTAGCACTCAACTGCCATGAGCAAATCAAGCAGCATAGTCAAATTTTTAACAGGGCCTGCTCCTTCTGCAAGTTTGCCTGTTTTAGCCCCCAGTTGTGTTTAATACTAGAGTATAAATCAGTCAAAGCGGCAGTAGCTCAGGAGGTAGAGCGGACATCCAGTAACTGGAAGGTTGGCGGTTCAATTCTCCCTTATCGCTAGTCTTTCCGTTGTGTCTTTGGGCTAGACCATAGACTGTATATAGAATGGCTGCCATCTGCCTCCTCACAAGGTGAAGCCTTGAACAGCACCCTCTGGTGACAGGCTGCTGTATAGGTCATAAATCCTGCCTCCTCCAGCAATCCCTATGGAGCTGTGGACAAACTTTACAAATTTATTACACAGAGTATAATTTTTTCTCCCCCTGTTGTGATGTTGACATGTAGTTACTGTAAGACTGGTTTGTGCTCAAGTCCTCTTTTTTTCTGTACAGCTCCATTTTTACAAGTTATTAGGGGGTTCATGTTTTCTATGATTGACACTTGATACAGCCTATGCGCGTACGAAGTTTACATAGCTCACCTGGGGGTTACGCTGTTTGAGCTGAGCATCATCATAGCGACACTCCCACCAAATGCGTACAATGCTACTGTGCAGTCGGTGAAATGCGTACGACGCATTGGCGAATTTGGCTTCAAATTTGTATAATGGCGGAAGGCGGAACCAAGTTGTCCATAGTATACACAGTCTATGCCAAGACATTTAACCCACCTTGCTAATAAATGATCATGGGCAGCATTCGGGATGATCTAAATATAAGTTAAAAAGGGTTGGCATGTCACCTCAGCGTTTTGACACTGTGGCCAAAACGCTTCTGTTTACATTCTACATTAGTTAACAGTCAGTATGATAAATTGTTCCATGTAAATCCCATTAACTTCTTACTGACGGGGTTTGTCATTTGCTTTTATATGTAATAGGAGACCACTCAATAGTAACTGAGGCAGGCATGCTTCTTAATAATTCGATTCTTGCCTGTGCTTGCCTGTTGCCTGTGTAAATTGGGACAAGGACGTGTTCCAGTTAAATCGTGTAACCAAGCTATAACCATGGCTCTACCTAACTGTGCATGCAAACGTTCTGACTGTACAGTTCCCCTTGCAAGGATTTTTAACTGTATGAATGTTATCTTACAGGAATATGAGATATGTTCAACCGGTACATTTCATATTTTGCTCTTCAGTAAAGCAATCTTCTTATTAATTTCAGTTTCAAACATTGACTTCTTGTGATATGTTGACTTTCACCTGTGGTCTGTCATGTCTGGTGAGAGGTTTTTGTGTGATTTTTGGGCATAATGCTGAAACTGTAGGAGAAACTTTTCTAATATTTTTTACCCGTCAACAGTAGTTTCTTTTCTCTACACATTTATGCTCACTGAAACTTCCTGCTTATAAAATGTATGGGTGCGCACTCCTCATGAATTCATTTCGTTTTTATGTGGTGTTGAAAATCTGAAAATGTCTCATATTAAACACAAAGATTTATTCATAAATCCATTGGGTGAGTCCAGTTTCAGAAATCTGTTTACAAATATTTCTGCAGATTTGTGAAGTTTAATTACGTCTATTAGGTGCAGACTGCATGACGGCAACACTGAGTGCAGACATCAGTGAGGGAGTTGAAGTAAATCTGCTTGAGTTTGTTTCTCACAACTTTTCTGTTACACAAACAGCTTGCCAGTTTCACTGAAGATATTAGAAAAAAGACATGAAAGAAATGAAGGGAGATGTTTGAAAGTGCCCCAAAGCCATCAACACAAAAAACCTAAGATTTTAGATCAAATTAAAAGTTTCTGGAGAGAAGATTAAAGGCAATAAATTGACAGTGACAAACTGACAGCTCGGCTCTGGTCCCCTCAGTCATCAACTCTGACATGAACTGAATCTAACAGCTGAAGAGTGCTACAACTGGAACACTGTGTTTTGTCAGCCTGGGCCAAAACACAGTGTCTATACAAGCATAAATTTAGAATACAAGGGGTTTAGGTGTTATATTGGCCATGAGTACAAAGCTGGGCCTGCTTCTGTGCTGCTGCATCTAAGCCTCTTTTAACACCGGGAACAATCCAGAATGGAAATTTGAGCACTGTGCTCTGTGAGCTACAAGCACGTGTTGTGTGGCAACTCCCCTCTATCCCTCTATTATTCTCACATGACCTTAAAAAATAGACATGCTAAAAGAGATACTGAAACGAAAGGCTTTTCAAAACATGTCCCAAAAATGAAATCATGCAAAACAATGTGAGATGAAGGCAGTTTTCTTTCACTTAGAGCCTCAAAGATGTAAGGTGGGTTAAAATAGAAGTTTCTCTGCCACCAAGACCAAGACCATAATAACATTGCATGCTGTAGATTTCAGATAATGTATCTGTTTCTGGTAACTTAACTCCCTTGGGTGACACTGCTGATAATCCTGTTTATCTTGCTTACATGACATAACCAGAAGGCAAGGCTGAAGGTTATGACACCTTCTGTGAGATTGCTGAACTAGCATGAGAATGACCCTCTTAACATGTAAGCCCATGGATTTTCTGAGGATGAAGTGCTAAGAGTGTTGTCTTCGTGAAATGTGTCCATATGGTATCACAGAAGGCTGAATTGAGAAAGATGTCATTTTAGATGGACGGATAATCACACTGGGAGAGGTGACTCATTAACACACCTTATGGCGGCTGTTGATAAGTTCCTTTGTTGATAGAGGGGGTCAGGTGGTCACTTATCTGCCGCTATCCTAAACAATCATACAGCAAGTTAAACATTACATTTTATAATCCCTGTTTTTTCACCAGATTAACTGTTCCGCATTAACTGAACTTTTTCTTTGGATCAGTTATACTTAATTTTTAAATATGTTAAATGAACGATTATTGCATTTCTCTTTCCCTGCTTTCTTCTTCACTATTCAAAATGCGACCAATTTAGAGTTTGTTTTTAGTAATATGGTGGAGATAAGTGGGTTGTTTGGTATTCTGTCATAATTTTTTAAAAAACATACCCCTACAGTCCTGATGAAGCAGACTAGCATCCCCTTTTAAGTAAAAAATGTGCTTACTGTTAAATAATTTGTGATCATCTATAAGTTATTATTAATGTTTTAGCTTTCATGCAACTATGTATTCGGGAAAAAATCATCTGCTTGGCACAATCACAATCAAAGAGGAACTAAAATGTCAAAAGTCATGCTGTGTGATAAAATACATCGACATATTGCTTGTTTTCATCAGATCAAAGTGCAAACTCCTTTCTTATAGGTCTGTGTTCTGAGTGGCAATAAAAACTTTAGCATGAACTGCAGCTTATCCTTGAGATGTGAGAAGCATATAAGTGTACTGATTTCATCATACCTATGTTACAGATGGGTTGTGACTTGTAATTTTAATGAGATCAGAAAAAGTAGATTAATTAAGCAGCCTTACCAGCGTAGAATACAAATTGCATTCAAATTAAAATGTAAGGGAGCCTACCATCTCACCTACAGCTTACCATTTACTACAGACTCAGAACACGCAACCTAACCTGAAGAGATGAAAGAAGAGCCTCCTTGTGCCCCTCCATCTACTCAATCCTTCACAGGACTCCGACTGCTCTTGTCTCATAGCAACACCTCCAGGCAAATCGATGGAGGGGAAAGGAGAGCCGCGGAGGGATGAATGAAGCAGTTGAGAGGACATAAAGGAAGGTAGAAGTGGAGCAGTGAGGGGAGAAGGGCAGATGGGTGTCAAGGGGGCAAAGAAGGGAAGAAGAAGACAGAGGAAGTAAAGCGCAGATTTGGTGATGGAGGAGAAGGAAAACAGCACACAGGGGTGTGGAGAGGTCACTTGGGAAAGATAGGAGAAAGGAGAGATAAGGATAGGAGAAAGGAGGAGGGGAGAAGGAAATAGGAAAAAAAGAAGGAAAGTATGCTTAAATGTCAAGCTCTAGCCAAGTCACTGCATTTAATGTCTTTGGGAGGAAAATGTCAAAATGATTTAGGCGACTTGATTCTGACAGCCAGTGACATGTTTATTGTACACTGACTGCATTTCTAGGAACGCACGTTACTAAGCTGTCAAAAATTAACAGGGTTCACTTGCCCTTGCTGTTCTCTGGACAAAATATGACTTCAAAAATGTTTGATGTTTCAAAAAAGTACAGGCAGTAAGAGTGGTCTCAAGGACAACTCAGGTGAGAGAAAGTTCCCAAACTCGCTGAGGTGCCCATTCAGCTTATCATCCTTTGTAAAAAAAAACGCCATGAAACTGCATTGTGAGTTTACGCAACTGAAATAAAATAGATAATAAAAGCATGTTTTTTTTTTCCTTTGGTCACTTTCTGTTTTAAACAGCCACATACCATCTGTTTTTCCTTTTGTTGATAGCTATGTGTGTTCATCTTCCACATTTGAATACTTTTAGAATTGTTTTTGAGAATTAATGTCTATGTGTGCACACCCAAATACTTTTGAGAGCTCTTTGGATCTTACCTTTGACTGATATCAATAAAAAATGGTACTTTTAGGTAATCCCAATAATTACAGGACTAAAACCAAGCGTTTGAAAGAAGTAAAAGTTAAACAAGTTTCATTAGACGCTTATTAAGAGTATACTAAATTTATTAACAAATGTCAAAATGAGAAAAAAATATATACAAAAATCAAACTACACACAATACAACCTGCTCAACGTGGTTTGTGTAACTCATAACGCCTACGGGGAAAGACGTGAAGAAAGGCGGGCATTGTGAGACGGGTCACCGTCTACAAAGCATCTCCATTCGGGCAGGGGGGGATGCACAGAGCCAATGGCCTCCGACACTAGCGGCACACACTGAAGGAGGAGGAGGCTGATGCTTGCCTCTTCATCCTTACCCCTACAACACCACAATCAACCCAGCTGTCTCCCTAATCCCCTCGCTGGAACAGATCTGCTATTAAAATGTATATCTGCAAAAGCTCACCTTGCTGAGCAGGTTGTGTTTCTTGTTGAAATCTTGAAGCATCGCTGGTCTCTTCAGCCGGTCATGTGCAGCCTCGTTTGCTCCTGCTGCTTCGTTCAGGTATGGAGCAGCCCCTTTCGCCCGTGGCTTGCAGTCACGTTGTCTGAGCATAAATGTGTAGGGTTTTCCTTCACTGCTTCTGGACAGAAAAGGCAAACGAGCAGCAGAATTTCAATGAACCTCGGTTAATAAAGGGGGGTGTTACCAACACTGTTAGCGCTGGTGGAGAAGCTATGTGAACCCAGCGGACTGCAGATGATGAAGAGTATGAAACCTGCTTACCCGCTAAGTGATGAGGCGGTGTCCAACGCGAGAAGAAGCCCAGACTGTTCTCCCACGGACGGCCCGCAGACGTCGAGGCAGGAGGAGCAGGAGGCGGCGTTGGTTGGTGTCTTTCTGGGAGGGACGGTCCACTGTAGCCACCGCTGTCATGCTAACCAGCACAGCTTTACAACTTCCGGTGTCATTTTTTTCACAATTAAAATGTTTGTGTGAGATAAGATTATCCATTCTAAGTTTAATATTTTGATCTACACATGCAAATTCTATACTATTTTTCTATATTCTATTTTTCAATGGAGTTTGATTTATTTTATCAATAACAGAAAACCATTTAAAAAGTCAGGCTTAATTTTGCATCCAAACTATGACACCCCCTTTCTCTGTTCTGATAAAAGACCCTGCCATTTAAGTTTAAGGAGTTTAATATAGGCACATCGAGCTGCTGTTATAAAAAGAAATCAAAGTCAGGGATGTCCAGATTTTTCAGATGGCCACATTGGATCATGAGAAAATGCCCACCGACCAGCACCTCTAGTGACATTTTTAACCATAAAAGTTCTATTCATATTCTCTGTTTAATCATTTATTTTCAATGATTTCTCAAAAAAATGGTGACCTCATACATAACTTTATTCATATTTGTGCCGCATGGTAGTGAAACAAACCCTACCCTATCCCCCATGCCTGCTGATGTCTTCACTTCGATGCACTACAGTGATGTAAACCAAGGCGACCCTTGCTTCTTTTTAAGGAGATTGCTCTCCATAAGAGGTTGGCGAAATGGGAAAATGACACACCATTATTCTAATGGCAGGATCAAGATTTGCATTACATAATAGTTCCTTTTCAGGTTGTTTCTCTTCTTTACTATGAATAATTTTAACGTGCATTTTTTGTACCATTTCACAATTTTTGATTCAGTCTTGTGTCTTCATTTGTGTGTTTTTGCACTTCTACATTTTCAACCTGTTATACATACATTTGAAATTAACTTAAAGAGTTCTCATATTTCTGTTCTGTTCCTGTAAAACAATTGGAGCTATAGCTGTAAATATGTAGTCACTGTATTGTCCAAATTTCCTTTGGCACCGCATGAGGGTTAACTTAAGTTTTGTGCATATACTTGAAAGAAAATGCATTTGATGATGATTTTGTTTGTGGTAAATAATATATTTTGGTATAATATTGGGGCCAGACTTTGGACATAGCCCACCTGGTCCAAGTCCTCATGTAAACTACAAAAACTTGTGCTAAAACACATTTTCTGAAGGGAAATTTCCCCACTCTGGTGCCAGCCAATAAAAATAAGACTAATAGGATCTTAATGAAAGTTTAGATTAAATCATATAAAAAATACCCTTGTGGGATGAATAATCTTATCTTATCTTATCTTACCTTACCTGTAGCCACAATTTAATGACCATTTGCATTACCCTGTCATCAGGTCTGGGCCAAAGCAGTTAAAGAAACAGGCCTTCGAGATCTCTAAAATCTACACCCAAAGTAATGGCTGTGTACAGAGTACATGTACAATGTTTGTGTAAGTAATATACAATCACAAATAACTTACACAATATGTAATACACACAAAATGTTAAACAATATTTGTATTACATGTTGCCCTGCATTTTTACACCAACATACTGCATAATACTGTATTTTCAAAGTGCATTGTATTTAAAAAATCTATCAAGCCACTGTAACATTCATATCAAGCGAGGGCAAGGAAGTCAGCTATTCTTCATTACGGAAATTGATACATGATTTAAGAAAAAAAAAATACCTTACTATGATTTAGGTGGACAATAATTTGCCTCAAGTTGGCTTTATGTTCAATTTTTTTTTTAATTGAATTATAAACAAACAAACAATCAAACAAGGCACTTATTTATCATAAAAGAAAATTATAGAATATTTGCCTTAGATTGAGCATGAATAACATCAAAAGAGAAAGAAAAAAAAAACACAATTTCAATGTGAAAGGCCATTCTATATCAATTCGAACATTTCTAGTAAAAAAAAATAGGCGTAGGGCTTTCTTGTCTGTAACAAGTTTTAAGGATTTACAAAAAAAAGTAGCAGCTCATTCTTCCAGTGACGTAGGCACTGGCCTTGTCAATATCGACACTTGTGAATGAAGAACTTTCCCCAAAACAACAAAGCATTTAGAACAAAATCCAAGTTTCTATCCTCATTAAAAACACCAAACAAAATAGTTTCTGTTGACAATGGGAAGTCAATGTTTTTGGACTGCAACCAGCTCCGCATGTTACTCCAGAGGGGATGTACCGCACTACAGTGAAAAAAAAACATGGTTCAGGTTTTCAACGTCCACACCACAAAACACACAGTTATTTGCTTCAAAGTTAAACCTTAATCTTAAAAATTCGTTTGTTGGATAGATTTCGTTCAAGATTTTGAAATTGACTTCTTTTGCCTTAGGAGGTAATGGCAAGGAGATGTAATTCTTTCTTATCTTTTTAATCTTATTCAAATGAAATTGCTTCAAAATATACATCCTTTTAATTGGGCTAGGGTAATATTCGTTTTTTTATATTCAAGTATTTGTCGACATCTGCTGGACATTTCCGTGTTGTAAACAAAGACGCAATTTTTCATCAGGCACTTTTTGGGCGCCCCGTATGTATGACGACGTTTGCGCTGAGGAAGGACCCGCTAACGGCGGCTCATCGTCGGCTCTTTGACGACTCAGGAAAAGAGTTTACAAATCGGAATTGTTATCCATCTGAAATCTGAACCATCCTGTGTAAAACGCCGGTAAATATTCTATTATGTGTATTTACAGCCTGTCGCTAATAAAACAGACCTTAAATTCAGGTCATGTCTGCACTGTTTTAGTTACAAAGCCAGAAATAAATGGATAACGTCAGGCAAAAGTGGCGCTCACTATGAATGGGCTCTGAACTCGCTGACTGCAAGTTGATGAATTACCTATGTATGCCGACTTCGCAAAGTAAAGCACTTGCGTTTTCATCTTGTTTCAATGTGTCTCCTTCGTCAACTTAGCCAAGTATTTAAGGAGCTAAAATGATCTGAGTAATGTAGAAACACTATATACAACACGAACAGTCCGTTCTCTTGTCTGCTAAGCTAAAGTTAGCAGTGTTCTCTCTGGTTACAAACGTTGTGTAAATAGTAAACTCGCGCTTAGGCATGGTGATAACAGACCGATCTAATATTCACACACTGAGTTTTGATTTATATGAGATTCCAAGCCTTTGAGATGAAGGTCAGTTTCTACGGTGCGAAGTTAGTTTTTAAGCTCTGCAGCCTTCACAGTGAACACACACTATAAAATGAATTGTAACAATAACCTGTATAAACGCATGATATTAACGGAATTATTTATTTTATTGCAGTCTTTTTCTGCCTTGGCACATTGCTTTGTGCCCCTAAAGAAGCTCCTGGGGAAGCCACACAAAGAGAAAGAGCCATGTTTCTGTACAACATCACCTTACAGCGCGCCACCGGCATCACTCACGCCATCCATGGAAACTTCTCAGGTGAGTGCTGGTGTCTACTTTCACTGTTTCTTTGTAATATCAAACTGTTCTTTGAGCCACGCACACAGCCTTACAGGACTTTAAATGTGCGTGTTCTCCTAATAAAAGTTCACATTGGTCGTCGTCGTTTTCTTCCACTTCATCCGGGTCGCGGGGACAGCAGCTTCAGGAGGGAAGCCCAGACGGCCCTCACCCTGGCCACTTCCACCGGTTCCTCAGGGGGGATTCCCAGGCGCTCCCAGGCCAGGCGAGAGATATAATCCCTCCACCTGGTCCTGGGCCGGCCACAAGGTCTCCTCCCAGTGGGACATGTCTGGAACACCTCTAACGGGAGGCGTCCAGAAGGCATCCTCAGCAGATGCCCGAGCCACCTCAGCTGACTCCTCTTGTAGTGGAGGAGCAGCGGTTCTACTCTGAGCGCCTCCCGAGTGTCTGAGCTCCTTACCCTATCTCTAAGGCTGAGCCCAGCCATCCTGCGAAGGAAACCCATTTCGGCCACTTGGATTTGCGATCTTATTCTTTTGGTCATTACCCAAAGTTCATGGCCATAGGTGAGAGTCGGCAGATAGATCGACCGGTAAATCGAGAGTCTCGCCTTGCAGCTCAGCTCTTTCTTCACCACGACTAATCGGTTAAGCGTCCACATCACTGCTGACGCCGCTCCGAACCGCCTATCGATCTCCCGTTCCATCCTACCCTCACCTGTGAACAAGATCCCGAGATACTTGAACTCCTCCACTCGAGGCAGGACCACCTCTCAGGCCTGGAGAAGGCAATCTACCTTTTTCCGACATTGGTTTTCTTAGTAATTCAATGACGATACGGCGGCTTTCAGTTTCTATGGTCCCCGGTTGTGGAGCAGCATGCCGGAGACTATTGATGTTTTTAGGAAAAGGCTCAAGACTCACCTTTTTAACCAGGCTTTTTATTTATTGCCTCTCTTCTTCTCTTTCATTTAACTTCTTTTTCCTCTTTTATATGGTAAAGAGCTTTTATTCGTTTATTTTATTTTCTTGTTTTAGTCCATCAGGTTTTAGTCTTTCTTTTTACCGTTATTTGTTTATGTATTGCTATTTTATTTTTAATCTTTTATCTCCAGTGTTTCCCAAAGGTAGCTCTTTCCTCACGTAATGTCTCGGTGTTAGGCCATGTCTCTATCTGAAATTCTCACTCTGTGTGTGCTTGTGTAGGTGTATGTGAGGGTGGGTGCGTGTCTGTGGGTGTGTGGGTTGGAGGGTCGGGTTTTATTGTTGTTTGTTGTAACATGTACTTTTTAAAATCATAAACTATGTTCGTGAGCAGGTGAAGCCATACAGTTTTTCTTTGAAGTCTATATTGCAAATATGAGACAAACTGAACTAATTTTGTTAATCTTTTTGTAGGAACCAAGTTGCAGGAGATTGTTGTTTCCAGAGGAAAGATCCTGGAGTTGTTGCGACCAGATGCTAACACAGGAAAAGTGCACACTCTGCTCACTGTAGAGGTCTTTGGCATTGTTAGGTCCCTGATGGCCTTCAGACTCACAGGGGGAACCAAAGGTATGTAACCAAAGATCACTGGAGAAAGAGTTCACGTCTCTGATCTCAACAAAAGTTTACATTTTCACCCCCATCCACAACACGAATGTTCAGGTCTTTTGAAACCATGAGAATATTCAATTCCCTAACTGTTCGCATTATGTCGCCTCCACCCTGATAGTACGAGCATGCTTGAACATGTTTTTTTTGTTCTTATCAACAAAGTGATGTTGTTCTAAGGAAAGTAGTATCTTCTCCATGTGTGTCATGTTTGTTAAATTGTATTTATGCATTCTTTTCTCCATTTGTAGACTACATTGTAGTTGGAAGTGACAGTGGTCGTATTGTCATCCTCGAATATCATCCATCAAAAAACATGTTTGAGAAGATCCATCAGGAAACTTTTGGGAAGAGCGGCTGCAGACGCATCGTCCCAGGCCAGTTCCTGGCTGTCGACCCAAAAGGCAGAGCTGTTATGATTGGTGAGAAAAGGATGACTGCCTTCAAACGTCTCTTTCGGATATGATAAGTTAACTGCATTATATCCTTGATAACTTGGCTTGTAGATCCTTTTTGATTCTGTATCAACAGAACAAACAGTAAAATTTATGAATTGGGTTTGGTCTTGATCTTCTGAATAAATATTCACTGAAACAGATATAACAGATATAACTTCACATTCTATTCAGCATGGAAAATCAAGCAATCAATATTTTTGCTGTAAGATAAGATAAACCTTTATTCATCCCACAGTTGGGAATTTGTATGACACTCTCAATAAAGATGCTGAATCTTCTTTTTAAAATATTTTTGGTGGGAGCTACAGTTCAATTCAGAAGTCTTTACTTAAGTTCTGAGAATGAAAGCTCTTAAATTAAAGAAAATGCCTGAGAAATGTAGCTGTATATTGTATGCTAAAAGTAAAATTCTCACAGCACAGTCCTTGTTATTTAGTAAGTTAGTTGGTAATTGAAATAACATTTTGGATGCCCTCCTTTGTCCCATGTTTAGGAGCGATAGAGAAACAGAAGCTGGTTTATATCCTGAACAGAGATGCAGCTGCCAGGTTGACCATCTCCTCTCCACTAGAGGCACACAAAGCAAACACACTCGTCTACCATGTAGTTGGAGTTGATGTCGGCTTTGAAAATCCCATGTTTGCCTGCCTTGAAATGGACTATGAGGTAGGGAAATATTGTGATTCTCTGATTACAGAAGGGTTGTATTTGTTGATGTGATGAGTTTGTCATGTCTCTTCTCTGACTGTCACTGGAGAAAGATTGAACGTCTCTGATCTCAGTTGTTTTTTAGACTGATATTTTAGTGTCATTGTAAAAGTCTGACGCCATGGACATTCTGGTGATGTCCCTTAGATAAGTTGCCACCATGCTTGCATTGCAGTGTAATTATGACATTTCTGACCCTGATATTCACTCTTCCCAGGAAGCTGACAATGATCCAACAGGAGAGGCTGCCGCGAACACACAACAGACACTCACCTTCTACGAGCTGGACCTGGGCTTGAATCACGTGGTCCGCAAATACAGTGAGGCTTTGGAGGAGCACGGAAATTTCCTCATCACTGGTAAGCACTATGACACTGCAAGCTGCAGTCAACGGGAATGAAACAACAAGCGCACGACTTAACAGCTATTTTCATAGTTACTGCAGCAGAAACTGGTGATCACATTCTGTAAAGAGGAGGGCGATGTCGCTGTCAAAATCAAATCTCATTAGTTTTGATACATCTGTCACTATTTAGAAATGAATTTGGACCTGGGGTGTAGTTCTTATTTCACAAAGATTATATAGACATGTCGAAGTGTTGTAGATGGATCCATTGCTGAAGATAGATTTCACATATCTACTATCATCCCAAGTTTACCATGGCAACAAAACAAAAGTGAAAATAGACTAGAAATCACAGCTCATACAGCTGTCTTTCCTGCTGTGTCACTGTAGTCAAAATTGTTTAGAAAAGAAACACATATCCTCTATAACCCTCTTTCTAGTTCCTGGTGGATCAGATGGGCCCAGCGGTGTTTTAATCTGCTCTGAAAACTATATCACCTATAAGAACTTTGGGGACCAGCCTGACATTCGTTGTCCCATCCCACGACGCAGGGTGAGTACTTGATTGGGTGATAAATAAATGAAACAATATGGCTCGATAACGGATAAGATTAGTCATTTGCCTGGTTTATCTGATCATATACAGAATGACCTGGATGACCCGGAGCGTGGCATGATATTTGTCTGCTCAGCCACACACAAGACCAAGTCCATGTTCTTCTTCCTGGCTCAGACTGAGCAGGGAGATATCTTTAAGGTCACCTTAGAAACAGATGAAGAAATGGTGAGTTGGGAGTACTGCTCTCTTTTCTTCTCTTACAAAGACAATCACATTAATAGTTAAACAAGACCTATCAGAACCTATTTTCTGCTTGCTAAACCTAAGATTTGAATTGCAGCTAATATGAAGCAAATGGAAAATAAATGAATTAATCAGTTAAATGTGGCCAGTGGGCAAATTTTTGTGGAGTGAATGTTTTAAAGATGTCAGAGTTCTTTTTCAGGTCACAGAAATTAGACTGAAGTACTTTGACACGATCCCAGTCGCAACAGCCATGTGTGTCCTGAAGACTGGCTTTCTCTTTGTTTCTTCAGAGTTTGGAAACCAGTAAGTCTTTTGTCAGCATGAATTCACTTTTTCCCCTCTCAGGGTTAATTAATTTTGATGCACTCTGACTGAAGCTTTTTCTAATTTAACTTTTGGACTTCAATGTCCCCACATTAATATGAGGATGTTTGCTTATTGATGGGATTACTTTTCTTTTATCTTTTGAATTACCAAGTTTAAGTGGCTCTTTTTTAGATGGCAGCTGTGGTTAGAGACATGTTTTTTGTGTTGTTTTTTCCCATCCTGTTCTTTTAGCCTGACCTCACTATTCTCATGAATCTGATGTGTTAGAAATGCTCTGAGAAAAGTATTTCAGATTTGCCCCGGAGTTTCCGATAACAAGAAAAGGTTAGGTTTTAAAAGATAAATGTCGCTGTAACCTCTTCACAAATCTCTTGGGATATTAATCAAGACTTAATTCTCTAGGCGTGACGTGTTTTTGCAGTGATGCTCCAGTTAACAAGTTGATATAATTTTGTTTTTACCAAATTGCTCAGGGGTCAACGAACATGAGGGAAGCAAATTATTTAAAAAAAAAAACTGTCAATGTAATGGTTTCTAGGGCTATTTTAGTAATTGAGTGTTATACCAAATATTCCATGGAGTAATCAGATAAAACGTAATTTTTTTTTAGTTGAAGTGCAATTATTAATATACAAGAGAAAATAAGACATTTAACTTAATGAACAATTGATTGTTTCCCTTTTTTAGAAACAAAGAACGCAGAACAAGTGTGTGTGGTAGCCAGTTGCAATGCTCATAATAAAGCTAATTACGATATTAGCTTTCATCGCGTCCCTGAAGACATTAATGTCCAAGAGCTGAATAGTTCTTATCTTATCTGCTACTTCTGGCTTCTACTACACTGGCAATGTTAGGCTGCTAGCTAGCGTGAAGAGGAGAAGCGTGGTCTCCACCCACGACTCAGAGGCGAATTGCTAAACTGAACTACTGGAGCTCTGCAGAAGAAAAGCTCCTCTCATCATTCATTTTTTTCTGCTCAGCAAAACCAAAACTGCACTTAGTCCTCCTTCTACTGTGGTGACGTAAGCGTGTTGTGTCCCCTTGAGAATAATCCGTGCAAATGATTGAAGTAACGAGTACTCGTGGCAGAGAAAATTCCTCGATCATTTTTTGTAATCCAGGTACTCGAGGAATCGTTTCAGCCCTAATGGTCTCCAGTACACGACCAATACTCACTACAACTTCAGTAGTCACTCTTAGGAGCACTCATGGCATTTTCAGTTATTGTCAACAATAACTGAAAATGCTGAGCCCTTCAGAAAAGTAGAATTTATGGTCGAACTGCTGTATTGGGTTGTAGGCCTGCACGATATATCGTTTGAGCATCATCATCGCGATGTATGTGTGCGCAATAGTCACATTGCAGAGCCTGCGATGTCGGAGGTGAATGAACTCTGTTAATTTCAAGGGTAACTGACTGAGATACACTCCATGTGACTCTACATGTGCTGTGCAGCGATCCACCAATCACCTTCGTCCTTTACTCAGCTGCCAATCAGACTCAGTTCTTAGTTGCCAATCAGACTACCCTGCCAGCTGTCAATCAAAATCAGAGAGGAGGAAACCCACCCCTGCACATGTTCTGCACATGGAGTAAGTCGCTGGCTACCTGAGTTGTGCCGAGAAACGCTTGTCAGCTGAGAATTACTTTCAGAACATTACTCATGACTGTTTAGCTCAACAAATTAGAACTGTATGGGTTTTAAATTGTACATTTCCGTGGACCATTCTACTATAAGCAGTGTGCGTTTTGTGAGGTGCATGCAATTCTCGGAGGACACACGTTTCTCAGCACAACCCGTTAACAACAACAACAACAACGATCGCAAACTGAGCAACACACAGAGAAAACCACAGAAGATGATGACTTGTTGCCAAAAAGAAAAGGAAAGTCAGTTATCTGGAATTATTTCGGTTAAAGAAGGATGATGTCGACCAAAACACGTGTTCTGTGTTCATCTGTCGCCACAATAACGTCCCAGCACAATAAAAGCTAAAAGTATCTCTGAGACAGACAGAAGCCGTTCTACTAACATTCACAAAAAGAGGTGAGATCAGAGCAGGTTAACTGTCCTCAAGATTTCAGCAGTGCAGCATAACATAAAGTGCTATTCAGGTCATCTGGTGAAAATTCCTCTATTTTTTAATATCGCAATACATGTCACAGGTTCTAAAAAAATCGCAATGTTAGTTTTTTCCAATATCGTGCAGCCTTATTGGGTTGCATGACTTGCTGAAACTGTGTTCATAAACTTATGGCTTGCCTGAGTATTCATCCACCTGAACAAGGCCGTGTAGTGCAAATATGCCGAGAATCTCCCCCTCGCTCTGTTTTGTTGTAAGAAGGTCTGACTAGTTTTTTTTAAATATTGTGGTCTCTGCTTCATTTAGGCCACCTTGCTGGATGTCAGTTTTTTTGTTCCTGGGCAAATTTGAACTACTTCACAGGCCCAGTTTGATGGAAGGTAATGAGTGAAGTTTCTCTAACCTTTCACTGTTCCCCTCTTTTCCTTCTAGTTACCTGTATCAGATCGCTCACTTGGGTGACGACGATGAAGAGCCTGAGTTCTCCTCTGCTATGCCTCTTGAGGAAGGAGACACCTTCTTCTTCCAGCCTCGTCCCCTCAAGAACCTGGTGCTGGTAGATGAACAGGAGAACCTGTCACCCATCATGTCATGCCAGGTCAGTATAAAGTAGCCAAGTTTTTTGTCCATTTGTTGCTTTTAATGAAGTTCTTCATATGAATCGAAGTTTATAAATAAATGATGTAAGATAACGTATTGACTCTTCTTTCTGTGCTTTGAATAGATTGCTGATTTGGCAAATGAAGACACACCTCAGTTGTATGTTGCCTGTGGACGAGGGCCCAGGTCTACTCTGAGGGTCCTTAGACATGGACTGGAGGTATGAAAACACTGGCCTCAATAACTTGAGGCATGCTTATGAAGCAGGGACATGCGCGCACACACACCCACGTTACGTTGTTGAATCTGGTTCTTTACTGTATTCCAGAAATATGTGTGAAGGTTAATGTTAATAGTCACATTTTTTTTCTTTCTTTGCTCTCCTCCTCCTCCATCAGGTGTCAGAGATGGCTGTGTCTGAGCTGCCCGGTAACCCCAACGCTGTGTGGACAGTACGCAGACACGTGGAAGGTAAAACACTTGTTTTTTCCCCACACACAAAATTTATTATCTCAATTTATAGTTAGCTAACTTGAAAAGGCAGTAGAAAATACTATTCATGGCCGTGAAGTTCTTCAAAAAGCTGTTGAAACAACAAGAATCCACCAGGAACGGATTTCTTGAAGTGATATATTGACAAGTCTTTCAACATCAAATAAAAACCATTAGATTCTGTCACTTTTGAGAGTTCAGTCTGTGCTTGGCAATTTTCCTAGCTGTGGACTGACACGTCCCACCAAATCTTATTTGATAGTAAACAGTGTCCTGTTGTTCTCTGCTGGTTTGTTTCAGTCTCTTTTTCCGTGCAGTTTTGCACACAAAGAAACAAGCAGACATGAAATAAGGATCTGAGTGTTCCGTTTTTGTTTCTTAATGAAGTCATGGGTTCTTGGACACCAAATATATATTGAGTAAGAGAATAAATGAAAGATGTGCCTGTGTTAAAGATTTTGAAATCTTGGTTATCTGGCTTATCTGCCACAAGGATATTTTTCTGAATGTCAATCAACATCCTCATATGAAAAATATTAATGCATCTAAATCACACTCTGACGTTGGTTATAGTTACCTTAACATCACATCAGTGTGTTATTGTCTCTGTTTTGTTTGTCTTTGCAGTCTTGTTCTGGATCTTAAACCTTCTTTACATTCGGCCTCAGCTCAGCTCTGTCAGCATCAGTTTTCCAATCTGTACTGTAATTTTTTTGTTGTTTCCTTCTTCATCAGACGAGTTTGATGCCTACATCATTGTGTCTTTCGTGAACGCCACTCTGGTTCTGTCCATCGGAGAGACTGTGGAGGAAGTGACGGATTCTGGATTTCTGGGAACCACCCCTACCCTGTCTTGCTCACTGCTGGGTGAAGACGCTCTGGTGCAGGTAGGTGCAATGTGAAACATCCTCTTCTTTATACCTCCAATGATTCTGAAACCAACCACAAGGCAGCCTTACAGGAGTCATTTGAGAAAAAGAAATCAACCCAAATATTTACAGCTAGCTTGAGTTTAAAACTTCCCTAAAGTTTTCAGACATTGCTCAACTTAATGTAAATTCTTTGTTGATTGTAAATCAAATCAAATCAAAATCAGATTTTATTTATATAGCGCCAATTCACAACAGGGGATGAGTAAGGAGAGGGAGAACGAGGGTGAGAGAGAGACAGGGAACAACAACAACAACAGCTCATGTAATGGTGAAACAAAAAGAGTTCCGTTTACAGGGTTAGGATATGAGTGATTATGGACTATGTTAAATTATTTAAATGCGATTACAGTCAGCAGGCCTAATAGTAGTCAACTCTAGTTTTATGTTATTAATGTGAGTGAGGCTGATGTTCATGTCTGCAGCAACAGTCCAGAGGAACCCAAGAGAAGAAGGAGCTCAGGGCCTGAGGTGGACAATCATAGACGATGCGGCTAGAGTCAGGCAGGTCTGCAGCAGACCATCTGCAGTATTAGTCCAGTGGAAGCTAAGAGACTTAGAAACACTCAGAGAGAGATAAATCGGGTTAGTGACTTATATGGGACATAAAGATCTAAAGGAGAGATAGAGACAGACTCTAGCTCAGTGTGCCAGATAGCCCCGGCAGTCTAGGCCTATAGCAGCATAACTAAGAGCTGGTTCAAATCAGCCCTGACTATAAGCTTTATCAAAGAGGAATGTTTTAAGTCTACTCTTGAAAGTTGAGAGGGTGTCTGCCCCTTGAACCTCGAGCGGTAAATGATTCCAGAGGAGAGGTGCCTGATAGCTGAAAGCTCTTCCTCCAATACTACTTTCAGAGACATTTGGTACAACGAGCAGGCCTGCAGACTGTGAGCGTAACGGTCTAGAAGGAAAGTACGGTGTAACAAGCTCGTTGAGATATGATGGAGCCTGGCCGTTAAGCGCTTTATATGTCATAAGGAGGATTTTAAACTCAATTCTAGATTTAATAGGGAGCCAGTGAAGAGAGGCTAAGACAGGAGAGATGTGCTCCCTTCTTCTGGTTCTAGTCAATACCGGAGCTGCTGCATTTTGGACCAGCTGAAGAGTCCTTAATGACTTATTGGAGCAGCCTGATAAGAGAGAATTACAGTAATCCAGCCGAGAGGTAACAAAGGCATGGACTAGTTTTTCTGCATCGCTCTGAGACAGGATGGGTCTAATTTTTGAGATATTGCGCAGGTGGAAAAAAGCTATCCTAGAGGTTTGTTGAATGTGGGAGCTGAAGGACAAATCCTGATCAAATGAAATTCCCAGATTTCGCACAGTGGGGCTGGATGCCAGACTGATGCCATCTAGCGTAGCTATGTTTTTAGAGAAAGGTGTTTACGACAGAGGACAAGAACTTCAGTTTTGTCTGAGTTGAGCATCAGAAAGTTATTGGTCATCCAGGATTTTATATCTTTGAGACAAGCTTCTAATTTTTTAACCTGGTTTGTTTCACATTGTAACACAAAGTACTGCAAAATCTTACCTATACTGGTTCCTCTGTTTTCTAAAGGTATGCAGGTGGTTGTGTTTGCATGAGAAAATGTGAAATTAAGGTGAAATCTGCCCCCGAAAACCCAGTATTTATTTGTGCTCATGCCTCTTTCTCCATACAGGTGTATCCTGATGGTATTCGTCACATCCGCGCTGACAAACGTGTGAACGAGTGGAAGACTCCAGGCAAAAAAACCATTGTCCGCTGTGCTGTGAACCAAAGGCAGGTCGTGATCGCACTCACTGGGGGAGAGCTGGTCTACTTTGAGATGGACCCGGTAGGAGTTTGTTTGTGTTTGTTTGTGTTTATTGAACTAGCTGTACTTGTTCTATGATGTACTTCCACAAAAATCTTGAATCAAGGTCTCTGGACATGGTCTGCGAGAAACAAACATGAGCTTCTGCGTCTGTTTTACAGATGGACTTTGAGTAACAGTCCTAGAAGTGAGAAAAAAGACAAACTAAATCAAGCTTAGAGACCAGGATAGATGCAGAAAAGATGGGATGTGATCTGTGTAGTTAAACTGTCTCTTTCACTTTTCTCATTTTAGTCTGGCCAGCTGAATGAGTACACTGAGCGTAAGGAGATGTCTGCAGACGTAGTTTGTATGAGCCTGGCTAATGTTCCACCCGGTGAGCAGCGTTCACGATTCCTTGCTGTGGGACTGGTCGACAACACTGTCAGGATCATCTCCCTGGACCCTTCGGTATGAACAAAAAAGCCCCAACACTTAAACCAACCAGTTTGGTTTGTTCCTTTGCAACGGGTGTAGTCAGTATCTGGTCCAGAACTATCACCAAAATAATTTCAGTTACTGATGTCAATCATCTCATGCCAAAAAGGTTGTGTTTTATTCTGGAGTTGAAACAAAATAACAACCTTGTTCATCAACCTAATAGTTACACCCAGTCCTAGGAGGAGGCTTTATGCAACATTACTCACTGCTGTCCAAAAAATCACAGATGCCTCATGAAAGCAGAGTATCTCCCTTTTAAAGTGTTTTTATTCTCTTATGAGAGTTTATTCAGGATTATACAACATCAAAAGATAATAATAAAGAAAAGACATGAGCCCATTAACTCTAAGAAATGACTTAAGCTGCTGATCTGATCATTGTGCTCATTGTTGTCAACTTCACACAGTTAAAGTACCTTTGGAGTATGCTCAGCTTAGCAGTATCTAGTAGTAAAAGTGAGTTTTGTGTGAACTTTCAGTATAGCATAGTTGTGTGTTTTCTAAAGAAGAGTCAACAGAACAGCATCAACACAAGTGGGAATAATTTCCTGTATTAGTTCTTGATTGTTTTTTTGGAGAATTCCTGGTGACAGAAACATTTAACTGTTGACATCACTCAGAGTGTGCCTTCCAAAACTTTTAGCAGCCTTTTAATCAGCGCAGCAAAACAGCGTTTGAAGCCTGTATCAGACATGTGATTGAGCTGAAAAAGCACTCTGCGTCTTTCATGTGTCATCTAAGTATTAGAAGAGATGAAAGAGACTTGATCAGACGTTTTATGTTGGCAAACTTCTGTGTGCGTATGCAACACTAATGTGCTGATTTTGACCACCTTTAGGACTGTCTACAGCCACTGAGTATGCAGGCCCTTCCAGCACAACCTGAGAGTCTTTGTATTGTTGAGATGGGTGGGGTAGAGAAACAGGATGAGCTCGGAGAAAAGGGAACCATCGGATTCCTCTACCTTAACATCGGGCTTCAGGTATTCCATCTTACCTTTCAAACTGATCTCACAATCCTTGCTTTCAATCATGCCTTGGCAAAAGTGCATGCAGGAGAAATATGCAGCAGTTTTCAACAATCATGAGAACAGTCATTGAATCTTTAGTATCATGCACTGAAATATGTATGCTTGATCTTTTCTTTTCTCAGAACGGCGTGCTGCTGAGGACTGTGCTAGACCCTGTGACAGGTGATCTGTCAGATACCAGAACGCGCTACCTGGGTTCACGACCTGTCAAACTCTTCAGAGTCAGGATGCAGGGACAGGAAGCTGTAGGTGTCTCAAACATGTGAATACAATCAGTAAACATGAGAAAATGACATGTTATAAAGATGTCTCAAAACCGATCATATCGAATTCCTTTTCCTCTGATCATCCACCTCTTGTTGCTTTGCATTTTAGTCATTTTATAGAAGAAAGTGCATGTGAGGATATCAAAGTTCCATGTCGCTCTTTTTACCCTGACAGGTGCTGGCGATGTCCAGTCGTTCCTGGCTCAGCTACTCATACCAGTCTCGCTTCCATCTCACCCCCCTGTCATATGAAACTCTGGAGTACGCCTCTGGTTTTGCATCTGAGCAATGCCCTGAAGGCATAGTGGCCATTTCCACCAACACACTGAGGTATGGATATACACTGCCTATAAAACGTATTCACTCCCCTTGGGTGCTTTCTCCTTTTATAAATGAAATCATGGCCAACACAATTTGGCGTTTTAGACCAAAAAGAAAAAAAGAAAAACTCCTTAATGTCAAACTGAAAACATATTTTTACAAAGTAATGTCGATAAATTAAAACTAATCACGTAAAAAACAAAAATATTCACCCCCTTCAAATTGATATTTAGTAGATGCATCTTTGGCTGCAATCACAGCATTGAGTCTATGTGGATACATGCCAATCAGGCTTGCACATCTAGACACAGGAATTTTCTTCATTTTTCCTTGCAAAGCTGCTCAAGCTCTGTTAGGTTGCTCATGGATCGGGCATGAACAGCTCTTTTCAAGTCCTGCCACAAATTCTCGATCAGACTGAGGTCTGTGCTTTGACTCGGCCACTCCAGAACATTCACATGGTGATCTTCCAACCATTTTTGTGTAGCTTTTGCTGTATGTTTTGGGTCGTTGTCTTGTTGGAAAATGTATCTTCTCCCGGGATGGAGCTCTCTTGTAGACAGACTCAGGCTGTCCTCTAGGATTTGGCAATATGATGCTGCATTCATGTTCCCCTCTACCTTAACAAGCCTTCCAGGGCCTGCTGCTGAGAAGCATCCCCACAGCATGATGCTGCCACCACCATGCTTCACGGTGGGGATGGTGTGTTTATGGTGGTGTGCAGTGATTGGTTTTCGCCAAACATACCGTCTAGTCCTCGTAAAAACCCTGAAAAAAATAATCACATATTAAATTGCAATCACAATATTGAGGAAAGAGATCCCAAGTAGATTGTTTTCCAAAATCGTTCAGCCCTATTTCTAACTTGTGAATTTGATCATTTTGAAAGAGGGAAGAAAAATCTGGGATCATGCATTACTTTACATATACGTTCCCAGTGTTTGATGACTGAAGTTGAAGCTTACTTTGTTAGTCCTTTCATGTTTCTTATTAAAAGCCATACCAGAAATAACAAGCACCCAAGAATGGCAACTCCTGACTTTCTGTAATGGTAAAGCAAGGGTTCTACAACATGTACAAGTTGATTACTTTTTCAGCTCTGTGACAAATATGCTGTTGTGAGCAGGGCAGTGAAGCCAGCTGAAGTTCAAGCTTTCAGACTTTATTAGTAGAAATTTAGAAAAAAAGGGGGTAAATAAAAGCCAAGTATGTAATGATTTCATCTTAGCCCCTTAACAATTTACAAACACATTGATTGAACAGAAAACTTGGGTAAATTTGCAGCTACAATGGAGGCATTCATACATCATCAGAGCTCTTCTATACCCATCAGATTCAAGGTTCTCCTTCTGCTTACCGTTTTTATCTGTTTAACAGGATCTTGGCTTTGGAGAAGTTAGGAGCCGTCTTCAACCAGGTGGCCTTTCCTCTGCAGTACACACCTAGGAAATTTGTCATCCACCCAGAGACCAACAACCTCATTCTGATTGAGACTGACCACAATGCCTACACCGAGGCAACCAAAGCCCAAAGGAAGCAACAGATGGCTGAGGTATAATTCATACTACTGATGATTTATATTGTGTTTTTTTCAAGGTTCTCAAAGACACTATGCAGAATCACAAGCATAAAAGCACGCAATAAAAAAATAAGCTGCACATTAATGCAATGATGAAGAATTGATCTCTCTGACTGAATAAAGATCTGCTTTTTACATGTTGTCATTAGCGTAAGAAAGGGGGTCAGTGTGAGGTCCTCCAGCTGACCCGCTTTGCTCTTTGTGTCTTTGTCTGCTGCAGGAGATGGTAGAGGCTGCTGGTGAGGATGAAAGAGAGTTAGCTGCTGAGATGGCAGCTGCTTTCCTCAATGAAAATCTCCCAGAAGCCATTTTTGGTGCACCTAAAGCCGGAGCAGGACAGTGGGCCTCACTGGTGCGTCTGGTCAACCCCATACAGGGTTCGACCCTGGACCAGGTACAGCTGGAACAGAACGAAGCTGCATTCAGGTGAGCGAGATCATGCAACATCATCTATGCCATCATGCAGAAAGAAAAAATAAAAACGGATTATTTTACCGATTAACGGCAAAAGCAAAGGTTACTCATCAAATTATTACATGAGGCAGTGCTGAAGTTTGTAGAGTATAATAAAGAGATTCCCCACCAAAAGAAGGTTCTTATTTGAATCTGATTTTGAAAAAGAAAATATCTGATTATGAAAGTGGTTTATTGGGGTACACCACAGACCTGCCAGATTTATAAAGATTGACGCTTTTTTGTGATTTTGAGTGAGATTTAAGAAGCATAAAATGTGGTATTGTAGAGAAAGCACAGGCTACAGGTGATAATGGTTAAACTGCCTTCATCTACTTGCCCTTTTCTTAATCTCAGCTATTGGAATCGGATTGGAGTTGATCCTTGCAGTGTTTGCAGCAAGATCAGTTCAGTGAGTTTGTTGCAGTCGAGCTGTGGCAATACCACTGATTTGATTAGACATCAGGTAACCAAACATGCAAAGCTACAGAGAAAAAGGCTGCTTCATTGAAGCAACCAACCAGTTTAGGACATGAAAACCCTCAAGAGAGCAAAAAAGGGACCCGAGTGAAGATGTTCCCCATACAGAAAAGGGGATTGAGATCAAGGCCAAAAACCTCATCAGGGTGTCCTTGTTGACATACCAGCTGGAATGGCTGCTCCTGCTCCTTCCATTCATTGTGTCCTCCAGCTAGTGAATCCTCCTAAGCTCAGAGCGGATGATGTGATGTAAGAGTGAATGGGACTATTTTTTCCATCTTTTCCACTCTTCTGATTGAGTGATTGTTTCTTGTCTGGGACAATAAGGGATTATATTGATGAGACTAGATTCATTAACAGGAAGGAAAAGAGGACACTACAGCATGAGTGAAGATTCAGAATGATAAACAGGCATACTCAAATAACTTTGGCTTAGGATAAGGATTCAGACAACATGCTGTCTAACTTTGGATTTCAAGTGGTGAGCGGCTGTGGTGGGGTCAGCTGAGGTAAGGGAGTCCAGAATCTGACCCTCAACTGTTTCCTGTTTATTATGCCTTCCTCAATGATTTCAGTCAGCCTCAAACTTCCCAGAACCTTCAGCATTCTTGCCGAGCTGTTTCCAAAGTTGGCAAGTACTATAGTGAAATATCGGGGGGTTTTCAAAAGCACGAAGGATCGATTGTGTTTGTGTTCGCCGTGTGTGCAGCGGCATAATTTGGGAGAGAAAACAACTCTGATGGTGATTTCATAACAAAAAGCATTTTTAACAGACATGAGAAAACATTTGTGGATCTGCTCTAACAGGATTTTTGCACAGACAATAAGCTCAGTGACACTGTGTAATTAATTGCGTTAATTCTCTTGATCCTGTTAGCTTTCATGTAGGTGTTTATACTCATTATAATTTAATTTTTATTTAACCAAAATACTTAATCTCTGGTCAACAAAACAAGAAACATTTTTGACTTTCCTTCATAACTAAATTATTGTAGATGAAAGTAAGAAAGATTTAATATTGGAAATGATACCCAACCCTAACTTTGTGCAAGTCTAATCCAATGTAAGGATTAAAAGGCATCACTGTTAAAACACAACTCAAAAGGTTTTTCAACTATGAGAGGTAACTTGCATTGTGTTCTTTTTTTTGTTTTTTTGTTTCCCATGCAGCCTTAAATATGTGATGTTCACTTGTACCACTTTTCAGGACAAAGATGGTTCTAGTTATATGACTGTGACTGACATCTTTATCCACTAAGGCAAATGAAGTCAATGTTTGAAAAGTGTTTGCCAGAAAAGAGCTTCTGATTCACTTCCTTTCTCTGCTTTTTCTGTGTTTGATATTTTTCAGTGTTGCAGTATGTCGATTCACCAACACCGGTGATGACTGGTATGTCTTAGTGGGTGTTGCCAGAGACATGATTCTCAACCCTAGATCAGTTGGAGGTGGTTTCATCTACACGTATCGCCTTGTTGGTGGAGGAGAGAAGCTGGAGTTTGTGCACAAGGTAAGTTAGTTTGTCACTCTACAAAAGCTCAGGGATTAAAGTTGTCCGTCTCTAGAGTTGGAAAAGGGGGGGAAAAGTTGCACGTACATTTGTTATGATTCAGTTTTGACTATCCAATCAAATCATGACGCTGTTGTAAATCAATAAAGCCAGCCAGAGCTTTTGGTATTAGCCAATCAGAAACAGAGGAGGGCTGGTTCACCACTGCCCCCCAGGGAAGGATCTGAAGTAACTTGTCAGACCTCTGCCGGCAACATCATCGCCACTTCTGACGTGGGCTCCAGCATCATGATCAGAAGCCCGCCGGAGGTTCTCTCAGCCATTCTGCTCCGTTGTTTAAAACAAAAAAATGAAGGGGTCCACTGGTATTCATTCAACTCGCTGCCCACTTTCCCACGGCGCAGTCGCCATAGCAACAGCTGCCACCGACATGCGACAACAACAATAAATAAAACGCTCAAAATCCCCTTAATCCTATACAATGCTATTGGTCTTGAATAATTAAATATTGTAGGTTAAAGTTTTCTTACAACCTTAAAGCTGTATTAGACAAACTGAAGAGCTAATAGGTTAAAGCATTTAACCTTTTATTCGAAAGATTTGGGAAATGATTAAACGGTAGAAAAGGTGCCATTCTCAGAATTTGGTGTAAAATTTCAGTCAAAAATATATATATTTTTTTCTAATCCCTGCAAAATCTGAACATGAGATATTTCACCTGTAATGAAAGACACAAATGTTAACACTGATGTCTAGGCAGAACCTTAAAAAAAACAAACCTCAATTTAGAAGATTAACTATGTCTGAGAAATTGTTTTGAGTGTCCGTTGGCTCCTCAAGTGAGTAAAATTCTGACAAAACAGTTTCCTGCGGACAGAGCTAAAGAGCCTGTATTCACATTGAATCTAGTGAATTATCACACTAAGAAATCTGAGGGTTTAAAGATGACAATTTGAAGTTTTTGGTTTTGTAAAACTTGATATGCACATACAGGACAGGATGAACATGGACTTGAAATGTAACACTTTGCCCTCTAACTAAATGCAAAATAAAATAAGAACACTTAAAAAATTGATCCGATTGGGAAAAAAAAGGTTCAATTTTTTCTTACACTATCTTTCTTGTGTAGCCGAAACAAAGAGAAAAGTATACATTTACTCGATGCACAAAATCATAGTGGCTGTCCTTCAGAGTCATGACAATAGAGCTTGTACACATACAGGTCTGAGCCACTGCTGCTATGACTTACCTTACCAATAGGTGGTGTACATTAACAAAGAACTGCAGGTAAGAGACTTTGATCCAGCAGCTGGGTGATTATGGCTCAGTCTAGCTTCAAAAGTTAGGACATCTGTCTGAGATTTAAGATTGATTGTGCCAAGGATTGCACTGTGTGAGGTAGCCAAACTGAAACCACACTTGGATTATAATGAGCAAACTCAATTCTTTACACATGGTGTATGGCACGATTCTTACACATAGGGCAGGAGGTGTTATATTATTAAGATGTGTATCAGTGGGTCATGAATTGAGACAGATGCTAAGATACAGATAACACATTAGCGTGTGAGCGAGAGAGAGAAAGGTCTTCAAGAGGTAGCAGGCTGAACAGCCACAATTATCCCTTGATGACACACAACACAGATGTTACTGATCCTGGCAGGCACAGTGGCCAGGTCCAAAACCTAAAGCAGGATGTAGGCCGTCTTTGAATCAGCCCACATTCATCTTTTACCTGATGTGGATTTACAAGGGAAGTGAGTCATAATTGTTTAATTTTAGCGTGGTCATTCACTTCTTCTCACATTAGAGGAAATTCCCAACCACTTTACCAGACAAGACATTTCAGATGAGTGTATCCCTGTAAAGTGATGCCCATCTGCACAGGCATTCACTCACACACACACTCACACAGGCGTCATGAAAATGTATAATATCAGAAAAATCACCCTCACGATCCACAGTATAATGTGTGCAGTGGGTATGGGTAAACAACATAATTTTGTCGTGTTACCCTTCATAAGACACTCTGAAATATCACTCAGAGTCTATAGTATTGCATTCACTTTTGACTCATGAAGTATTTGCTTTCAAAGAATAGTCAGTTCACAAAAATGACCAATCCTGAGCAATTAATCCACATGAAACTAAATATTAAATCACTTTTTGTATCAAACTGAAGGCTTCGGTTTCCTGTGAGAGGCCAGCAAAAATACTCCATCATCTAGAAAACTCTAGAAAACAACGTAAACCTTACCTCAAATTCTCTTTGGTCATGTTTCACCACCAGTCCCATCTTTTTTTATTCAAGAGTACCTTGGTGTCTTGAGTGAACCAAGGTTGGTTGGTAGGGGGGCATGGTCTTGAGTAAAACGTTGAAAGTAGCCCAGCCATCAATGTACAGATATGATTGATACTTTTTGGTAGTTAAGGCTGCCTCTGCTGCAGTCTAATCTGTATGTAAAAGATGGAATGAGATATGTTCAAACAAATAAATCCCAATGTCATTCCAGCATACAATAGTAAAATTATGCTGAACAAAGGTTACCAACTCGTTTCTTTGTACAAACATTCATAAGAACCTCAAGCTGCTGTCTGATTATCTAATTCATCACTCAAGGTCAAAGGTCAAACTTCAAAGTCTTATTCTCCAAGGGGTCCCAAGAGGAAGGAGCAACGTAAGAGGTCAAAACATCTGCCCATCATCTCAGGTCTGACACCATCAGAAACGCAGAGGAGCCCATGATTTACTGTGGACATACGTTTCTTTTTGTGTGACAGTTCTGAAGTAATCGACCGGCATTTCAGCTTAAACATGAATCAAAGCACTGAGGGGCCCGTTTGAAGGCTGCAGACAAAGAATCTTCTGACTCGAATGTCAGTCTGTGCTCACTTGCCAAACCGCAACCCTATTGAACAACTCGGCAACGTTTAAGATGAGGCCGAACATACTGTAACAATCTATGAGAGGCTGTGGGTCTTCAAGGCAAGTTCACAGACATCTGAATCGTGACTATTCTTGTTTGAAAAGTAAAAGTGAGTAAAGCATAAATCAGCGCTCTGTATTGATATGAAAGACTCCTGACTTGTGACCTCTCTAATCTGGTTAGAAAATATCATTTTTCAAAAGGATTAGGAGGTCCATAATTCCTGAGGTCTTACTTGGAAAGCCGTTATCTGCAATAACTTAAAGTCTGGCGCTTCACTTGAGTCATGATATCCGTTATTATTTATGTTTAATATGTTTTTTATGTGAGCAAATTTCATGGAACTGATTCTAAGTTTATCATTGTTGCCCTTCAGGTTTTAATTTCTTTTGCAGGAAGGGAAAAATACTGGAAATGAACAGATTTAATTTCATCATCATGGCTTCCTGTCACAAGATGCTGTAAATAGATTTGGTCATCTATTTAAATGCCATGTTAGGACATGGTTGTCCTTTGTCAGCAGGTACATGGTGCTAATAAAAGTAACATGGGACAAACACACACCATCACGGGTCTTCAGTAACATTTCTGATCCAAAGGGATTTGGAACTAGTAAGAAAAAGGGTGGCCTGTTACTGCATTTCTGTACTAATACCATCACTACGCCGTTGTGTTTACGCATTGCACCCCAAAGTAGCGTGGTAATGGTGCCTCCCAGCATGTGAATTTACATCCCATTCTGTTCTTTTACAGAACTGAGACTCTATAAGCTCAACCATGATTGTTTTGTTTTCAAGTTTTGACTAATGCTGAATCAGGTATTTCATGGACCCGGTTATCGATCCTCATCCCTAGGCAGAACAACTTGCCCCCCCAGTTATGCCATTGGGCATTACATAGTGCAGCCGAGAAGCAGCATGGGCTTAGATATCTGGCCTTGAATTGGCAGGAAGTGCTTTGTGTTTGATGACGCACTGGCTCCTTTAGAAAAATAAAGTCAGAAACAGGCTGTATCTAAAACCAGATAAGATGAAACCTAAAAAACATGTCATTGTGTTTTGATTTGCAGACCCCTGTAGAGGATGTGCCTTTAGCTATTGCTCCATTTCAAGGAAGAGTCCTGGTGGGGGTCGGCAAGCTGTTGAGAATCTACGATCTCGGCAAAAAGAAGCTACTTCGTAAATGTGAAAACAAGGTAAGGCAAGGATTTAAAGTAGGCACACGGTGTAAAAACCGAGTAAAGCTCTTGTTGATATGATACTGATGTTGATATTTTGTACCTTTTGAGAAAATCCACCATCAAAGATGTTTTACTGTTTTTTGTATGTTTGTTTGAATATTAATTCAAAAGCTTGGAAAGGAATTTTTCTGGGGTGTTGACCTTTATTTTACACATTTGGACTGTAAGTCTTTTTTGACAGCTTGCAGATGTATGTTCAGTTTTTCAATACTTTTCAATACCATGCGCTTTGACGACGTGATGCAATATTTTCAAGCTTCAGTCAGAAGTGAGATTGGGATTGGAACATCTCTACTGCTTTCTATCACCAAGAGCTTAACTCTTTGTCCCCAAATTGCTCAAAGGTAGTGGAAAGCACATTTACGTTTTCCCATAAAATCCTTCAAATGTCCGGGGGTTTTGTATGGAAGCCCATTTTCTTCACTGAATCAGGCTTCCACAGTTTTGAGTTTGTGTAGCATGTACTTTATCTAAGCATCACACACCATTGTGCTTATCATACACGTTCCATAGTTCATTTGAAAACACACTCTGAAAGGCGGAGTTCCATGCCGAACCCCAGAACATGTATTCATTCATTATAAGACAGTTCAGCGCATCAGTGCTCTCTGCTGCACTTCTCCTCCACTCAGTTTAAAGCGGCGCCACAGACGTGACGCACGCATGCACTGAGCGAAAAAAAAGTGAGAAATATTTGTGTGTGATTGATAATTTTGTTGACTAGAAATGCTTTAGATAAGGGAATATATTGTTTATAAACACAACTTTGTGTGAGTATTCTTCAGTATCTCCAAGAGGCCTGGTTGTGTCTTTTTGGGAATATGCGTTGAACTGATTTAGAAGTGCATGAAAAACACTCGACCTGACCTGAAAAAAACCTTTTAAAATTTTGCACCGCGCACACACAACTCTTCTCGCACAGAAGTGTCCTCTTTTTGGAGAGTCTAACTGTACACAGCAGCTCTCCCTGAAAGGGGTTGAATGGTTAATTTAATTATTGTAAGTCTCCTTTTCGCCCACTGCTCCCTTTGAAATTTTATGTGATTTTTGATGAGACGCGGCAGTTTGAGGACAGAAATTATGCTCTGTCTAACAGAAAAAGAAGTTAATTTAAGAGGTATTTATGGACATTATTCTCGATAAATGTTTAACTTCGTTTGGATTTATTGAGGGGTCAGGACAAAGCGTTCATGACAAAGGCCAAGTGTCAGTGTAGCTGCACTGGCACCTTCTGGTGCATTGTAAACCAGAGGAGACAGAGAGAGACGGAGAGAGAGCTGATGTGTGTCTGACTGAGAAGCAGCATTACGCACGGGATGGGGTAAACAAGTTTTTAAGAAAACATATCTTTTCTTCACCCCCTGCTGTTTTTTCTCCTTCTATCTGTCTGTTACAGTATGTCACATTTAAAGGTCCACCCAGCTTGTCACTACAGTTGAGCCTCAGAAAATAAATTTTTTTCCCCCCTGCTTGTGATGTTGACATGTAGTTACAGTAAGACTGGTTTGTGCTCATGTCCTCTTTTTTTCTGTACGGCTCCGTTTTCAAAAGTTATTAGGGGGTTCATGTTTTCTTTGATTGACACCTGATACAGCCTATGGGCGTTCAGGGATTGCGTAGCTCTCCCGGGGGATACGCTGTTTGAGCCGAGCGTCATCACAGCGACTCTCTGCGACTGCGCGCATCGCTACTGCGCAGCGCTGGTTTCAGGAAATGAAGAAAAAGAAATGAGGAAAAAGAAAAAACAGGCGGTAGGCGGAACCAAGTTGTCCTTAGTATATACAGTCTATGTGTAAAACTCAAACCCCCTCCACAAGAGGGGTTTTTTAAAGGTGCAGTTTTCTCCTGTTTTTGCCTCGTGTTCACACGTAAGGAGTTCAAAGTCACTGAAAATTGAGATTTTTTTTTTTTTCAAACCCTTCAAAGATGGAGATTTTTGTTTGAAAAACAAGAACAAAAGTTTTAGAAAATGCTGACACTGTTCCTTTAACTTGCACACCCCCATTGCTGATTGTATGTATTGTGCGCGGCACTTTGCTCAGCACGGTTTACTCAAAAAAAAAAGAAACACTAGATTCATTTGATTGTTAAACTGTACTTTGCTGGATTACGGGATGTGATTTCAGCTTGCTAAAGCAGACACTGAAGACAGAAAGAAATTTAAAATCACTTGTGGTGTGGACAAGATATTTTTTCTTAAAACAGGGATGAAAATATCAGTTTATTCAAGTATCCGTACCTGTGGTGCTCGCACCAAGAGTGTGGAACAACATTGGCAGCAACAAGCAGCAGAAAAAGGTTATAATGACTGCATTAGAAGTTACCTACTTCTCCCACTATGAGTCAAGGAGAGACAAAACAACAGATGTCTGTCAATGTCTCACTCAACTAACGTACCAGCGGGCAGGATTGCTGCCTGAACAGGAACTGCATGTTGGGACTTAACTGGTGACAGTGGAAACTTCGAGACTGTCCTCCTCGGTGTACTTGTCATGTCCTCTTAATGCACTTCATTTCTCTTTCCTGCAGCACGTTCCCAATCTGGTGTCTGGCATCTACACCATCGGCCAGCGTGTCATTGTGTCTGACGTTCAGGAAAGTTTGTTCTGGGTCCGTTATCGACGCAACGAAAACCAGCTCATCATCTTTGCCGATGACACGTATCCACGCTGGGTGACCACAGCCTGTCTGCTCGACTACGATACCATGGCCTCTGCAGACAAGTTTGGGAACATCAGCATCGTAAGTATGGGGACTGTTGGATTAGGACGGATTAGGATCTGTCTCCTATGAAATTAGAGAGTTATGAACTCTACTTTGTGATTGTTAGGTGCGTCTTCCCCCAAATACCAGCGATGATGTGGATGAAGACCCCACAGGAAACAAAGCTTTATGGGACAGAGGTCTTCTAAATGGAGCATCACAGAAGGTAAAAAAAAACTTTTTTTTTTTTTTTTTTTTTTTTTTTTTTAACAGATTCAAAAGAATGTGTCATTAAATAAGGGTAATAAAATTAGACGATAAGCTATCTTGAATTTGTTTATCAAGAAAAGAACATCAAGAAAAAAGTTGCCAATTTATACACATTAGAATAATGAGAATTGCAAGAAAGGGCAAAACTTTAACAAACAACCCCGGATTGAATCCTAAAAATGAAGAAAAAGCCGGTGAACTCAACCGCATAAGGCTTCGTGTTCTGATGAGTTTGGGCTGTTGAATGATTCAGGCCGACTGCCGCCGCCGCCAGAATGTTTGTTATGCCCGTGCAGGACTCTGGCCTGATGCCCCGATCTGCCTCCTCCAACCATCGACACACACACACACACACACACACAAACACACATACACACACTGCATAACACCATCAACCACAAGTTTAACCTACTGACAAATGCAATTGTGTAGACACGCTTGCACAGAATGAAGAAATACACATCAAGTCACTCATCCCAAATTTAAATGTTGGTCAGAAACTGTTTGGGTAGCAGATCGTCCGGGAAAGTCCCTCCAGTTTAGACATCGTAAGCTGGTCCCAATTGTCTTTGTGACACAATGTTTGTCAGCTATTTCTGCCACCGTGCACATTGATTGAGAATTCTGTTTGAGTTTGGAAATGTACTCTTTCTGGATTTAGAGTGGGTGTGGCCGCCTGCTTTTATCCTCATCCCGAAAATGTTGTGTATGTGCGTCTTTGTGCATGTGTTTGTCCTGCAGGATGAACTTAATTACCCATACATGGCTTGACTAAATGCTGCCTTCCATTAGATTAAACGCATTCCACTTTGATTCAATTAATGTAATTCTTAGGATCAATGTCAGAGAGACACAGCGGCCTGTTGAGCAATATGAAAAGATCAACTGTTTTCACCCCAGATGTCCTGCATTGGGTTAGGGGGACTGCTGTCGTGTCGTCCAGTAGATCCCTCAATTTTATTATGTTCAAAAAGCTTTGCTGACTTTACAAATTTCACACACTTACCGTGGCTGCTTTCCAGTTGTGGTCAAAAGTTCACTCAAGCCTCACTCTGAACTGCAGTTTATTTGTCTGACTGAATGAGAACAAAATTTGATCAAATGTCTCCCTGACATCTGTTGTTTAGTGCACAGAGAGAGATTAGAGGTGCTAAAACTGAGGTCGTTTCATTCAACATTTCACTTCCTCTTTAAAGTTTATGGTCAGTTAACTGCTTTTACGATGTGCCGCTCAGAGGAAGCCGTTTCTTTACTCCAGCTTGCACCAGGTGCAGTTGCTGTCTTTCCCTTACATACAGTTCACCAGCTCATGGGGGCTTCAATCAGTCAATCCTTAAAATAAGATGCCGTGTGAGGATTGTATTCGACTCAGCAGCCTATGGCAAGACATTACAGTTTTATGGTTTGATTATAATCTTTGATGGATGCAGACATGTGCCTGGTCAGATTGACTTAAAAGTAAAAGAACCCAAATTCTTTGAACCCAATTTCTGACGCTGCAGATAAGTGGCGTGAACGGCTGCTGCTGTCATGTGCATTCATATACTAATAGCTATTTGCCGTGTGCTTTTTTTGAGGTGCTGTGACAAATAAGCCATGATGACGCAGGACTAACAGTCAGATGCTGGAAAAACTAACAGCCCCTTAAAGTTAATGATACGGGTGCAATAAAAGTGACATGCTTGACATTTTGGAATGATCTTACCACTAGGGATGCAATTCAAAGCCTCCCCGTGATCACCGTTCACACTCTTTGGAAATATTAAGTGGCAATTACAGTGTTTCCCCCAGAATTTGGTGCTGCTCTGTCTGTGGCCATGAGGATGAGATGTTGACGCGTATTCATGCGTGTGAAAATAGTTTCAAATTAAATGACCTTAGAATCTTAAAAAACAGGATTACACAGGTTTGTATTTTGTCTCAATTTACATCTTTTGACATTTATCTAAGGAAATAATAATAATTACCGTCACAACACAGAAATTTACTCACACTTATTTATTTACAAACCAGAGTACAGCCTACATCCAGCCTGTGGATATTTGATTCTTCTGGGCTTTTTGAACGTTACGTTACCTGCGCTGCTCACTATATAGACCGTGTATAAGCTTGAACGTTACCCCTCACATTGATGGAAGAGGGTCAGACAGGATTTGATGATGATTCAAAACAAGTCGAAAATAAGGTTGTGCATTGTTGCGCTCACACAGTGTGAGTAGAAATCATTAGTGGCGCATTCTTATTAATGATCATGACAAATTTCAGTAGCGGCGCATGTAATTCAGCTGCTGTTGGATGAATGTAGGGGAAACACTGAATTATTGGTAACTGATTTTAAAAAATCTGATTTGTCCTACAACAAAAACTTTTTAAATGGCTCTTTGAACCTTAATCCTATTTCCCACATCAACACAACTGCTCTGTAAAGGTAAAAAAAACTCACACCACCCTAATAGATGAATGTAATATGAGACCACATGTAGGTTATTTCTACTGGATAGAAAATCAAACAAAAAAAGCATGTTTGAGTATGTTCTTATCTCCAGTTAGTAAAGTAGGTGAAGGGAGTGCCGTTGAAATGATGGCTGCCACAAATGATTAATCTGATAATCGACACGACCACGATTATTTTTGCTATTAATAGGATCGTATATTTTTAACTTTTGCATTAGTGTTTTTAATCTCAATGGGACCAACCTGGTTGAATGGAGGTTTGTATATACCAACATGTTTTCTTTTTAAGTGCTGGTGCATGGTAGTCGTGCAGCCTAGATAAGCAAGCTCTGCCTTGCAGATCGTGCATTTCACGGACTTCCCCTCTATTTTTAATAAAATGCAAAAGATTACATTGATTATTAAAATAGTTGTCGCCCATTTTGTCGAACTTGAATCGATTAATCGAATAATCGTGGCAGCCCTAGTTGATATTCTAATTTAAGCAGCGTTTTCCAGTTACTTCATGAAACATCATTCAAGCCATTTATTATTTCAGCAATCTTTGTGTGCTTGTTGGCATACTGATATTAGTTTCAGGCTGTAAAGAGTAATTGGGATTCATACAGCCTGACAGAAGTGCAAGAAGGGTGCTTTTGTTTTCAGAAAAATTCTAATCCAAAAATACTGAATCTCTTGCGTAATTTGTATGACCAAAAGGTGTTCAAGGATATCGTGAACAATGAGCTTTTTTTATTGAAAAAGCAAACCTGCAGACTTGACTCTGATCATTTGAATTTCGACAGAATGAGTGGAAGTTTCCCTCCGGGAGAAGAAGAGAAATAAAGGGCGCTTTATTCCTTGTGAAACACTGATGTTTGTCTCCCCCTGTCCCGCTCGTTTCATTCGCATCAGAAGAAGCTGTGTTCTCCGCATGTCTGACTCGTCGTGTCTGGGTCTCAGAGTTGCATAGAGCACATACATTAAACTGACGCCATGAGACCGAAAAAGCCCAAGCTATTACTGAGGCTTAATTACTTCCCAATGCTGTCTTTGTGTCCAGGGTACATCCTGATTACAATCTCTAATTATTGTTAAAGCAGGTTTTTGATGGTTATTGGATTAGATCCTACCATCCGGACCAATTTCCTCTGTGTAGACTGTGACAGTGCAAGTCTTCTCCTGGACCTCTGCCCTGGCACACAGCCCACTCTTCGTATACTTTTTATACCCGAGTAGCTGTCAGATCCGTCGAGCAGATCTGAAACGGCTTAATTTAGATTTGTGATTACTTGATCAAATTTCTTCTGTCTATACTTGGCGGCGTGTAATTTTCCATTTAAAGAACTGCAGGCAGTCAGAAGTCACTAAATGTAGTCAGTCACAATCGCAGAAAGACCAGAAAGTCAGGCTCATGCAAATATTATTCATGTCCTCACACAAACCACCAATCTAAGGATCAGAGAAATATTGTTTTCTTCCCCTTCTTTTCAATAATAAACGGGGTGTTTGCCAAGACTTTTCAGGTAAATGACATCTCATCTCCTAGCTTTGGTTCAGAAAGCCTCGATAGCAAAATGTACAAACAAACCACCACAAAAGTAGTCCCAAATCCAAAAAAACTCTCGAATTAAGTACATTAATGCCAGCCTGACAAAAACGGGAACATTAAAAGAGAAAATGAAGAAATTTTACAACAAAATGCGTGGCCACCCACAATGTATTGCGGCCACCCAAAGCACTGTTGGAGTGTGTCCACAATGCATCCCATCCACTCATTAGCTTCTTAAAGTAGAGGAGATATGATCTGATATTTTAAAAAACACGAGTATTGGATCATGACAACATGTCAAATGGAGCAGCAAACTTTCGTTCTGTTTTTATGTGTCCCAAAATGCACATATAGAGATGTACTTGGGTACATAAACTGTACAGTAGGCTGTCAAGGTAGAGAACATTATATTTTCGGGACAGCAAATATTCCGAATCAGAGGGCTATTGTTTTCGGCTTATCTGAATAGTCTGAATGAAATCATTAGAGGCACACACTTTTGAATCCACTCAATAGTAAGGAAAACTTGGATTATTTTGCCTTATGTACTTTCAACCGCCCTACCGTCAGGGGTGCTTTCAACGGCATAACACCGGACCAAGAACAGTCTGAGACTGAGAATGACAAAACGCCTCGTCTGTATCCTCCTATTGAAAAGGTTTCAGCAGTATGGACGTTTTACGGCTTCACAGAACAGATGGAGCAGGTAAACCTGACACCAATCTGCAGGTTATGCCGTAAGGAAGTTGCAGCGTCATTGTCTAACACTTCAAACCTACATGCCCACCTCCGTGAACACCATCCAGCATCGTTCGCCCAAATCAAGGTAAAAACAACATGACCGCAATATGTTTGGTCTGCTCTACTGCTTATTATTGACAACGTTAGTGACGTTTCTGCTAACTTAAGCTCCAAAAAGCGAATGCGCCCAAAGTCGCGTTAGCTGCATCTTGCTCATATTGTTTGTGCGTGTCATGCTGTGCACAGAGAAGTGATTTCGCAGTTTTTTGCCATTTTTAATAACGTTAAAAGGAATGCTCTAATATTGTGATAATATCGTGAATCGTGATATTTTGGGCCACCAATATCGTGATATTAATATTTTTCATATCGGCACATGTCTAGTCCACTGTTGGGCCGACCCACTGCAACAACAATTTACACAAGAAACACACATTTGTTGTACTTCAGTCTTGCATCAGACTTTAACCCATACTACTCTTCTAAAAGGTCAAATCTGAACTATTTTAAATAGCCGTCTCGTACCTTTTGAACATTATATCACAAATTTCCATACATCGTTGATAGTGATGTACAACTATCAAGGCCCCACAACGCAACACATACCCATTGATGCACAGCTGATTGTGTCAGCTGTAATTTTACATTTTGACACAAAAATTTTGGGGAAAAGGAAAAAACATTGACACCGAGTGTTTGTTACAAATGATTTATTTGCAAAATGTCGTCCTTGGAGGTTTACATTGCACACAAGGTAATATATTTAGTCTTTCAGAGCTACTTGGCACATCTGGTATTTCTTTGCCTTATTGAATTAAGATCTTGTTTCTACACACAACAGAGACAAACCACTGTAACCACCTGGGATATACAACATCAATTTTTCAAACAGATTTCAGGCTCATGGCCATCATGTGGACCCCTCATGCATGAGAGAGTTAAAAGTGTTTAAATTCACAGTTTTAACCGAAGCCTTTCATAAACAACACACACGTTTTAGTCTGGTCATTTAAAAAGCAAATTAAAAAACATCTTGAAATTTCATATTTGTAAAAATAACACACACACACACACACACACACATATAACATATGCACACAAGCATACAAACACACACACATGCATATGCACATGGAGTGCTACGCAGGTTGGTAGGGTTTCTTGTTGTCATTTTGATTTGTTTCATTCCTTTATTTTGTTTCATTGTGATTTTCTTTTTATAATCACGGGGTATCAGAGTGTCCAATTTATGTTCCATGATGTAGATAACAACCCATATGTTTTCTTCAAATTAAATCCAAGTTCCTGTCAGCCCATCTTGTCTTTTTTGTGTTGTGACCATAAATGTACGTAAAAATATATTGTTTTTAAATATGGACCCCAGGAAGACTAGCGGTGCTCCAGAGCGCAGCTGACGGGGATCCTGACAAATAAACAAACAGTCCTGTCCTCGGTTTTCTCGCCCACACTTTGTGTTTGTACTTCTTAATCTTGAGCTCTGCTTTACAGGAAATCAACATTTGGATAGACAAATAAAATTATCTTTGAAAAGATAAAGGATGATTTAATTTTTGAATTTCAAAAATATAATCACACGGTCACATGAAATGTTGCATCAAATGAACTCAGGTCATTTTAGGTAATGAAGAGCCGTGAGGGGTCAGAAATAAATGAAAACCATCTGTTTACTATCTATCTGTTTGTGTCATGGATTACACTCGAGGGGTGAATTCAGCCAGATAACAAAAACACATGACTGACTGTCTCTCCCTCCCTGTCTCTTAGGCTGAAGTGGTAGTGAACTACCACGTAGGAGAGACGGTCCTCTCGCTCCAAAAAACAACTCTGATCCCCGGGGGTTCAGAGTCGCTGGTCTACACCACGCTGTCTGGAGGCATCGGCATATTGGTCCCTTTCACATCCCATGAGGTATAAGTCAAACATCTGCGCATCCAGTGTCACAAGAGGCTAATGCATTATTCCGGCTCCAAACACATCTCGCAGCTCTTCCTGTCCTATGGAGAGAATCAATTTAATGCATAAAATATTCTTCCGTTTTTCCATTTTTTAATCTTTTTGAATTCTTTTTTCTGTCTGTAGGATCACGATTTCTTCCAGCATTTAGAGATGCATATGCGCTCTGAATTCCCTCCATTGTGTGGCCGAGATCATCTCAGCTTCAGATCATACTACTTTCCAGTCAAGGTTTGCTTGTGCTTAATTTTATGCAGATTTATTTTAGGAGAGCATTGCAGCACTGTGGACGAACAGACACAGATACACTCAGAGTGAGTCATTGTTTCTCCTCTTCTTCCTCTTCAGAATGTGATCGATGGAGATCTGTGTGAGCAGTTTAACAGTATGGACCCTCACAAGCAAAAGAGTGTGGCAGAAGAGCTGGACCGAACACCCCCTGAGGTCTCCAAAAAACTGGAGGACATTCGTACCCGTTACGCCTTCTAATTGTACACCGTCAGGCAGCAGAGAAGGACTCAGATGCTCTGCAAACCATTATTTGTACACACACACATTTTGGCCACAGTACAGCCTTTTTTTAAAGACATGATTTCCTGGACTTGTCGTTTTTTATGGCTGATCATGAACAGACTTGTCTGATCACACAGAAACATAAGTGTTGTCGATTATTTTTGTACATAAATCAAAAATGCTACAACTCAAATGCACCTCTACATTGAAAACACACATACGCATTCAACATTGAAGAGTGTGAATGTTCACAAACAGTTGTGTGAACAGTATTGCCATCATTCATCCACCCACATACAGGCTAAGAGGTTTCTGGAGGTTATTTGTACCTCCTCTGTGCTGTTGTCAGCAAAAACCACACGCAGTGACAGATTCCATAACGGGAAACTCAGCCACGCAAGATCTACCGGTGCTCGGTTGAGTCTTTCTGCGCTCCATTGTACAGATTTCTGTGCAGAAGTGTCACACTCGGCTGTTCTGAGTGTCATCCTCACAAACACAAGGATGTGTGAAGTGAATTCACACACTCGCTCCTGGGCCCCTCTGTTTCTAAAGATGAGTAATCAGTGGCTCATCAGAGCTTCTAACTTCAAGAACTAGATAGAAATGGGCCTCCAAACCAGTCTGAGTCAAAGCTACAGAAAGTGTCACATACTGGGGCATTAGGCAAAGCTGAACTCAGACTGAATAGGTGGGTGGAAGAATACTGAAGGTTTGCGTTGGGTGGTGTTCTCAGTCCTGTAAAATTCCCAACCTCAGCCACAAGCGCAGACATAGCATTCCTCAGTAGTCACTGAATTTGAGGGTTTGTGGCATAGGGGCAGTGGTCTGTTTTTGTAAATAAAGTTGTTTTTTGTGCTTTATAATTCCACGTGTTTGCGTGTCATTTCCTGCCACTGTGTGGAGAACCAAAGCTCAGCCAGAGGATTCGCACCCACCTCCATCTCCATCATCAATCTCATCAGAAGTTCAATATCAGGCTGTATGATCTTATTTTTATTTGTGTTGCGATTCAAAATAAAGACCACTTTCTTGCATTTTTTTGTTTAAAGGTTAAGTCACTTACATCCCATGGATTAGATGTGGGCCTGACAGGCAGAACAGTCGGATTCATGTGAATTACTTTGAATTCACTGAATGCATGTTTCAGTGAAAACATGGACAGATGGACACATTTCAGCTGCCTTACTGTGATCAGACATTAAGGCCCTGCTGAGGTGTGTGCATTTAATTCATGAGACATCAGGTGAGTAATCTGCATAGACTGTATATAGAATGGTCGCCATCTGCCTCCTTGTGTGAAGCGAAGCTTGACATGTAGTTACTGTAAGACTGGTTTGTGCTCAAGTCCTCTGTTTTCTGTACAGCTCCATTTTTAAAAGTTATTAGGGGGTTCATGTTTTCTATGATTGACATCTGATACAGCCTATGGGCGTTCGAAGATTGCGTAGATCACCCGGGGGATACTCTGTTTGAGCCGAGCGTCATCACAGCAACTCTTCCGCTGAATGCGTACAACGCTACTGCACAAGTGGTGGTTCCAGGAAGTGGAGAAAATCCCAGAAATACTGAGAGCAATTCATATAATGATGGAAGGCGGAGCCAAGTTGTCCATAGTCTATACAGTCTACGGTAATCAGAGAAAATCAAAGTTTTCCCTCATTTATCTGTGAATACATGCACACAGTAACCAGGGAAAATATTGTAGTTTTCCTGTCAACATGAATGACTGTTTTCAAACACAATACTAATTTAGGAACCTCAACACAGAGCCCTTTGTGCAGCACATTCCTGCTGTTCTGATGCAACCTTTTTGGGCATCTTTCACTGTAAACAAGTTCCACTTTTGCAAAATGTGCCTCTCCATTTTCAAGCAAAGATTTGCACTTGAAGATGAAAACATCTCTGCCAATGTCTTGGACTGCAGCTCAGTCTTGGGTTGTGTTACTCTCCATCATAATGTATTGCTTAGTTTATCTGGATCTGGATCGTCACTCTCCAGAAAATCTGAAAAACGACACTCTGAAAATTAAAAAAAAAAAAATAGGGCTATTTTCCTGAAATTAGTTTCTGATGTAGCATATCAAGCTACAAAATTATATCCTCAACCATTTATGAATGGTGAGAGAAGTATTCAGACCTACTATTGTAAATGTGGCCTTGACCGGAATCTTTCTTTCTTTCTCTCGTTTCTGGTTTCAGCAGCAAAATTTAGCTTTCCTGTAAAACAAAACAAGGTTGTTGGGTTTTTTTTCACTTGATATACTTTTAAAATTTTACTGACAGCAGGGAGGAAGGACTTCTTCGTCCAATAGAGATGTCAAAACACTTCCTGCAGGTGCGTTAGAAAGACGTTTTGTTCCCCCAGGATGGCTAGACCCTGTAGTGTCCGAGTCCTGACAGCTGCCTGGCTGCCCCTGACTTCTTGAACACTTGTAAGCAACTGCATTGCAGAAGCCAGCAGTTTGTCGAGAGCAGAATGTTTATAAAACAATTACCGTCTTGCTGTCACGCAAAAGGATAATGGTGTGTTACACAGTGGAATAACAAACACTCAGCTGCAACAAAGTCCTCACGTCTGGTCCAGTGCTTCTGGACAAGTGTGTAAGGTTTCACCACTGTAGCAGAGAGCCAGGCCAGTCTAAACCTGCCCACTTAGAACAATGGCATTGTAGAGTTTTATAGACCTTTAACCACATGGGCAGCTGTCAAAAATAACCTAAAGACAACAAAATGATGCCCCAGGGTGAGTTTTATCCAGAGGACATGTGCTCCTAATTTTAGTGGACTAGTCTTCAGGGGACAGCAAAGAAACATTAGGGTTTGTAAAAATACTCATCCCAAAGCAAATCAGTGGTCTCACATGATACCTTACCAAATCATTTCTAAATGACTTACTGTATTTTTAGGGGAAAGATGGTCCATCCTTGTGATGTAGATAAGTGAAAAATAGGTCTTGGTTTTGTCTGGTTTTCTCTTCAAAGATAAGAGCTTACAGGGACATTGTATATGACCAAACTTCAGGCATTTCTGGAATCCAGCAGACCATCTCCACCTCCTCACCTCTGATTGTGTGTCGACTCCTCAGTGGTATGTATTTCACTCTAAGCAAAAATGTGACTTTCACCTTCCTCTGGAGATACTGTAGCTTCTGAGAAAATTATATATTCTTTATTGATATGTGTAATTGCTAATGAAATTATCATTGACTTGATAATTTATAAAAAATAAAAGTAAAAAAAAGCTGATTACAATACACTGCAAAGCATGTGAGGGACTGCGTAAGCAAATAGTGAAACCATTTCAGAATAATGTTTCTCAGCATAAATTTACACAGCATTTGAGGATTTTTATCACATTCCATACATAATGTTAACATTTTGAGTGAAGCTTCAAAATTAAAATCTGTCTTACAGTCCATAACAGCTCTTCGGCAGCACAGCATAAAAAAGACATGTCTCTGTAGCGTTAATCACTGCATGGACCCAATTCACTGCAAAAATCTTCACCCTGGTGTTGCATCTGCAAATGGAGGTTACCCAGAAATACAGGCAACTACTCTGGGCCTGATATCACTAAGATGAACAGAAAAAAAAAGTAGAAACTGTCCTGTGGTCTGATCAATCACTATGTTGTATTTGTTTTGAATTTATGAACACTAATTGTATGTATGCTGATTATGAATTCTGGGCCACTAAACTAAACTAAACTAAAGCAGTTTGTCTGTTGTTTAGATGTTTTATTGCCATAAATTATTAATCAAACTGGAGCATCACACTTCAGATTATTTTAAAGTAACGGTATGCTTCAGTCGATCAGCAACAACTCAGTTTTTGTCATAGCAGTATGTAAACGAGTGAGAAGCACAAACTTACTCCCCTACAATTGCCACAGAACAGTCCTTTGATCTTTGTACACAGTATTCTTCCTTTTCTTCCTTTTTGTGACTCCGTTGTGATTTTGACACATTTATGCATCTGTCATTAATAAATAAGCATCCATGGAAAATCTCAAAAAAGGAGGTTTTTGGTTAATAAAACACTTGAACAAAGAGACAGCCTATGACAGGTTCCTGTGAAGTTTATCTGAGTAAGAGAACATTCTTTGGCTGTGCTTTACACCAATAATATGATGTGTGAGATGACATTTGGACAAAAGTGAAACAGGGCTGGATGTTACATAAGTGCCCTTAAATACACCCTGTGGAAACCTTCTGGGTGACATCAGCAGTCATGAAGTTATCAGCTTCTCCTCACTGCATTCCTCCAGCATCACCACGTAACTCTTTCTACAGATGGTGAAGGCCCTAAAGCTTGGCTGGGGCTTTTGAGGGCCAAAAAAAGGTCACTGTTACCTCAATGCTTGGTTACAATATTACTATAACCATTGCTAATACAACCACACTAACAAACTGTTAATAATACCCTTTCCAAATCATAGCAAAAGACTTCTCAAGACATTTGGTGCCCCCTACGTTGTCTTTAAAACGCCTTTCTGTGTTGAGACGTTAAATACCAAATCGTCTAAGTTTCCTGGAGTTTTGTGAAGTCTGAGGAAAGCTGATAGTGACTGACAGAATAGATGTTGAAGGCCATTACATAATAGAGCCTTAGATGTTGTTTCATACCGACAGCGCTTCTGATAACTCTTTGGTGTTATTTATTTTTCAAGGAATTTTCTTGAAATTCCGACATGAACCCAACCAGATGGCCTGCATATGAAGTCAAGCTCTTTACCTGTCATACCTCACCTATCTTAAAGGTCTCCAAAAAGGGATATTGTGCTCCTGTGGTCTTTCTTCAGGTACAATTTGAGACCAAAGACATCAGTGGTATGATTGAAGGTCTTAGTAAAAGCTTGACCAAAGTTGGCTTACCTTCATGGCCTTGTTAGAGCTTGATATACAACAAAGACCCAAAATGTAAAAACTGGTTGATAATGTAACAAGATGCTGAGCCCAAAACATAACCACTTTTTGCCCAAAATGAAGCAACTTGTTACATTTTGGGTCAGTTATTACATTTTGGGTTTCATGACATCATTTTTATTATATTTCGGGTCAACACTTTTGTTACATTATTGACAATTTTTTAAATTTATTATAACATTTTGGGCTTTATTACAATAATAAAAAAAAACATTTTGGCTCATTGTTACATTTAAGGCTCTAACAAGCTTGTTGGTGACAAAGACATCGTCACTTTTGCTGAGAAGAAGACCGCTTTGGAGAAGACTGGTGCTCCCTGTTCAGCCAACATGGATGTGAATTCATTTTTTCTTAGGAAGATTTTAAAAGAGGCTGTTAATTATTTTGGTTGTCTGAAATGTAAAGAGAGAAACTCACCAGTATTCTCCTTTCCCTAAGTCAGTTTCTCCATGATATTTGATTTTAAAGCACATTCAGTTTTGTTATTGTTTTTTTCATAATGTCACTGATACTTCATGATGAAATCATTAAAAATTTTCTGGAACAAGCTAGCCGGACTAGCTTTTTTTTCTTTAGTTAACAACATAGCTATGCTAGTTAGTGGTAGGCTAGTAAGACTTCCTCTTACTTGGTTGGTAGTTTATCAGCAAACTAGCTAGTAAAGTAGCTTGGTATGGTTGGCTAGCACTATGCTAGGTTACCTAACATTAGCTTGCTTGTGAATGCTAGCTTAAGTTAACTACTTCATTTTATCGAAAATTAACTCAGAGTCAGGCGAGATAAAAAGCTTTCCTCTGTCACAGCTTTGTTAGAAGAGGTCCTCAGTTGAAAGGCTGGTTGATCGACTCATGAATCCACTATTATCGAGCCACTGACTTCTGTACACAGAATTTTAGGAAAAAGAGGGGAAAGACTTTAACAACTAGAAAATCACTTGGAGAGCGCAGACCTCCGCTAGGGAGCAGCTCATGTACCCCCTTATATTGTGATTCACACCAAAACTTTTACTGTTACGTGTCTTTTATTAACTTTCATTTGTGTTTAAACTGGTATGTTCACTGTTCATAATGTTCCTAAAACAAGAAATGCCCTGATCCGGATTCGAATCCAGGACCTTCTTACTGTGAGGTGACAGTGCTAACCACTACACCACTGTGCCGCCCATTAGTTATCTTTCAGCATTGAAAATTCCAACGACACCCTTATTTTTGTGTGTTCTGGATCACAGTATCCGAAATTTTGTCTGGATCAGGATCAACCTTTGACACCTCATAAAACTCATTGAGATCCTTTTGTGTAATTTTTTACTAAAGACTCTGGCCATTTTTATAGAGTTAAATGCAAAAATTCCAAAATTTGCCCTATCTCACAATGATAAAGAATCCTTCAAAAAATTCATGGATCCAGAAGGCGATCCAGAAGGCGATCCGGATCACCACCAAAATGTAATGGGATCCTCCTGGGGCTGAGACCCACCTCTGGTGAAAATTTCAGGTCAATCCGTCTGTAACTTTCTTCGTAAAGTTGTTCACAGACAAACAAACAAACAAACCAACAAACAAACAAACAAACCAACGCTACCAAAAACATAACCTCCTTGGTGGAGGTAATAAGACGAGGAAAGAAAATAATTTTTAAAACTCCTGTGCAAATTTCTCCAGCAGGAGGCTCAAACAGAGGACATGCCTTCATGTTATGCCAAGGTTGTAAAATATTCACATACATTTCTGCCAGGAAAAAAAGAAAATGGCTAAGGAGAAACAGGTGTTTTATTTACTTCGGCTGGTACCTGTACCTGTTTCAGTTCTTAACAGTACATTTAGGAAACAGAAGTTTTGTATGACAAGGCAGAGAAGCTCCTAAATTTTAAAGTTTCACTTCATGAATTTCAACAATCTAGCCTTACTGAAATTTTTTTCTGATTTTGAACCTTAACATCATATTTTCAAAAAGTTACATAAATGGATGTCAACTTTGCCTTCAAACACTAACTAAGATAGTAAAACTACAGCACAACAGAGTGAACACACTGAAGTTAATTTATTAGTGTCAAACATACCTCAGGACAGAACAGTAAGACAAACAGAAATTATTCGATACATGACCTGAGCATTGGCCTAGGGATGTTTTCCACCCACATGACCCAGTCAGGGCATGAGCATGTGGATCAGGATATTTGCAGACAGAGTTATTGCGATGACCAACATGGCTTCAATTATAAAGCCCATCCATGGAATTAACTACCAATCATATGGGTTTATATGAGTTATTCTCTCACAAACAGCACATGAGGAACTTAGCGTGAGATGTCTCTCTGCTTATATGGAAATGAAAAGATTAGATTTTGTGTCAGGCAGGGGGTGAAATTAAATTTAAACTGAAGGGTTTCAATCTAGAAAAACTTCTGTAGAAAAGTGACCTTTCTGAGTGCTGTGACATGACTCCTCTCAGTTTGAATGTTTATGCACCTCAGTTTGTTAGAGCCAAAAGCTGTCTCATGTGATAGATTGGTTTATTATCTGCAGATGGCTGAAAAACCTCCATCAATCAAATGCTTACATTGTAGTTACATAGCAACACCACAGTCACTTTTTCATATCATGAATCTAAAGTTTAGGATAAATGCATTTGCTCAGTAGAGACAAATAAGAAAAACAAAGATGTCAGATATTTGTCTTCATCACCTACAGATCCAACTGCAGTGTGTTTTAGAGCGAAAATAATATTGCTTAAGCATTACTATTATTATTATAATGAGATGTTACATTTAATATCCCAAGAAATTTAACCATAAACTTTATTGAATAATCACACTTTACTGAAGGAAATAGGAACAAATGGTTTGAAAGTGTCCAAATGGAATGAAAACATTCAAGTCTGTATAAAGAATGTGAAGTGTCATCCACATTATGCAGAAAAAAATGGAAATAAAAATTAAAGATGATACCCAAAATATATCTAAAGAACAAAAACATGATGTTTCAGTGATTGCCCTGTTTCCCTCCTATTGTTTGAGTTTTTCAGATACGTAAAAAGCCTAGTGTCGCTGACTACATGGTATCAGTCATGCTCACCTCTTTATTAAATGTTAAACATGGCTTTGTAAAATTATTTAATCTGGTGACACTGTTTTCCTTATATATATAGTATACATATATACATTTTTCTACTTTATATATACAGTATATACAGTTTATATACTTACACATACATACTGTTTATTTTTCTTGTGAGATTGTCATAGTTCAGTTCATCTATCAACAACTAGTCAAGAAAGCAAAAATGAACAAATTAAATTTTCCTTCGCTGTAAAACTTTGTGACACAAAAGGCACAACAAAGAGCTGCATATCAATGTTCTGTATCTGCTCAATATGTTTTGATTTTGTTTTCTCAAAGTATCACAACCACTGCAAGGGCATCAAAAGCCCAACAACCAAAAAGTCAACAATTTCCAGCTATTAAAGTTCTGCACTAAAAACGATAAACAGATGATAAAAACAAAGAGTGAAACACAGTGTCCGCTCCCTCTCCTTCTTGCTTCCATGAAATCAGCCTGACCAAATTTGCCCCACTAATTTTTTTTGGTTGAAATACACACAACCATTTGTGTTGTAGCAACAGGTCCAGTGGGAATTTTCCGGTCATCAGCCCTGACCACTTTTCCCCGGTGAAGGAGAGGAGAAGCCTCTGTCTTAAAACAGCATGATTCAACCTCACCCCCTCCCGTCTGCGGTGTCGCGCCTTGTCTCTGATCTCCCTGGTGGTTAACTGACCAAAACAGCTGTGCGGTTATAAATGTTAAACAGGCTCTTTTTCACAGCAAATATTTACTTCATTTTAGCTGTAAAGTTACATGTAATTCATTGTGGAAGACTATGTTATTTATGCTGCTCTATTTTAGAAAGGGTCGATTCCTGTAGCTTACCATTCATTGTTTGTCAGGATTGTGTAGTTGCACTGTCATTGCATGCTGTCCACACCCTGGCAGTCAGCACCATGGACAGAGCGCTCTGGGGCTTTGAGTTCATTTGGAAATTCCCTAATTTTGAAAACCATCCAGCTGCCTTGGTGTGATTTGAGAATGCTGCCTGCAAATAAAGTTAGTTGTCTTTTGTTGTGATTTAATCGTTATTTTCTGAGGGTTAATCTGAGCCTCTGAAGACTTCGTTATGATGCCTGTCAAGTATGAAGAACGCTGTTGGTATGTTGCCTTTTCTTGATAAAAAGATTAAAAACAAAACAAAACATTAAAAAAATGTTGAGTTGCACGGCAGGCAAACTTTTTGTTTCTCAAAGAAAATCAAATGCAGGGAAGTCTTGTACTAATAAATTCAGTAGTTTATAGGGTATGGAGTTATCCAGACCTTTCAGGAATGGAGACCAGATGAGTTTTACAGTGAACCCTTTTCTTGGGATTTAGGGGCAGCCATTTTCTTCTTAACTGTGTTTCTGTATATTCTACAGTTATGAAATGCATAAAGAGGCCTTTTTCCCATTCTCTTGGATGCTACATGGTCTGTAATCAGATTAATTTAGATTTAAAGAACATCAATACTTTTTGATTAAACCCTGACTGTTGGAAAGGACAAAAGAGTCGAATAAATCTTTCCAAGTTTACATCAGTTGATGGAAAATATACTGTATATCTAAAAACATATGCTAGTTGACATTTTTGATGTTTTTTTATTTCTTATATGTTAACAAAGTAAAGATCCTTGTGTAGTTCTTCAGTAAATATGATCTGTTTTTCATGTTGAGCTGAACTCATTACAAGGTTCTGTTCGTGCAATGCCCTGGTCAAAACAGGACAGATCTGTTCAGCCCTGAAATTTATATGCACCTTTTCATGCTCTGGCATCAACCATCATGTGAGCAGACATCACTTCACCATTGACATTGTCTTATTCTGCTTTATTAATTTAAAAAAAGCACCAAAAACAAAAGAAGATGCTGGCTAAAGACACAGCGAGTTAAATTTGTAACTTAAGTCAGAATAAATAAGTAACTTTTGAGAATGATGCTGTAGAAACTTGCAAATCCTTCTCTGACACATTCATGACTTTTGCACATGCTGAGGATTACTTGAAAAGTGAAAAAAAAGTTTTAATGTGACACAGCAGTGAAGTATTCAATTGAAGGTCACTTGTGGGGTCCCTCAAGGGTCTGTGTTAGGCCCGAAATTATTCATATTATATATCAATGATATCTGCTATGTTTCCAAACTGTTAAAATGTGTTTTGTTTGCTGATGACACCACTCTCTATTGCTCTGGTAAAAACCTAGAACAGCTTCTGACTACAGTTGAAAAGGAATTAAATATTCTGAAATATTGGTTTGACATTAATAAGTTATCTCTGAATTTAAATAAAACAAAGTTTATCATTTTTGGCACCAGAAAAATAAAAACTCAAGTTAAAATCAGGGTCAATTGCATCGAAATAGAAAGAGTGAATGAAAACAAATTTCTTGGTGTGATAATTGATGATAAGCTTTGTTGGAAGCCACATATAAATAATGTGAAAACCAAAATGTCAAAAACCATTGCTATACTTTATAAAACAAAGGATATCCTCAACAAGAAATCACTATACAGGCTATATTGTTCTCTGTTACTTCCATATATGACCTATTGTGTGGAGATATGGGGTAGCACATATAAAACCAATACTGATCCTATTTTTAAGTTACAAAAAAGAGCTATAAGAATTATAAATCGATCCCACTTTCTTGAATCAACTAATGCACTGTTTCTTAATTCAAATACCCTTAAATTTTATTGATTTAGTTGAATTTAAAATGGCACAGATAATGTACAAAGCACATAATAATTTACTTTGCCGTAGTACTCAGAGGCTGTTTGAAACCAGAGAGAGTCAATATGATTTGAGGGGAACAGGTTTCTTCAAAAAAACTAAGACAAGAACGAATATTAAGCAGAGGTGTGTTTCTGTTAGAGGTGTTAACTTGTGGAATAGCTGTGATGATGAATTAAGAATGTGTAGTTCACTTTCCTTATTTAAGAACATGTATAAAACTAAAGCAATAAGAAAATATGTAAATCCGGCATGAAGAAGAGCAATAACAAAATATTGAAATTTTTGGTTGTGTCTGTTTGTATACTTGTTACGGAATATTGTTGGTTTATTTATTTTCTAACATGTTTTGAGAATTTATCTTTTCTCTCTCTCTTTTTCCCTTTTCTTTAGAAGACTTGTGGTGTAACTCAGACCATGTAGTTAAAGAGTCGCCTTGCTAAAGTTTTTGTTTTTTGTAAAAAGGGTAGGCAAAATAAGCATGAGCTTCAGCCTACACCTTTTCGATTAGCTTTATGATGCTTTTGAAATTTACTATGTATCTGTTGTGGGTGGATTTTAAATGCTAATCGAATAAAATAATTGAATTGAATTGAATTGAGATAAAAACA